AGAGTACGCGCGTTAGGTATAAGGCGTATACGAAAAAGTATCGCTATATATTAAAATATTTAACGATAGCTAGTAGTTTTTTATTATACGTATCGTAGCGTACTTTTATAGCCGTAAACTTCTTACTATAGTAAATAATAGATAACTAGTATTTTTAGTCGCCCTTCTACGCTTAGAGCTAGAGTAGGATGCTAGCTAAGACGAAATCTAATATATTAGTAATAAGTATTAGCTATAATACTAGGTCGTAGTACTAAAGAACTAGGCCGTATAAAAAGGCGTCTTTTAGCGTATAAAACGTATACGTAGCGTCGTCTAGCTAGTAAAACTAAATATACTACTTAGTTAGACTCTTTTAGAACTTCTTCGTAGGTACTTTCTTAGATATCTAAGTAGCGTTCTAAAGAAGGTTATTTAGAGGCTTAGTAATAGAGAAGTAGTTCTATACGAATCGCCTATAGAAGTTAGTAAAGCTAAGAAATACTTATATATTACGAAAGAAGCTAGATTCCGGCTATTCTTAAATAGTCTTTACGTATTTAGGGTCTATTATAACGCCGCTAGACGTTATAATAAACTCTAGAAACTTCGCGTAGGTTATATAGAAGATATACTTTAATATCTTAATATATAAGCTTTAGTCTCGAAGGCGCTAGAGCACCTACTAAACGTATTAAACGTAATCTTTCTCGTTTCGAGAGTAGATTAAGATATTATCTAAATATATAATATAGATAGTATCTACGAGGCTTTCGAGAGCTTTATTAATATAGCTCTAGAACGTAGTCGGCGCGTTAGCTAGACCGAAGAGTATAATAAAGTACTTAAATAGATCGTATCTTATCTTAAAGGCCGTCTTCTACTCGTCGCTCTTACGAATATAAAGCCTATAATAGGCGTTATATAAGTTTAACTTCGTAAAGATCTTCGCGTAAGATATACGGTTTAATAGTTCGTTAATAAAAGAAAGCGAATATCGATTTTTAATCGTAACCCGATTTAGCTCTTAGTAATTAATATATAATTATATAGTCTCGTTAGGCTTAGAGACGAAGAGAATTAGTACGCTAGTAGAAGACTTACTAGACTAAATCTAGCTCTTCTTAAGAGTCTTATCGAGATATTTTTATAGAATCTATAGCTCTCTTAGCGAGAGATTATAGATAAATATTTAGAGCGGCGACTTACCGTTCTCTAGATCGATTATATAGTCGTATTTAGAGTTTTAGGCTAGCTTACCGGCTAATTCGTTCGATATAATATTCGTAAAGTTTTAATATTAACTTAGAAGTTCTTCTTATAGCGCGGTAACTATTACGGCTATAAGAATAAAATTACTCTACGCTTTTAATACGAAGTATATATATTACGTATACGCGGCGCTAGTACGTCGCGGATAATATATAGAATTATAATTTCCGCCTTTTTACGTTAGTAGAGGCTAGTTTTAACTAGAAATTTTATCTTCTAGATTAATCTAGTAGACGAAATCGTCTAAGACTAGTTAACTAGCGAATTATATCGTAGAGATAAGCTTAATATAGTCTTAGTATAAATTACCCTATTTAAGAGTATTCGTATTAAAGCGGGCGATAAGATCGGCCGCTTTTAGCTAGTCTAAATTAAGGATTAGATTATAACTCTCGAAGAACGCGCTCTAAAATAGGCGCGATTTAATAGTTCGCTTAACGTTTATTTCGTCTTTAGCCCGAAGAATAAGTTTATAGAAGTTTTATATAGTTATAGAATAGCTATTTAAGAATTATACGCGGAGCGTACGCTTAACGTATAAGAAGAATACGCGATAAATACTTACTAGATCTTATCTAATAAGGTTTATATTACTTTCTAAATCTAAGAGGGTCTTTAAGACTACTAGCCCTTCTAGCGACTCTAGAAGAACGTTTATAATAATTCGTCTAGTTAAGCCTTAGTCGACTAGTTCTAGAGATAAACGGCTTAGAGCCGCTACTAGAACTATTCTTTTTTCGAGGTTTTATCGTCCTTCGAGCTATCGGCTCTAGAAGAAGATTAGTTACTAGCCGAGTTTTTATTAAATTAGTAGAAGTCCGAGTTACGCTTCGTATACGAAGCGCCTACGCCTTATCTATAAATTAACTTCTAGAAGTCTTCTTAGCGAGGCGGCTTATATCGGCTTAAGTTTCTCGACCGACCTCGCCTACTATTAGTAGAGTAGGCTAGACGCGGGCGTTTATAGCCTACGTTCTAGCGCTATTATTTCTCTATCTACGCTATCTTAACTAAGCCGAGCGTCTACTTAAGGCTAATAATTAAGTCGTAGAGTTTCTTAACCCCCTAGATAGTCTTTATCGTAGAATATTTAAGAAGTTCTTTATAATAGACCTCTAGGAGGTTTATAAAGAAGAGATTAATAAGAAGATTCTTATCGGCTACCGCGTATAGAAGCTATTTATATAGGCTTTCTATACGGGCGCGGTACTTTTAATACGACGTACTAGACTTTATTAGAAAGCGGTAGAATATAATCGTATTCTTATACCGCCGTAAGGTAGGATTTCTTACTTAATCTTAAATAATTACTTTAAACTTCTTAAAGAAAAGCTCTCTTTAGATTATAGATTTATCTAGACGTTAATAAACGTATTAGGCGATTACTTCGTACTTCGCGAGGCTCTAGAGGGCCTAGCGGGTTCGCTTCTTAGTATTCTAGTCTTATAGATTAAGTATATTAAACTTATTATTTAACTCGTTAATCTACTTATCGAAATAGTACTAGATCGCGGTTTATAGTTCGAGAACGTTCTTTTCTCGTTAAATCGCCTTCTACGCTTTAAAGTCGAGATATATACGAGAAGTATACGTTTTAAATACGCTTAGCTAAGAGAGTATTTTAATACGTTTCTATAGACCCTTAATTAAAGCGTTTAATTCGATAATTTAAGCTAAGAAGATTAGAATTACTATAGAGAGTCTATAGATCTTAGTCTTTAGATTCGTAATAACGTCTTTAGGCGTAATCGTTATAAAGAAGAGTTCTTCTATAGCGGTAGATATTAGGGGTATCTCGTCGGCGTTATCGTCTAATTCGCTAGGGGTCGAATAGTTCGACTCGATTAAGAGATTTTATACGATTATAGCGTTTTTAGTACGCGACGTATACGCGTCGCGTATAGAAAGAGAGATTCGCTTAGAAGATATTCTAAACCGACTATTTAAAGAGAAGGATTCGAATATAAGATATAAAATACGAATAGAAAGCTTAAGATAGATATAAGAAGAGAGCTTATAATTAATAAACGAATTCTTAAGAAATTTAGCCTTCGCTTATAGACCGAAGGGCTTTTATATATAGCTAAGCGAGAGTTACGTAACTAATACGTAACTTCTATAGATCTCGTATATAAAGCGTATACGAGACGCGGCTATAGATTCTTATATAGATATACTACTACGAGACGTTATTAAATACTATAAATACTTTAAAGTAGCTAAATAGAAAGCTTAGCTAACTACTTAGAGTCCTTTATATCTTACTAGATATCTATAGAAGCGACCTTATAAATATCTATTACTATTAAGTAAGATATACGCCCTCTACTTCTAGAGAGACGTTTCTTAATATTAAATTAATAATATTAATACTAGCTACCGCGAGTTCGTACGCGAGTATAAGAAAATCTACTATAATAATAATAATAGGCGTCTACTAGTATATACTTTATAAGTTTATAGCCTTCTATACCTCGCTAAAGCTATTTATAATTATAAATTAGCTTATTATTAGTAGTAGTTTTCGTTTAAACGTTTTTATAGCTTTATAAAGCGCCTCGCCCGTAATAAGGCGAAATTAGATATAAGTATAACGAACGAGATAATTATATAGAAGTAAATATATCTATTAGAGCTCTTTAAACCCCTAATAGACGATAATAATAATATATCGTTATTATAGCTACGACTATTAGATAAACTACTATACGCGGCGATAATATCTCGTAAGAGACGTATACTAGAAGAGATACTACGATTCTTTATTACGATTAGTAAAGATAAGAATATCTAAATAATCCGTTTCGTAGAGAAATATATTAGATTTAAGTAGTATCTTATCTTAGAGAATACTATAGTATATAGTAGTATCTTATCGTAGCGCGATTACTTAGATAATCGTAATAATACCTATATATACTATAATAGAAGAATATTAGATAAGAATAAGTATATTTATATCTACTATTATTTAAGTATTTCTAACTATAGCTATTACGCTTATATAAAAAACCTCTAGAATATATAAAGAAGCGATAATAAGAGAGGCTTACTAATTACTATAAGCGCTAATAGCGGCGGACGGCGGAGATTCTATTTAGTAAATAATATCGTATATTCTATAGATATTATAACCTATACGAATATACGCGGAGAATAAATATATATAATAGTTAGCTCGATCGCGCGCTTATTATAGTAGTATAATCGTAGAAGAGATATTAGGGGGGGTATTAGAGGTAGTATTAGTAGTAATTATTAGAGCGGTAGACGGCGGCGGTAGTAGCGGCGGGTTAGTTTAAAATACTATATAATATCGTAATATTTCTATTTAAAATATAAATATTACTATCGTTACCTCTACTATTTCTATATAATCTTATTAAGAAACTATTAAATATAGTAATTATACTATTATAATAATAGATAACGCCATTATAACGCCCGGAAACGGCCACTAGGTATACCGCTATTAATAATGGCGCCACCATTAGCCGGGGGTACCCTAGTAAATGCCTACCGAGTGCTAATGGCGCGGAAGCGGTTCGTGTCACGCTCAGTGTCAACCCGGAGAGAAGGCCGTCGCACATTCACCTTACGGCAGCCGATTCTGCTTGCAACCCGGATTGCAAGTATTCTGCTGCGTGGACCATTCCAGGGGAGCCGTGGTCCGAGACTGCGGTTACAAAGAATGCGGTGCTGAGTGTACCGGGGGCACACCCTACGAGCTCTCACAGAAAGTCACCTACATGGTCTCTCCGGATGGCACTCCCAAGAAATGCACCTCCAAGTTCTGCTGCGGATACGATTTCCAAGGGTGCCACTGGGCTGGAACAGGCAGCTGCAATAACAACAACATTTGCTCCTCCTCGGATGTGCAGGTCGGGCTGGACGCTGAGGGCGATACCGGGGCACAATGCTACAGTATTGGTCGTTCCAAAGCGCTCTGCTGCAGCGTTCCGGCAAACTTGACTTCATTACTGCCCGTATCACTTGAAGACCTCTTCCCAACCCTACCCCCGCAAGAGGACGTACCCCGTTTCGATCTACAGTTCTTATCCGCCGAGGAACTAGGGCAGCATGAAACCAGCACGAATGAATCGTCCCCGCAGACATTAGGATTCGTCGTCATCGATGGCCCCGCAGAGTCAGTCGGCAGCTTATCCAAGAGAGACGGCTCGCACATTCAGTTCGTCACTCGTGGAAGCAGGCAAGAGAAAGGCACGCACAAAGCCAGATACATCTGTATGGACACGTCAGATGGGTCAAACTGCGACCAGATGCATGTTGGAGGCGTTGAAGGAAAGATATTCAAAATGCCCGAGGAGGCGGGCTTCGCAACGTACGCGGTGGCGCATTCAACCCAGCCCGCAGATGACCAGCGCCTCCCGGAGCACCTGAAGAAGAGGGCACCACCAAACGCCGTCGTCCATGAGCTCGAATACAGCTACAACTTCACTCTCTCCAAGCGCACCGACAGCGACGTCTACGTCCGTATCGACTACGCCGCCTCGAATGACTACTACGAGAAGATTGTGGCGGCCCCGCATCAGAAACGGGGAGAGGGCTTGAGCCGGCGCTTCTGGAGCAAGAGCTTCGACACGTGGAAGTCTCTTTTTGAAGGCCTGAGGGAACAACCACCGCAAGCCACCATGAGCTATTCTTTCCAGAAGCTCCTGTACGGAGATGACGGTACAGAGAAACAGTGTCCTGGCGGGAACGACGGTTTCCTAAAAATCAGCCTGCAGGGACTGGTGCAGAGTCAAGTGCGCTTCGGCTTCACCCTGGTTGGCAGAATCGCACCCGAGCTCGTGTTGGAAGAGGCCTATGGCTTCTTCGACACCAAGCCGACGCTGTCCGCTTCGTTGAACTTCGACGGCAAGGGCCATCTCGCCATACCCGACGGCACAACCGCACGTCTACTCCAAGGCGAGCTTTCCAGCATGGGCTTCAGCCATCCTGGCATCGTCTCCTTCTCCCCAAGGCTCAACGTCCTAGTCCAAATGGCCGGCGCGGGCACCCTCGACGGCACCTTCAACATGGCCATATTCTCGGCAGCCGACGACGTCCTAACCACACACGCGCCGCCGAACCTCGGCGACTTCAGCGGGTCCGCGGCGGGGAAAGCCTTCAAAGCAGCCTACGACGGCGCGTTCGACGCCAACGGCACCGGCCAGATCTTCGCCCTGAACCTCACCACCGAGGCGCAGATGCAGCTACGGATCTTCGACCACGGCACATCCCGCAGCGCCGCCGCCGTCAACTTCACGTCCTTACTACCACACCGCTTCCAGATCCTGAACAACGGCTCCCAGCTCGCCTTCGTCGACGCAGACCAACAGCCCGTGTCCGAAGTCGTCGTCGTCGTCGATGTCGACCGTGGCAATCGCATCCCCGGGTGGAGCGACGCCGACAACACCCCACACGCGGTGGGCCCGGCGCCGCACGCCCTGGTCGTGCAAACCGGGCGGTTCGAGCCGATCCCGCGCAACGCGCCCAGGATCGACGGCGCCGCGGTGCTCGGGGGCTCCGATCTGATGGGGTGCTCGGGGGCGGCCCGGGGCGTCCTCGCGTGCCCTCTTCCCGACAAGATCCTCGGTCGGTTCCCGGAGCTCGATGACGATCCGGATGGAGGACGGGCCGCGTCAGGCAATGCGTCGGAGGGCGGAGCGCGGGGCTTTCGGGTTCGTGGTAGGTCGCTTGTTGGAAGCCGGTGTCGCAATCTGCTGATGTAGTTCTGGTGCCGTAGGGCCCGTGGGGGACTTTGATGTTGAAGCGCCGCCGGTGAGTGTTGATTAACGCGCCATGTCGTCGCGGATTGCTGATGGAGACTGCAGTACCCAGATGGGCAGAACGGTCTGAAGTTGCGGCAGGCGAACCCCAACGCCGGCCGGTGGACCTTTGTCGGCCAGGGTGCTTGTTCTGGAGGTTCGAAAGTGGGTGCAGACGGACCTGTTAGCGGCGTCAAGTACGTCAGTAAGTACACTTACTCGTTTCTTGTGACACGGTTTTCATGTCTGATCGCTCAACTTCAATAGCCGACCACGTTCTGGAGCTGCAAACACTTCCAAGGTTCTTGGAGTTCATCATGGGCGAGCCACAAGCTATCGGAGGAACGGCATACAGAACCAACTTCTCCGTGGTGCAGCAGGAGCTTCTGCAAAGGTACATCACGATGCAGTGGCGAAACTTGGATCCCGAGGGAAGCTCTAGCGACTCCAATAGTCCCATTGCGGATATGTGGGAGGCATTTGGCAGCGTGCAAACTCCCCATCGGCTTCTGAATGTTGAAAGGGGCCTGAACGCCGTCAAGGCTCGGGTGAGTGCTTCATCAGAATTTTCCAAATTCGATAAACTTACATCCACTGCACAGCTTTGGGGAGGCATGAATCCCGTCTCGGATGTTCGATGGAATGCCTTGCAGTTTGATGATACGAGCGACGTTCAAAATGCTCTGAACGCCATCGCAGCCATTAATGGTGTATGTGCGCTTGATGTTTTACTTCACTTACTATCCACTGTGCTGGCCATGATTTTCAACAAAGGTCATGGGGGTATTCAACTTTATCAATTCTCAGAAGGTGCAGACAACATTGGCGGAAGCTGCCAACGACTTCAACGTTGTCTTGAATCGCTTTCAAGAACGCTTCAACTCTATCAACAATGCTGATATCAACATTGTGGGCCAATGGTTAGCACATCCTTACGTCTAACCCCAGACACACGGACTAACGAACCTGCAGGGAAGAATACATCAGATCCGTGCTTTCCCAACAGATCAGCACAAGGGCCAGAGCGTGGATGATACGCAGGCTCGGCATCTTGGTCGAAAATTGGAAGGGAACGCGAGATTCGTACCTTGATCATCAGCAGGTGGAGCGCGAGCAAGCAGATGCAGTTATAAACGAGCTTGGAATCATTTTGGACAGCTGTCTTGGCCCCAACGGTACTACTGGCAGCATTACTCTTCCACGGCTTGCAATATAGAAGCAACTTTGGTGAGGAGCTTTGGAGAGACACTAGATTATTGCTATATAGGATCGAACATAGGCTTATCATGATTCTCCAAAATGCCTTTGCTTGAATTCTGCCCTGACTCCTGCATATCTCTCAAGAAATGACGCGTTTCTGTAAATTGCCGGCCATGACTTGTCGGCAAACTGTTGACACTGATCGCAGACATCGCTTGCGGAACTGTCGAGGATCAAACTCACTAATTTGTAAATGATGGAATAACGAGTGGCGCTACGGCAGGCAGCAGGCTTGCTGGAATGATACGCTACTTGACTTGTGCGGTAGCTACCAAAGGTAGTTCCACAAGCCTTGCATACTTCCCGTGACGCACGTTTGGTGACTATTGCTGTTGCCTACTGCAACCTTGCATGTTATCTGTTCGGGAAAGCGGTGATTGTGTCACGCAAGGATACTACTGAGTAAGTCCAATGATGCTACTTCATCTGCAAGGGTGGCTTGCGCAGCTTTCATCAAATCGTACTGCTTGAGATCTCTGGCTCCGCCATGGCCCACAAGCTGCACGGCCTTGAAATTCTATCCGCTGTAATTTTGCTACTGCGGGGATCGCTAACACGCTACCACCGTGTCCTGTTAGTGGCATCGCTGACTCGATAATAAGATCGAGTGCAGTAGGGCAGATAATCAGATAATTAGTAAAGCAGGACAAGGAATCTGAATAGTGTGATTGGATCTCCAGGGGTCGAGTAAGCAGCATCGTGGCTGATTGAAATGGACTCAGTTTGTGGTTGAGGCGAAGGATTAGGCGGGGTAATGGCAGGTTTTCCCGAGGCGAAGTAGTACCCTCACGGCATGAGTTTATCAAATGGTTGGCAATTATCCTAGTATAAACAGAAGTAGTAGAAATTGTGTGTCAAATTAGTAGTTTAGCATGGGAAACGTCTTTACGTCTACAACAGCTGGGAGAAATCCGCTTGTATTAATGTCTCTGTTGAGAAAGAACCTGGAATACCTGGATCCATGCCATCAATCGCCAGGGACCTCAACTATTTGACGGTCAGCCTGGAGTTCATGCGCTTTTGAAGGCGTTTCCAGTTCGTTCAATGCCTCCGCTGGCGATGAGGCCATTTCGTGGATACGGCATTCACTTGGCAGCTCCTTCTTCTCACCCCCATCTCCAAGCTCCGCGGGATCCTTGTGGTTACTCTTCAGCGGCTGTGGTGCTCGACGCCGATCTGGTCGTTGCCTTTGCTTTCTGCGGAGAACGAAGGAAAGGATCAGTACAAGGCACAGCAACACGGCGCCGCCAACTCCCACCCCTACTCCAGCCTTTTGGGCAGCTGAAAGATTGTTGGCAAGCGGCGAGGTTGATGCAACAGTAGTGGAATTCGATGCTGCGATGCAGTCGAAACTCCCGGTGATTTTGCCAGCTTCCTTCAATGCTCGGAACGGTGAGCAGTCAAAATCCGAGGACGAAGTGTTCAAGAAGAAATTTCCAGAAATGGACTGGATAGCGGGAATGGAAAGGCTGCAGCAAAGTCAGCAAACAACGAGACGGTGGTAAAAGTGGCACTTACACTTCCAAGTCTCCTGCCAGTCTGAATCCATAAACGTTGGTTCGTAACCTTGGTAGTGTAAGGTTGCGCACCTGCTCACTGTCCAATACTATAAAACCTCCAGTGTTGACAAGTGATGCTACTTCGATGTCGATGAGATCATGGCATGCTTCGAACCATAGTCCAAAGGTGCCATTCCCAACATTCGTAAGCTTAGGTGCTGTAAAGTTTCCTATCGTTGAACTCCTCACGGCTATCTCCTCTGACTCGACGAGGGACGGTAACAATATGCTCGAGATATTGGAGAGCTCCAAGTTCTGTGCCGAGACCAGATTTGGGAATGCTACGCTCAACTCCGGTGAATTATCCGCGACTGTCACTGTACCACCAGTAGTCAGTCTCGTAGAATTCAACGTCATTGTAATGACCTCAAGCCGTTTGTTGCTAGTGATGTTAAATCCGTCGGTTATCCCGGCAGGGTCTATGCCAGAAATACTTGTCAAAGCCGTGTCCGTCACCGAGAAAGAGGGGCATTCTGTAATGGTAGCATCGAATCCCAGTTCCGATAGTTCAGGCAGATGCTCCAGTCTGAGCTGATTGCCAACGGATCTCAACCGGGGGAAGAACAACGTCGATAGCTGTGGAAGGCGCTGCAAATACATGTAGTCGTCGATTTGCTCAAGCAGGTCCGCTGACAGTCCAGTCAAGCCCCCGTTGTCGCTTGCAGTCACATGTCCGTTCAGCCTTTTTAGGCCATCCAAGGAGATGTTGCCTGTCGCTTCTGGGGATATTTGTATGTTGCCAGTGAATGTTGGACACAGTGCGAAGGCCGTTGTGTCAGCGGGACCCCGTATCGTCAGCATGGATGCTGAGCATGACTCTTTAAAATTCGAAGCGTCAGTTTCGGATTAAGTTCACAATGAAAATGGAATGCCTCAAAGAATATAAACTCACGGGCAACTGCGTAGCTTGACGAGAACCAGATCATGAGCGCCACGGTCAAGCGCGCGACGGACAACGCACGGAAGGAAGACATGTTGATATGCACACAGCAGATTGGGAGGCTCTATCACGTTTCTTTTCATCACGTACTGGCTGAAATGTTCTCCAAAGGTTTCGAATTCTGAATTTTGGCCTCAATGTCAGTGAAGCCGTGAGCTTTGTACCCGCCAACTAGGCAAACGTTCTCGAATCTCCGATGCAGGTGGGCCGAGCAAATGCGAGCCGCCATCCTACGATGTGGTGTACACATGCACACACCAGGGAATGTAGGATTCACTGACGTCATCTGGGTCGGAACGCGGAGAGTAGCCTCCTGTACCATGCATGAAGAGTGATGCCTGGCTGTCAAAACCCCTTGCGTAAAGGTAAGGGCCAAATCCAGGGTAGACCAGCAGATGGTCACTCTCAGCGTTCTGGAATGATTCTGCCTTGCGTCTCGATATGATCTGCCTTATCTACAATCGACCATGCATAAATCACTCCCACATACCCGGGCTCAACTTCAAACCCGGTTTCTGCTGGCCTGGCCACCTATTTTCTTCATCTTTGTTTCTGGTACTTCTCACGTGCATATGGGCAATTTCGCATGCCTCGGCATGGGAGTGGGGTCCTGGTATTCGTGTGCTGGAGGCAAACGGTTTGTCGGGTGCTGTTCGACAGATCCTTGCTTTTACGGTTGCCTCGCGGGAAATTTAGCCCCTGCGGCTTTCAACCTTAGTATTGCCGGAAGTCTTCCGGACCTGGAATGCGATCAAGGGAGGCGATTCTTCACTTGCAACAACTCCGGATTTCTGGGATGTTGCAAGACGGATCCGTGCAGGGATGGTTGTCCATTTGCAAGCCTCGGCCCCGCTACATTGGTCAATGACCCCTTAGCCACTGCGGCCTACTCTCCCACCGGTACTCCATCGCCATCGCCATCGCCAGTCGGTAGCTCCAGAAGTGGATCTTCAAGAACACCTGATGCTGTCATTGGGGGTGCTGTCGGAGGTTTCGTTGGCGCCATCCTAATCGGCATACTGGCCTATTTCCATACCAGAAAACGTTGCAAGCGCAACAGCACAAAGACCGACATTCGGCCTATCCTCAACGAGGATCGTGATCCTAACGGCATCCATCTAGCTGAGCTGATGGGCAGGCCTTTGAGTGTGAAGGGTGAGATGTCTTGTACCCGGTGGATTCAATTTACTTATCATTGACCAGTACCGCCCGCCCCATTGCGAGACCATTCGTCCGATGGCCCAGTATATGAGCTGGAGTCTAATCCAATAGACCCGCGTGTACTACCGGAACTCATGGGAAATCCCCTTCATTTGCCGGCTGAAGTAGAGGGTAGCAAGCCTTTGTCCACGTCTCGAAAGATTAGCAGTGCGACTTCTTCTTCTACAGCCCACCTGCCACTTCGCCAGTTATCCATCGATCTTCCGCGAGATTTCAACACGTCTCAGCCAAGTTCACAGATAGCGTTAGCCTCACGTTTACCAACAAACTTACCCACTATCGCGGAGGAGAGGAAGTCAGGTGGCAACGGTGACTTGTAACCATGTCAACTGGGTCACGAGGTCTCCATGCTAAAGAATAGAACATAGTTGATTAGCTTAATACTTCTTTCTTGATCCTATCAGCCTCAGCGGTCGCAAAGGTCAGAAGAGCCCAAACGGCAACCCAAGCCCAACAATGGCAAATGCAAAAATTCCATCCAACGACAAAAGGGCAATGTGACCGCTGATCCCAGCTGAGCTACTCGTGGCTGCAGGTGCTGCAGAAGTGGCCGACGATGGACTGGAGCTATCGTTGCAACCGCTCTGGCATTGCTTGGCCAGACTGCAGTGATCATCCGTGCTTCCACAGTATCTGTTGAACGTCAAAGTATCAGCGATGCCCTCGTCGCCTCAGACGGTGAAACGTACCCGGATGAACTGCAGCAGACACCATAGCCATACACGCCGTACATCCGAAAAGCATCGGCGCTGGCATTGGCGGCGCACTTCGCTCCATTGAAGCCGCTCCCACAGCGGCCGTCGCAGCGAGGGCTATCGCCGGCATCCAGCGACCAACTGCATTCTGGGTTCCCGAGCGTAGGACTGTTGGGGCTGCATTCGCCGTAGCCCTCTTGACAATTGTCGCCGCAGTAATCGTCGCCGTTGCCGCAGTGTCCGCTCGAGCTGCTTGGCATCAGATGGGGAACGGATAAGTGTCTTCGGGGTGAATACCTGCAACAGGGACTTGTCCCGTCCGTCATGCACATGAAGCCAGCTTGGCTTCCGCATGAACCGTCCTCGGTAAGTGGATAGCCCGGGCTACTTGGAGCGGGTGAGGATACGCCGGTACTGTTCAAGACTGGAGTTGACATTTGCGCTGCCACGTGAAACGCGAAAAAGGCTGCTTTGAGGAGGGGTTTGATAACCATCTTGAACGTTTTGCCTTCGAATAAAAGCAGGCTGTATTGCGCACAAAAGACGTTGCATTGGCGTTAGGGGTTAATTTATGTACCTTCAACTTCTCCAGCTCGTACGTTGCAGGGACATCATGTGCTTGGCGGCTAAAACATTTGTGCAGGCAACGACTCTAGCTCCTGGAAGCGCAGGCAGCAACATATCCTCACCAGATCCTGTGTCCATTGGGTGTACCAGGCAAGCGAGGTAGAAATCACACCATGTGGTTGTTCGCACGTTGATGCGAGAATCCAGGAATCGCAAGGCATCCCAACCCACATACATCCCCCGCACCTCTGCAGCCTACCCGCACATTCCAACCTTCCCGAAAAATGCACACATAGCTGCTGGACGTCATGTTGACTCGAAACCCTGGAGGGTGTACCGACCTTTGGCGCGGCCATCATGTACTGCAAAAGGGGGCGGCTTTCGCGTGCACAATTTGGCATGTCTTGCAACTGCGTCTGTGAGGAGATCTATTAGCACAGCTGAGCAACCGAGATAATCGCTGTATTTTCTAAGGGTGTGCAAGCGATGCGATAAGTGTGCGCTACGACTTCGTTAGGCATCCTATTGGAGAGGCAGACAAATAAGCCGAATACAGGCAAATGATGTAGAGTCTAGGAGCTATGTTTGTGACCAAGCGCTTACCTTTTTTTCCTTTTTAGCTCACCCCTTGCCCGAGACATGCCAATAAAGACTGTAAGACAAGAGCGAAGGTAGCCAAGCCAAAAGAGCTTGTGTACAAAACAAGCAAGGATAAGACCAAGCCATAACGGCCTTGACTTCAAGACACTGTAAGCTTTATCATGCGTGTAACTTGACCCGAACTGGGAAAGAAAGGTAAGATATAGGGTATTGGATTGAATCAAAGCGCAACTCTGTTCGATTTGGATGTGGTCTTCCAAGTCAGCCAAACAAATAGCCCTGCTCACCAAAAGAAAAAGAAGAAGAAGAAAAAGAATAAAAAGACCTGAAATGGATGCCACGGGAAGACCTATCGTGCGTGACTATGTCACAAGGATTACTGATAAGCAAGTTTGAGCAACAAAACAAGCAAGGGGCCAGACCAGCAACGAAATCCATCCCTCCCAACGTCTTGCCCTACACCACACCCACCTTCCTTCCTTTCTTCTTTTTCTCACCGCCACCCTTCGACCGCTCAAACTCCACCACCACCGTCACCCTCTCCAACTCCCCCCGCCCCCTACCGCCCCTCTCCACCACCCACACCCCCTCCTCCCACCTCCTCTCCCCAACCACCCTCCTCTCGACTGGGAGGAGGAGGCCGCGGATGGGGGAGGCAGGCGTGTGTGGTGCGGAGGGGGGTTTTGCGGAGGCGGCGGCCGTTTTTGACGGCGGTGGTGGAGGGTGGTGGGCGAGGCGTGTGCGGCTGGAGGCGGTGGTGGGGGTTGGTGAGGTGGCGTTAGCGTAGGGGCAGGGAAGGGGTTTGCGTCTGATAGTGGTGGGAGTGAGATCCGAGGGACCTTGTGGGTCAGTGGCGTGGTGGGAGAAGGTGGATTTTGTTGGTGAGGGGGATTTGTTAGAGAAGGTGGACCTTGCTGGTGAGAGTTCCCGGGAAGGTTAATGGGTTAATGGAGTGTGCGAGCCGCCCGCTTGGGCATGGCTGGTGGTGAGGGTGGCTTGGCCTTTGCGATATTCTTGATAGCGGTCAATCAGGATCCCTGTAGTGGCTCTGGTGACGTCTGATATGGTACCTATGTAGGCAGATGTGGCGCCTATTACGGGATCTCAGCGATGGTTCTCTATAATAATTCTCTTTGTCTCGTCACTTCGAAACTATAAGTTGGGTGGCGTTACTGCGCATTAAATGCTGCACTTACTACTTCATACGGTTTCTGTTAATGCGGAGTTTGGAGACGGTGCATTGGGCATCCAGGTTCGAAAGCTTGATCCGCTGTTTTCCTTTGGAGTATTTCCATACCGCGGGCTGATCGGGAAAAAGATGGCAGGATATCTTTTCCAGAGGGAGGCTTTTGTGAAAGGACGCCACAGCGGCCTCTATGTCTGACTCTATCCTCATTCTCTCTGATATCTCGTTCGCAGCCCTTGATGCTTGTGGTGATTGGCAGTATCTAATGGCTTCGGCGAGGTTGTCGATTGTGAGCTTCTTCTGCGAAATGGGGACATGGCCCGCCCCCGTTGCTGCAACCATGTTTCCCCAAAAGGGTTGGCTGTGACTTTTGGTTAGTTACTCTGCCAGCTATGCAGCAGAACAGGAACACTGACTCTCCAAAACAAAAAGGGTACGGTTGCGGTTGCCTTGCCATAGTGCAATCCTCAGGCGGTAGTTCCAGCTCAGAGGAGGGCACAGTTTCTAGATCCAGCTGCTTCGCCAGTCGTTGGTGACATCTCTCAACCTAGGTCAAATGTCAGCTCAGTGAGCAAGCCGCAAACGGACTCTCTTAGACACGTACCCCTGTCAATTCAGCCATTCGACTGAATCTGCCACGCTCCTCTCGGTGCCTTTATACTTCAAGTTCGCCAATGGATGCGGAAACGCCCTTATAATACTCCAGGGCACGGTAAACATCAAATGCACCGGCACCCCCAGCGCCTGGGCGCAATGCACATGAGGAAAAATCAGCAGATTAGCAACAATGACATCAGCCACGAAGGTGTGACCGGTCAGCTCGTCGGGATCCACGCACGAGCGCCAGCAGCCGTCCAGCATCTCGCGCACCATGTCGCTCTTGCGCTAGATGTCGCCGGCACGGAGACTGCGCGCATATTAAGAACCAAAGCAGGGTTTCTTGACCATGTAGGCCATCGGCTCGGCGGGGCCGCCGCCGATGGGGTGGAACGAACTCGAGGGTGGAGTCGCGGACGGAGTGTGCGAAGACGTCGTGTGTGATGGCAAGGCGCGCGCGGTGGCCGTGGCGCTGCTCGCGCTCGGTGTAGATGGGAAGCGGTTCTGCGAGGGAGGCCGGTGGGGCGTGGAGGATGCGCGAGAAGGTGCGGCCGAGTTTGGAGTCGAGGTCGACGTCAACGCGGCCGTCGTGTGGGCGCGAGTCGGCAGTTTTCCATGAGCAGGGAAGCTCATCGCGGACCTCGCATGTTGGCGTTGGTTTCGAACAGTGAATACGCCGGGAGAGCCGGGAGCATCTCTCGAAATATCCTCAGCGGGCATTTCGAAAGAACCAGAGTTGCCGTTGCCATCGGCCATGGTGTTCAAGACATGTAGAATAGGGAAAGAGAACAAATTGTAGAAATATGGTGTCGATAGAGCAACAAATAAGGCTGCGTGATCTGGCGAGGCGGCGTACCGTGTAGGGCTGAGAACGAATACGACAGGGATCAACACGGATACGCTGCGGGCGAAGTATGTATGTGAGTGGGCTGGCTAGGCTCAATGGGGAAGCGTAGCCTATACGCATACGACGTCACGTGAGTGAGTATCGATACGGTCTGCACGACCCGCTTGGCGCCGCAGTATGCAGCCATCAACGCTGATGCTTCATCTCTTTGACGGGTTTGCTATGTATTGTTGGGGCTGCCAAGCACTGGTGCGAGTTGATAAAGATGGCCCATGCGTTCGACAGGCAACGACGCCAACTCAGGTTCGGCACAGCCTTCAACACCACAACCTCCATCCGACTTTCATCTCAGCACACCAGCCGGGACGCAGCCCGCGCGGCGATGCAAAGCCTTTACCGATGTTGCGCCCGCGGCGATCCGGTGGGCGCAGGGTCGACCTCTCCCGGCGGCGATGCCCAGGCGGTGCGGCCACCACTTCTCGGCACCACTGCCCCGCTAACCACAGCATAGCCCGCCCACCAGTTGCAGTCGCCGCTGTTCAGACTGCCCGCCGAAATCAGACTGATGGTTTGGGAATACGCCCTTGGCGACGAGCTCATCCACATGGAGCATTGTTCCGCTAGGAAATGCTACGAGCCCGGCCATCCTGCCGCCCCCGTGTCCTGGGCAATCCTGTACAAGGAAGAACGCCTGGCCTGCGGCAAGACCTGGGCCCAGAAAGACTGGCTGAAAAACATGAACTGGCACTTCGCCTCGACCGTCTGCACAAAGAATGCCGATCTTCCAGACGGACAGACCGTCAGAAAAGGCGCCATCCTGGGCCTGCCTCTGAGCTGCAAAAGATGGTGAGTATCGCACTCCTGCCCCGCCCTCCGGAAGCTCACCCTGGTTTTGACAGCTACCGGGAGTCCTTGGCCTTTCTGTACATGAACAACCTCTTCGACTTCAAGACGCCGCAGGATTTCTTGTGTTTCTCCAAGACCATACCTCGACCTCTCACCACTCCCGTCACACGCATCCGCATCCGCCTGGTTCTCAACTGGTCTCTGAACTACGCCCACAACTACCAGACCTACCGCACTCTGACCAAACCCCCCGTCTGGAATCTGTTCTGCGCCGCCGTCTGGGCAATGAAGCTGCAAGAGGTCCACGTCAACTTGCGACAAGCCATCCCCTTGGGCCACATCGCCGACGTCCTTTTGTTGCTGGACAGGCTGAGAGTCGATCGAGTCGTGATAGAGACTTACCAAAGCGTCGACGAGATCAGGAGCTATATCGAGCAGACGGGGAGGAAATACCACGTGAGAGAACGGGTACCTTGGGAAGAGTGTTTCGTCACCTTTGCATCGTAATTGCATTCTGGAGAGCTACAGCACTCATCCACACCGTTAGAAGACAAAGCGATCCTTGTAAGCGGAAAGGCACCCACGCGCATTGAAAAACGGCAGGGCTACCTTGCCAAGACATCGACCAAAGGGGGGTGGCAAAGCCGCAAGGTTGTCGTCCGTTGCTCTAGCCCTTGGGCTTAGCCATGTTGGCTTCAAGGTGGATGGCCAAGGCGATTCAGAACTCCTCGACCATGATGTCAGAACCTTCCTTGGCGTGTCGGCGTGAGCTCCAGTCAACCAACAACGCCATCCACCAGTTCACCTTCCTCGGATGCAACGACAACAACAACAGGGGCGATGGGGCATTGCGTGGTTGTCGACGACGGGTCCGGTTGCGACAATGGTGGCGGCGAACCGTTGGATAGGGACGACGCGGACGCGGACGGGCAGGCCGCGCCGCACAGCAGGACGGGGACGGGGACGGGGACGGGGACGGCAGCGGCAACGGCAACGGCAACGGCAACGGCAACGGCACCGACAGCATCCAGACTATCGTGGCGTCGGTTCGCGGCCAACAGGTTCGAGAACGCGGACGGATTGCGAGCCTACATCCTCTGAGGGGGATGCAATGGTCCAACTGGCCTGCGACGCGAAGAAGAATTCCAGGATGATGAGAGTTGTCTGTGAGACCGCATCAGAACGTGCCCGAGTTATTTGTGATGATTAGGAATATTCTTCCATTTGCCAGACCCCCACCGGCTACCCACAAGACTGAGTTGCTCGAGTGATTCGCCCCGACACTCTCTGCATCGCTTGGCCAGAAGAGGATACAAGTCGCATCCTCTGTTCGTGTAAAAGGATTCGTGGAAATCCGTGACGGGGTTGAAATGGCCATCACTGTTATTCCCCTTTAGCTTGTCAAACTGCTTGTAAATTTCCGTAACAGCGACTGAAGTTCGAGCAGTACGTATTCACACGGCTCCTTCATTCTTGTTTAGCAGGACATTTCGTGGGGAAAAAAAAAAAAAAAACGGCCGGTCTACTATAGGACTAAGTGCAGCCGGTGCGGGTTAAGTAAGCATTGATAAACGACAGCAACCATCCAAGTCAGCCGCACTGAACACGATTCACTTGACAATAGGGTCGTAAAAGGCGAGCGGAAAAGAGGGGCAAGACCAATGGGAGCAGAGAATGGGATGCCGAAATTGTTGATCGGCAACGTGGTGAATCACACCTTCTCTCATAATCTCTTACACCACTGTATAGCCCGGCAAACTATCTCATCCACGTGTATCTACATATGGGGGGATTGTTCGTTCACAGCAGCAAACCCATCGTGCGGTTCTTCAGAAGAAAGCATAATCATCTATGAATATTTCCTGTTTCCATGAACACCTCCCTCCCCCCAACGGGTCAGAACCTAGGTCAACCAAGCCACGCCTCGCATGCAGGCCCAAAGACATGTATCTACACTCAACTCTCCTCCTGAACATCATGCCTCCCGACAATACTCAAGAAAACCTGATCCAACGTCGTCCTCCCGACCGAATAATACGCGATCCCCAACTCCGCCTTGCTCCTCTCCAACAAACCAAAAAGCGCCGCAATCCCCCCGCTCTTCTGCACGCTAGTGCTAGTAGCAAGGCCGTCGTCATCATCTCCCCCCTTCCCCTCACCCTTCCCCCACGGCGCCACGAACCTCAACTGCCCATGCGTGCCGACCCTCTCATCCAACACCGCCCCCGCCACATTCTCCCGCACCCACGCCTTCACCCTCTCCATCTCCCCCTCCCCCTTCAGCCCCTCCCCCAAAACAAGCTGCACAACCCACCCGTCCGCAAACCTCTCCCGCAACTCCTCCGCCGTCCCCACCGCCAACAACCTGCCCGCCATTATGCCCGCACGGGTCGCCAACGCATCCGCCTCCTCCATGCTGTGCGTCGTGACGAGCAATGCGCGGCCGGGAGCGGCGACGGCGCCGCCGGGGCGCAGCGTGCGCCACATGACGCGCTTGGCGGCGGCGTCCATGCCGGACGAGGGCTCGTCGAGGACGAGGGCGGCGGGGTTGCCGGTGAGGGCGATGGCGAGCGAGAGCTTGCGGCGGTTGCCGCCGGAGAGGGTCGACGCCATGCGGGTTGCGGAGTGGCGGTCGGAGGGCAGGCCGACGGCGCGGAGGGCGGCGGTGACGTTGGCGGCGAGGGCGCCGCCCGCGGCGGGGACGCCGCGGATGCGGGCGTAGAGGCGGAGGTGCTCGGAGACGCTGAGGCCGGCGTCGGTGGCGTCGAATTGCGGGCAGACGCCGAGGAAGGCGCGGGCGGCGGAGCGGTGCTGGGTGATGCTGACGTTTTCGATGAGGACGTCGCCGCCGGTGGTGTTGTCGGGGGACGAGGAGGGGCGTTCGTCGCCGCGGATGAGGGAGATGGTGGTGGATTTGCCGGCGCCGTTGGGGCCGAGGAGGGCGAAGGTCTCGCCGGCGCGGATGCCGAAGGTGAGGTCGGAGACGGCCGTGTTCTTGCCGAAGTGCTTGGAGAGGTGGAGGACGCGCAGGCGGTCGGTCGACTGCTCGGTGCGGTGGGTTTCGGCGATGACGTCGGCGCCGCGGGGTTCGCCGGTTTCTTCGACGTGCGGGTGTTTGTGGGTTGAGCGGAGGAGGAAGGCGGGCTTGTAGCCGCTGTCCCACCAGACGAGGATGGTGAAGAGGACGATGGCTTGGCCGATGAGGTAGAGGATCGGGCCGCCGTAGACGGTGATTGCGCCAGGATACGAGGCTACCGAATCCCCGCGGCAGAGGAGTGAGAACGAGTTGAGAGACAGCAGGAGAGAGCGGAGGAGGTTGCCCGAAGGGGTAATCAGGCCAAGGGTGAAATGCGCCGTCTTGATGTCGCGGTCGATGTACGCCGCTTGACTGTACGTGAGGATGCTCATGTATGCGATGAAGTAAAGGAGGAAGAATACAGCCTGCCCACCGGCCATGAAAGCAAAAGCCGCCAGCTGCGAGGTGACGAAGAGGGACACGACGTAGCTTAGCAGGATCGAAGTGAAACCGTACAGAAAGAATACGATAAAAAGGTAGCCCGGCGCATACCAAACGTCGGATGCACGGACGAAGATGATCGTCACGAGCGCCGAGACGAGGAGAACGAAGATAAAGTCGAACAGCGTGTACGCTATCCACAAAGGAGCAGCCCGAACACCGTTGCTGTAGTGCAAGGCTCGCACTTTGCGTATCCGCTCCATGGTCGGATACAGAGCAAAGAAACCGGTGAAGGCACACATGGCCAGACCGAAATAGAGGATAAGCTGCAGCGTGTCTCCGGCACCGGGCGAATACGGAACCGCAAACGACTGGTAAGTTGTGGCGATGGTGGTGTTTGCGAGAACGGCATCCAAGACGCTCTGGGTGAGCAGTGACCAGTAAATCTGATAGTTATCGGCGACGTATGCAAACGTCGGTGCGGCATTAGGCTCGAGGAAGAATCCGCCCGGCGTGACATTCGCGTAGTTATCCGTGACGTACGAGTTGAACTCGGATAGACTGTTCACCAAGTGGAAACTGCTTTCGTCGATCCCAGCCGCGAGTGCCAGAGCCCTGGGCGTCACAGCGCTCAAAGGACCCACGGGAATGAGAAGTCCATCTTTAAGAATGCTGGTCTGGGCGAAATTTACCGACTTCGGTGTGTTCGTCGATGAGCCAGGACTGCAGGACGCGCCACTGAATCCTTGGAGGAACAGAGTGACCAGTCCAGCAGCAGCGACTGGAATCAGAACTGCCACAGCATAGGGCAGCCAGTTGCGGCGGACAATGGCGAGACGCTTGAGGAAGAGCACCCACGTTTGCGTGACGAGGCCTGTCCCCCTGCCCGTCGTCATCTCCAGCTGGTCTTTCTCCGTCTTCACCTCCAAGCCGGGATCTGAATCCGAAGCCTTGCTGGGGTCGGCATTATCGAGCGTCTTGGCGTTAGCCTCCTGCACAACTGTTTCCGGCTCAGAACTCTGCTCGTGAATCTCCTCTGCCAGCTTCAGGAACACGTCTTCAATGGTAGGCCCGTTGACCTGGTATTGCGTTATGCCCTCACGCTCCAGCGCGGCCGTCAGGACACTGGCCTGTGCCGAATCCGGGACCTCGTAAACCGTCTTATCGAAAAGAACCTTGCGTGGAGTATTCTCGAGCGCCTTCGGGGCATGCTGCACGAGCGCATTGTCGAACACGATGCGATATCCACCGCCCAGCTTGTGCTTGAGCTCGACCGCCGTGCCCTCGGCCTTGAGGTTGCCCCTCGACAGCACCACGATGAAGTCGGACAGGAAATCCGCTTCGTCCAAGAAATGCGTCGTGAGCAGCATGGTGCGGGCTCCGCGCTCAGCCAGCAGAATGTCCCAAATCTTCCTGCGCGACAGCGGATCGATGCCCGAACTGACCTCGTCGACGCAGCAGACACGGCTGCCGCCGGTGAACATCATGGCGAGCTGCAGCTTGCGCTTCTGGCCGCCCGAGAGCGTTCCCGCTTTGGCGTTCACCTTGTGGGCCAGGTCGCACGAGCGGATGAGCCCGGTGATCTGTTCCTTCGAGTCCCGCGTCGACGACGGGGCTTTGAGCCTGTTGAAAATCTTGACGTGCTCGAACACGGTCAGCTCATCCCACATGACGTTCTTCTGCGGGCACAGTCCCAAGCCGCCGTTGCCGTCCACTTCGATGGTTCCGCTCGAGATGGTGTTGAGGCCCGAGATGGCGTCCAAGGTCGTGCTCTTCCCGGAGCCGTTGGCGCCGAGGAGGACCATGATTTGGCCCCTCAGTGCAGAAAGGCTCAAGTCGTTGACGGCCAGAACTGTTTCCTTGGGCGCGGCACCGAGCCGGCGCATGACTTTGCGATGCCACCAGCTGGGCTGCCAACGCTTGGTGAAGTTGGTCAGCTTGATCGAGACTGGAGGCCCATCGGCAGAGTCAAGCGTCATCTTGCGCGTCTTCGAGGCCGTGCCATAGAGCGACCTCTCGACAAAGGCGCCAATGGCCGGGAAGACGAAGATTTGTATGATCAAAAACACCCAGAACGCTATGCCAGGCAGCTGCCACGGGCTCTTCGGTGCGCCCTCGACGAGGTTCGCGGCTCTGTCCTGCCGCTCGAAGCGGGCGAGCAGGATCATGAAGTAGGTGTAGTTCATCGGCGGGAACAGCAAACTCAAGATGGCGACGGCACCGGCCGACCGCGTCTTGGTGACCTGCGCAATGACGGCCAGGACGATTGACACAATCACGACGATGATGCCGGAGAGCTGCGCCTTGTGGAACAGACTGCCGCCCAGGATGGAGAAGCTGGAGAGCGCCAGGCCTGCCAGCAGGTGGTAGATGATAATGACGCCGTAGCTGCAGGATGGGAACACGAGCGCGCGCATGATGGCAGCCATGATGATCCAGCTCGGGAGATAGATTATGTCAAAGGCCAGATGATTGGCAAGCAGACGAGCCATCTGCGTGTGCCAGACGTGCTTGTTCGGGGTCATGGCCTCAATCAGCTGCGACATGCCGAGCTCCCGCTCCGAGGCCATGTGGCCGGTCAGCTGGTAGGTGATTCCGCAGATGCCAATGAAGAAGGCCACAGCCAGGATGTTGATGAGGGCTCCCATATACGAGTGCCGGATTTGGTCAGCGCGCTCCTCGGCGGTCCTAGGAGTGAAGGGATATTCGTTGACCGAACTGGGCAGCGAGGAGCCACTGATAGAGGCAATCTCGGAGTCAATGGCATGTTGGAAAGGAAGAATATACAGCTCGGCATCGTTGTCGTGGTTCTCGACGTAAATGCGCTCGCCCAAAGCACCGTCAGCCCTCAGCGTGTAGTTCCAGATGCCACCGGTGCCCTCGCTGGGGGAAGAATGGAAGTTGGCCGCGGCAAAGCACGTCGAAACGCCACGCAGGGAGCTTGGGCATTCGGTGAGCAGGTCGAGGTCGCTCTGCACCACCGCAACCTGCCTGCCGGCAGAACGCACCGTCTCCGACACGGAATTGATGACCGTCTCGACGTCCCCGCCAGTCAAGCCATTGTTCACGAACACGACCTTGTTGCGACCTCCTTGTGCGGCGTCCAGGGCATTCTCCAGCGAGCGGACGGGCGTGGCGGAGCCGATGCCGAAACTCGAGGGCGGGACGAAGAAGTTCTTAGCATAGGAAATAAAAAACATCTGCACCACTGTCAGCCTGGCTCCATTGTTCCCTGGCTGCAGCCATGCCCGGTGCAGGATGTCGGCGTACGTACAAACAAGATAGGCAAGAGGACGGCGCGCAGAACAGTCGAAAACGGGTGCCGGAGCGCGACAATGCGCAGGTTCTTCTTAGTTAGCGTCCATGTTTGGCTGAAGACTGCCATGGTGCCAGTGCGTCCGCCAGATGGGGAGCGCTGCTCGAGGAGGCGGGGCCGTATCAAGGTCGTCGGACGCTGCTGTAACACGGATGTCAGACACAGGCGACGCGGGCGGCATTTGGGGCGGTGCGCGCGCCCAAGGATGCGCCCAGCTTGTGGGCACGCAATCCCGGGGAGGAAGCTCCTACCTATGTACGGCGCATTCTCTCGTCCTGCCTCGCTCTCTCCTAAGTGGTTGCGGTGGGCCTCACGGGATCGTCGGCATGGTCTTGGCGGGGGTGGGAACGTGCCGTGAGAGCATGGGGCAGAGCCTCATATGATGAAGGCAGCGCCGGGCGAAGAGAACAATAACGGACGGGAAATGGCATTTCGGGGCGGGGATGGCGGCGAATGCGGCAGACGAAGTGCTTGACGCCGGCCCAAATACGCGAACTGGTGCAATCGTCAGCGTCATCATTCGCGGCTTTGGCCCGTCCCGCGCGCGGCGCCAAGACTGACTGATGCCGTGCCGCTGCCTGGTCCATCATGTAGGTACTGTTATATCCGGCACTGCCAAACTCTGGTTCACACATGGCAGCACCCGACGGGGCCCATCCGCAATTCCAGGCACCATGATGAACGAGAACGACTAGTGCGTCATGATAAGGTGCGGCGCCTCTGCCGGCCGAAACCTTCTTGCTAGCTACGTTGCAACGGCACGTGGCGCTGTGGCTGATCGCCGTCGACGCGCCGAGGTACATCGATCCACTTGACCTCAGCCTTTCTTCGGATTCGCTACCGTCATCTATCTAAGCCAATGTCCCAATGGGAGCTGCAAGATGCATGTATGTACAATCGGCCACGACAACCTCCGCGTCTAGTGCAGCAACTTTCTAGGTGTCTTCTTTCGGTCTGAGAAGTATACCTTACCCTTCATCTTTTCTCCACCCTTTTCATTATAAATGCCAATGAACTTCGGGGGCTCACATAGCTCTCGTCCGCACTTCCCATTTTTTTTCTCGTTCTCTCAAGCCTTCCCCCCCTCCAGCAACTTCCTCACCGCCCTCTTCTCCCTAACCACCTCCCACAGCCGTTCCGCCTCCGCCTCCACCTCCCCGGGGGCAACAGCCCCCTTCTTCCTCGCCAAAACGCGATACTTGCGCCTAACCTTCGACCTGAACCCCAACTCCACAACCCCGGTATGAGTGCGGTACTTGACCAACCGCGGGCAAAACTCGCCAAACTCGGCCAAAAACTCGGGCACGCGCCGCACCGCCCAATCGGGCTGAGCGTCATACATGACGGACCTGCACAGCACCGACGTCTGCTGCTCGCCGCCGCCCTCGCCCTCGCCCGCGACGCACTGCTGCTCCTCCTCCTCCGTCGTGACGACGGCGTGCCCGAAGCCGCGCTTGAGCCAGATTTCGCACCAGCGCCTCACGAGCGCGCGGTCGCGCTTGACGGCCGCGACCCAGACGTCGCGGTCCAGCGCGGCGCCGGAGCGGGACCGGCGCGGGGGGAGGAGGCGGCGGCGGTCGCGGGCGTCCGTCTCAGCGGCGCGCGCCCGCCGCACCGCCGCGCGCGCGCTGGGGACGACGAGGCTGCGGTGCAGGGCGACGCCGGCGCGGATGCGGGAAAGGGCCAGGTCGTGGCGCTGGCGGGTGGTGAGGCTCTGGATGCTGAGGTGGAACATCTTCATGGATGGGCGCACGTTGTAGGGCGCGTTGGTCAGCGTTTGCCAGAGGCGTTCGGGGGCGCTGGGGGAGAGCGGGTCCGGGGCGCGGTGGCTGGGTTTGTTGCGGCCGGTGCGGGCGGCGGCTTGTACGTAGGTCCAGGTTAGGAGCTCGGACCAGACTGGGGTTGGGATGGGGAGGTTGTAGGAGAGGCTGATGAAGTCGGTGAGGCGCAGGGCGACGGGGACTTCGGAGTTGGTGCCGAATGCGTGGGCGACGGTGTAGAGGAGACGGGGGGTCGGGTGGAGGGGGGATGAGGCGGGGAAGGCCTTGGGCGGGGAGCGTTGCTGGCCGGTGGTGACGAGCTCGTCGGCGTGGATGTTCCACACGCGCCTGAGTATGTCTTTTACGCCCGTGGTGTTTCCCTCGCGGGCGTAGGCGGTGATGAGATTGAGCACTGTGGTCTCGTTGCCGACGCTGTCCAGGGAGAGGAGCTCGTCGAATAGGCCCTTGATCTGCGCTTCGTAACCACCCAGGGGAGGGCCGTAGGGCAGGATGCCCGTCTCTCTGGCGCTCAGGTAGTACTTGTCTACCTTCCAGCTGAGGGGGTTCTGCCAGCTGCCGTCTCCCATGCGCCTGTCCCAGAGAATCGCATGCATGAGAGCATTGTAGCAGTCCACGTCCGGCACCAGTTTGTCCTGCTGGAGGTCATGCCACAGATCGAGCGCGGCAGACCTGCACGAGGCATTTGCAGCATAGTCCAGGAGCAGCTTGTAGTCTGTCAGGCTCAGCGGGACGCTGGCTTGTCTCCGAATGGAGATTATGACGCGTGCAGCTTTCAGAAAGTTGTCCATGGAGGCATTGACAGAGGGCAACCCGACGCCGCGCATCCACCACGAGTGTTCCAAAGCATTCTTGACCTGCTTCAGCTGGTTGCTGGTGCCGATGAGGCGGAGAATCTCGGTGAAAGTGACCGGAGGCACCGAGGAAACGAAGGCGGCATCGTGGGCGCCAGCGACCATGCACTGGAATATTGTGTCGGCTTCGCGGGCGCGTAGGGCGTGTCGCAGGTGCTTCTTGTAGTCGATGGTCTTGTTGGGGCGGGCGGTGCGGGGAAGGTCGAATGGCGAGTAATCCCGACGTCTGCTAACACGCGGCGGAGCTTCTGCTATCTCGGACACGGCCTCAGGTGCTACTTCAGCCTCGGGGGCTGATTCGGGGGTGGATTCGGGGCCGAAGATGCCCGGGAGCGGCAAGTCAGCGGAGATGGCGTAGGCATTGCGGCGCTGGTGTTGTTGAGCTCCCGAGGGACAGGTCGCCCGGAGACCGGAGGGGTGCAGGCGCCATCGCAAGCGGCGGGCAGCGGCAGCAGCTGGAGGTGAGGCATTGACGAGGAAGCGCGAGGGCTCAAGGCGTCGGGCGAAGCCGTTAGCGGCGGTGGCAGCGGGCGTCATTTGCTGATTACTCGACGGCGGGTTATCGTGAGGTCCACAATTGCACCGCGCGCGACCGAAGTACCTCACGGGCCACCCCTGCCCGCCGCCGCTTGGCGAGTTTGCTGCCTTTGCCGAGTCTTGCCCATGCCAGAAGGCATCATCCCTTCGGTCGCTGCCTGATCTTCTGCACAAATCTCACCCGCTCGTCTAGCAACCGAAGATAAAGACAGACTGGCTTGGTGGGAAAAAGAGTTCGCGGCCGCCTAGTTCTTTAGGATTCAAACGGTCTTGGCTACCATGGTTGGAAGCTGTAGACCATTGTCCACTAAGTAAAGATCGTCAACTACGAGTCGTCCTTTCTGCTGTTTTTGCAATCGCTCTTCTCGCCAATGACGTTCAGTCTAAGCCCATCCATCTCATGCACTCGCACAGCTCGTTCTACTTCGGCCTCTCTTTTTTTTTCTTGCCTCGAAATCCTTCCTGCAACAGTGTTCACGAGCAAGCATGCTTACGAACTCGAGTGCACTCTTGAACCCCAGTATGCGAAGTAACAAAAAGTAAAAGACGCGTTCTCCATGAAATAGTCCTAAAGAAGCGCTCCAACCACCATCCGCTTCAGAACTATGCATCTCCAAGAACCGAGAAGTGACCGCAAACGGGAAAACGCGGCACTGAGACCACGGCCGAAGCGTCGTAACGGCATCGCCGGGAGAAACCCACACTGGCAACAGTTCGATCCAAGTTTTTCTCCCCACCTAGGACATGATGTTCCTGGGAGCTGGAGAACACGCCACTTCAAGCAAGCCTATCCAACACCGATGCCCATGCCCCAAAGGGAGAAAAGACTGCACCAGCATCTTCCCCCAGCTCTTCAGCTTCTTCCCTCGTGTTGTTATTGTCACATCCTCGCTCAACCCATCTCGTTCGAATCGAACAAAGCCACACCCGCAGACCCATCCTCCATAATATCAACGTATCAGTTAACACGCGAGTGTACGACAAACAGTCATACAGCCAGCGCTTAGGCACGCATACGAAGAGCAATGGGGCCGGGCCGGGCCGGGCCAGGCCGTCGATTTCGATCGTCGCGTAGCCAGGCGGCGCATGAGTATATATTGGCGACAGAAAGGCTCCACCGCAACAGCTGTCAGAGGCGTATGGTTGCAGTAAGAGGACGGCACTGGGTAGTCAGCATCAGCAGCAGCGGGAGAGAGCTAGCGAGAGAGAAGAAGAAGAAGGTGCAGCGGGATATTGCAGTCCTTCGCGGCGGCGCCCCGGCTGCGGCGACTGAGCAGAGCGCTTGGGCTGGGGGATGCGCGTGGGGTGTCGCGTCGGACGCATTGGCGGCTGCGGTGGCTGCGTTGGGAGGAGCCGTGTGGCCTTCGCGGCTCGGCTCCGTGTAAGGATGAGAGAGGGGAGGAGATGGAGCGAGAGAGTCTGGAAAGGATGAGGCGGCTGAGGACGGTGGTGTTGGCGAGTAGCGAGCAGGCTCTGGGGACGCGCAAAGGGAACGCATGACGAGCTCGAGAGTCACGATCGCGCTTGATCAGAATCACCGATACTGGTTCTGATACCTGTGTTGCAATGCGTCACACGTGTAGGCGTTCGCGTCCGCGGGCGTCCGTCAAGTCGTTGTCTGGGGTGGCGGTGGCGGCTTGCCCGCTGGTGGCCATCAACACCGTGGAGTTTTCCGCTCACCTGCAGCGAGAGGCTCGTTGCTCGAGGCTCTAGGTGTGTGGACGAGAACCTCACAACACTACGCGTGTGGCCTTCTCTCACGGCGCGAGGAAGAGCTCATGAGTGATACTACGGCAGGCCAGCCGCCGTGTGCTGCGCCCGATCACCCTCACGGCCTCGATCACCGAGCGCGGCTCGAGGCAGTCGATGGAGCAAGAGCCAGGGCCTCTCCTTCCTCAAAGAGGTCGTTTGTGAGGCAGCGTGATTGCCACAACCAGCGTTGCCTGGCCAGTGCCCGGGCAACCGATCACGCGGGCCGGATCAATCACTGGCGGCCCTCCGTCCCTTATAAACCCCTCCGCTCCTCGACCTCCGACTCTTCTTTTCTTCTTCTTCAGCTCTCTATTGCCTTTTGGCTTAGATCAAGTGAAGTGGCTGTTCTATTTAGTTTAATCTCTAAATCGCCCCCTACGGGAGGCAAGCTGATTAATCTTGTTTTTGGAAACCGCCTCGAGGGCTCTTGAGCTCCGCTTGTTCTCTCGAGGCACAGTGTCGCTCTTATTGCACTGTCTGGAGCTGATGCGACCCTTCATTCAATCCTTTTCGTTGAGACACTGGCTCCAATGCCGGTGCTTGAGGAAGAGGCGGCAGCTTAGCTTGAGCGGGAGGACTTGGACGCGACACGATGCGATTCTGCGCGCGGTGGACCGGGGAATTGTAGCCAGGCACTTTTCCCGTCATGTGTGTGCCCGTGTTGTTGCGGCGGCGGCGTGGCGCGATCGGATCGCGAAGTTTTTCTCGTGGTGTTGCGAGCGCGCGACGCAGAGAGAGACACAAACCGCCATGGACCCAGCCCTTCACTGGATATTCGCGGCAGGCAGCTCTGACGTTTGCATGTCGCAAGCTCGCCTCTGCGAAACGACGATCGTTACCGTCTCTTTAATGCTCTTTGCTGCCTCGCCGTCGCATGTCTGGTCCGACAACACCAGCCTCGACATGGGCTTACGCGCGCGCCCCACCACCCACACACGAAGATGCTTCGATCAGCGATCTCTCATCGCGCCGACCGCCTTCGGCACGTAGCGAGGCTCCTTCCTGGCCCGCATTCACACAGTGATGTGCTTTGCGGGCGCGCCCACTGCTAACGATCGGCCAGGACCTAGGAGGGCTTTTTCACTAGCCGAGGGGACAGCACGCACACACACCGACGGACGAAGGACCCTGCGAGACTCTCCACCAGCGCCGGGGTGCGGTGAAACTCTCGAGCGCAAGCATGTGTCTTTTCTCGGGCTGATCGGCCTCCTGTGCTTCGGCGTTCCTCAGACACTGGCGCGTCAGCAGAGGGTCAACGACGGACCGCGGGAGTGAGGGCCACAAGCGGCCGGCATGGCATTCAGCAGCCGGCGTAGAGAAATCGACGATCGCCGTCGCCTCCTCACGAGCAGCGAGACGGCGGCACCGGGGAGGTGAGGACCGCGCATGTGGCAAAAGACTGATCGATCCAGCCACGCGTGGAAGAGAGAGACGCGCCGGGCACTCCATCGCCACAGGAACCCCGCAGCTCAGCAGCTCCCGGCGTTCACGCAGCCCGGCCGCTCCAGCATCGACGAACGGCTGGGGACGAGGCTGTGGCGAGGCAAAAGGGAAGGCCAGTGGCGCTGCAGCGCTCGCTCGCAACCGCCGTTGCCCCCACACACAAAACACGCACACACCCCCCCGCCGGGGCGGAACTAATGAACAACCCCGTCGTGTGAGCCGCACACACACACGCGCAGACAAAACCATCGCATTGACCAGTCATAAGGGGAGGATCACCGAAGCGGACGTGGGAGGATGTGACACCAGCCAACCGGGACCCGCCCGCTCAGTACTCGACGACTCAGTCACCTCGTTCGAAGTTGCGGCGATGCTTCCTCAACGGGGGCCCGCTGCATCCGGTCCGGGAAGCGATGTGCGCGAGAGATCGATATCGAGATTTTGCCATCAGACAGACATGGGTATTGGGGATTGACTGTGACTTTAGCGCGAGTCGCGCTCGACGTCGGAAGTTGCGGCCGTGTTGCCCCTTCGAGGCCTTGCAGGGCGCAGGTTCGCACGGTTTCGGTAAGGGGCGAGGGCAGGCGGCGCGATAATATGCATGCGAGTGGATTTGCGGCGAGGGGGTGGGAAAAAAGCCATGGGCACCAGATCGATAAAGGGGGGGTGTGGGGTGTGGCGGCTGGCCAGACGGCGAGACGTCGATCAGCTATTCTTTTCCGCCCTAAGCCCTACAGCCCTACGGGATCGCTTGGTCGTGTGGCGAAGAGTGGCGATAGTTCTGGGGTTCGGGGCCTGGTCTGCGTCGCTTTGATGGAGTTGCTGGGAAGTCGGTGGCGTCGGCAGCGGACGCGAGAGATCAACAGCAGGCGGCTAGACGGTAAGCGTGCCTGTGGCCGGGCTGGAAATGCACGCTAATGATTTGCACATAGCACAGGCGGAACGGCTCCGATTGTGTGACGCCGCCGTCCTGGGCGAATCGAGATATCGCCACGATCTTGATCGATTCATTTGCGACGTCCGAAGTTGTCGACCAAGGGCGGGAACCGGCACAGCGCAGCAGGCAAACAGCTGCTGGGAAAGTGGGTAGGGCGCTATTCATGGTCCTGTCCAACGTAATGGACCCCTGCCTGCACCGTGTGATGGGGGGCCAGCGAACGCGTGAGTCTGAGGCCGCGACGTCATGGGCCGCCGGCGCGGCGACTCAGCGGCAGCCATGTTCCCCCCAGGACGACTCATGCGCGGCGTTCGACAGTGACTGGGCGGGGGCAGTGGGGCGGAAAGACGAAAGAACAGCCATAGGACCGCTGTGCCTGGATGGAGAGGCAGACAGAAGGGGCTGCGTGTCGACAGGAACAGTGGCTTCGAAGTGGCGGGATGACGTCAGTTCGGCGATGATCGTGGCGAAGGATTGACAGCATCCGGAGATCTGCTGCTCGCAATCCATGGGCAACCGGTTTGGTGAAGCCAGCCGGCGATGCTTGTGCGATCGGATAGATCTCCCGCATGTGGCAAACTGGCTGGCTGGCTGGAGTCGACGGCGACTGGCCCAGGGATGCGCCTGCTGCTCGCCCGCCTGTCTCACCGAAGTCGACGGTTCGAATCATGTCCCGACGTTCAACGACGAACGCCTGCTGGCATCGTTCGTGCTCCCCTGCATTCGGTCGGACAGCTGCTCAACTCATGGGCAAGTTGAGGTTCAGATTCCTGCGATAACATCGGATTGACTCAGCCATCCGGAGATGTTCATGGTTGCGATTTATGCAAACCCCGTCTTTCAGAGCCAGTTGTGCGAGGCCTGTCATCAGTCAGCAGTCTACCCCCCAGAAGGAGCAATCCAGGCTCGATGCGTATTTCACAGGACAGCTGTCGCTCACTTCGCCATCTCTCTTGGACATGAAAGCGAGCACTGACCAGCCAGCGGCGACGATAGGCCGGATGGCCCCGCATAAACGTCGGCTGAAGGGTTTCTTCACAATTTGCGAAGTTCGAAGTTGCAGGCCAAGTGGGCCCCCTGCAGCTCCTCCATATCTTCGAACGTCCGGCCCAGAGTGCAAACGAATTCTGCCTGTAACGACGCTGAGAAAGCACGACGCTCAACCGCCGCCGCCGCCAGCCTCCTGGTTCTCGAACGACTCCTGAGCGAGCAGCACCTTTTTTTTCTTCCGCGACGCTTCCCGGGGGGTGGCATTTGTGAAGCGTACAACTTGTGCTTGTGGCGATGCTGGGGGCGCGAGTGCCGCGCGACAGGGGGCGTGGGAGGCGCACGTGGGGTGGGGGGGCCGCAGACGATGCAAAAGTTGACGGGGCGGATGACTTGCGTTTCCGCTGGCCGCCCCGAGTTTCGGTTCTGCTGCCCCTTCCCCCCGGCCAGGAGAGGAGCCCGTTGCGATACTCGGGGGCGTATTATTATTACTGCGAGTGTCAACAATCACGATGGTTGCATATATTGGACATGGCACCAGCGAATCCGGGAAATTATTCAGCATGGCAGCACTCACACTTGGCTTGTCTCCAGGAAAGCAAACCGTTGCGCTGCTGACGAACCGCTACGTACGGTCACTCCGTCACTCGCGAACTTGCGACGTTCAAGGTTGGCGCAGCAAGCTATGCACGTGGGAAATTGGGCCGGAAATCCTACGGTTTATTTTGGTTCGAACATGGGTACATTTGGCCACGGACGACGTCGCAACTGAGTTTGTCCTATAAGCGGACCGTCACTTGCCATATCGGGGGCGATGGGTGCATGGCGAAGAGGAGGGTGGTGGGTGAATAGCACAAGAAGCTCCCCTGGTTTTGCTCCGTCTCACCCACGGCATGCAAAGCCGAACGCGTACCGCCCGCAAACAACAAAGTACACCATCTTCTTTCCTACCATCTCCCCTTCCTACCATTTCGCCAACCCGCCATCATTGCCTAAGCGTTGCCGGACGAGAAAGCACTCACTCCGATGCCCTTGATACGTGGCGCAAACCACGAGAGCAATAATGCAGCACCGCAGCTTATATCCCAAAAGTTCATGGCAGCGACGACACGAAGTCAGACACGTCTGTCTCTCGTCGCGTCCTCGAATCCCGCATGGCACGCGTGTCACCATTAACAGAGCAACACGTGTGACACTTTTCCCATCATCATCATCCCGCCCCCGGAAAATCACGTTTTTTAAGCGCAACTTCGAACGTCGCAACAGCTCGGGCGACCATCGCGCGACGCCTGGCTGTAGGTCGGCCGACCAACGGAGATTTCGGGTTTGCCTCGGTATGTATGTATGTTTGGGCATTTGGCGAAAGGACGTCGGCGCAACGGCAAAAAAAAATAAAAAATAAGGGCGATGCATAAAGGAGTAGGGAAAAGTCAAAGTCGCTAGTTGACGACGGAGCTGCCGGGGAGGGGGGAAATAAGTTCGAACGTAGCAAGTCTTTTGCCGGTGATAGACGGGCTGATCGCTGAGCTCGTTCGTCGGCAATTGGCGGGCAGCCTAGGAAAATGGAGGCGTAAGAGCGGCTGCCGGCGCATGTTTGACTCGGGCCTGTAAAAGAGTCGGCTAAATCCAGAGCATGACCGTGAGTGCATATCGTGTTAGTGGTTGGAGGCATCATGTTCTGGTTTGTTTCTTTTTTCTCCAAAAGGAGTCTGCACAGATCCTCGCTTGCGATGGAGTACCTAAAAAAAGGGAACAGCAGGCGGGGAACAGAAGACGTGTGGGGGCAGATCGAAGGAGCTGGATGTGGGGAAGGAGGATCGCGGGTCCAACCTCGAGCGTCGCATTCACGAGTATGTGATTCCGAGTCGTGAATTTCACGACTTGTCGAAAATCGTGAATTGACTCCGCGTCTTCTCCGAGCATGGACCGGTGGTGTTGAGATGAACTTGTCGAAACTTGTTTCATTTCACATGAACTAGGACTCGGATCATGTTTGGTTTGTTTTCAACTCCACAAAGGTGTCGATGAACTGACTCTGGCCGCCGTGAGTCGTTGGCTTCACCGTTTGTTTTCAGGCAGTGGTGCGTCTATCGCCGCCGCCGCTGCAACACTTGATCGATCATCCTTCGCACTCATCAGACTCGGTTCGTCTCAACGGATGGCTCAATACTTTGTCATTCGTGTAATTATCCTCCAACTTCTTCTTCCTCATTCAGTGTCCGCCTAATAATTATTACCAGTGGCGACACCCCAGAAATATGCCACCCAGGCCCCCACTATCAAGAACATCAAAAAGACGAAGAATCCCATACTGATCTTCCGATTCCTCGCGCCCTCGTCTCCGCTCTCAAACTGGTCGCGGCGCTCGTTGATGACATCGCCCTTGGCCAAGCGCTGCTTCTTGGTCCACTGCAACTTGGCGAGATCGACGTTGAAGAAGCTGTACGCGAACAGTGCGGCCGAGACGACGACGGAGCCGGCGGCCAAGACGACGTAGATGATGACGACGTTGTCGTAGCTGTCGTCGTCGCGGTCCTGGATGACGCCGGCGACGATGCGGACGATGATGTTCATGCTGTTGTTGACGGCGATCTTGACGGCGTAGCCGGCGCCAAACACCTCCTGGTACCACATGGACGTGCGGATGCCGTCGATGATGACGGTGGGGCCAAAGGTGAAGGCGACGGCGTAGATGCCGAACGAGGCGGCGGTGCCGGCGACGGACGGGCCCCACGCGGCCAGGCACATGGCCAGCAGCATGCCGAGGCCGCAGACGAGCATCAGCGACAGGCGGTGGCCGAGCAGGTCGACGAAGATGCCGATGAGCGGGACGAGGAAGAAGCCCAGGTACTGCGACATGGCGCTGTACCAGCCGGCGGTGACGGCGTCGATGTTGAAGCGCTGCTCGGCCAGCTCGGTGGCGTTGGAGCTGTAGACGACGGCGGTGCTGGTCTGGAACAGCGAGAAGAAGATGATGCCCCAGAACGGCCACGGCAGGCGCAGCATCTTGCCCACTTCGAACTTTTTGTTCTTCTCGGTGAGCGGCTCGCCCGTGGCCGGGTCGGCGGTGCCAGAGAAGCGCCGCTCGCACCAGCGCGTGAAGAACCAGAAGACGAGGGTTGCCACGTTGGTGAAGAGGTTCATGAAGACGGCCGTCCAGTACACCCAGCTGAAATCCCCCGTCTTCTTGGCGATGATGTTGGCCGTGGCCTTGCCGACGAAGGAGCCAATCTTGCCGATGCCCAGCTCGAAGCCCAGCGTCGAGGCGAAGCCGTTGGACGGCGCGAACCAGGAGCTGAAGACCTTGTACTGGGCGACCTGGGTGGCGATGTCGCCAAAGGACTGCACCACGACACCAAAAATCATGAACTTGTAGTTGCGGACCGTCGTGGCTGCGGCAATGAGGATGGCGCCGACGCTGAAAATGACATTGCCCCAGAGCATGGCGCCTGTTCCGGGTTAGTAAGTGAATGCGTAGGCTTGAACGGGGGACACTTACCAGCACCACCGATCCGATCCGTCACCAAACCGCTCACCAGAATCAGCGCAGTGACCATGAAGTCCTCGCTAGCCTCCAGCACCGCGTACTGCGCATTGTTGATTTCGAGTTTCTGCGCCCATCCGTCAGCCTGCAGTCCTCCGGCCTCTTTTCCTCCCGTGCCGGCCTGAAAACCAGACATACCTTCTTCAGCGTGCTCTTCATGGCGCCCGTCACGCCGCTGCTCCAATGCGAGCCGAAGCCAATCGCCGTGACCAGCAGGACCGAGATGATCTTCATGCGGAGCGGAACGTGCGTGCTTCGCCCGCCGGCGGTCCTCACAGAAGCCCCATCACCGCCGCTGCCGCCATCATTCAGCGCGGCCACGCCGACGACCCCGTCTCTCTTCTCCTCGACGGCGGCGTCGTGCTCCACCGAAGCCCTGCTGACGTTCATAGCTTCTTCAAATGCGACCGGAGGGTGCGCGACGAATGGGAGGAAGGACTGGGAAAGAAAGGGAAAATGCAATGATCAGATAAGATGGGCAGTGGGGGGGCGGGCTTAAAAAACAGTCAAAAAAGGCCCTACGGAGCAGTACCGGCGGCGGGATGTCCCATCAGCAGCCGCTCGCACCGCCGTCTACAGCGGGGCTGATGATCACCGATGCAGAAAGGCACGGCCGTAGCCGTCGTAGGCCAATTGGGGCGAAGGTGATTGCGACTCGGGACTTCGCATTGCTCTTCATGCACGGAATTTTCCCTCATCACATACATGGCCGTGAAGATCATGGGGTGGACGCAGAGAACTCAGCGCCTTGCGGACACACCCACGATCCCCCTCGTCTCTTTTTTTTCTGCATCTTTTTTCTCTCACCGTATACGCGAGTCAAAGCGCCCAGCGGCGGAGACGACCGTTTACAGCCTAAAGCGTCCGTTCAAGAGCAGCGGCATTCCCCATGGTTCGAGTGAAAATCTAATCAGATCCACTGTAAGCCCACGTATGCTCCGTCTATTGTTAAACACAGCTGGAAACGAAGGAAAAAAAAGCCACTTCTCCGTCCGGGAAATCGTGGCTTTTGGGTGATCGGCCCGAGCATTTCGGATTTGATCCAGGAGCTTGGCTCGGGCGATATCGGCTCGGCTATTGTCGAGTCTCCTCGGATGATATCTTGGCAATGGTGTTGCAGTCTGCAGACTAGACTGCAGATGCATCATGTTGTTTTGGAAGGTGGTTAGGAAGGGACGTCGTGGGAACCGGGGCGATTGAGCAAGGGTCAATGCTCAAGGTTACTCGCTGCACCACAGGGACAGTATGTGTGTATCTGTGTATCTCGCAGGGCTGATGCGGCTCTGGAGTTTGCACTTTAGCCGCTGGGTGATCAGCATCCCCAGTTCTACAAAGGGCTTGATGAGAACCAGGGCAACGGGTCGCGAGAGCCGTGGGATGGGTGCCCTGGCCGGCTAATGGAGAGCTAAGCAGTGCCTCAGACGTTTGAAGTTTGCCGGAGGCCGAGATGCGAAGGCCGAGCGCGCTGGTTTCAGCAGCGGTGCGGGCAAGATCCGTGGTTCAGCACGGGCAGACGCGTCGTGGCAGACGTCAAGGAGCTGAGCACCGTGCTTGGCCGCCCGCCCTCGTCGACAGCGCAGCCAACAAGTCGTCCATGGTGGTTGCAGCGAAGGTCGGCGGTCCCGAGCCAGTGCTCTAAACGCCGAGGAGACGCGCGGACGGGTTAGCCAACAGTTTCCAACAACGGAACTCCAAGAAACTCTAGACGCGGCACGCCGAGCAGCCAAGCAATGATCCAGACGTTCGAGGTTGAGAGAATATTCACTGGGCGCGCAGGCGCAAGGGTGCGAGGGAAAGCCAGGAGCGGAACGCGGCCACGCGTCGTGTCGTCCCTTGCGTTGCAGCCCGGCGATGCGGCCTACTTTTTGTGACGTTCTTTTGATTAGTTCCTAGTTCTTCGTTATGCCTTGCGTCAGGCATCTTTTCTGCTGTTCTCCTGCACGTCCAGCCAAGCAGAGCCCAGCGCGACGGACTCCTTATCAACTCCTTGGCCGTCGTGACTTGCCAGCTGAACCCGGCGGCCGCCCGGCCGGCGGAGGCGGATAACCGGGCGGGGCGGGCTTGCGAGAACACCAAAAGCCGCACAACTTCGAACGTCGTGCGGCATCCGCGGCTCGCGAGAGAAGTCCGGCGGCCGTCTCTCCGGCCGTATGTACCTAGGTAGTAGTCTCATCCAAGTAGTGACGAAGCGCCACACATCACGCCACGACGTCCGCTTCTGTTTGCTGCGGCGTACGGCGGGTGACGCGACGGCGACGACTCCGACGACGAGAGCGAGTGGCTTCGGTGGGGAGGCGAGGGCGCCGGGAAGCGTCCGTGATAGGGCGACTGTGGGGTGACGGCATGAAGCGGGGGCGTCGGGTTGCACTTTGCCATGTCCAGACGTTCGACGCCAGACTTCGCATTTGTGGGTCGGAGGTGGTGTTGCTGCTACACAGGAGTGACTGCTTTCTCCGCAGAACGAGCTAAGCTTGCTCGGCCATGGCTTGTTCCAATGTGGCTCAAAGGAGATCGAGAAGCCAAGTTGTTCGTCTGGTGCCGGTAGCATGCGGTGAGAGAGAGTATTTTCTCAAGACAGACAGCCAGGCTTAATTCGAGGCTTGAATCGATCAACGTAAGCAGCCAGGTCGTGTGCCACACATGCAGCCCCCAACTTCATACGCCGCAAAGAATCTTCTCCCGCGTCACCCGCCGTCTACCGCGTCACACCCTCCCATCCCGCCGGCTTGTCCACCCTCTTGCATTTCGCCTTTTCCGAAGCACGCAGCTGCACGCTCCCGCTTCCTTCCGTCGCCTTCTCGCCTTCCCGCCAGTCCCCGTGATCCACACTTTTGCCAGCCAGCCACACACCCGGAGACATGTACGTAAGCAAAGCCCCCAGCCTACCCAGCCCAGAGCTGCAAACAAGCCAGCTTCGCCGCACGGTGAATCATATCTATCCGCACCGACTCCTACAGGTTTGAATAAACAAGCCAGTCCGCCGCACGGTGAATCATGTCTATCCGCACCGATTTCCACATGTTCGAACCTGGCATGTCGGGCGCCGAATGTGGTTTAGAGTCGTTGTCTGGCTGTGTCTGGTAGGAGAGGTTTCAACTTGTCGGGTGGTCTTTCCTCGAATCGGCATGCGAGAGAGAGAGTGAGAGAGAGCAGACGAAGAGAGACATGAGTCTCATCGTATCGCATCGCATCGCATTGCACCACAGCGCAGCGTAGTTTAGCACAGTACAGCTCAGCTCTTCAGCCCGCACATATACGAACTCTGTCTCGTGCCGAGCGGCGGAAAGAGAACGCGCTCGCTCGGGGAGGGATTTTTTCCTTCTGCGCCTGCTTCAGCCAAAGATTGCCTGATGGGGTAAAGCGGGGTGCTGACTCTGCGCCGCAGCTGACGGAGCGGGCGCGCGTGTAGCCAAAATGCAGACTGAGCGCATACCTTTTGTTCAGACGTTCGACGGTGGTTTCGCTTCGGCAAGCGGTTGGTTGGTGGTCGGACGGCCGGCCGGTTGCGGGTGGCTGCACACACGCTCTGCGCCAACCTCTGGCTTTGTGCTTTCTCTCGTTGCACCTGGCTTCTGCTTGCGAAACGGAAGAACTGATCCGCTCCCGAGAACGTCAAGAGGGACGGATGGCTGCTGCTGCTGCGCATGAAGAAAATCGGCATGACCATCTCCGAGTGACAGCAGGCGCTGTTCGAGAGCGAAAACGGCATGCTGCAGCAAACGTCGAACGTCGCAAGCATCCGCGAGCTGTGGGTGCCCAAGTACCGAGGCTGTCAGGTCCGTTTGAGCCTGAGGCCCGCATCATCAGCCTCAGGCATGGCTACGACATCACCATTTCATCCGGTCGTTTGAATTCAGATAATAATCCACCACATTAAGTAACTGCTTCCGCGAAATCGAAGCCAGGAGATGCTACAACAGCAGCTAAGCAAACCCACGATGATGAAATGCAAGAAAACCCCGTCTAATCCCTACTCACCCTCCTGCTCCCGGAATCCGGCCTGAACGAACTAGTCGGACTCCCCACCACGAACCCGCTATTCTCACTTATCGGACTCAAATCACTAACCCTCCTCTCCGTGTCCGGCCGGTCCGAAGCCGCAGCCGCCGCAGCAGAATTAGCAGCAGCACTCGACAACGGCGGCGACACGCCCCCCAAGCTCTCAATCGCATCGACCCCGCCATCAACATCGACCCCGCCGCCCAGCTCCTCCCCCGGCCTACCAGTCGGCCTCCACCGCCGCATCGCCGCCTCCCTCCCCCTCCCCCTCTCCGCCTCCAGCCTCTCCCTCTCCTCCCCCTCCTTCCGCGCCACCGCCACCGCACGATCCACGAACTGCTGCCCCCCGAACCTCGGCAACGTGCGGGCCGTCGCCGTCGCCGCCGCCGCAGCATCCATCTCATACACGCCGCCCGCCCGCTCCCGCTCCCGCTCCGTCCTCTCCCTCTCCCTCTCCCGCCACTCCCTCTCCCCCTCCACCCCCTCCCTCAGCACGTTCCCCTCCATGGACGTCGTCATCGGCAGCGGCCCGACGTCGTCCCCCGCCATCTCCGCCGGCGCCGGCGCCTCCCCCTCCTTGTTGTTGTTGCTGCCGACGACGACGACCGGCTGCTGGTGCTGGCACATTTCGTGCACGGCGCTCAGCTCGGCGTCGAGCTCGCTGCTGCGCTGGCGCTTGTGCTCGCTGGCGGCGCGCTCGGCCGGGGTGGGCGCGTGCGGGTCGTGCGGGAGCTCGTAGCGGCCGGGGACGACTTGTTGGGTGGATGGATCTTCTTCGTTGTTGTCATCGTTGTTGGCGGCGTTTGCGTTGGCGCCGGCGGAAGTGGTGGCGTACGGGGACCACGGGGAGGAGGACGACGAGGGCGAGGAGAGGGATCCCCAGGGGTTGCGGAAGAAGGTGGCGAGGAGGCGGGAGTTGGTGGAGGTGGGGGATTTGGCGGTGGAGGAGGTGGTGGCGGTGGAGGAGTGGCGGCCGCGGCGGGAGGAAGATGCGCGGCGCCGGCGGCGTCGGCGGAGCCAGATGCAGGTGATGAGGCTGGCGAGGAGGAGGCCGGCGACGACGCCGGCGATGGCGACGCCGGCGATGGCGGCGGCGGAGAGGGTGGGGTTGGAAGGGTTGGGGTTGGGGTTGGCGGGGTCGTTGCTGCCGGTGTCGTTGATGGAGCGGATGATGGTGGGGGCGGAGGGGGGGGAGGCGGCGGTGTCGGTGGGCCAGACGCATTGGGCGATGGTGAAGGTGCTGCGCTCGTAGTCGTAGATGAGGTAGGCTTCTTGGAGGAAGGTTCGGCCGAGGGTGAGGGTCCTGGTGTCGTTGGCGCGTTTGATGGGGAAGTAGTGCGACGATTCTGGGCTGTCGGCGCCGAGCAGCGGAAAGGTTGCGGTCGGCAGAAAGGCTGCGATCGGGAACACGATGTCGGTGGTGTAGGTTGTCCCCACGTTGAACGTTATCTCGGACTCTTGTCGGATGAGATCATTGTATTGGGTCTTGTTGATCAAGTACAGTTCGGCCGTGTCGTTCCATTCTAGGCCGAATGTTTTCTCGAGTTGCATGTAGGAGGACTCTGGCAGATAAATATACGGGACCGTCGAGTCGATGACGAAAGTCATCGCTCCAGCTGTTAGGGAGCCCAAGGTATAACTTGTTTTGATGCTGTTTACCTGAATGCTCAGGTCTCTCTCAGTATCGGCACTGAAAGGCACCGTAATCTGTGTATAGTTGTCGAAGCGCGCCGCATCGTAACCACCAAGGACCAAACTACCGAAGAAATTCTCAGAACCTGCAAGCGTAAGTACACGACATGTACAACTAGAAAAGAGACCCAAACCACCCCTGGCACGAGTAAGGTGCTAGACATCCTCAAGTGTCAAATGCAACCTCGAATGTAATGTGAATTGCTGTGACAGTATATGATTTAGGCAAGCCTTAAATAAGAAATGGACTCACGGTATTTTGCACCGGCAGTATAACCCCATGAGAGACTTGAAATGTTATTGGCATCCTTCAGCGATTGAAGAAAGCTCTTTTGGGGACTGTTCATGTCTGAAGTGTTTACCGGCCGAGGGTTCAGTGGTAAGACACCGAACCAGAAGCCTGGATACGCAGTTGCCGCAATCAACTGGTGGTTCAGATTGCCGCCCGCTCCGAGGTAATCGAGTCCGACTTGATCAAAGCCGAAGACACCGTTCGCCCCTTCGTATCCGATGTCTTCGTCGACGTGGAGTTTGTACACTGACAGCTCTGTCCACCCCACAGAGTTGTTCCCATCAAAAAAGCCACCGCGGTTGTCTTCGCAATCTTTGACAGGATCTTGACCTGGATACCATTGATCAGGGCAGCCTCGTGGATCTATAGCCCATATATAATTAGATTTGGTCGACGGAAAGACGCGTACGTTCTGGGGCTGAGGTGCTCCCAGCCGAAGATTGTAAGATGTCCTGCCACACACCAGTAAGTCTGTTGAGCTCTCTCAAGGGGATCCCGCGTACCATTCCCCATCATTCCCATCCCAGAACTGCGAAGGCCTTTACTCGATGTCAGTGTTGGAAGCTTCAGGGGATCTGTTACTCACGAAAGACTCAGAGGCGCAGCCAAAGTGGTCACTGTATCGCGAGGTTGCAAAGCCCCAGAGGGCTCGAGGGCCTGGCCACCCGCAGAAGCAGCCAGGCCAAGCAAGCGAAATATTGATTTCTTCATAGCGAGTGGTATAAGCGAGAGCAGGACGGCTTCATCTGATGATGCGCAGGATTAAGAAGCTGCCAGAGCGGGAGAGCGCATAAGAAGACAAGCGTAAACGGCCAGTTGCATTGGACTCAAGCCACGCAGCTTTCAAAGCAAGGCTGAAGACTCTTCAAACAGTGAAGGCAGACGCGGTAAGGCAACAAAGCGGGGTGGAAGGTAAAGAACGGTCAAGAAAGGGCAAAGACTGGCGTGGCGTGCTGCGGCGGGCCGAAGGCCAGCGATAAAGGGGAAGGAGATGTGCCATGGCAACTGCAGGCTTTCGATAGCCTACCCTGCAAGATGGTCCGAAGGGGACACAGGAGCCTCAGGTGGTGCAGGGGGTCGATGCTCACCGTTCGCCTATAGGTCGAGGGCATGCGGGCGTGCAGGGCGGGGTTGCCGGGGGCAAACTGCCAGCTGCACGCGCACAACACCATGCATCAGCGCCATGGCCGGTCGTATTTCTGCCGTTCTCTGCTCTTTTTATAGCCTTCGGCGGCCGGAGAGCCAAGCTCGGAACGGGACCGTGAAGAGAATGGCAGATCAATCGGGTCTTTGCTCAGACCCGGCACTGCTGCGTACGTGACGTCGCGCCTCCAGACGAGGCTGTCCAGACTGAGATGGGCGGCGCACAAAAAGCATTGGCGCGAAATCATGCGAGCGTTCCAGACAAGGCCGAGTCGCAGCGGAGTGGTTGGCCGAGGAGGGGGGGGCAGCCGTCTGCCTACTTCTTTGCTTCCAGCAGGCTCCCGTCTGGGCAAGTGGCCAGCGCCATCCATCCCCTCGTCCACCCGTCAGCCTCCCAGTTCGTCGAATTCGCGTCTCCTAGTCGTCGAGCGACTGCGCGTGGATGCAGTGACGAAGCAGCGGTTCCACAGCCGTGCGGTTTGCTGGCACTGTGCGGTGGCAGCAGGGCGCAGAGGGCAAGGAGCCCGGCTGGCGCTCAGAAGGAAGGCCGGCAAGGCTGATCGAAAATGGCGGAGAGTCAGTGCTGCACGGGCGGCCCGACGATGCAACCGTGTGGTGCCTCTGTGCAGCGTGCAGGATGGCACCCGAGGCGCTGCCTACATATTGCGGGATGCGGCCGGGGCTCATGGGCTTCTGGCGCCGATGCTGATCGTCGTCCTGCTGTCGCTCCCGCCCGTTGTCGTCGCTGCTGTGCCGCTCGCTGAAGAGGATTGAAGAGAAGCGGCGGCGATGAAGATGCGCGCGTTGCTTTTGCTCGTCACAGCCGCCGTTGCGCGGGCCCTTGACCGTGACCAATCGCCTGCAAGGGCCCCTGTTCCGCGAGGTGAGCTCCCCCACGTTGCAGCTATCCGCTCACTTCCATGTTTTCCTTCTGTTTGACAATTCCCTTCGACTGACCCGGTGAAGACGCCCTCAACGACGCTTGCGAGACCGTCTACGTCACCATCAATGCCTGTTACACCAGCACAACCACCACCGCCTTGTCCCCGAGCTACACCGAGCCCGTCCCGTGCACGACTCACTCGACCAACACCACGGACAGCCATGGAAGCACAACTGCCCCATCCACTGGAATCCCATCGTTCACCACAGCCTCGACTACAAAGACTTCGAAATCACGTCACACGAGCTCAGAGAGCTGCACTACCTCATCAGCACATCATAACTCCACCTATATCTCAGAATGGACCAGCACATACCCAAACGACAGCTCCTCCCACTCCCCGCGCCCTTCGACCGGCCGTCATTCCACCCAGTCGCCGTCTTCCAGGTAAGGGATATCCTGGCCTTATTAAATGCGGCCCGCTGAAACGCCGTGTTTTGCCAGACACGGAATCGAGACAACGAAGGAACACGGTTCCACCTCCACTATCAATACGTCTTACAGCCACAGCACTGTTTCAAACCCTAGCGAAGTGCCCTGCTGCGGTCCGGAAGGTGGTCACCGCCGATGTCCACAGGGAGAATGTTGTTCCAAGAGCGGATACTGGTAAGCCACTCTATCGCATGCAATAATGACAGAATACTGAAGATGCACCAGTGGCTCAGGTCCAGCTTTCTGCGGTGGTGGCTGTCAGTCTTCTTGGGGGAGGTGCGACATCGACTACGGCGATACGATGGACCCGCCAAGTGCTCTTTCCAATTCCACAGCGTCAGATGAAGGGAAGCGAGCGAAGAGAAACGAGTTGGGCTCCGATGCCTTCGACGTCTTCACAAGCCTGGAGTATATCACCGAAGGAAATAAGGTGAGAACAAGTACATGCACTCAGACTCACTGGCGTACCAGCAGAACTACTACGACAACCACTACCAAACACAGTCACACTTCGTCAACCACGAGAGTGAGCTCAAAGAGTACTACGACAGCCACAGTCTACATCTCGATGTGTTTCCCGTCCAGTACGCCGGTTAGCACCTCTAGTACGAAGCCAATTCCGCCTTCCATCTCTACTGCCTCCATCATTCCATCTTCTACGTCGGAACCAAATTCGAGCGTGAATACGAGTTCTACAGTAGTTCCTTCACACTCATACAGCACCCCATATACCCATACGACGCTCGCAAACGCTACAACCCCGTGCTCGGAGTCCACAGCCAAGCCTCCTACTTCTTCTTCAAGCAAGCCGACCCACCATCATTCGTCAAACCCGACGATCAGCACCTCTACATTGACATCGAATGCGACGACTTTGACGCCTTCAATCATAACTACGACAACCACTGTGACCCAGTCAGTCATCACAACAAGCATAACGACCTGGCCAATCACTCCGACAATCACTACGACTCAGCCAGTCACTACAACAACCACTGCGACTCAGCCAGTCACTACAACAACCACTACGACCCAGCCCTTCACCACAACAGCCACGACAACCGCAACAATCATATCTACTCCTCCAACGTCTTCAAAACCTACTACATCCTCGACAACATTTCTACTTCCTTCAACGCCCACTACAACTACAACCACGACCGAGAAGACGACTACTACCTTCATCCCAACTACATCCAGCGTAGTCACCATTCCGAGTTCCACGGTACCACCAGTTATTTCACCAACTTCCTTGAAGACGTCCACATCGAGCAATCCCGTTATCAGCATATCAACATCAAGCATATCCACTTCAAGCATATTCACGCCTACCACGTCCGTCTCAATCGAACCCTCGTCGAGCGAACCCACAACCACGTCAACAATTACCATATCGAGCCCATCGAGCACACCGAGCACAGTCAAATCAAGCACTACTACAGCGACATTGACTTCATCAAGTTTTATTCCATCATCATCTGTTCCATCCATATCCACTTCTGAAACGTTTCCATCAGGCTCTACTCCTATTTCAACTACCTCCTTTCCAGTTTCTACATCGTCAACTACAAACTCACCGTCATCTTCCCTAAATCCACCCTCATCTTCGACCGAAAATTCTCCAACCCCGTACATCCCGAGCATCTCCTCAACAAACACAATCTTCATAAGCCCGAAGCCTACCAATACTATCCCAACAGCCTCCATAAGTACTTCGATTCCGACAAGTACCGCCTCAACGACCTTGACCACCTCTTCTACCATCTGGCCCCCCACCACCCATACAATCCCCAAACCGCCGTCTTCGTCATCTACAACCTTTACGCCTGCCATGACACAAGCCACAACTAGTTCGACGGCCATACCTTCTAGCACGGGTCCAGCTACGATTTCGAACACATCGCCTGCTACAGTTTCTACCAGAACCCCTCCCACCATCCCTATCACAATCCCTACCACAGAGCCACCACCACCAACAACAATGCTCTCTACGAGCTTTTTTCCTCCAACAGAAGTTTCCACATCTCGCCCTTCAACAAGCGTACTATCAACAACGACCCGTCCAACAACAACACCTACGACATCGAGTCCGGCATCATCAACATTACCAACGATACCAACGATACCAACCTCACTTCTTCCTACACCGTCTCCAAGCAGCTCTTCTTTAAGAAACCCACCCACTTCGGTTGATACCTTCCACCCAACACCTCCGCTTTCAAGCACTCCAGTAGCACCTCCAACGGGGTTCACACCGCCCGTCCCCCCGTTTCCATCACATGGCTCCAGCAGCTACGTTTCTCCATCACAGATTCATCCAAGCACCCCCAAGGAGACTGTTTCAAGCGGAACTGTGCCACCGACCATTTCGAAGCCAGCCTCATCGCTCGATACCAGTACAGCTTCCAGCGGCCACTCTGTCCCATCTGTCACTGTAACATCATCCACGTGGATTACGTCTTTCACATCTGCCCTCCCATCATCGAGCACCTGCAACCCGGGGAGATGCAAACTGAAAGCAGCAACATTCGAATTCTCGCTATGGGAAGGGGAGTCCGACTGGACACTGCCACTCTCGACCGGCACCCCAGTAACCACAGTATCAGGCTTCGTAAAGTGAGTCCACATCGCCCTTCTAACGTCCAACACAGCGGCTAACACCAAAACCACAGCATATGGCCAAGCATCTACCTCGGCCTGAAAGGCCTCTCGCGCGAAATCCCCTGCGGCACCACCACCCGCACCATCAACGAAGCCGACACGCGCGTCGCCTTCGACCCCACCGAAATCAGCACCATCACCTGGACCAGCACCGTCATCAACGCCACCACCACCCTCGCCGACCGCACCCAGGGCGACTGGACCATCCTCTGGAACCACACCGCCGTCCCCATGACCTGGTCCGACCTGGCATCCTGCACGGGCGCCGCCGCCGCCGCCGCCGCCGCGTACTCTTTCCCCGCGGATCCGACGTCTTCGCTCGTCGTGCCGTCGTACCCGTCCGCCGCGCTGACGGCGACGCCGTACCCGCACGACCCGTGCCGGCCGCTGCTCGCGATGCCGACGCGCGTGAGCGCGCTGCGGCCGGAGTGGACGACGTGTTTTCCCGACGCGGAGGACGGCGCGTTCGACCCGCCGTGGACGCTGGAGCGGGATGGTGGGCTGAATGTCCCGACGGTGAAGGCGACCAAGACGAGCGTGGCGGTGCAGAGTGTCGTCGCGACGGGGCTGTCGTCGTCGTCGTCGCGGGAGGATGGAGCGACAACCGTCGTTGAGACGACTGAGGGGGGGAGTCGGACGGAGCGGGGTGGGACGAGTGGGGTGGCGAGGACGACGACGACGGCGGATACGGCGGCGGCGAGTGGGAAGGAGTCGACGCGTGGGGAGGGGTCGAGTGGGTCTGAGACGAGGTCGGCGAAGACTGGTAGTGCGGTGAAGACGTCGACGGTCAAGACGTCGACCAAGACGTCGACCAAGACGTCGACCAAGACGACGGGTAAGAGCAGCTCGCGCTCCGCGTCGAGGACTTTGAGTACCGCTGCGGCGACAACTGCTGCTGGGTCCGCTACACGACCGGAGGGGTGGAGGGCCGGTGCCATGTTGGGGGGTGTGGGAATGGCGGCGGTGCTGCTGCTGTGAGCGGCACATGGGCATGGAAACAATAGGGATAGCGTACACCGCGGTTTTTCCTTTGCAGAGCTTATGCCTTTATGTTAATCACTAATGACGCGTGTGAGAGGTAATGAAAAACATGTGGATTGGAGAGGTGAAGTGCGTGTCCAGGCGCATGCTCCCGTGCACCGAGACAAGAATCTACCGGCCAGACAATTCGATCCTACACGGGTTCTTGTAAAGTCTGGATCCTGACCGTGCAAGATTAAATCCCAATACGTAGAAACAATCTTTTAGTTTATAATCTTATTCCGCACATCGATGCACACAGCAGGCTGAGGTTTGTCCAGTGTCCATGCCCCAGCACCAGTGCGCTCGTAGGCCATCTCACATAAACACCGCGGCCCACGGGGATCATTTGGAAAATAATCATTCCTCACAGTAACAGCGTGTGGTACGCAGCTGTATTCGCTAGCTGTAGCTTCTCTATCAGTGTTTTTCTCGCCAGTGAAGCGCGCGCGCGGGCAGCCATAGCAACCAACCCCATAGCAACCAAACCCACAAAACCATCACCACCAACCACCCCCGTGCGCCCTCTCTCCCTCCCTCGCAGATTCCCGAACCTTCTCTTCCTCCCCAATCCAGCCTAGCGCCCCAACCCGGTCAGCTGCCGCCCTCCGGCCCTCCGGCCCTCCGGCGCCTCTTATAAACCCCCCCGGCCCGCCTCCTCTCCTCTTCTTCTTTTCTTCTTCATACTTACCTACTCGGGGCATTTTCTTGATCACGAAGAAGAAGAGCCTGCCGGCCCTCTCCGCATTGCACCGCGCCGAGAGTGCGCTGGCATGCAGTGGCTTCGGCTATGGCACCGGGACAATTTTTGATGGCGAGCCCTCTGTGGGAAATTTTACTTGCTTTCGTTGATGCGCTGGCACTTGGTGCCGGACGTTGAGGAAGGTGATGCGGTGCGCTTTTTGTTCTTTTGATCTAAGCTGCGAGCGCGCGCTGGGTCAGTGTGTGGTAGTAGGGTGGCCGTGGCGATGGCCTCCGTCGTTTCGGTGCGGCAGCGCCCGCGGCGGAAGCTGTCGCGGGCGGCCATGCGGTGAAGCGGTTGAATCTGGGAGCTGGTGAGGCGGGCGGGTGCTGCGACGGCGTGGTCGTCGTGTTGTGCGCTGCGCGCGTGCGCTTGACTGCGGTTTCTATTCGCTGTAGTCGAGACAGGAGTCGCGCGGCGCATGCGTTTGCAGCGAGATGTTTACACGGAATTAGCTGCTTCACGTCTACTGTGCGTGGGGTAGGCTCTGCCAATGAGGTGGTGTCGCGCTACTCGCGATGACCCTCCGTCTTGGTGTTGACCGCCGCTCTGCGCAGCATGCGACCGCGCAGCCTCGGGAACCTTCGCGATGGAATGGCGCGCTGCTACAGCTGCTACAACGTCTCTGCATCGTGAAAGTATGCCACAGCTGTGTCGGGGGCGCGACTGCGACAGCACTTCGACATCCTCTTCTTCAACAGCTGCAGTGCAACCCGCGCGTTTTCGGAACACCTCAACAGAACTCTCATGCCGTTTGCTCGATCGTTTCGATGGCACGCCTACGACTGACAGCCGAAAGATGTCCAGCACTGATAGCTTCTCAAGCTGCCGGACAACAGCCTCGAGCCTCGGACCCACGCCCACATGCGTTTCGGTACCGTCATCCGCCGGCACGAACCGCTTCCTTCCAATGCTGAAACATGCTTTCTAGCATAGACGTCTCGCCGAACCACCGCGCTCGCCTGCCATGATTTTGCCTTTCCGCCGCCAGCGCAGCGCCGTACTTGTACGAACGCGAGTCCTCGAAGAGGAGCAGAAACGATGGAAATCCCGAGAGCTTCATGGTTCCGTCCACCGTTCATATCAAGTCTGAAGCTTTTCCGACCTACGATTGGGGCGGCTCTCAAATATCGTATGGCGGGACTGAGTACCCTACAGACTTGGAAGGATGGCAACACCAAGAGATGCAGATCAAGCTCTATGAAGTACGGGAGACAACCGCCTTCCTTCACGAGCAGGGCTCCTGATGCCGACAACTGTCGCTTGCTAAATAAAGTCATCCTCTGGCCTCTTTCCACACCATCCAGTCTTCGAAGGATTATCCGTAGAGCCAGCCGTATGCACTCACCAACGTCATCCAAACATCGTCCTCTTTGCTTCCCCCCCTCCCCCTCCCTCCCAACCAAAACAAAAAGTATCATCTCCTCCCCGCCCATCAACCTCCTCCTCCCTCACGCCGCCGCCTCCCCCTCCTCCCCCTCCTTCCCCCCCTCCTTCCCCCCCTCCTCCGGCCTCTGCCCATACGCGACATAAAAGTTCAAAATCATATGCACATCCTTCCTCCTCATATCCTCCCTACACTTGGCCACGAACACCCTCACCTCATCCGCCTCCCACCCCAGCACGCGCGTAAAAACCGCCAACACAAACGCCTCCAGCCCCTCAAACGTCTGCACCCAATTCCACGCCCCCACCCTCTTCAAGACCGGATCCCGCGCCCACGCCCCGACCGGCAACTTGCACAGCCTCTCCCTCACCCCCACAAACCCCGCGTCGCGCATCCACCCCGCCAACCGCGGGCCCGGCGACACGGTCCGCCCGATGCGCTCGCACCCCTCGACGAGCAGGTCGGCGAGGCGCGTCATGTTGGATCCTTGGGCGGGCACGCTGCCGTCGTCGGCGTAGTAGCGCATCTCGTAGTCGGAGAACTCGGCCCAGCCGCCGGGGAGGGTCGCGGAAAAGGATTGCTGCATCAGCCGCGGCCAGCAGCTGATGGAGCCGGCGAGGTAGCGGCAGTGGATGAGGTCGAAGCGGGGGCGGTCGGCGGGCCAGGTCGATTCGGCGTCGTCGACTTCGAAGCGGACGTTGGGGGGGACTTTTGTGTGTGGGGGGGTTTGTTAGGCGGTTGGTTGGTTGGTTGGTGAGGGGGGGAAAGGGGGGGAGGGGAGGGTGGGAAGGTGGTGCGATGGAGGAAGCTGGATGACGGCGGAAGGGCTTGGGGGTTTGGGGATGCGGGGGGTTGGAGGCGGTTGGAGCGGATCGGGTCGGATTGGACTCACCCCAGTGCGGTTGGATGGGAGACAGGTCGTTGCCGATGATCTCGGCGTCGGGATACGCGTCGCCGGCCTCGATGGCCCAGATACCGGTGCTGCGGTCCGTCAGCGATGGTGTGTGGGACGGGAGGTATGGGAAGCGGGGATCCGGCTTCTCTCACCCGCGAGGCGTATGCGAGCGGTTCCCTGTCCCCCGTGGAAGAGATGCGAAAAGGGGGGGACGGATTGTGTGGATTGGCCCAGAATAAGCTACACGTACCCGGTGCCGACGTCGAGGATGCGCTTTGGCGGGGCGGATAGCGGGGCGAGGAACAGTTTGCCGTCCTTAGCAAGCATCTGCATTTGGTGCACCATGTCCAGCCGGTCCTGCTCTTTGTCGTCGTTGGGGAAATGGTAGGCGCCCTCGCGGTAGGCATGGAAGCGGCGACCGTGCTCAATCTTGTAGTCCTGGACCGACGACGCCAGCGACGTCGAGTAGCTTTCCCTAAGGCAGGGTTAGCAAGGTAACTGGGGGCTCATGGGTGTCGTTCCACTCACATGTCGGACCCCGTGGCCGAGTCGCTGTCGAGCGAACTATCGACCTCGAGGACGGGCTCGGCAGCAGGGTCAGTCATGGCGCAGTTTGAAAAGAGCGGCGGAGCTGGTAAGAGGAAGAAGTGCAGCCGAGTGGCGGGGTTCCGGGAACGACTGATGAAAGGCAGGCCGGGAGGGTGAAGAGTGCGGGGGCTTGTGTGACGACCGGGCAACGGACAGAAAGATGTGATGAATGCCGGGCCGGTCCACTAATCAGCTCATGCCGGGCCACGAGGCCGAAGAGGGGCGAAAGGGAATGATCCCAGAAACGGCAGCTACCGCGAGTGCGGCGGACCTTGTGGACCTTGTGTTGAAACAAGATGCTTGGGGTTCATCGCCATTAGCAGCGTAAAGGTCCGAAGTCCGAGCAGCCAATTAGCTACGGACGAGACAAAAGCGGAACTTGTGGGTATCCAGACGTAGGCGACGCACGACGCGGCCGGTTGCCAAAGCGGGGGATTTGCCCATCGGCCTGGGTCGTGCGTGCGGAAGAAAGACTGGGTCGAACGAAGCCGTTTCGATCGGGCCAAGAAACCAATCCTAGCATGAGTTGGGTTGGCCTGAGGGGAAAGATCATGCGAGCGTCAGTGGGCGAAGATGTCGGTGAACTGGAGGAGGTACTACGTAGAAGGTAGTGGGCATGCAGTCCCGCTAAATTAGACCTCGCAACGGGCCGCGCCACTGGCTCCACCACCCGAACTTCCGCATCGCCCCCAGCTCCTGATGTACTACTGTCGAGAGGCGACAACTCCACAATCTTCCTTTTCTCACGGCTCGAGCCAGAATCTTGTTGTAGCTTGGTCAAGGAACAAGCAAAATAGACAGATTTGGTACCCGCCTGGTAGCATATGGGGTGTTTGAAAGCCGCCATGGGCGGGTAGTCTGCATCGAGCATTCAAGTTAGAGGCCCTGGTTCATTGGCCATTGGTCTTGTACAGCGCATCAGGGATGCCAACTGTGTAGACAGGGCGAGTTAAAGAATCCAATCACAGCCGTCGCAATGTCGGGACTCATTGAAGCTGTCTGGAGAACTTCTGTTATCTTATATGGTGTATCACATGGGTTTACATCGATTCACATACTTTGTTTTTGGAGTAATATAGCTATTTCTCGGCGAAACTTCTTGCGATAAGCTACCCCGGATGTCCGCTCGATACGCTTCTCTTCCTTGAATCCGCCTTGCATTCTCTAACCATCAGAACCTGCTTCATGTTCGATTCTCAGCCTCTTAGTGTCATCCATGACCGAACGATAGTGTGGGTATATCCTCCTCTGTTATCAGGCAACGAAGAATTAAAAGCAACCTCCCCCATCCATAAATCAAACGCGCAAGAAAAAGACGTTTCGACAAGCGACCGTGGGGTATATCCGCCATGCAGCAATAAGTTCTTCAATCTCCATCCACGCCCCATCTTTTTTCGTCACTTCGTCATCGTGATCCATTCTTCCCGCCGAGAAGAGAATCCGCGCAAGCGACCGTGATTGAGGTTGGGTATATCCGTTATGCGCTCCAGAGCAAACAAAAGCGAGAGGTAGAAGGGAAAAAAAGAGGCGAAGTCGGAATGCCGAGGAGACAAGCCCGAGTATCGAAAGAAGAAGAAGAGGATGAAGTCGACTGGTTCGTGGATTGAAGTTCGACTTTCGAAAAGGTGGGCTGCTCGATCAAGACTGCTCGCGCAGGACGGTTTGGCGAACTGGTCCTTGGCCATCGGCACAGATGCAGTTGCTGTAAGGAATGTCGTCAGCGTGCGGCCGAATTGGGAAATGAAAAGAAAGAAACTGTTTGGTCTTGTCCATCCCATGTTGCTTTTGTCGAGGTGAAGTGAAGTGAGGAACATGGAACACATTTGGTGGGCAGCAGCAACCCCGACAAAGGAAAAGTGAAAGGACAAGAGCACAGCTGCTTCCGTATATCGTCGGAAACAAATGAATAACAATGCAAGCGAAATGGCGGGGATGAAGGAAGAGTTGTTGCACACTCACCCGTTCGCGTCACATCTGCCCGTCAGTCCGGCAGCCAGCTGACCGCACTGGGCATCGCATGCGCCAGTGCCTGCAGCAGGGCACAGGATGGGATCCAGCAGGTCGCGCGTGTAGTCAATTTGGCCCTTGACGGCGCGCGGGAGGTTGCGCAGGGGCGGAAGCGCGGTGGGCATGGGGAGAGCAGCGGTGAGAGCGGTGAAGAAGAAGAGCAGCGCTGCGAGAGCGCGTGCGACGTCGAAGGAGCGCATCTTGTATGCGTGTCGAGCGATGCGATATGCGCGGAAGGGCGGCTGACAGGGATTCGGCGACTGCGATGCACTGCGCGGATGTAGGGAACCGGGTGTGACGAGGTGCGGGAGAAGAGGGGAAGAGGTGTGTCGAAGCGCGAAGAAAATGGGGTGAAGAGGGCGGCCGAGTCAGTTGGTGGCGAGGATGCGGAGGATCTACAGGCACGGCCGGGGGGATGGGCGGGATGTGTGAAGGTGAGGTGGCTCTTTATCGGCGTGTTAAGCAGCGCCCGCTTTAGTACCTCTCCTCTTAGCCGGCGATGCACCAAAGGATGTCGGGGTCATGCCATCCAGCTGGCCAAGGGCTTGGGGAACCCCTTCTAGCTAGCTGGGAACCCCGCCTTTTGGTGTCGAGACTCGCGCTCCCGCGGCGTATGACCCTTACTCTGCCCTCTAGCCTGCTTCGGCCGCCTTCTAGGCCGGAAGCAGGCGGGCTCGCACGCGATGACAGAGCCAAACGAGCTCTTGGATGACGGCGGCCGAGGCTGCTGGCCTGGGCCACTGCCACATGGTCGCAGTCCTCTCCTCCGCCGTGACTCTTGGAGAGCGGCTGTGCTGTCTCTTGACAGTGAGGGGCAACATGACAGCTGCAGCAGCACCACGCTCGAGCAGCTGCACCATGCAGACCGTGAGGAAGCAAGCAGCATGCTCGATGGCGATCTGGAGGGCTGGGTGGTTCTCTCTGATCGGGCCGGCGCAAGACTCATCGCCGGGTCGCAGCGTGGCGGATGGCGTATCGGATGGCGTAGCGGATCCATCGTCATCATCGTCATCTAATTTTATCGTGTTGGTCTGCTTGACTCGAGACCGCAGCACTGCTCGATGAGAGCGGACGGACTAGGTAGGGCTGCAGGCTGCTCTTGACAGAAACCACCGGACAGGCTAAAACGGGACGACCGCAGCAGAGTGATGATGGGCGATGATAGGTGATGGCGGGTGATGATTGGTGATGACGGTCGAGGGAAGCTGAAGCCACCGTCTGGCCTCGTCGCCGGCCAGAATCACATCACATCGTGCAGCCAACAAAACCTCGCATCTCTCCCACGACCACGTCCACGGTGAAACAACCCGCCAGATCAAATAATGCCCGCCGCCCTTGTCTGCCCTAGGCCTGCGCGCGCCGACGGTGAGCGAGCTGAGAGCCCTACGTTTCCTTTGTCTCTCTAGCGGAGAAAGCCAGCCAACCGCGGCCATGCCAAGCGCCAGCTGCAGCTCCATCTCGAATCACGCAGCCGCGCAGCTGCAGCCGCCCGCGCCCGCCCGCCTGCGACGCAACACTGCCACGGCACGCTCGACGCAAGGAAACCGCCGACTCAACCCTACGCCCAGGACCGGAGGACCGAGACGAAGCGGGGACTCGTTTCCAAGGCATGCATCCATGTCCAAGGCCACGGCCCGAGAAGGCAGCCAGGAGGCCGCCGGGGTCGCCGCCTGCAAGGCTGATGATCAGTGAGGGCGTGGCTCGTGGCTCGTGGCCTGGCGACGAGCCAAACTTCATCAATGCTCCACGGTTCCCCGGCCGTTCTTTATACCTGGGCTGGTGTCACTCAGATCACGCCGCCGCTGGCGCCCGGCCTTCGCCGTGGGTTCATCCAGCATCCAGCTGCATACAGCCTGTGGCAGCCTGTCAGCCTTATCTCATGCAGCCCCCACCGGCCTCGCCGCGTCCGCACCCACGCTAGCGCCATTCCGCCATGCACAGTGACTCCCCCGCCTGGCTTCCCCAACGGGCGAGGGCGGCCGTTGCGGGCGCGAGCAGGCACGCAGGCGGTGACGGAGCCTCGCCATCCCTGCCCATCATCAGCCCTATCGCCATGGCCGACCTGATTTCCGAGCTGCATGCTGCGCCCGCCTGGTGCCTGGGGAGAAGGGCGGGCGTGCCACAGATGGCGTCAACCGGGCCTCGCGCGCGCTCGCACTGCTCGCACTGCTCGGGCGTGCTTCTATAAAACCGCGTGGCCCCCAAATGCCACGGCCTGGACCAAACCCCCCTGGCCGCAAAGGGCATCTCACCGTTCCACCGCCGGCAAACTCTATAACATCCTCAACGGGCAGGTACCGCGACAGCCGCACCTCCTCCACCTCCCAAATCATGGTTGGTGTGCCCAAGAGCAAAGGCTGTGCCACTTGCAGGTCGAGGAAGATCCGCGTAAGTCTCTCCTCACTCGCCGCTAAGCCTGCCGCATGCGTACTCATCCCGCGAGCGAGAGAACAGTGCGACGAGACCTGGCCCGTCTGCCAGCAATGCCGCCGCAGCCGTCGCGAGTGTCCCGGCCCATCCAACCCGCACGGGAAGTTCATGGACGAAGGCCCCCGCCAGCGCGCCCGCGGCAACACCGCCGTGCCCAATGACCCTGCTCGTGCTCCTCCCCCCTTCCGCCCTCTGCCGCAGGAAGAGAGCCATGTCCAACCCACGCCGTGCACCGACATCGAGACCGTCCGCACCAAGTTGACCACGAGCGGGGCCATGTTCACCACCATGAAGATCGTCAGCGACGAGCCGCACAACGCCCTCGCAGCCCGGTTCCCGCCAGCGAAACACCATTCCACATCGCCGCCGGATGCCCGAGGCGCAAGGAAGCAGCTGCAGCGCCAAAAGGCCGTCTTCGGCCGCCTGCCGCAGACCCTCCCCCTGTCAGGCGTTGACATGTTGACATTCAGGCTCGTGGCCACGCTCAACGAAGCCGGGCCCTCGAACCAGATCAAGCTGTTCGGCCCATTCATAGGCGAGGTGCCCCGGCGGCTGGGCTCGACAACGGCATTGAACGACGCGGCCGCCTGCCTGACCACCACCCACGACGCCATCATCCGCAAGCACAGCAAAACCAGCATCAACCCGCAGCTGTACGCCAAAGCCCTCAAGAGCCTCTACGCCGCCATCCAGGACCCGGTCCAGGTGAAGTCGACGTCGACACTCTGCGCCACCGTTCTCTTGGCAATCACCGAGGCCTACGTAAGTATCCCTGTCCCGCCAACGCCTGCAATGTGACTAATCGGCGCCCTTCCCGTCCGTCCAGGCCACCGGAATCTGCGGCACAAACCGCAATTTCATCACCCATCTGGGCGGCGCGGCCCGCATCCTCGAGCTCAGGGGCCCCAAAGAATTCCAGAACCCTTCCTCATTCGAGCGAGCTCTGCTGCGAGCCGTTACCGTGGGCGTGGTAAGACTCCCTCCCTCCCCCCCACTCAACCCGCATTCCCCCGGCCCCTCCCCGCTTCTGGCCTGGCTTCGGAAAACGGCCGCTGACCACCAATGGCATATGTATGCAGGGCCTCGACGCCATGTTCACGGGCAAAGAAGACATCCTGGCCACGCGCGAATGGCAGGCCGTCGCGTTCGACACGACGGGCGTCGCGGAGCCGCGCGCCTCCATGTTCAGAATCTCCCGCACCCTCTCGCTGCTCCCCTCGCTGACGCGCGACGTGCGCGCCTTCCTCGCCTGCCCGTCCGGGCCGTCGGCATCCTCCTCCTCCTCGACCGTCCGGCTCTCGCTCCTCCGCCGCGCCGAAAGCCTCCACAAGATGCTCGACCGGGTCAAGCCCTACATCGACGCCACGCTGGCCGACCCCCAGCGCGTGCGGCGCGTGGCCGCCGCGCCCGAGCACGCGCACCTCTGGCCCGAGGCGTACCGCTTCGCCGACCCCGGCGTCGCGTTTGTGCTGTGGTTCTTTTGGAACATGCGCATGATCACGTCGAGCATCATCATCGGCCTGCACCGGCACCGCCATGGACACGGGCAATCCCCCTCGCCTTCCCCCACCGCCGCCGCCTCCTCGCCAACAGCGACAACAACAACAACATCACCACCGCATTCGTCTTCGTCATCATCATCGTCACAACCGCCGTGTAGCAGCAGCAGCAGCAGCAACCACCGCCGCGTCGCCGCCCTCGAGCGCGACATCCACGCCATGGCCCGCGCCGTCTGCATGAGCTGGGAGCACGCCCGCGCCGTGCGGCCCCTCGGCGCCATGTACATCGACGTCGGCCTCATCGTCGCGCACAGCGTCTACTCCGCGAGCCCCGCGCGCCGCCGTTGGGTGCGCGCCGCGCTGGAGGAGTTGACTGAGGGGAGCGGCGAGGACGAGGGTAGCTGGTCGGCGGAGCGGGTGGGGTGGTTGGCGAGGTGGTTCACGGCGGGGTGTGTGGATTATGTTGGCGGTGGGGGTGGTGAGGGGGAGGGGGAGGGGGAGGATGGATGTGGGGGCTGGGGGGGGGGTGATGGGGGCTGGGAGGTTGGGGGTGCTGTTGAGCTGGCGATGGAGGAGGTGGTGGTGGTGGAAGAGGGGGAGGAGCAGCAGCAGCAGCAACACCGGCTGCTGCTGCGGCGCGAAACGACGGCGTCGACGACGACAACAACGTCTTCGGAGTCATCGTCGTCGTCGTCGTGGGACGAGTGGGCGTTTACCGCTGCCGCCGGCGATCAGGACTTTGTCGACTGGGACGTCGGCGGTGTGACGAGTGCCGCCGACGACATGTCTTTCGGCGCAGCAGACAGCACGCGTGCCGAGCCCATCGCTTCGGCCTCGACGACGGACACCGTTACCGGCGCTGCTGGTACGGCTGCAGCCGTTGGGGGCGGCGGTGGTGGCAGCGGCGCGTGGAGTCCGGACTCGCTGGCGTCGTCGTTGGCGGATACGGACAGCTTCCTCGTGTTGCAGCCGATGGGCGTGAGGGTGCGGTGGCCTACGACGACGACGACGATGAACAACAACGGCAGGGCCTATGGATTTGACCGTTTCAACGCGTTTGGCAGTGCGCCGCTGAACAGCCGGTCGTTTGTTGCGTAAAGAGAAAGGACAGACAGGGAGGTTTGAGGGGTTTCCAGTTTCCTTTGCCCTGTCTGATAAAAGGGGGTGCTCTTTTTTGATCTTCACTGATGCACGCACAATTTGTCCTCGCTGGTACGATGGAACTGTTGTCATTTTTGGTTGGAAGCGCTCAGGATTTTATTTTGTTTTAGCTCTGTTTTCTTCGTTCTTTCCATCTTCTTTGCTACAGTAATTTTGTACGAGTAAGTTTGGACCTTCACAGCGCCGATGTCTTGGGGAAAATGAAACCCGCCCTTCTTGCTGCTGCTGTTTCTCTTGTTCCCTGACTTCTTTTTGGTGGGCTCGTGCATTTCCGTGTTCGTACTACCTGCCTAGTGATTCTCGAATAAAAGATTGGTCTACAATATAGTTTGCGCTTAGTAGCCGTGTGAGCTGGGTTCCGTTGGGGGTCTTGGAGCATATCTAAAGTTCAGTCTTCTGCGCGTTTTGCCTGGACAGGGAATCTACTTGAGGATTGCCGAGTAGCGTCCTTATACCGCGGCAGATGAGATTATTTCGAAATATTCATGATGATTCTTCACGTAAATGATGTGACTGCACATAATGAAAATCATGCAAAGCTATAAGCCTTGCATGGATAGTAATAGGAAGAACACTTGCTCACTTATTCAGTAGAATCGTATAAAAATAGAATGCTGATGTTTTCTCCTCGTGCTTGAGCTCACTTGGACCTGATCTTGTGGAATTACTCTATTATGCCTATCAACTACCATCCTCTATGCCGCTCATCAAAACGAGGACTTGGCAACAATTTCCCCAAGGCCAAAGTGGCAGGAAAAATTGACGCTGCCTGAGGCGACGTCGGACTGCGTTTATACAGAGGAGCATCAGACGGCTCCATCCGGTGCTATAACCGTCGCAATACTCCAACCAAACGGCATTGCGTTACTGCGTGAGCAGACTTGAACATGTCTAAGCGATCGCCTTTTCGATGCCTAGCGAAAGGTGCGGGTGCTCGAAAAGCCCTTTTCGCCGGAGCGCATTCGCACCGAGCCGATTCCTCAGCGATGCCTGGCCGCCGTCTTTCGTACCAGTCTCAGTCAGTTCGATGCGTGTGAGTGGAGAGTTTCCCCTAGACCATACTCCCAATGCTCGCTCACTCGCCCCTCACACCGCAACCGCAGCACCCTCCGCCTCAAACGCCCTCCCACCCGGCGGCTTCGTCGGCGGCCCCTCCATCCCCACGCTCTTCATATCCTCCAACAACTCCCTCACATGCTCCACCCTCTTCTCATTGCTCTTCCACCGCACCGCCTGGCTATAAAACAGCAAATCCCACGCGGGGACCGGAATCCCTTGCAGCACGCCCTCCACATTCATCTTCGCGCGCTTATACGCCTTCCACAGCTCCAGCCGGACGACGGGCCGCGTCCTCGGCTCCGTCGCGAGATACGCGTGCCTCAGACAATTGTTCAACCTTTCCACGGCATCCCCCGCGCCGGGCACCCGCAACGCCTCCAGCTGCGCCCGCACGCGTTCCGGGTCCGCCTCGCTCAGCATCTCGACCTCCGCCTCCTTCCCCATCGTCATCGCGTCGTCCAGTCCGTCCGACGACGACGATGCTGATGATCGCTCCAGCGCCCGCAACCGGATCAGCGTCGCGTCGAGGTCGCCGTCGCCGTGCTCCAGCTCCGCGACTTCGCGCTCCAGCCGCGAGATCTTCTTCCACAGGGCTTCGGCGGCGCGTTCGTCGGATTCGAGGCGCGCGCGGCTGACGGGGCGCGGGGCGGAGCGGCCGATCTCCGAGATGTCTTGTTCGAAGAAGCGGATGGTGGGTTGTTCGGGCGAGGAGGAGGGGCGCTTGAGGGAGAGGGGGTCGGCGGGGTCGAGGAGGGGGCTGTTGCTGCTGTTGCTGTCTGGGGAGGTGGTGGCGTCGTCGAAGGCGGAGTGCGTTGCTGGGTGTGGTGGTGGTGTGGTGCGGGTGGTTCGTGTTGGACGGCGGCGCGGGGGTGCGCGGGCGCTGGGGCGGGATGTTATGCTGCGGGTGGTGGGGGTGGTGGTGAGGCGGAGCTGGAGGAGCGGCCGGCGTGGTAGGAGTCGGGAAGCCATTGGGAGGGGATAAGGAGCGGAAGTGGCGGAGAGAGCGAGGTTTTGGTGTTGAATGGGCTGAAGAAATTATTATCTCGGCGAGCGAGTGACGTTGTTAGCACAGAAGTGGTTGCCGCGCCCATGACTAAGCGGCGTGCTTCTCTTTCTGGCCTGTGGCAGCAATGTCAACTCGACTTGGCTACATTGTTGCAGATGACAAGCAAGCTGTCGAGGCGAGTTTCCAGACCCAGGCATTGCTATTTCGTCTTGGTTATACATGCACGAATAAGCCAATGCCTCGATGCACAACGTAGCTCTCCCTTCTACACGCCGGGCATTGCACTCGGTTTACCAGACAAGTGATGTACGTTAATAGACGTCTCCCCACAACGCTTGACGAACTTGGTAGTTGCAGACAACGATATAAGGCGGGAATTTCAATGGTGAGGGAATGGTTCCCACGGGTCTCTTGCATTTATGTAGCTCTCGACCGCACAATAAGAGCTAGCGGACGGAAACGGGGTCTATCCGTCGAGGTTAGCGCCCGGTGGAAACTCCGCCCTTTCTCCAATCATCTTCGACATCGCCGTAAATAGACAGCAAATGTAAGCTTGCAATGGCTCGCAATCGATAGTGGAAAGCTTGTGCTGATACGTGAGCACGATTGCAATAATAGTAATGGCGAATTGCGGCATTTCTGGCACGTAATATTAGAGAAGAGCTTCAGCGCAGGCGGCTCGGACTTCATCCCTTCAGCCACGAAGTCTAGGGCGCAGTAGCCTAGAGTCTGAAAGTCACCATGACCGGACGATCTGACGACCGGAGCGCCACTTTCATCAAAGTGCTTGGAGCCCGCGGGGACTGTGCGACAGGTGTTTTATTTGGATAGGCGTGACGATGCAAAGGTGTGCGATGACGATGCGGTGAGAGCCAGGGCCGGCGAGGGGATCAGGCACAACAGCCACAGACGACGGCGGGGCGAAGTGGGGCTGCCAGCGGAACTGCGGCACTGGCACCTCATCCAACAGCTTGCACATGTCGAAACTTGCTCAACCCTCCATGCAGCCTGCCTGCCTGCCTGCTCATCACGCACTCAGGGTCTCGATCACGCATTGGCGCATCGCACCCTCCACGACGCCCCTTCCCTGCCTGCCAAACAGGGTCCCGCCAGCAAGCAGCTCCAGCCCCAACCCAGCACCGCTGGTGGCTCGTATTGGATCAATCAGCTTAGCCGCCGACATGGAGTCGAAGAATGGCCGAATACCCGGCCGCCGAGCCCAGGGTCGCTGCTCCAGGTGTGCATTCGCGCGTCTCCGTGGCCTACCAACGCTTGGCTGTGAAACTGGCTGGTGCCGGCATCCGGTGGTCGAGGAATGGGAGCCACGGAGCTGGTCTGATGGGCGGCCCGCAACCAGCCGCGGAGCTGCGCTGGCAATCCCGGCGGTTCTGGAAAGGATGAAAATAGGCTCGTCATTCCCCACAGCGGCGTGAGGCTGATACAAGATGTGGGGTCCACGTTCTGGATTCGCATTGGACCAGCGCAGCCCATGCTGAGCAAGGCGCAGCATCCAGAGGCTGGGAGCTTCTGCGAGCTCGACGGAGCTTCACGGGTTGCCGCCGTGCCCGCCGTGCCCGCCTTGCCCGCCAGACACGCGCCTGGAACGCAGTGGCAAGGTGGAGCCCCGTGCTTGCTGGGCCCATGATGATGGCGTCAGCGGGGTTGCCGGCCGGTGCCAGTCTGTGTCTCAGAAGCTTCATGCCCTGTCGGGAAAGAGGGGCACGGCGACCCTGAGGAGCTGCCACCTCGGTGGGCTTGTGCTCGCCGGTGCTGCGAGTGCCTACATAAAGCCGTCCCCAGCTCGTCCTCCTCCTCCTCCCTTTCTTCTCCATCTCCAGCTTCACCCACCAACAACCACTTCCAATCAACCATCCATCCCCACACACTCTGACACCATGTCTTTCCACCTTTCCGCCGAGGACATCCGCATCGACGACAACCACATCCTCCGTGCCCGCCTCCGCACCGAGGGTGGCGAGTGGAGGGACGCCGAGATCGACCTCAACCACCACCTGGGCAACCAGGACGGTAGGTCTGCCCCTGGTGGCAGCCGTCGACAGTGCTGACACAGCCCAGGCACGATCCACTGGGACGGCCGCGACTTCTCGCACTCTGCCGAGAACGTCACCTTCTCCATCGAGGGTGGCGGCGAGGTTCCCGTCCTGCGCACCTACCTCCGCTCCATCCACGGCGAGGAGTTCGCCCGCGATGTCAACCTCGCCGAGCGCATCCAGAACCACGATGGCCATTTCGTCTACGGTAGGGAAGCCCCTCGCAGCTGGGCATTGAAGAAGAAGGCTAACGCGTGCCCCGCAGTCTAAACGCCCGACGTGCTCCCGCCATGGCCGAACCGGAGGGCTGAGAGATGCTGCATTCGGCGGTTGATGACAACGGGGGAAGGATTGCATTCGTGTTCTGGAAAACGACATGAAATGGGGTCCGAGGGCTCAGGTGTCTGGCATAGCCTAGTCCGCATCAAACGAAACAACATTGGAATTCTGCAGCTGCGCCGCTCTTGTGACATGGTTGCCACGTTCTGTGAACAGCGCCGCACGGTACTCTCGTTGCGCAGGCGCGCCAACTCCCTCAGGCGCCGAGGGAGGGGCAGCTCATGAAGATGGTGCCTTCCAGATCGGTGTCGTAATACTTGGCCGTCTCCCTAAAGCCGTGTCTGGCGTACAGCTTCAGCGCCCCCTGCATGCGCGGGAGCGTGTCGAGGAGGACCTCGTCGTAGCCCTGCTCCCTCGCGACTTCCATGGCCCGCTCGACCAGCGCGTTGCCGACGCCGAGCGACCGTCCCGTTGGCAGGACGTACAGCCGCTTGAACTCGCCAACGCGGTGCTGCCGGCCGGATTGCCGCATCGACGATGCCTCGCCCTGCAGTCTAAAAGCTTCGACAGCGTCCGTCACGTCGCGCAGGGCGATGCAGCCGACAGCTTGTCGCTGCCCCTCGTCGTCGTCGTCGTCATCGTCGTCGGCGGCGGCAGTGCTCAGGTATGCCAGCAGTATCTCGCCACCCCTCTCGGGCGCGTATTTGCCCGGCAGCGACGCCAGCTCGGCCTCGAAGGACTGGAAGGACAGGTCGATGTCCAGCCACGTGGCGTAGTCGCGGAAGAGGTCGGCCGTCGCGCGAAGCTCGTCGGGCGTGCGGGCGGCGCGCACCGTGAACGACGGCCTCAGCGAGCTGCCGCTGGGCGACGGTGCCGCCGGGGTTGAAGCGGGGGCGGGCGAGGCCGCGGGGTCGGGGATGGAGGAGGAGGAGGACGAGAAGGCCATTGTGTTGTTGCTCTGACGCGTGGGGTTGGAACACGTTGTTGTTACATGCTGAATCTTTTTTTTTTCTGTCGGTGATGCTAGGGATCACAGTAAGCAGACAGCTCCAACCTCGGCTTCCCTTGAAGCACTTCTATTCACGCACTATAACTCCTTGACCGAGTCAGCCAGCGAGATTGATCGACCACACCTTGACGTTTCTTGCAGCAGACCAGCGGGAATGATCCAGGAAGCTCTGGCCAATCACGTCTCCAGCGCTCGACTCGTGCATCTTTCGTCCCTCACGCCCCCAAGGCCCCCGCCAGCATCACAACAACAGGAAGCAAGTCGTGAAAGGCTGGGCTGAGGTGTTTGTTACAAAAATCAAGATTGGCGTATCCCTTCACCTTCATTCACTCTTGCATTCTTCGTCGTGGCAATTCTTCGTGCTCCCTTCATTCCCCAGCTTCATTCACCAAAGCGGCTAGTTCTTATCGCACGAATCTTACCATCGACTGAACCTAGGAATTGAGTGACAACATCTTTGATCCGTCATCGAGCTTGGCCGCGTCAGCTATGGCCCCTCGCCGCCTGGTATCAGGAAGAAGGTCCTGGTTCCGGACATGTCTGTGGTACAACCAAGATTCTCAAGGCTGTTCTGGAATCAATCGAATTTGACCTCTTCCGCAACAGCCGGCCATCGAGACTTGACGGCTGCGGTTGTAGAGCTCAGAGGCCGCGTAAGCCTCAGGTATATCAGTCCTGGGTGCTGCCCTCGTTGAAGCTTGTCAGGCCCACGCACTGAACCAGACAAGTTGCACACACCACTTCTTCAACACCCACTATGCTCGTTTCCAACATCGCTTGTGTGGTCGCCTTTGTGGCTACGGCGGTGGCTTCCCCCGCTTCCAACCTGCCGACAGGTATGATACATTACCGCCATGCCACCAAGACCATTGCCATTTATTCGCCTCGAGATCTTGTTAACACGGGTAGCTCAGGTCATGCCAGTAGCCCAGGGCGTTTCCAATCTACCACCAGAGCCACAATCGAACGACCCTCTCGCCCCATCCAGGAATCATCTCGTACCGCTCATCCGTTCTTTGCCGCCACCTCCTCTGTTGGAGGCGCGTCCCGCCACCGCCAAGCTCCTCAAGCTTCTCACCTCTCATGCCCTGCAATCATTTGCAAGGACCTGATCAACTCATGCGGAGTCAGATACGGAGGGTACGTCGTTGAGGACCAAGTACATGAACAGAAGATAACTAATCATTTTAGATGCCATGACTCCTGTCGGGGCAATGTCAAATACATCGATCCTGGCTGCCCCAGGAACCATACCGTCGCTTTGTAACCAGCTTCAGCCAGGTCTTGCCTATGGATAGCTTCTCCAGTGGCTGCTAGCCCCTTCGTAACCAGCTTCAGCCGGGTCTTGCCTGTGGATAGCTTCTCAAGTGGTTACTAGCCCCTCATTTTTATTTTCTCTATACTGTTTTAGTATCCCTTAACAGAAAATCGATAAAATGTTTCCAAAATGCCAGTTGATGAGTGTTATGCCTTCTTTGTGCTGTCATTGTGAGAAATATCCCGGGCGTTCACGGCAGGAAGCATGTCTTCGTCAACCATTGCTTGAATCAGCCTGAGCCTGATTTCCAAAATCTCTTCGACAAGTCGATTGCGGATATCAAGCGGCAAGATTTCAATATAGGCATCGATCGTCTCTTGTGTAACGTTGACTCTCTGGTGTAGTTGCTTAGTTGTTGATACATAATGGCAGCTCTCGCACAACGTCATTGTTCATCAACACCGAACTGGCAATGGGACAACTGCTCAACACACGACCTTTATAAATGTAGCTTCGTCTCTTGCAATGATTTCCGCACACACCTTTGGCCCCAATTTGCGAAAACATCCACGGACAACTTTGAGAATTCCCTCTTCAATACTAACAAGAGCCCCGAGCATTTAGGACACCAAACTCAAGATGTCACAGGCCAGTAACAATACCCTTGCTGCTCCGACAGTCCCGGATCTAACGTTTGGAATAGAGCTCGAGTTCGTGCTCATAGGCAAATGCTCCGAGATCGAGCAACACCTCGGCGATGAACTCGGAAGCTGGGAGACGGCGAACATCGCCCTGGTATACGAGGCGCTCGTTTCGAACGGCATCCCCGTCCGTGATGTCGAGGAAGACATCGGAGACGGCTTCTTCAACGACGCCTTTGGCGACGACCAGCCGTCAGCAGCGGAGAAGTTCCAAAAGTGGAACCTCGCAGTAGACTGCTCGGTTCGGCTCACCGAGGCCGAGGAGAAGCTCCTCCCCCCCGACTACCACGCCGGCAGCGTCGAGCTGAAAAGCCCCATATACTCGCTCCGGCAACGGTACTCGTGGCACACGGAAATCAGCCACGTCCTCTCCACCCTGCACCGTACCCTCAACTCCCCCTCCCCCACCACCGGCCCCTGCCCCTCCACCCGCCTCCTCACCAACGAAACCTGCGCCCTCCACATCCACGTCGGCAAATCCCCCGACGCCTCCCGCGTCTTCACCCTCCGCACCCTCCAGAACCTCCTCCAGCTCGGCACAGCCTTCGAGCGCCTAATCGACGAGCTCCACTCCGCCGACCGCATCAAAAACATCCCACCCCCCAACACCACCTCCACCTCCACCTCCCCCTCCCCCTCCCCCTCCGACCAAGGCGACGGCCTCTCCTTCTTCGCTCCCCCCTCCGCCACCTTCCGCCACCACCCGGACCCGCGCCTCGCCCACGGCTCCGCCCTCGACTGGTGCGCCGCCATCGACGCCGCCGGCGACCCCCCCTCCCCTTCCCCTTCCCCCGTCCCCACGCAACCCGACATGCCCACCGACATGCCCATCGACAGCACCGACACCGACATGCCCACCCTCGCCCACCGCCGCCTCACCAACAGCAGCCGCTACGTCACCTACAACCTCGCCAACGCCATCCACCCCGGCATCGGCGCGCCGTTTGCGGGGGAAGTCGGCGGGAGCACCAGCACCGCGTTTTTCTCCGACAACGACGACAGCGCGGACTCGGACGACCGCCGCCGCAGTTTCTACTGGACGGTGGAGTTCCGGCAGCATCGGGGGACGCTGGAGGCGGGGGCGGTGTTTGCGTGGGTGGACGTGGTGACGCGGATGGTGGGGGTGGCGGAGGGGTGGGCGGATGCGGATGCGGAGGGGGAGGGGGATCGGGAGGAGGGGGAAGGGAAGCGGGCGCGGACGCCGCTGTGGGGGTTGTTGGCGGAGAGGTGGGCGGACGTGGGGTTTACGGCGGGGAGGTGGTTGGGGGAGGTGTTGGGGGTGGAGGGGGGGACGATGGGGTTTTATGAGGGGGTGTGGGGGAGGAGGGAGTGTGATGGGGATGAGGACGAGGGAGGTGCGCTGGGGGTGGATGCTTTGGTGCGGCGGAATGAGGTTGATGCCGCGAGGGTGCGGGGGAGGCGGGCGGTGTTGAGGGCGGTGTTGGAGAAGCTGTTGGCGGGTGGGCATGGGGCGTTTAGCCGGGGGGTCTTGGAGGAGCTGAGAGGTGATTTGGAGGCGAGGTTGGCTGTGCTTTGATTGGAGTCAGCAACGGCCTTTGGACAGAATCGCAGAAAAGCTCTGTAGTACATACGAACCGCGACAGCTTCTTGGTAAAATTCAAGACAATTCGAATAATTTGGGAAAGAAAAGTATATATATGTGTGTGTGTGTGTGTGTGTGAGGTATACAGCAGAATGATGCATAGAAGAATGGCAGACAGGCGTAAATTATATACGCCGCTGCTGCCCAGTTAACCGGACCCAAGCAAACGACCAAATGCAGGAGTTCGCGAGCTGAGCAAACAGGCATGGTTGCCGGCATGCCGATCAACAAGTAAGATGTATGCTTTCCCCCTTGAGTTTCATCAGTCTTCATCAGTCTTTATTATCTTGTTTCACATTATACGCAAAGGATATCTTGCCGTGTCAGGCTGTCTCCTCTATTGGACTACAATTAAATTCTATTGAGCGTGGTGGAAAGAGTGCCCTGTTTCACGCGGCGGCTTCCTACATAAAGTTGTTTGCATGTATTTCATCAGCGAGACAGCGGCGGCGTATTATGATTCACGCCCTGCACTCATTCTATGGATCAGCTTGCTCATCGTTGATGTCTCGCAAAGTTGCTCGCACGGACAACATCGGGAAGGGTCTCGACTCCGGATGTGCACCCCACTGTGGCTTGTGGCGTAGTGTGGTAGGATCCGGTGCCTGAACAGGCACACTAGGCTGCCGCGCTGACGCCGGTGCCTTGAATCCTCCAGACAACATCAATCCCCGCAAACTGTATATATAAAGACTAGCTACCCACAGACTCGTACGAACAAAGAAAACATTCTCCTTTCAAAGATTCCAGTCCACCACCAAAAAAAAAAAACCATGGAACTCAAGAACATCGCAATCGTCGGCGTAAGCAGCCCCAGCCCCCGCGAAAGCACCACCACCACCACCAACCACCACCCAAACTCACCCTCTCCCCCCCACAGGCCGGCGGCAACATCGGCAAACACCTCGTCCCGCTCCTCCTCTCCAGCAACCGCTTCCACATCACCGCCCTCACCCGCGGCACCTACCACCCCCCGGACCCACGCGTCCGCGTCATCGCCGTCGACTACGCCAGCCGGGCCTCGCTCGCGGACGCGCTGCGGGGCCAAGACGCGGTGCTGTCGCTGGTGCCGGGCGGGCAGGTGCGGTGGGACGCGCAGAAGCGGCTCGTCGACGCGAGCGTCGACGCCGGGGTGCGGCTGTTCGTGCCGAGCGAGTTCGTGACCGACGTGCTGACGCCGCAGTACGCGGTGTTTCCGGCATCGTTTGTGGGGGATAAGGTCGCGTTGCGGGGGTATTTGGAGGAGCTGGCGGAGGAGGGGAGGATCGCGTGGGCGGCGCTGAATGGGGGGCCGTTTTTTGATATGTGTGAGTGCTTTGTACTGTTTGTGAAGCAACCCGCTGCTCGTCTCCAACACGAGGAGAAAAAAAAGGAGAGAGAGGGAGGGAGAGAGAAGGGGGACACTCTTCTGCTGCGGAAACTTGAATCGCTGATTCCGGGTTGCATGACACTAGGGCTCCTGGGCGGCCCCGCGGGCTTCGACATCGCCCGCCGCAAAGCTACCATCTACGGCACGGGCAACAACCTCGCCTGCTGGACGCCGCTCCCCACCATCGCTGCCGCTCTGCTCAACATGCTACTGCACCCCTCTCGCATCGCCAACAAGGCCGTCTTCATCTGCGGCGTCAAAGGGGTCACGCAGAACGCGTTGCTTGCAGCTCTGGAAGCCGAGCTGGGGGAGAGTTTCGACGTCGAGAGGGTCGACATCAAGAAAATGAAGGCCGAGGCGCTGGAGTTGTTGGAGAAGGGGGAGGTTAAGAAGGCGATGAGGGGGTTGACGCTGAGTGGGCAGTTTAACGAGGAAGGGAGCGCGGCCAATTTTTGGGACAAGGTTGAGAATGAGCTTGTGGGAGTGGAGCCCGTTGGAGTGAGGGAGGCTGTGCGGCAGACGTTGGAGGCTGCGAATCTGAAAGAGCGGGTGACTTCGGATAGTTGGGACAACGAGTAGGAGGGATCATGTGTGAAGGGACCGGGAGAAGGGGGCAAAGGGACTGAGATTGTTTATCCAGGGGAGGCAGTGGCCCGAGCCGATGGACCACGGGATCTGGACTTGCCATGTGCTACTGGTTGCTCTGAGAAAGGCTTCAAGGGTTTCTCGATTCGATACTACAACCCCTCCTCCTGTTCCAGTGTGCCTGTAGCATGTATCCTCGTAGGAGATTTGTCCCTGGACGGAATGTGCCGAAGGCATTCAATATTCACGAAACATTCGGGAACGCGTTCTGATTGGATTTGACTTTGATGATAGCCGCTTACATTTCCTACTTTGTGTACAGAGAAAATGCTTTGTACGTCACAGGCTGCGAGGGTGTCCGCAAGCCCCACTGTAAAGGCGAGTGTGACTGACTATGCAATAAGCTAGCAGAGACTGCGATTGTTTGATATCGGAGTGCGCTTGTTCCTGTTAAATTACCACAGTCATGTTAGCCACAGGCGGATTGAGGGAAACAGCGGGTGATGGAAAATATCCAAAGACCAGTCAACGGATCACAACCAAGCACGATAGTTGGGCGCTACCATCTCATTATTCATGCTACACTACAGTATTACCTATATCCCAACAAATCCTCCAAAGAATCAATCGCCAGCCAAAGAAGCAATCGCCATGCCATCTTTTTCATGTTTTTTTTCCTCCTCATCCTTTCAATCAAATGCTGCAAACAACCGAGGGGTGAGCCTATCTACACAAGGAAGCAGGCCATTTTTCTAAAGTACATTTTCCAACACATTCGAGCGAAGGGAAGAAAAGAAAGGTAAAGACAAAATTTGCAATCTCAGTGTCGAAAACGAAACTTGTGACAAAAATACCGAGTGATAAAACTGCACAGGTAATGTGCAATAACGCATGCGTGCTTGCTTGCCGCCGAGAACCCCGGTCATGCTGGGACGATTGAATACAGCGCTCCAAATGCTCTTACAGTTGAAGGAAGCACAGCGACATGAAGAGACCGCCGAGCACCACCGCAGCCACCGAGATGGAGACGGTCGACGCAGCACCAGTGAAGGGATCGGCGCTGTTGCCTGCATCAGAGCCATCAGTAGGAGCGGCACCCGAATCAGAGCCGTCAGTAGGAGCGGCACCCGAGTCAGAGCCGTCAGTGGGAGCAGCGTCGGAACCGGAGTCGCCACTGTCAGCAGTAGGAGTGTCACTGGGAGCCAGGTAATCACCGCCGGTGGAAGTGGCGTCAGGAGCACCGCCTTCTTCGTCCCCAGATTCGGATCCGGGCTCACCCTCTCCTTCGTTCTCAGTGGGCTCACCCTCTCCCTCGCTCTCAGCACCGGGCTCACCCTCTCCCTCGCTCTCAGCACCGGGCTCACCTTCACCCTCGCTCTCAGTGCCAGGCTCGCCTTCACCCTCGCTCTCAGTGCCAGGCTCGCCTTCACCCTCGCTCTCAGTGCCGGGCTCGGTGTCGGTGTCGGTACTGGGATACGGGGTATCAGTCACCTCGGGTTCAGAGCCATAGTACGAGGTAGGAAGAGTCTCCACAGGGGCGGAATAGTCAGCAGAGGTGTAGTAATCGTAATCATTGTCGTCGTTGCACTTGTGGCAGGTGACGGTGAGCGTGGCGGTAATGGGCGTGGGGCCGCATCCGCTGTTGCACTCGCTGACGGTGGTTGTCCAGCCCTTGGGGACATAGTCATCCGACTCGGACGTGCACGTGTGCTTGCAGCCCTCGGTGACCGTGTACGTGGCGGGGTGGAGACCGGTGGAGCAGAACTCGTGGACCGTGATGGTGTACGTGGCACTGTTTTCGTAGCCCGAGTCGTAGCCCGAGTCGGTGCCCGAGTCGTAGCCGCCCGTGTAGTCTGGCTGGTACGTAGGCGCGGGAGTGTAGTACGGCTCTGAGGTGTAGTCGGGCTCGTAGTCCGAGTCAGTATCATCCGTGTTGTAGTCCGGTCCAGAGTCGTTAGTGTAGTCGGGCGTAGGCGTGTAGTACGGCTCCGGAGTGTAGTATGGCTCGGGCGTGGTGTAGTACGGCTCGGCAGAGGTGTAGTCAGGCTCGTAGTCCGAATCAGTGTCATCGGTGCTGTAGTCCGGCTCAGAGTCGTTGGTGTAGTCGGGCGTAGGCGTGTAGTACGGCTCCGGAGTGTAGTATGGCTCAGGCGTGGTGTAGTCAGGCTCGTAGTCCGAATCAGTGTCGTCGGTGTTGTAGTCCGGCTCAGAGTCGTTGGTGTAGTCGGGCGTAGGCGTGTAGTACGGCTCGGGGGTGTAGTAATCGGGAGTCGTGTACGGTTCGGGGTAGTCAGTCGCATAGTCGTCGCACTCCGTGGTCGTCGTAGTCGTGTACGCAGGCTCGTAGTCGGGCTCGTAATCCGAGTCGTCGGAAGAGTCACCGGTGTTGTAGTCCGGCTCAGAGTCGTTGGTGTAATCCGGCGTAGGCGTGTAGTACGGCTCCGGCGTGTAGTACGGCTCAGGGGTGTAGTACGGCTCAGGGGTGGTGTAAGTCGGCTCGTAGTCAGGCTCGTAGTCCGAGTCGCCGGAGCACTCGTCGCAGTCGGTGGAACCACCGGAAGAGTAGCCGCCAGAGCAGTTTTCGTCACAATCAGTGGAACCACCAGAGGAGTAGCCGCCAGAGCAGTTTTCGTCGCAGTCGGTGGAGTCATCAGTGTTGTAGTCCGGACCGGAGTCATTGGTGTAGTCGGGACTAGGCTCTGGCGTATAGTACGGCTCTGGCGTGTAGTGCGGCTCTGGCGTGTAGTACGGCTCCGGCGTGTAGTACGGCTCCGGCGTGTGGTAGGGCTCCTCAGGGTAGCTCGTAGCATAGTCATCACACTCCGTAGTGGTGGTAGTCGTGTAGTACTCTGACTCGTATCCAGAGTTTCCGGAGCACTCGTCACAATCGGTGGAGTCACCAGAAGAGTAACCGCCAGAGCAGTTTTCGTCGCAGTCAGTGTAGTCACCCGAAGACTTTCCGGAGCACTCGTCACAATCGGTGGAGTCATCAGTGTTGTAGTCCGGCTCGTAATCGTTGGTGTAGTCGGGCTTGGGCTCCGGCGTGTAATACGGCTTGGGGGAGTAGTACGGTTCGGGAGTGTAGTACGGTTCGGGAGTGTAGTACGGCGTAGGGGTGTAGTACGGCTCGGGAGTTGTGTAGTAGGGCTCTTCCTCGTAGCTGGAATCCGAGTCGCTGGAGTAAGAGTCAGGCGCCGAGTCGTAGGGCTTGTTGTCCTCGTAGCTAGAACCCTCGGAGTCGCTAGAGTAAGAGTCAGGCGCCGAGTCGTAGGGTTTGTTGTCCTCGTAGCTAGAACCCTCTGAGTCGCTGGAGTAAGAGTCAGGCGCCGAGTCGTAGGGCTTGTTGTCCTCGTAGCTGGAACCTTCTGAGTCGCTAGAGTAAGAGTCAGGCGCCGAGTCGTAGGGCTTGTTGTCCTCGTAGCTGGAACCTTCTGAGTCGCTAGAGTAAGAGTCAGGCGCCGAGTCGTAGGGCTTGTTATCCCCGTAGCTAGAGCTCTCGGCGTCGCTGCCGTAAGGCTTAGGAGTCGAGTAGTAGGGCTCAGGCGTTGTCCAGTACGGCTTCTCGGTGTATGAGTTGTCATAGTCTGGAGTGGTCTTGGAGTAATCTTCGTCGGAATCGGACCCAGATCCGCACTCATCGCACTCGGGACCAGACTCAGGACCAGACTCAGGACCAGACTCAGGACCAGACTCAGGACCAGACTCGGGACCAGACTCGGGACCGGACTCGGGACCGGACTCGGGACCAGATCCGCACTCATCGCACTCGGAATCAGACTCGGAAGCAGACTCGGAATAATACTCGGCACCAGGCGTGTAGCCCTTAGGGGCTGGCTTGTGAGGCATATGAGGCGGGTAAGGACGCGGCGTCGGGTAGTATGACGGCTGGTAGGGTGTCGGTTCGTAACTTGACTCGTAAGAAGGCTCGTCGTCGGAGTAGGAAGGCTTGTCGTACGACTCGTCATCGGAAGGCTCGCTGTAGGAAGGCTCATCGTCTGAAGACCCGTCGTAGGAAGGCTCGCCGCGGGAAGGCTTGCCGTGGGAAGGCTTGCCGTGAGAGGACACGCCGTGGGAAGGCTCATCGTCGGAAGACCCGTCGTAGGAAGGCTCGCCGCGGGAAGGCTTGCCGTGGGAAGGCTTGCCGTGAGAGGACACGCCGTGGGAAGGCTCATCGTCGGAAGACCCGTCGTAGGAAGGCTTGCCGTGAGAGGGCTTGCCGTGGGAGGGCTTGCCGTGGGAGGGCTCATCATCGGAAGACCAGCCAGAAGAAGACTTGCCATGGGAAGGCTTGCCGTGGGAAGGTTTGCCGTGGGAGGGCTTGCCGTGGGAAGGCTCATCGTCGGAAGACCAGCCAGAAGAAGACTTGCCATGGGAAGGCTTGCCGTGGGAGGGCATGCCGTGAGAAGACTCATCGTCGGAAGACCCGTCGTAAGACTCATGGTCAGAAGGCTCGTCGTAGGAAGGCTTCCCGTGGGGGGGCTTGCCGTAGGAGGGCTTGCCGTGGGAGAGTTTGCCGTGGGAAGGCTTGCCGTGGGAAGGCTCATCGTCGGAAGACCCGTCGTAAGACTCATGGTCAGAAGGCTCGTCGTAGGAAGGCTTCCCGTGGGGGGGCTTGCCGTAGGAGGGCTTGCCGTAGGAGGGCTTGCCGTAGGAGGGCTTGCCGTGGGAGGGTTTACCGTGAGAGGGTATGCCGTGGGAAGGCTCATCGTCGGAAGACCAGCCGGAAGAAGACTCATCGTCGGACGGACCGTAAGGAGGCTCGGAGTACCCAGTCGGTTCATCGCAAGGGACGGTCAAGGTGGTGGTGAAGTGGTCCTCGCAAGTATCACAGACGGTGACAGTTTTCGTGAAGCCCGGCGGGCACCAATCCGGAGAATGGGGACCATAAGACGGGCCGTGGTACCTGTCCGTGATGGTGTACTCGTGAGGACGAATACCAGTCTCGCAGATCTCGTCATACTGGGTCGTGTAGATGGTGGTGTATTCGGTGTAGTCATCACCATACGGCTCACCATACGGCTCATCGTACGGCGACTCCGGGTAAGGAGTGACGTCAGGAGGCCCGTAAGTTGGCCCGTAGTAGGGCTCTGCAACGCGTCAGGATGGCAACAAAGGCTCGGGTTCGTGAAGCGGTATTACTTACGGGTGGGGTAAGGGTAGACGTGAGTTCTCTCGCCATAGATGAGGCTGGTGTAGGTAAAGACCTGCTCCTGGCCATCAAAGACGGACGTGTAACTGTTGACGACGGTGGTGGTCGATTCCGTGACCACGGTAGTCTCGCAACAGCCTTCGGTGAAACCGGGATCCATCGGCGTAACTTGAGCGGCTGACCGAATCACTGGGGTATTAAAGGTGCCATCGTCGGGATTGAAGAATTCATCCGTAGGAACGTCGGTAGGGAAGTCCGTGACGGAGAAGTCAGTGGGGTCGGCAGAGAAGTCCCCATCGGAAGGTGAGAAATCTCCCTGGGGGCGGGCATGGACCGCCAAGGCCAGGAGAGGGGCGACGACGGCAGCACGCATGGTTGCCTTCCGCTGTGGGAAAAAGAAGGAAAAGCGCTGCTCGTGCTCGGTGCAAAGGGAGCAACCAAAGGTCGGGATCCCGAGTGTGAAGCAGAGCGCTGGTGCAGGCGGCTAGGCAAGTGAGCGAATGAAGGTTGCTGAAGATGAGAGCTCGGAGGCCATGCTCGCTGCAATTTGTACACGCTGTGGACAAGTGCAAGAGCTGAGATGCGGGCATTCCGGTATCCCGAGAGGCCCAAACAAAACACAACATTGGAGGCCAGAACGGCAGGCGAGATTAGCGTTGGGGTGGCAGAGATGACAGGAACGCAACGCGAGGGGCCGAAGGGCTGCAGCTCGGACGGACAGCGTAAGAGCCTCTCACGCAGGGTCTGGTTGAAGACTTTTGTGCAAAAGATGCAGATTTGCGGTGGATTTTCTGTATAGCTGCACACGACAGGCCCATCTGAGACAAGCAGCGACATGGCAGACAAGCTCCACACACGCAGCATGGCGGCTTGTTTCTCGCTTGGCGGTGCTTGTGTTGCTTGTGTTTGCTTGCATTGTTGGCCGTCTCGGTAATCTCATGGGGAATGGAAGTCGGCTAGCGCGTTCTCAATCGCAGAATGAGGCGACTGGAAGTACCCGAACTGGACATGGTCAAGAATTGGAGCCAGCCTAGCAACACGGAAAAGGAACTAAAGAAAGTGAGCATCTGGCCCGGGGGAACGCAGGCACGTGGAGTCACGTGGAGTAGGGGGTTGGTGGTTAAATTTTCAGCAACATCAAATCTCACAGGGAAAGACAGGCAGACAGGCCCCGGCCCGGGCAGAGGAGATCAGCCGGCTGCAACGATGCGTGCTCATGCTACCGTCGAGAATGCATTGGGCTCTCGCACTGAAGCTTCTTCCCCCGGGCTGAGGCGGGGCAACTGGGGCACATGCCGGATGACACATGTTGGCGACTTGGTCCCCCGAGTTGCAAGCGTGCCTGCGGCAAACATGGATCGTCAGGCGCACGATGAGGGCCCAAGGCAACCTTGACGAGTGGCGGGCTGGATTCTAGGGTAGCGTCGCAACGACTCGATCCGGCCTAGAGTCACTTGCGCACGGCCGAGCGTGGGTCTGGCAACGGCTGGTGATGGCTGGCGATGGCTGGCGATGGCTGGCGACGCAGCAACCGCGACGACAGCGGCGTGGCGGGCAAGTGGTGTGGATGGTGTTGAACGCGACGCGGTCGGCGGCCTGGGCGACGCGTCGTTGGCGGATTACGTCAGTTCTCAATACAGCGGCCGCCATCCCTCGGTTTCGTGGCCCCGCCTATCACGGGCGTGGGATCGGCGCAGGGAAGCTGCCGCTTACAGCTAGCGCGGCGGGCAGCTCGTAAGGCTGGACGCAACACACGCACCCGCCGCGGCCTCCACACGCAGGCGCGCTGAGGCTCTGCTATGCCTTGACTATGGCCCCCCGCTCTCCCTTTCCGCCCATCGTCTGCATCGTCGACTTTCACCACGCCCGGTTCGTGTCCCGCCCGCCACCTCTTCGCTGCGCCCGCCGCTGACGCCCCCACAGGGGCCCTGAAGTAGAGACGTGGATCGGTGTCGAACATGGCTCTGATCCCTCGGCGGAGAATGACTGGCCGCTGCTGCCGTTTATGGCCTTGTCCGACGGCGCCCACGCGTGAGCCTCGAGCCTTGGATTGCGATGACGCACGCTGACCGCTCCAGGGCCACCGAGGACTTCTCTTACTTTACCCTGAGACACGAACGGACGGCTGACAGCCCCGCCACCTCCCTCTTCGGCATTGCCTGCACTCGCCAGCTCGACGCCAACGAGCTCATCGACCGCCCCGCCGATGTCACCCGCTCCGTCGTCCAGAAAGCCGTCGTCGTCATCTCCGACAGCCCACAACATTTCGGCCACCTGCGCGAGAAGCTCTCCGTTGTCACCAAGGCCTGGTTTGCCCAGAGGTTCGTGGAACAAGCTGTGGGCTAGGTGGGGCAAGGCTGACAGCCCTCAGGGATTTTACCGACCTGGAAATCCTTCAGGTCAGTTGCCTCCGACGACCGTTTGCCATAGCCTATACTGAACGTGTACAGCGATTCCAAGACAGCTTGGCCAAGACTTTCAAGGACCGGGAACATGAGCGGGACCAGTTTTTCGGTGCGCCGCCCCTCTCTCGCCTGCGCCTATACTCGACTGACTGCTCCCCAGGCCTGTCGCTCCGCGAAATCATTCGCGAATTCAAGCAGCAAACCCTAGTCCTTTTCAAGTGTTGTCTCCTGCAGCCAAAGGTAAGCATCTGACTTGGCCCCGCTCGTCGTTTGCTGACCGTTGTAGATGCTCTTTTTTGGTTCCAACTGCGAGCGCCTATGCCTCCTCCAGTTCTCGCTGGTGTCATTGATCCCTGGTTTGATCCGCCAGCTTCACGATTCGGCCGATCCAGCCTTCAATTCTTACGAAGAAAACCTACAAAGGCCTACGTCCTTGAAGACGAGCGAACGCGCATCACGTATGATTTTTGACCTTCTCGAGTGAGCCGGACTGACTTGGCGAGCAGTGTTGGCGTACATGGGATTGCCTCTTCAGCTTTTCGGAAAGGTTGTTGCCCTTCTGGATCCACTGTTGATGATAGTCGGGTGCTAACGCCATCTAGGGAAGCCTGTTTGGGCCCTACACACCGCTGCAGCAGCTCGATCTGCTTGCTGACAGAGACACCAAATCGTACATTGTTGGTTCGACAAACTCCTTGTTGCTACAACAGAAAGACCGATACAGCGATATTCTGATCAATGTACTGCCCCACCTGTCAAGACTGCCGAGCATCTGCTAATTCCCAATGCAGCTTGATGATGATGTCATAACCATTTCTTCCCCTTCGCTCCGCTCCGCTCTTGGACTATCTACTCCAGATCGGCGATGGATTGATTTCATGACCCAGCAAGTGAACGACACGTGGGATGAAAACAACCCCGGACGGCCAAACACTCTTGGTTATGCTGGCAGTGAGGAGTTCATCCGCCTTCAGTTCGAAGAATACCTCCTCGCGTTGCTCTCGGCGACAAAGTACCGATTGTACCGCGAAGCCCACAAGGACGACCCCAAAAGCCCCGTCCTTGACGAGATCGACGGCGATCCGTCTGCCGAATTCAACAACGAATTCATCCTCTCCTGGATGAGAACGGAAAACTTCCGCATCTTCAACCAATACACGGACGAGCACCTCTTTGACATTGTCACCCCCGAACACCCCTGCAGCGGTGGTCTTACCATGGAAGACGTGCAACGGCGACTGAATGCACAGGTCCAAGCGCTACATCTTGACGAACGATTCGCTCACGGGAAAGAGACCATCAACAAACAGTTTGCCGAGGGCCAGAAGAAGGTTTCCACGGCGTTTAACAATCTGTGGAATGACATTGAGGTGATGCGTGAGGCACAGCGCAAGAAGGCCGAGGAAGACAAACGCGTGGCAGCAGAGAAAGCGGCCACGGAGGCGAGAGACGGCAGGGACTCACCGACGGCCAGTGTGGCTGGTGGCACGCGCACCGAGCGAGCGAGCGCCTATCTTTCGTCTTGGAGTCAGTGGGCATCTGAGAAACGAGCAGGTTGGCGCAAGTCTACGGCGTCGGAAAATTCTGCGTCGTCGCCGGTGCCGCTCGCGTCGCCGACGGGCAGCACCTACTCACTATCTTCGCCGATGGAAAGCAAGATCCTGTTTGATGGAAGGATGTCCCTTGAGTCGACAGTGGCCTCTTCTGACGGGGGATCTAAGAACAACTCACACGGCGAAGGGGCGAATTCGACAGCTACGGCAGCGCATGCACCAGCGTCTAAAGGCCGAGAAGATGAGGATGAGAAGAGTGACGGGGAAGGCGAGAGTCGTAGGGAAAGAGAAGAGAGGGAGAAAACCGAGCTTGACGAGGAAGTAGAACGTGCGAGACAAGCTTGGGGAGCGAAGTAGTGATCATGGTACTCGACTTTTTCCCCCTTCACCTGTAATCTGCCGAGATATTGGCTGGCATGTTGGCCGACGTTTTCCTTCGATTTCACCTTCTGGTTGGTAGGCTAATCTGTTGTTCGAGGTGGAGTTTTACAAAGGACAGTAAACGGCGGACGACGTGTTTCATCTTTCTGCATAGCATTGCAAGTTGTCGGCGGCGGCTGAATGTTTCTCTGTTGGAAATGATTTGCGGTATACGTATGAGACAGCACCAGTTGTGCTGTCGGCGCACACAACGACTTATGACCATGACAAAAGGTGGGAGAAACTTGGGATGAATGAATGATTCTGGTTCGTGCCGTCACTCCCTCGACGAGTTCTACGAGACGCGTCTTGGCCTAGAAACGTGGAAGGATCAAAGATTTCATGGGACTTATGCGGGTCACAAAAGCTTGTCTGCTTTTGAGTTTGGCCTTATTGCGTCCTTCTTGACGAAAACCAACCGACACTCTTCGCTTGATCCCAACGACTCCTTGCTTGAGGGATGCCGAGCTTCGTTCCGAGCTTCAAAGAATGGATTGCCATGACCAGTACGCCCTTCAGGCAACGGAAAAAAAAATTCTCACAGGAAAGCTGCATTCCTATCTTGGTCAAGGACCCTGTTTTTTTTTTTTTAATCGTCTGTGGCGCGGTAGGTACCGAGGGTGACAGTCCTGTGACGGAGGTTGTGGGAATTTACCGTTCATCGAAAGGAAAAAGTGACATGGACAGGTGGCAAGGGGGAATCACTCATTATCAGATACGACATGGAAGCAATCGATGGCGCGACGCTGTAAGCGAAATCGAAAGCCGGTCTCCGGCATTTGTCCATGGTGTCTCGTTTGCCAAGCTCGGCGAAGGTCCCGATTGAGCTGTCTCCCGGCTGGCCTCCTATCAGCCAAGTCTTGCGGCGGATGACATTATTCCGGCAACGCTTGGTGTCATTATTTCAGTCAACGTCGTCGTACCTTACAGAATGCTGCGGTGGCTCCATGCAGGCCCCCGGTGCATATCGACTCGGCAGATATCAGGCTGAACCTTCGCTTGAAGGCGGGCTGCAGCTGCGCGACGCGGGACAGGCGGGGATACCTAGTGGGCTCTGGCCAATGGTGTGAGGAGTGGATCCCCGCGACAATATGAGGGACGAGCACGCCATCGTCCTCGACCCGCCTGTTCCTGCAGCACTGGAGCAGACTATAAAAATGGACTCGGATCTTCCGCACAACACGCAAGCCGCGTGAAGCCTTCCAAAAAAGAGAAAATGGTGGGTAAGACGATTGGCCTGAGCTTGCTCTTCTCGCAGCTCTGCGCGGCTGCAGGTCCGTTTCTGCAGACGCTGAACGGCAGCTGGGTCATCGGCAACGACCTCTGGAACATCACCCAGGGCTCCGTCTATGGGAAGCCTGCGTACTACAAGGGCAAGGATATCATCGGGGAAGCGGTTGGTCATTATGTCGGCTACAGTACTACACCCGCTGCCAACCAAGCTCCCGCACACGACGGCTGACCAAACCAGACGGAGAAAACAACCTGGTCTTCACCTCGGCCGACATTGTGGCGCGTGGCGACGACTACATCGATGTCAGCTTCACCGCCGACCAGGGCGAATTCCACTGGGTCATATTCGAGGATCTGCCCGGCGCATACCAGTATTTCGTGAACCGGGCTCTCCCCACCCTGGGCGTCTTCAGGTCTCTCTTCCGCCTCGACAACCAGACCTTCCCGAACGGCCGCACCCACATCAAGGACGAGCCCCTCCCGCCGTGGTATCTGTATCAAAACGCCACCAAGGTCCAGGACGAGACGTGGGAGCTCGCCAACGGCACCTACCTCACCAAGTACGACTGGAGCGCCTTCATCCGCGACATCGACTTCTACGGCGTCTACGGAGAGGACTTTGGCAGCTGGTACATCCGTCCCGGCACCGACTACTTCAACGGCGACCACCTGAAGCAAGAGCTCATTGTACCATCCCCCCTCCCCTTGCCCAACATGTGCGACGCTAACGAAAAAGGTCCACCGCGAATCCGCCACCGGCGACGCCGTACAGCTCAACGTCGTGCACGGCACCCACTTCATGGCCTCCTCCGCCGACGACTTCCCCGACGGCAAGATCTTCGGCCCCTGGCTCTGGTATCTGGTACGTCGTCGTCGTCCCATCTCTCTCCCCACCCTTCAACCCATCCATCCATGATCCATCCCCCCCCTAACGCACTTCCTCCCTCTCCAGAACGACGGCTCCAAATCCGACGCCTCCTCCCGCCAGGCGCTCGAATTCGCCAGCTGGCCCTACGCCTGGCTCGCCGACGCCGCCTACCAGACGCGCGCCGCCCGCGTCACCGGCACGCTCCGCCTCTCCGACGGCCGCCCCGCCGCCCACGCCGCCGTCTTCCTCGGCGAGAACCGCTCCAACAAGACGACCCTCGACCAGGGCGCCCTCTACAACTACGCCGCCACCGCCGATGCCGCGGGCCGCTTCGCCTTCGACCACGTCCGCGCCGGCACCTACGCGCTGTACGCGTGGCCCGGCGCGCTCAACGGTACCACCGACGGCGCCAACCCCCTCGCCAACCTCACGTCCACATACGTCGCCAACGACGTCGCCATCTCCACTGACACCGTCGCGCTGAATGACCTTCCAGACTGGCAAGTCCCAACCGGTCGCGAGCTCGTCTTCCAGCTCGGCGGCGTCGACCGGCGCGCGGCCGAGTTCGCGCTGGGCGGCAGCCCCTACACGCACGGCCTGGTGGACCGCGTGCCCGCGAACCTGACCTTCACCGTCGGCGCGTCGGACGCGCGGACGGACTGGTATTTCGCGCAGTCGGCGGTGGGGACGTGGGAGATTGCGTTCGAGGTAGTCGGCAGCAACAACAGCAACAGGTCGGCGCTGCTGAGCGTGGCGCTCGCGGGGTTCAGTCGCGGGAGCAGCGCGGGGATTTTTATTAATGGTGGGACGAGGGTGGGGAACCTGACGACGGATGCGGTGCCGACGGACCCGGGCTTGTATCGCAGCGCGACGGTGGCGGGGGAGTGGCATTTGTATGAGTTTGAGGTGGGGGCCGGGGTGCTGGGGGAGGGGTGGAACTCGCTGAGTTTTGTGGTGGAGAGGAGCACGAGGTGGAGGGGGTGGTTGTGGGATAGTGTGCTTTTGGAGTGGGTGTGAGCGGTGTTGTTGTTTGTGTATGTTGAAGTGAGGCCCGGGTAGTAATATTGAGAGATGCGGAACGATGTTTCTTCTGAGCCTGTTGCAACCGGGGAGTGTAGGATGTGAGCAAAATGTCAGACCCAACAGCTAACGATTATGAGGGGGGGAGGGGGGCAAAAAAGTCAGGAGATCAGCCACCGGCTATCAGTGGCTGCAAGCCCTACAAAATCCCTTTTCAGGAATTTTCCCCCTTGATCCCAGCGGGGTAAGGTGGTGGGGTGGGTCATGGAATCCTGATACCCATGACGGCCTACACCCCGCACCATAGGCCCGAAGACCCTTAGGTGAACGATGGAGTGTGCCGGTGGGTTTTTATAGACACGCCTTTTCTTGCGATTGAAGTCTTTCCACCGTCAACATTGTTGTAGATTCACTTTCAACTTGATCCGCCCATGAAGTTTAGGTGACTTATAACCGCAAAGCTAGTAGGATGTCGCATATTCGAAATCGGCCGGCGCAAAGCATTGTTCCAACTCGCCAAACGCGTATACTCCAAGCATCATGCCCGTAAAAGCCGCTCCAACCGAAGGATCTCTTGTCATGATCTCGCTGCTCACCCGTCCCACCCACCTCACCTCCACCTCGTCGTGCTCAAGCCCGAACTCCTTGAATCCAAGCTCGTACCCATCATCCGACTTGATTGTCAGCACAACATCCGAGTCCAACGATTTCAGCTGAAAGTCTTTTGCCTCTCCCTCGGCAGGACGGACTCGGATTATCCGCCCGCCTTCTGGTGCTTTCCGAATTCCGATACTCGAGTAAGTGTGCTGATTCCAGTACACAACAGCGCCCGCTTCAGTCTTTGAAGAGTCCGGTCGGAAAGACAGTCTCGTCTCCCACGTCACCGGATCATGCGTCTGCTTGCGAAGAAACACAGTCGGGCAAGCTGGCGTGGAGAGCGTGTACGGACCACCATACAACCGCAGGTAGCCAGGCCGTTCCGTGAGTGAGTAGTCTTCCTTCAACGGCGTGTCTGGCAGCATCTGTCAGCGTTTCACCAGAGAGTGTACCTATGCGCCGCCGCACTCACTCTTGCGATACCAGCCCAGCTGCATCTTCTCGGCAGCAAAATCATCCCGCCACGCTGGCGAGGACGCAAGCTGATACAGGCCCTCTGCCTCACCCACAAGCCCCACCTTCCTGTCGGCATTGAAAACCGGCCAGTCATCCACCCACGTCACCGGCACGAGAAACGTTTCTCTCCCTAAAAAGCGGCCAATGGTTAGTAGCATCATCAAACAACAGATCTGATCCCCATTCTTCCCGCTCTCCGCAAAAAAGAAAGAAAGAAAGAAATAGAGGGAGAGGTAGAGGTAGAGAGAGGGATGGAGGGAGGGAGGGAGGGACGGAGAGGGAGGGAGAGAAAGAAAGAGAGAGAAAAAAAAGCCAACGCACCAAACACCGACACCCCTTTCCCCTTCCCCTTCCTCCCCCTCCTCACCCCCAAAAAAACCGCCCACCACCTCCCCCCCTCGTCCTCCACCAAATCCGCATGCCCACAGCTCCCCACCTCCCCTTCCTCCCCACCATCACCATCATCCCCCAACCCCTCTCCCAAAACCACAGGCCCAACCTCCCACGCCTCCTCCCCCCGCCTCAGCAACCTCCCAAACACCCCATCCCCCTCACCGCCCCCATCCCCATCCCCATCCCCGCTCACATCCATCCGACAAACAACCTCCCTGTGCGCCCCCTCCGTCCCGCCCTCCGCGGAGAAGAGATAGACCCACCTGCCGCGCCGGAAGAGGTGCGCGCCCTCGGCGACGCGGGGGCCGACGGGGGAGGAGCGGGCGAGGACGGGAGGGGCGAGGGCGCGGCCGGTGGGGAGGGAGGTGGGGGAGAGGTGGATGGAGAAGTTCTTGGTTTTTGTTGTGGTTGTGGTGGTGGTGGTTGTGGTGAGGGGCTGGGGAGGGGAGGTGTTGTCGGTGTTGCGGAAGGTGGTGGAGAGGAGGACGGTGGGGGGCGAGGTTGATGTGTCCCAGAAGAGCTGTGGGGGGTGGGTTAGTCTGGGAGGTTTGTGTGGGACGGAGAGGAAGAGAGGAAGAGCTCGGGGCGGGGGGAAGAGGGATTGAAAGAAAGAAAGAAAGAAGGAAAGAAAGAGAAAAAGAGGAACCGACGGAGAAGAAGAGTAAGAAGAAGAAGAAAAAGAAAAAGACATACATCCTGATCGAACCCCACCTGATCGAACCACACCGGCTCCGACCAGCCCCCCTCTCCCCACACATCCCTCGTCCACACGCAAAACCCCCTCGGCCACACGCGGTCATCCGCCTGCGGCCGGTACCGATCGAAGCACGCCGCGGCCACGTAAAACACGCCGTCGCGGTGCCGGATCGTGGGCGCCCACACGCCGCCGCCCGCCTCGGGCGTGCGCACGTCCAGCTGCGAGCGGCGGGTGAGGGCGTGGCCGACGAGCGTCCACGACACGAGGTCGCGGCTGTGGTAGATGGGGACTCCCGGAAAGTACTCGAACGTCGACGTGACGAGGAAGTAGTCCGGGCCGACGCGGACGATGGACGGGTCCGGGTTGAAGCCGGCGAGGATGGGGTTGTTGTAGAGGCCCATTTTGCTAGTGCTAGCTAGGGAGGCGGCTGTTTCGACCACTTTCGAGTTTGATGCTGGTCGAGGCTGGTGGATCGAGATTTCATGAGGTCTTTCGGAGCAGTTCTTGCTTCAGCAGATGCTCCTCTCTTTTTAAGTTCTGGGATCTGACTGAGAATGGTCGTGGAGCCCCGCGATCCAGGTTGCCCCACATTTTGCGGAGTGTGGCGTAGGTGCTAGCAGGCCTTCGCGGTGCTTGAACGGAATAATTCTCCTGGGCTCTAAACGCATATCAGAACAGCATGGATCAGGCCCCTAGTTAAGAAATATACAGAAAATCTATTATGGATTTTCCCCAGTCTAAGTGGCGAGAGAAGAGGAAAGGAAAACGAAAGGAATTAGACAAATATCAGGGTAGGGGGAAAATAGGGTAGATAGGTGGTGGGTTCATACGCTGCTGCGAGAAGTGGCTATAGCAGATACTATTGCTAGAGTAGGCAACCTCAACAGTTTAGTTAATGATCCATCAAGTTGAGCGCGCCGGGACAGGATAAGAGAAGCAATGAGGCTTTGCGGTTGCAGATACGCGCCGCACGACATCACGTATGTTCGGCAAGTAGGCCGATCCCTTGCACTAAATATAGTCATATCAGATACACGGCATGGGCGCTGACGCTGCATGGTACTCACCTGCTAAAGGGTTTGATGTGTTCTAGATCTTGCAAATACTAGTTCGGGCACTGCCGATGACACCACCAGCTATCAAGGACAGTCCTTGCATCTTTAGCGCCGTACGGCGCAGGGTCGTCCCGCTCCCGCCTCGTTCTAAATAAGTAAAACTAGGCCCCGTGGCGACCACGGTAGCCCGTGCAAACAGCTCTCTGTTGTTGGGCGCGCGCCTTTGACGTTGAGAGCAACATCCGCATCTTGAACCTCACTCATATCCACTTAAAAAGAGCAAGGCCGTATTTTCATTGAAGCCCAAAAAGGCCCGTATAGTTTGCCGATAAAAGATCCGAAAAGGAGAATTGTGCCTCTGACCTCTTGCCCTCTCAGTTTGCATGTTGAGCAAGTAAGCTACAAATAGCAAAGTGTATGTACGGTAGTGACGGTAATAACAGACATCGACGGATAAGAATGACCAGTCCCAACACCCCCAAGACCCCGGACCCCGGCAACGGCTTTCAAATTAGCATCCAATCTCTCCGAGCCTGGGAGCCCCACCCTTCCAATCAAAGCGCTCGTAGTAACGGAAGACAAGGTCATACCCATCAAGGTCGTGGATGACCCGGTCAACCCTCTTGTAGTCCTTGATGTTGTCCATGCGAGCGCTACGCTTAGCAGCCGATGCGAGACTATCATCTCCATAAGGCTTAGCCTCGAAGAGCGTGACGCTGAAACGCCCGGGCTGGAAGATCTTGACCACTTGCTCCACAATGTCGGCAGTCTCACGACCGCTCTGACGCGCCGGCACGTTGGTCTCGAACGAGGCGTACGAGCATACCGGCTCCGGTGTAACGTGGACGGTAAAGTAGTGCGTGGCATCCGTTCCGTCAGGGCCACCAGGAGCAGGGATGACGCCGTTGGCCGAGAAGCCGCAAGGAGTGAACAGGTAGGCGTCAACCCGCGCGTCGGGGTACTTGCTTGTCGGATAGACATCCGAAAGCCCGCAAGACTCCGACACAACCGTTCCAAGCGTGTGTCCCTCGGTCGTGAGCTCCTCGGGGAAGGTCAGATCGTCGTCCGACGTGTCCGAATGGAACCCACTGTGGTCAGACGAAGTCTGCTCAAAGACATCAAAGCTGTCGTTGTTGGATCCGTTGAGAAGGGTGCTGCCCGCCAGGCTGGACTCGGCCGAGCCATCCTCATGGATAACACCAAGGCTCTTGATAGCACTCTTGCGCGCCTCACGGGCCTTCTGGAAGTAGCGACCTTCCGCGACCGCACTCGCGTCCTCGAGGTAGAACTGCCGGGCGTTCTCCTCGTCAAGATCGGTCATCAATACTTCCAGAGTCTCGTCCTGCGCCTCATCAGTGGCCATACCAGCCACCATCCCCCGCCGCGGAACATTCAGGCACTTTGTCTCGGTCTCGGGGTGACGCTCGCTTTCCGGCGAAGTCGGCGGGGTAAGGCGAGTGTCAGGGCCGGTGATGTACAAGTACCAGTGCTCTCCGTTCATCTTGCCGATCATGTAGGCGCTGCCACCAAGGAACATCTTGTCCAGATATTTGACCTCATCGCGCCAGCTGCGGTGGGGCCCGCGCTGCTGGTTTGGGAAAAGAAAGTTCTTGCGGCTGTAGAAGACGCGGTACGGAGTAGCAGAGGCTTGGACGCTCTTGACCAAATCGGCCTGGATGCCGGGGAAGCCAGCGTCTTTGAGCGCGATTTCCAGCATGCGGGGAAGGCCGTACAGCAGAGTGGTAGTACCACACGTCTTTAGGACCAGCTTGTGCTTCCAGACAAACATGCTCGACTCCGAAAGGAGGTAGGCATCTACGTCGGGCGACTCGACAATGGAGAGAACCTTGCAGTTGACCAGGTCAAGCATCTCCTTCCATGTTTCCGCAGGAACCGACTTCAGCCCATTGGGGCTAGCCGTGGCCGGCAACAGGTTAACCGACGGACTAAACCATACTTCTAGGAGCTTCTCAGGACCTGTACCGCCGTTAGCTTATTAGCGCTCAGGATGAATGCAGTGTCGGTACCTTCGAAGGCAGTGGAAGAGTCGAGGTCGACGGTAGCCTCTTTGTTGATGGTCAAATGCGGCGTGCCATTGTACGAGGACGGAGAATGGGTATAGTTCTTGGGGATTTCAGCGATCATCTCCGAGTCTTGGTGGACCGGCTGGGCCTAGTCTCTCAGTACAACGGTGCTGGAGGTTCAAACAAGAGGGATGGCTGTCAGGGCAGTGAAGCACAATCTGCCGCCCAGGCGAATGGTGCGGATTCGCCTGAAGGAGAAGGCCCACGAAAGGGTGGACTAAGGAGGAGGCTGGCTATTGCCAGCAGCAATGGATGAGTATGTGGCGAACGACCTCGGAAGGACGTTAGGGAGGGCGAATGCGGAGGGAAATAAAGTACGCTTTCCGCGGAGGAATGGCGTCAGTCGATGTAGTCCTCGAACTGTCAGATTCCGATACCCTGGCAAAGTATCGGGTCCAGCAGACGAGGAGATCTGCTCAGGTTTGTATCGGTGGGGTTGGGAATGAAGACGGAGGCGTGGAGGGTGTTATCTGGGCCTGGGGAAAAGTTTAGCACGCGACATCAGCGGGGGAGCAGGGAGCGATCCAACGTACTTCGCGGGCTTGGACAGGAAACGCAGAAGGTCCTCTTGACGCATGGACTCAGGCAATGGTTCTACGAGGGCGGGAGTCTGCGTGGCTGGTTACAGCCGGGCAGGAAGCGAATTCGCAGAGGAGGGAAGGTATGCCAGCGTGACCGACGGGACGGGTGTGCTGGAGGATGGTTCGCGACGGATGCGCAATGGATCCGCGTCAGTCAAAATTTGACTGGTTTTGACGCGGCGCTGGGAGGTGAGGCCAAGGGAGCCTGGGCGCGCGGTCAGCTTCGGGCGGCGCTCCAGGCGGCAGGTGAAGACAGGGAGAGGCTACCTCGAGAAGGGGAGTCGCAGTGAGGTTGCGCAGGTGTTGCAATGTTTTTGGCGGGGCCAAGGAGGTTGGAGTGGTGATTGGGAGCAGAAGCAGGGCGCGGAGTCGTGTGAGGGTATTTTCGGTGTGGCTCCGCAATCAGTGCTTGGGCCTTCTTCGCCAGTGCGTCACAGGCCGGGCACCAGCCGCGACGAAGCCGCCCGCCGATTCAGCGCCAACGCCTCGATCCCGCCACATGCCCAAACCGCGTTGCTTTCCAGAACCCTCCTGTCTCACCCGGCCTTGCCTGAACCGTGGTCCCCCCACGCTTCTCTGCTTGAGGCCACCACAACCGCGGGCGCATTGCGAACTCCGCCGTGGCTGCTACCCACTGCCAAGATCTCCGCACTATTGTCCCGGCTGCTTGCCGCCCAATCCAGGCTCGAGCCTCCTGCCTGAATCTCGATCCGGGGAGCGGCCCCCGACATACACAGCGCCGTCAGCCCACACGCACGCGCACGAAGCTTCCGTCGTCGCCCCCTATACCTGCAGGTACGCCCGTGTGCTGCTCTTGATATGCACTCGGAAAATCGCTCCTAGCAACGAGTCCAACGTCGAACCAGAGCCGCGCCGCACAGACGGGGTCCATTAAATACCTCACGGGCCGAAACCGAAATCTGACGGCATCCCAGCATGCTTCGGTGCCCAGCGCCGTCATGACAAGAAATAGGAGTGCTTGTTGGTGCCCTGCCCGTATTCATCCTGTTTCTATGACTTTTCTTCGCAAAGTGAGACGTCTGGGATATACGAAGGAGATGATGCGTTAAGGAAAGGAAGAAAGCGACACCATTCTGCAACATGTTTCCAGCCATCGTCATGACTCGCCCCCGTCAAGCCATACAGCACCAAAACTCTCCCGCAGGTCCTGAACCAACTCCTCCGGACTCTCCCATTCAGGCCTGATCACGTCCGAACCTTCTCTCTTCTTCGCCCAGCACACATTCTGCCATGCTCGCGCCCATCTCAGAACACCATCCCACCTCGCTCCGACACCTCTCTGCGCACCAAATTGGCTGATTCCCAGCGGCACGTTGCTACGCTCACTCCACAAGAATCCGCCCATTTCACTGTCCCTCCTTGCTCTCTGCATCCACCGGAACCCCGCTTCTGGGCCCGGAAACCACCGCATCATGGTCCAGTTCAACAGTGTGGCAGGCGTCCAAACCGCGCTCATGTACCCAGCCCGCCGTCCTGCCGTCAGGCACGGCCGCAGAACGTCCAGCGTATTTGCAAGCAATCCGACGGGCGAATCGCACAGCGCATACGTCAATGTCTGAGGACGAAATGCGGCGCCGCAAGCCGTTTCTCCTCCCATCTCCTCTCTGCCGCTGCGTTCGTTCTTCAGATGAACAATGTCTGATGCCGCAGCAGTCTCCTCGTCCGCCACTTTAGTCTTGCCGGCGCCGGCACCGGTAGTTGTATTAGTAGTAGTAGGCCGGAAGACGTCATGGTCGTTGTCAAAATCCGCAGGAACGTATCCAAAGCTCAATCCCGGAACGCGCGCACCAGTCGCCCGTGCCAGCCGGTACCGCAACCATTCGAGCGGCGACTTCCGCAGCGAAGGTGGCGGGAAGAAAGACGCGGGGTTCGCGGCGTGAATGGCCACGCAGCTGTCAGGGCCATGCCGAAGAGCGAGGGCGCGACAGACAGTGAAGCCCCTGGTCTCACCCATGCCAGTCAGTCATCTTGTTTCGAGGGGAAAAAAAACAGAGGTAAAGAAAGGACAGTTGGGTATCATATACCATCCGGCTCCGAACGACACATAGCGCCCATACCCCAACCTCTTCATCAGCGCATCAAACACCTCCGCCGTCTCACCTACTCCAAACCCTTCTTCGTCACTCGCATCACTGAACCCCGTCCCCGGCACGCTCGGCGCAACGACGTGGAACGCGACATCTCTCCCATCTCCCCCACCCGTCATCGTCGTCAAGGCGTCGATGACGCCGCTGACGTCCAGAAAAGACGACGCGTGCACGTCGTGGCAGAAAAGCAGCGGCACGACGACGCGGTCCGCGTCGCCCGGGGCGACGTACGTCCTCGGCGTGAGCTCGCCGAGTTGGCATTGCTTGTGGACGAAATGGACGCGGAGCGTCTCGCCGGACGAGGGGACGGTGATGGCGGTGCGGTACTGGGGGAGTGCGGCGTTGTAGTGGGATTCCTCGGCGCGCCAGGAGTAGTCGCATATCCTGTTGGGAGAAAAGAACGGTTTGGAGCCGTTAGCGGGGGTTTGTTCTCCCATTGGGGATCGCGATCGGGAACGGACGTCTATTTTGGCAATTAATGAAAGAAAATTGCAAAGGGCGAGACGCTAGATATGTATGCACTACTTTTGCGAGAGCAAACTGGGTGGGCAGCAGGCTGTAGCAAGCGCAACGCTGCAGAACAAAGGATCGAACTCTTCGTCAAGATGACCGCCGATTAAGGCAGCCCTTGCCTGGTTCCACCTTTCGATTTCGGTGCATGAACGGAGAGCCCATCGAGACTGAATAAGACCCATGTCCTCTGTAGAAAGATTCCAGAATGGGTATAGGAAATAGTCAATCTATATTACCAATGATCAATCAACGGCTCCAAAACCGCCTTGGGCGGCCCGTACGCCCACCCGCAGCTTTCCGACAGCTCCAGCTCGTGCGGCAGTCGCGTCAGTTCGAGCTTACGCTTCGTCAACTCGAGGTACTTGGCCGAGACCTGCTCTCCGACGAATGCCGCATTAGCAGAGGGCTGTGAGAGAGGAGACCTTGTGCGGCACACACGTGCATGTTGTACGGCTCCACAGCAAGGGCATCGTCCTGGCAATCGTCGTTTCCAATCTGGTCAGCCTTCCCCTGTGGAGGTGTGATGATATTTGCCGAGTCCGAGAATATGGTACCCATAGCTCTAGCTTGCCTCGACGACGGGCAGTCAGGAAGGTATGTATGTACTACCCACTCAGATTGGAGAGAACGTAGGACAGGAAGAAAGAACGGGGGAAGGAAGAAAAAGAAAGCAGAAAAAGTCCTCCGCCCATCACCCGGCGCGAACACTCCATTTATCATCATGACCATCCCCATGCCCCCCCAGAAAGGGAACGGAAAGGAAAAAAAAAAGGCGACAACGGACGTTGCTCCTCCCCCCTCAGCCCCAGTCCCAACCCGGTCAGTCCACATAAAAAGATGTTGCGCGTTCCGCTGTCAACCGACCGTGCGACAATGCTCCCTCCAAGCAACCTAATTGGCCACAGCACCCCCACTCACGCCAATCACATGTCGTATCGACCGTTTCGCCACAGAAGAAGGGTCGTCGCCACAGACGGGACGAACGCCACAACAGCGCAGAACGTGGATTGTGAGTCCAGAACGCCACACGAGCAGCGTGGCAGTGCAAAAGGACGCGGGAAACACGGCAGGAAAACGGGCTACTTGTGTACATCGGTTGCCGATCAGCGAGCTTTCGCAGCAAGAGATCTACAAAATGTTCAAAAAATAGAAACACCAGTGAACGCAACAAAATGCGAACTAAAACTAGAACCCGACCTCTGATATTTCCTCTTTATGCACACGTGGAACTGTCAACAAAACAGTGGAATCAGGGCTAGGACGATCACATCTGCAAGTGTTCTGAAAAAAGGGAAAAGAAAAACAAAAGTCAGCCACACACCTGCACCACCGCTCACCCATCCATCCATCCATCCATCCATCCATCCATCCAGCCCCCCGACCAGGGATCAAGAAAAGAGTTTCGTCACACCATCATCCTTGTCGTTACCTTCCCATCCCATACGCTCTATTCGTCCAAAGCACATTAGATGTCCCTGACGGGACCGTTGCCACCACCACCAGGGCTCTGTGCACCGCCTCCCCCGTTCCCCTGCATGGAGTTGCGGCCGAGGTTGAGGCTGCCGATGCGCTGACGCAGGTTGTCGCCGACGGCGTCGACGGCGCCGCGGGGCGCGAGCAGCGACGGCGTCTGCGGGCCGACCTCCTGGACGCGGAAGAGCTTGAGGCTGGTGCCGTTCCACACGCCGGCCGTGCCCTTGGAGACGAGCATCTCGCTGGCGAAGATGAAGCTCCACAGCAGCGACTCGTACCACCCGAGCGACAGCGGCGACCACTCGAACAGGTGGACGCGTATCGCCGACGGGTCGATGCCGCGGACGTCGGTGGCCCGGATCGTCTCCAGCGCCGTGGCCGTGTCCGTTGCCGAGTCGGCGGGGATCAGCGGGCCCAGTTGCGAGATGAGCGTCAGGATGGTGTGCAGAGGTAATTCGGGAACCCAGGTCTCTAACTGTTGACGTGTTAGCTCAGCATGGACGTAACCGGTCATTCTTTCAGCAGTTGTGGGACGCTTACCCATTCCGTGGTAGGGGTGAATTTGCCGTTTGACATGAAGGTTGGTGTGGCCAGACTGCTCAAGCTACTCGTACTGTTCTGCCTGGAAAACGAAGGGGCTCCCACAGGCATCTTGCCCCTTGCCTTCTCCGACATTCCCCTTAGCTGCAACGGGACACTGTCATCGGCAGCCGAGCCGATGGATGCAGTTCTCGAATTGCTTCCAGACTGCACTGGAGAACGGCGATGGGGCGTGGGGGTGTCTTGCTCATCACCGGAGTCATCATCGTCACCAATGCTGAATGCGCTATTCTCCTCAGGCACGTTGCTGAGCGTGGGAGGACGGCTGGTGATTGGGCTTCTCAGGCTATCGATGGAGTTCTGACGAGAGTTGCCTCTGGTTGATGTCCCTCCATCGCTAGCTCTCCGCTCCTTCCTTAATTGATTTTGACGCTCAATCTCATCCTGCGCACTTTCCAGAGTGAAGTCGGTCAACGCTTGGAAACGCTTCCTTGACCTCAAGATCGCATATATCAGGTTCGGGTTGGCTGTCAAAGCGTGAGCACGATGTTCGACGGAAGCACACGGCAATCAGCTTACCAGAGTATTGATGCTCGATTATGGCGTTCAGAGCTTCCAGCAAGGAGTGGAGAAGACTGTGGTTCGACTCGTTTGCTAACAAGAAACTGGGTGATGACATGGAGATGAAAAGCTGGATAAGCTTCGAGGAGGTTGCCCGGCCCAAGTTTTGCACGTAAGCTGCAATGTTGTTGACGATGGCAAGCAGTGCAGGATACACAGCATCGAGCTTTCCTTTACGAGTGGTGAGGAGTGTGTATATCGACTGTGGGCATATCAGCAAGGGTCGGAAATCAGCCACATTGTGAGCGTCTCACCGTAATCATGTAATCCGCGTATGTCCCATGGAAGTTGGGGATGCGGATGCTTGCTGGTAGAGTGTCTTGGCCCTCGAATTTCTTGTTCAGATTCTTGCCGAAATTCGGTTCAGTGCTGAGGGTTTGAAGGATGAAGATGCACATGCGAATCAGGCCTTGCCTCGAAGGATCATTACACTGATCGATGGCATAGAAGAGGATCAGCACCACGAAGTCATGAGCCCGGTCCGTGTCAATGATGAATGTTCTGAAACGCTTGTTGCATTGCAACGCCTCCCAAAAGAGGACGAGCATCTCGGGAGCCCATGTCAAAGACTTTTGGCTACCAGGAAGGTAGGAAGTCGTTGCTTGCAGAGGCTGATTCAGGATCCTGGTCAGGCCATCATGAAGGAACTGGAAGTCTTGAGGTCTATGAAGTCTGCCCAAGAAATGGCGGAAAAAGTTCTTGGGAGGCGGGCCGTTCCCTGGTTCCGGGATAGGGTAGAGGATCAGGACGAGAAGGAATTGGAGGCAGTAGGTGACGAGAATTTGTCTCGGGTCCTTGAAAACCACATGATCGTAGGGCACGCGCCAGCTTGCGGGGTTGTACTTTAGCGTCTGGGGAAGGGTTAGCATGGGCCATGTCAGTCCAGAGTCTTATCAGTGCTCACCGTATTGAGGAGCGAGCAGAGAAGCGAGAGCACGATCTGCTTGTCTGGGCAGGTTGTGATGTACGTGATCGCTTTCACGCCCTTGACGGGAAGGACATCTACAAAGGATCAGAAAAGCCGGGTGGAAGGGCAGAGAAAAGACATACTGGGAGACGTGTACATGGACTTGCTTGCCAGGGTGAGCAGAAGCCGCAGTATCTCGGTGCGATTGTTCTCAAACTCCTTGCTGGTCCCCACGGGCGTGTTGCAGCCCACGCCGCTCTGCCAAATGGCGTACGTGACCTTGCCCTTGGCCGACTGGATCTTGGGCAGGGTAAAGTCGGCGAAGAACAACAGGTCGATCAGGGTGTCGATGAGCTCCTCGGCCAGCGGCTTTGCTTCCTCAAAGTCCGGGGCATTCTCCTGGGGCGGTTCGTCGGCGGTGGCGCCGTCGAACAGCACCTCGGAGCGGTGCAATTGGCCCTTCCGGCTGCGCTTGCGGCGCGCGCCCCAAAAGAACTTGTCCTCCCACGCATCGAGGTGGTCTGCCTCGTAGATGTAGGGCAGCAGGCGTGTCAGCACGCGGATGCAGTTCAGGGCGTCTTTCTCGGGCGCGAGCTCGGGGTCGGGGAACGACGGGTGGTTGCGCAGGACGCAGAGCCTAGAGGAGACGGCTAGCACAAGGGTTTCCAGGTTGACGAGGGCATTGTCGCGAGTGCGGCGAATGTCGGCGGGCGAGAAGAGGGTGAAGACATCTTCGGCGGACTCTGGCAGCTCCCAGAACTGTCGTGGTTGGGTCAGCGCCGCGGGCATTCATGGCGGTCCGGACACGCGCACTTACTCCCGTCCAGTACGTGTCGTCGGCGGGGATTTCAGTCTGCTCGGACAGACGGATGATGCCCTGTTTGAAGACGAGCTTGGAGTCGGAGGCGCCCATTATCGGCTTGTGGGAGGGCAGAGTGGCATGTCGCGGCGGAGCGGAGCCATGCCCAGAGAGTTGCGATTGCGATGAGCGCGACCAGCCCCAGCGCAGCGTCACTACTGCCCGTCCGCACCCCGGCCCCAAGCCAAGCCTTGGCGCGTTTGCTGCTTTTGCCGCCACCCGACCATTCATCATCATCCATGTTGCCTGCCCTGACCTTTGTCTTCCCCGCCCACCTGCACCGCCAGCCTCGTCGTCGTCATTTCTGCGCTGCGCCCCACCGTCGCTCGTTCCACGCTGCGCGCTGTGTGAGTCATCCGCACACTTAGCCCTCGCACCCGCTGTCGTCGTCGACCTCCCGTTCGCCTGCAAGCTCACCGGCATTTGCCTATCGACTTTGCTTCTCGCCGCCCTTCGTCGCGCCGCTCCCGCCGCTGCCGTAGTCGATTGCTCCATACCTCTCCGCCAGCCTCGGGAAGATCATAGGAATCATGGCGGCCAAGCGCAAGGCAACCGCACCGACCGGCGGTAGTGCGAAGAGGGTGGCGTCTGGCGTGAACACGCCCAACAGCATGGCCAGCAGCGACGACGAGTACACCGAGCCCACCGTCGATGAGGTTGCGGAGCAGGAGGAAATGAGAATGCTAGTCGAGCGGTTCCAACGCTCCAAGAGGATGGCAGCCCCCGGTGTCAGGAGGTCGGATGCCGTATCCAGCCATTTCCAAGGCCACGACTACTCGAGCCTGGATCTGAAGAAGGAGCACGCCGACCGCCCGCTCTGGGTGACCCCGGAGGGCAAGATTATCCTAGAAAGTTTCTCTCCTTATTTCAAGACGGCCGAGCGTTTTCTCATCAATATCGCCGAGCCTCAGTCGCGTGTGTCCCTCATGCATGAATATTCTCTCACCGCCAACAGCCTTTTCGCCGCCGTCTCGGTCGGTCTTTCGACCGACGAAATCATCAGTCAGCTTGAGAAGCTGTCCAAGACGCCGTTAGACGGGGAGGTCAAGGATTTCATCATTCAGTCCACAAAGTCGTTCGGCAAGGTCAGACTGGTCTTGAAACAGACCAAGTACTTCGTCGAGAGTTCTGACCCGGACATCCTCCGCACCCTGCTGCGCGACTCAATCATTGGCCCATGCAGAATTGACAACACCGAAGGCTTGATGAAGACCACTGCTGCCAAGAAGGGCGACCTGGTCATTCCTGGTACCAACATGGCCGCCGGCGCCAAGCAGGCCGCCCAGGCACAGCCACAGCCTGAAGACGCTGATCAAATGATGAATGTGCTCAGGGAGGAAGACGACGACGAGGAAGAAGACCAGGTCCACTCCTTCCAGATAGACGGGCCCAGCGTTCAGACTGTTTCGAAACGCTGCCGAGCAATCGGATTGCCGCTGACTGAGGAGTACGATTTCCGCAATGACTTCGCCAACGCCAACTTGGAAATTGACATTCGGCCTGGTGTGGAGATCCGACCGTACCAAGAACAGGCTCTTACCAAGATGTTTGGTAACGGACGTGCTCGTAGTGGAATCATCGTCCTGCCCTGTGGTGCCGGCAAGACACTGGTCGGTATCACCGCCGCCTGTACCGTGAGGAAAGGCTGCATCGTGCTCTGCACGAGTACCATGTCGGTATTGCAGTGGCGTGACGAGTTCATCAAGTGGTCCAACATCAACCCCAGCGACATCGCCGTCTTCACTGCCGAACAAAAAGACTTTTTCTCGGGGAACACGGGTGTGCTCATCTCCACGTACAACATGATTGCCATGAACCGGACCAGGTCGTACGACTCGCAGAAAGTCATGGACTTCATTACCCAAAGAGAGTGGGGTCTCATGGTTCTCGACGAGGTGCACGTCGTGCCCGCAGAAATGTTCAGTCGAGTTACGCATGCCGTGCCCTCACATGCGAAGCTCGGTCTGACAGCGACCTTGCTTCGTGAAGACGACAAGATTGTCGATCTGAACTTCCTCATCGGGCCCAAACTGTACGAGGCCAATTGGCAAGAGTTGTCTGAAAACGGCTTCATCGCCAAGGTCATTTGCTCCGAGGTTTGGTGTCAAATGACGACCGAGTTCTATGCCGAGTACCTGAAGGCCAAGACGGTGAACAAGAAGTCGCTCCTGTACACGATGAACCCTCGCAAGTTTCAGGCTGCCCAGTTTCTCATCGACTATCACGAAAAGCGAGGCGACAAGACCATCGTTTTCTCCGACAACGTGTACGCCCTGAAAGCGTACGCGAGGAGACTCAACAAGGCCTTCATTTACGGCGGTACTTCCAACCAGGAGCGGCAGACGGTGCTTCAAAACTTCATGTACAACGAAGACGTCAAGACGATATTCCTTTCCAAGATTGGAGACACGTCTCTTGACTTGCCAGAAGCGACGTGCCTCATCCAGATATCGTCGCATTACGGCTCGCGTCGTCAGGAGGCTCAGCGTCTGGGCCGCATCCTGCGCGCGAAGCGCAGAAACGACGAAGGGTTCAACGCGTTTTTCTACTCGCTCGTTTCGAAGGATACAACCGAAATGTTCTATTCCTCGAAGCGGCAGGCCTTTCTTGTCGACCAAGGCTACTCTTTCCGTGTCATCACGCGACTCCAGGGCATCGAAAATCTTCCTGGACTGGTGTACGCGACTCCCCAAGAGCGGCGAGAACTTCTTACGGATGTGATGCTGCAGAACGACGTTGCGGGCGAGGTGGAGAAGAACGATGGGGACCTGTTCGACAGGAAAGGAGGTAACAGGTTCAGGAAGGGGGTGCGTCGCACGGCTGGAACGCTGGGCGAATTGAGCGGCGGCCATGATATGGCGTTTATGGAGCACACCAGAGACAAGAACAAGGAGCTTCGGGCGTCAGGAAACCAGACGCTCAAGAAGCTCAAGCGCAGTCTTGGAAAGCAGAACAAGAAGGTGCTGCCGTCGTAGTGCGGGTTGCACTGCGTGTGTTCGTATTCGGAATCCTAAAAGGCCTCACAGCTAGGTCACAGATGGTCAGATTTCGGCAACGGCGTTGGAGAGTGGATTCCTGGATGGGCATCGGATGGAGCAATGTACTATTCTACTTGATCATAGCAAGATTCCATAGACGAATGAATGCGGACAAACCGTGGCAATACTGAGGGTTGCATTGATGCAAGCTTTGCCTGGATGAACATCAACCTATGTCCAAATCAAGATAAAGCGAAGGAGTGGTGGTTGCTCGGCCACGCACGTGGGGAGGGCCGGCGCCAGGCACATGCGTCATCCATTGGCTGGGTGGTTCTCGCTACAGGGTCCGCCCCAGCCGTCCCGCATCCCGTCATCTCATCGACTCGGACCTTGCGGCCACCCGCTACCGCCCATCCGAGCCAAACTACCTATATAATAACCCCGTCTCGGGCCTCAACTCGTCCGCCTCTTACACACCTCAACCATTACGCCCTTGTCCTAGCACCAGCGCCGCAGCCGCGTCCCGCCGAGTCCCGGTCTTACCTCCTTATTTCCACGTGGGTCCCACTGCATTTGAAGGCAATTGCTTTGCACATCAAGAGCTCGGGAAGAGTGGTCGATTCGAAATGAAGTCTTCTATCATCTCCTCGGCACTGGCCCTCGTCGTCGCCCGCGCTGTTGACGCCGCCGCCATACCCGACGTGTCGAGCACGTTGCAGAACATCTTGCAGAACACGCACGGTAGTGACTTGTACACGTATCCCACCGATCTGACGCGTGGAATCATCCCTGTGAGTATCGTCATTATAATCAATGTTATCACTCCGGGCTAATGATGATTGATTGAATCAGAAACCATTCCACAGCCATAACGACTACTGGAGGGATGTGCCATTCTACTCCGGGCTGTCGTACGGAGCAGTATCCACCGAGGCGGACGTGTGGTTGATCAACGAGACGCTCTACGTGAGTCTCAATCCTCCCCTTCCCCACACAAGCATCTGATACCACCACCACTCTTTCTCTCCCCCTACCGCCTCCCAAACACAAAAAGAAAAGAAAAGGAAACACCCAAACCCAAAACTCACACGCCCCCGCCCCCCACCAGGTCGGCCACGAGCCCAGCGCCCTCACCCACGCCCGCACCCTCTCCGCGCTCTACATCTCGCCCATCCTCGACACGCTGCAGCGCGAAAACCCCACCACTTCCTTCGTATCCTCCTCAGCCACCAAAAACGGCGTCTTCGACACGTCCTCATCCCAAACCCTCTACCTCTGGATCGACCTCAAAACCGCCGCGTCCCCCACCTTCGCCGCCGTGCGCGCCGCCCTCGCGCCCCTCCGCCGCGCCGGCTACCTGACGACGTTCCACCCGTCCAACGGCTCGCTCGTCGCCGGCCCCGTCACCGTCATCGGCACGGGGAACACGCGGCTGGAGGACGTGTTGGACCAGACTAACGACGAGGACGAAGTCGCCGCCCGCGACGTCTTCTTCGACGCGCCCCTCGCCGCGCTGCCCGACCAAGTCACCGGGCCCGAGGTGTCGCCCGTGGCGTCGGCCGACTTCGGCGCCGTGTTTGGGGGGGACGTGAGGGGTGCGGGCGTGCCGGCGCTGAATGCGACGCAGTTGGCGACGCTGAGGGAGCAGGTGGGGGAGGCGCATAAGCGCGGGGTCGGGGCGAGGTATTGGGGCGCGCCCGGGTGGCCGGTCGGGACGCGGAATGCGGTGTGGCGGACGCTGTTGGATGAGGGGGTGGATTTGCTGAATGTGGATGATCTTGAGGGGGCGGCGGGGTTTTGGGAGATGGAGTGAGTGAGTGGGTGAGTGAGTGAGTTGGGTGGGTTGGGTGGGTAGACGGGGAGGAGGGTACGTTGGAGGTTGTGGTGGTGGTGGTGGGGGCTGTATTGTGCGGGGGTGGGGAGGAGTATTGTTCGGCATTCTCTTTTGCTCCTTTTACTACTGCTACTGCCTTTCTTTCTACTGGTGATGGAGATGTCCGTCCGGTTGGGAGTGGAAATGACGAGACGAGGACGGATCTGTGATCCGTGGCACATGTTGGATAATGACGATGCGGACGGCTGGGCATATTCCCAATGGCTGGTCGATGCTCGATGGTGGAATTCGGACATCTTGTTTTGGTGAAAAGTCTGCACACAGAGTTCTTTTTCCCCCTCGGGCACCAAAGCAGGGTGATCACGGCGTCTGCGTGCACCTGTCCCGCATCCACGTACGAGCCGGGAAGGTGGTATTGTGCGTGGCTACCGTTCTCGACGTGCTGTCGTCCGCAAAGGAGATTTGAACCAGGTTCGCGTCAACGAACAGCAGGGGCCGGAGAGGCATCTCGATAAGTCGCGGTGCCTTGAGAAAAGTCAATCCGCGCGCCGCCGTCGCTGTGATGAGAAGGGCGATGATTATGCAGATGGGACGTAATGAAGACATTGGGTGGAGCTATCAGAAAATGGGATGGATTGCAAGAGAAGAAGTAGAAAGCTCTAGTAGTTGAACAGACGGGATATTTATATCGTGTGGGTAGCGGAGCTTTCTTTAGTTGATGCCGTAACGCATCCGTTAGCAACAACTTTGCCGCATTGAGCATCTATGAAAAGTCAAAACCAAATCTGGAGGCTAGTATTGGCTTTGTTGTCGAAAAATTGGAAGGGGCATTCTAGCACCTGCATTCCAAACCCAAGATATGTTCTGGATTAGTTATGCGCATTAAGCAACGCACATGCAACGAGTCTGTCGTCTCCGAGTCCGTTTGCGGCAGGATACTGGAGGCGAGTGGCCCTTATTTCAATGTCATCTTGTCTTAGACATTGCTCATAGCCCTAAGAGGCGCTGTTAAACCACGTCTGCTAACCAGAGCAACGACCGTGCTTTGAGTAGACTGGCTAGCTATCTCGCATTACCCAACCTCCTCCTCCCCTCCCTTATCTTCTTCGCCGACTCCTCCAACTTCTTCTCAATCAGACCCACACTCTTCACCAGCAGCGAGACAGGCATAACAGCCCGCTCAGCAACAGCCTCGTAAAACACCCTCTCAATCCCCTCCAACCCCTCCAGCTCATCCTCATCCTCCTCCGCATACGCCGCTTCATCCGCACCGCCGCCCAGCAACGCCGTCGCCTTGGGCAGCCCCGCCACATCATCCACATCCCGCCCCTGCAGCATCTTCTCCGCAGCACTCAAATATTCATCATCATCGCCCCCATCCGCCGCTCCATCCACGCCGCCACCCACACGCACGAGAGCCATCGCCTCCCCCCGCGCCTCATCCACGGCGCCGCGCTCCCGCCGCCGCACCCACTCCGCCCACTCAAACGCCGGCACCTTCTTCTTCACGCGGTCGCCCTCGCCCGCTCCCTCTGGTTCCTCCCTCAACGGACACAACACCTCCATCCCCACCACCACCAGCGCCGCCAACTGCGCCTCCGGCAACCAACACCTAGCATCCACCTTCATCCTCCTCCTCCTTTCCCCACCACCCTCATCCCCACCAAACGCATCACCCCCACCAACAACCCACCCCACCCCCGCCCCCCTCGCCAACCTCTCCACCACCGGCAGCAATTCCAGCGGCAAGCCCAGCGCCTCGACGTACGCGCGGTAGGCCAGCGGGAAAAAGTTGAGCGGCGGCAAGGCGACGCCGAGGTCGGCGCGGAAGAGGCGGGCGAGGGCGCAGATGCCGGATTGGAGGCGCGAAGGGGTGGGGGGGAAGGGGGGGGACGGCGGGGCAGAGGAGAGGGCGGAGAGGTAGGCGGGGGGCAGGCGGTGGGTGAGCGGGGAGGGGAGGAGGAGGAGGGAGGGGGGGGTTGGGTGGGGGGAGTTGGAGCTGGGGGTGAAGCTGGGGGTGGGGTCGGTTAGGGTAGTTGGGGTGGTGGTGGTGTTGTTGTTGTTGTTTTGGGGTGCTGGGGGGTTGGTGATTGTGGTGGTGGAGGAGGAAGAGAAAGACAGCCAGGAGTGGAGGTCGTGCAGGGAGACGGGGAGCTGGAGCACGACGAGACCAAAGTAGCAGAGGACGAGGGTGTCGAGGGGTCGGATGGGATGCGGCGCGTTGTCGCGGTTTTGGGTCCACGAGAGGGCGCGGAGGCGGATGTGCCAGAGGTCGCGGATGACGATCTGGGAGAAAAGGTGAGGGTTGGTTCGTCGGCGTGGGTGATGGAGATTTACTTGCCTCAAGGTCGGCGGGCATGCCTTTGGAGTGGACCAGCCAGCGGGCTTGTGTGCAGAGGAGCCATTGCAGGCATTCGACGTAGCGCTGGAACGCGGCTTCGCCTTCGAGGTAGGCGCTTTCTTGCTCGTCCTCGTCTTCCTGCGGCTTCCTGATCTTGGTTCTTTTGCCGAAAGCGTTCCACGCATCGTCGTCCTGGAGCCAGGCATTGCGGTCCTCCTCCTCATCTGCCCTTCGGCCTACGTCAGGACCACGTACAGGGCTGCAAGGGAATCACCAAGTGCTTACATCTGTACTGTTCGGGTGCACTGGCTGGAGTGGCTGTGATGGCCGTCGGCGAAGTCGTTGGGCCCGCACGCTCGCGAGTCAGCCGCGCGCGCTTACATTACCTCTTCCGACGCGCCATCACGTGCTGGAAACCCTATCTAGTCCATCCACTTCTGGTCTCCGTCTCCTCAACTTTGAGACGCGTCTTGTCTACACGAAATAACGAATGGATTTGTGCAACAGGGCCGCTTGATCGGGTCTTGAACGCTAGGCAGAACAGTAATCGCCCGCTGAGTCTCAAGCTAGCAAAGTTTATTCAGTATGAATGAACTCAATTTTTAGTCTGGCTACGCTCATATGCAGCAGTCATGTTTACTTGGTTACCCAAGGGATGAATTACTTTTGAGGACCTTCTCCAGGCCCGAAACGCTGGCTGTGGCTGTGGGAACACGGAGAGAGCCCACACCGGTTCCCCAAAACTGTACTCTATGCTCAGTGTTAGGAAGTCATCCCAGAGAGGTTCAGCGAATTCCAGTGAACCAATACAGCTCAGTATCGTGACGTGCTGGGCGAAATTGCGCATACTAAAGCTGAATGTCCCTGCGTTGCTTCCCTTGTAGCACACAAAGCTGAAGTGTCTAGAGAAGGATGCAGCCATGTCGTTGCCGTCTCTAAACGGGTTTGGTACAGTATCAAAGGACCGTGTTGGATAGGAATCGATGGTAGTGTTCCTGAAGTAGCGAAGGCTGCGCTCTTGTGGGAGGCTTTGACGGTAGAGCCCATGGTGTTAGTAGGAAACGTTCGACCGGCTGCCATCCCTCGGCACCCTTCCGCGTTGGATGTGAACGATTGCATGGATGGTTCGGGTGCGAAAAGGATCGGGGGCTTGGAGAAACCCGAAACCGGCGAACGGCTTGGGACGTCCTTGGCGCTAGACAACGTTGAGAATGACGTCTGTTGTCTGCATCTAGTTCATCAGTATGCGATACCCCGCACAGACTGACGGGACCAAAGGGGTCAACGAGGTCTCCTAGGTTCCTCATTGCATGCCCTGCATGAATAGTGCAAGGAGAAGGTCTCAGCCGCCTCTGCTCGGACCTTCGTGTCAACCCTGTAAACCAATGTCGTCGAACTTGTGGCGACGTCATTGGTCCAAAAGCAAGTAACGGCTTCCTCGACCATTCTCCCGGCTGGACACGAGATTCCCAAGCGCGGCTCAACTAGCCATGCTAGCATAGAAACAACAAGCCATCAGCCGGCGTATTGTTGCGTCACCTGGACGGAATAAATTAGGAGATGACGGTACGTTATCCAGATCGCCTCCGCGATGATCCCGATCCCATCGCGATCCCGAGAATCGAGCACGACGCGCGCATTCGCTCTACGCCGCGAGATTAAGGACTGCGGCAGGACTGCGGCAGCGCTGCGGTCTGCGTCGACATCATACGAGCGTCGATGTTGTTCGTGTGCCGCGGAGACGGCCGAAGCCCAGACCGAGGTCAGGCAGGGCCAGCTCAATACATTGTTGCAGACCCAGCGGCTCCAACGTTGACCAAGACATGGTGGCCTTCCAGAACAACCGTCTACCTAGGCCCACCTCAAGGTCGTGTGCATGATGTCGAAGTGCGCCTGTGCAGGCCACCATGTGTCGCAGCGTCGGCCCACGTATGTGACTTTACACTGATTGGAAGCTGACGAGGAACTGCTGCAGGCTGACAAGGATACATGTGGGGGGACGACGTCAGAAAGACGCCTTCCGGCTGGAGAGCCATCACTCGGTGGATAGCCGGCTACGTATTAGGCAGACGGGCACCGGTGGTGAGCAACACTAGTGAGACTATAGAGCAAACAACAGCCTTGGCGTGCGATGCCCGCAGAGATCGACCGAACGGTTAGCTATCTTGGTTTTGGAAATGGCCGTGGGAATAGATGGGGCAGCTGTAGCAGAGCTCGTGCGAGTGGAGCCGCACGACTTGGTCCAAGGGCCGTCCTTCCGGGCTGCGCGACGCGATGGAGGCCACAAGAGCGAGGTGGTGCGGATATGACGTTCCCGTCGGACGGAGGTTGCGACATTCCGGGCAACTGCGCGAAGCGGCTTGGCCTGTTGGTGGAGGGCGTCCAGAGGGTGCGAGGTGTGATATCACGGGGCTGCGTCAGCCAGGCGGACCGCCCTCCGGGAACAGGAGGCAGGGCGACGACGCGAGGATTAAGCTCATCATCATGCTGCCTGACGTTAGCAGACCGAGGTGATCGCCAGGCGGTGGTGAGAAGGGTGGCGGGCGTTGGATGCAGGAGTTGTTGGCCCGGGCGATGACATCAGAGGTGGCGTCGTCGCACCAGCAACACCACCGCTCCCGGAACGCGCCTCGCCTTGGAACACGAGACTAGCAACGGGGAGCCTGCAAATGCTCCTGCTCCTGTACCCGCTGTGTAGATCATGATGCGCGACGAAGCGACGGTCGTGCGGGGGAGCTGGGCTGGCCGTGGGCGAGCGTGTGAGTGTCTGGCAAAGGGGGCGACGTTGACGGCAATCACTTCGGTCTCGCTGGCCAGCCTGCATGACGGGTGGCGAGCGGCAACAGACCTATCTCATCAGCATTCCTAACGTGTACAGAGGCTGACTTGAGGCGGGCCGAGGTTGGGACGGCAACCAGCGCCAGCGGAAATGCACGACAAAGCAGAGCAGCGGGAGCAGAATTCAAGCAAAATTATTGCAAACAGTAAGATTCAACGGTGCACCGAGCACAAAACAAGCAGCAATTCGGTCATAGCACGTAGAAAGACGTTGTCCCACCGGGTCGCGCGGGCAGGCGCGCGGAATGCGGCGACGGCCAGCGAGAGGTTAGGGTCGGCAGCGGCACGGGGGTCGCGCAGCGTCGCAAAGTGCCGGGCGTGGAATGGAAGCGAGGGCGCGGTGGTCGCGACGAGTTGCTTGGGTGGTGATCTCTCTCTGGAGGAGCGTTGAGAGGTGACGCACGGCGGATCGTCAACTGGGACATCTGGGTCGGCTGGGAGCCGCATGGGCGGGTTAGCGGGCGGTCTCGACCTCGGGGCAGCAGGGAGCGGCGGTGCGGCGGATGACCCGCAGGCAGCGCGGAGACGGTAGCTCAGGAGGAGCCAGGAACATGAAGTCAGCGGTGGAGGCGCGGCGTCGCAGCTTGGCGCGCGCATCATCGGCCAGCGCTAGCGCCGAAAGCAGACCCTGCATCGTCATACCAGTGCCTCTCGTCGCCCGCCACGCGCCTTTGCGCCCTCACCCCATCCCGCGCTCGGCGCTGACTTCATTCCCGCCAGCAGTCCGCCTGCCGCTCGCCGGCGCCTGCTCCGTGCTCCGTGGTCCGCGCCTGTGCTGCTCCCGCCCGTCGCACACGGCCATTCGCTGACGCCAGCCCAGGCCGCCGTGCCGCCGTCATTTCCTCCCTGCGTCGGCGTGCCGTTTAGCCAGCCATGCACCCTCAGCTAGCGGCGGGGATCACGCTGTCAGCGGCGCTGAGCCCTGGTCCGCCGGCGTGCGAGCGGCACGCGCCAGGCGGGAACGCTGACGAGGGCGCGCTGAGGGAACCAGAGCCGCTCCCAGACGGAATCTAGCATCACTAGTTGACGAGCAGATCAGGGTCCACGGAGCGCACCTGTGCCCGGCTGGGCCAGTCGATGGCCAGCGATCCAGCAGTTGTTGTGGGTGCTGCCCTTATCGCCCTCGTTTGGACCCTGAAAAGCTGCTGTGTCCGGAGCGATCGGCGTTATGATATCGTTGGACGCCACAAGCGCGGTCCTAGCCTGGCATGCCCTGCCTGGCCTACCACGCCCTTCCCCCACCCCGCCCTCCCCGCCCGTGCTGCCTGCCCATGCTGCCTGCCCATGCTGCCCGCGCTGCCCATCATATGCCCTCGCCTCGCTGCTATATATGCCCGAGCCCTGCCGCCTGTATCCCTCCAGCATCAACAAGCAATCTCCAGCTCTATAACTACCGACCACCACCGCTCTCGACACTTCTTCATTCGGCTCATCAATCGCAACACCTGCCAACCACTCTCCTCCAACCACTTTACAACTACACACCCAGCCACAATGTCTGCTGCCACCGCCCGTGTTTACGTCACCGACGACTACTCCGCCCCTATGTCGCCTCAGCACAACTTTGCCAACCACTACGACTTGGACGACCCCACCACCTCCATGAGCCTCTACGCTCGGTACGTTACCGCCGCCTCCGTTCTTCGCATTGTTTTCGATTCTAACAAAGTCGCAGTGTGATGCACGAGCACACGAAGCACCAGCTTGAGAGCGCCACCTCCTCTGCTCGGAGACGGTCGCAGGGTGGCAGCAACGCCAGCATTTCGTCCGAGTCCAGCCACGGCTCCGTCAGTTCCTCTTCCTCATAGAAGCACCTTGGAATTACTCGGTGACGACCATGTCCGGAACATGGCTTGTTCGCTTGTTTCACCAGTAGCGCATTTCTAAACTACTGCTTCATGACTCGATGTTCTAGCGGGTTGGCGGCGGGGGATTATGGCGCATTGTTTGGACCTCATTTGAACGGAGTTTTTTCGATAGCGACATTTTCACAGCGCATCGGCGCTGAAACTTCCTGTACACGGTTTTAGTTGGCCTAGCGACGCATTTCTAGACGGATTGCCCTTTAGGGTGCTCTCCACATATGACGTACAATTCTTCAAGGATGTTGCACCCACTTCATTTATTGGCTTCATGTCATGGCACATACGCCTGTCATTCCTTGCCCAACACAGCAAAGTGATATTCGTTTCCTCTGTAAATCTTGTTCACTCAGTCTCACCCCGCAGATCTCTCTTCCCTGTTGCCCAAACGGCGTCTCCTATGCTTAGAAGCACTTTGGTCAAGCACACCTGCTCACGCTCGGCGGACATCGTTCCGCCATGGTTTCCTCGCTACTTTGGCGGCGGTAGCATGGACGGGCGCAGCGCGAAGGATGCAACCTACTACAGCGAGCCCCATCCCACCCGCTCGTGGGCTTGACGCCCCTCTCCACCCTGCTGCTCGCGGATCCCTGTTCGATTTGGCAAAGCAGCGCCCACTGAATCTTGCGAGACCCTGGCAGATAGCAACGATGATCTTCCCTGCTTCGAAGATTGGATTCTTGGCACACATCGCACGCCTCACACAAGTGCCAGCTCTGGACCACTTAGGCGCGCCCCAACGGCCGAGCTAGTCCGCGTCTCAGCAAGCCCCCCAATGCAGGCTAGAAACGGCGCCCTCCTCCTCGCTTGGCCGGGAAATGGGTCGCCGTCACCACTTTGCTACCCTACCTGACCCCCCCGTTCTCGCCCGTGGGGGGGTCACGCTGCCGAGTGCCTTCAAAACGTTACACCCGACGACGGACTCGCAGGCGGCTTTCGCCGCTAAAAAAAAAAAAAAAAGATCCTTTCTGGTCTTTCTCTTCCGTTCCCCGCTTCGGGCGAAACGATCGCCCGTCTGCCGGCGCTTGTCGGGCACCCTTCTGGCAGGAAGGCGTGCAAAAGACCTTCCAGACCCTGGCGCGGTTCGTTGATCTACCCAGGCACGTACCGCCCCGTCCCAGCACAAAAAAATGTGTAGATACGCTTCTGGGATGGAACGAGGGCAGAGTAACTAGCCCGTTCGTGGTCGTTGACAAGTCACCACGGGGGGCTGAACTGTATCGTGTACGCCACACCGACAGAAACGCGAATGACCCGAAAGCAGCCCACAGTGAGGCTGCCCTGCCCCCGGTGGCCCTCCGCCGTTGTCGTCACCCTTGGCCAGTGGCCAACAGCGCCGCGACGCATGTACAGACAGCCACTTGCGACCTAGCCCCCCGTGCTCCCATCTCCGAGACATCATACCTGGCCCGTGACATGCCGTCACCTGCTCATGATGAGACGCTCAGCAGACGACCCTCTCTTGTTGGCCACGCCAGAAGACCCTGGATGGGCAACGCACCAAGGCCGAATCGGGCGCGCGAGGCCGCCCCGGGCGGACGTGGTGGTGGCGGCGGCAACAAATGCCATCACTCTCAGGGTCCAGAAGCCATGTTTCACACTTCCACAAACCCTATCCTCCGGCCAGCCCGTTCCGGGTACTCGAGGCGTCGGCAGCGACGAGCCAATGTGGGACTGGGAATCGGCTCGCTAATCGTTGTTCCGTTTCCTGTTGCGCCGCCGCCGTCATGTGTGTGTGCGCGTCCCCACGGGGGATCCAACCACCCCGTGCGTTGCTCTCCTCATCAGCTCTTCTCGTCAACGCAAACGAAAAAAAAGAAACACCTCGAAACGATGTGGGCATTTTCGCGTGAGGCGGAAAGCGGGGCGGAAAGCGGTCAAGCGTGTGGATTCGAAAAAAGACCCCTGATTCCTTCGGGTGGGTCTTGGGGATTGTCCTAGCGATTCGCGAGCGTAGAGAGTTGGCACCGGAAATGGTTGCTTGGACCAAGCATCCGCCTCCGTCGACGACACCATCGCCGGCATCGTCACTTCATTGCTTTCTTTTCCCATCTCGTGACACAAACCCGAGTCCCGTCCCTTTCCCTTGCATGACTCGGGGTCTTAGCTCTTTTTCGAATGAACGCGAGAGAATTCGCGCATTGTCTAGGCGCCGCCGATCGGGTGGCGAAAAATAAAGGGCTGAAGGGTGGTGGCCACACCTTTGGCCCGAGCCACGACACTTCTGTTCTCTCGCCCGGCGCGACTTCAACAACAAGAAGCTGCTCCGCTCTTTTGGCCCCAGATTGCTGTACGATGTCTAGTTTCATCCTTCGCGGTGAAGCCCGGCTGGATTGTTGAGGACCCTGGGATCTGCCTACCGACCGCCTCTGGCCAAGCTTTTGGGCATGTCTCTATCCGACGCACAAGGGCCGTCGTAGCCGCGCGCATGGCCTGAAGCGAACGTTTGCATTGACTCGTGAAAAGGCCACCGGTCAATGGCGGCGTGGTCCTGGAGGATGCCTAATTATCCGACGGTTCCAATGGGGGGCAGGGGTGTTGTCCCCCGGTTCACCATGGGCATGTAGATACGCACCCGACATTTGCCTACCCTAAGGCTCGCCCCGTTCTCGGAGACTATATGTCCACGGATCTAAGGAGTGCCGATGATTCCACCCGAGCTACCCCACAGTGGGTTGCGAAGGGACTGACCTCACCTCGTCTGTCTCGCAGCGATATTGGACCCTCTCTGTGCGGGATACGTTTGTACAGCTTTTAGTTCCACGTCTGTCCAGGTATTTGCTTTGACTGCCGAATGGGAAGAGTGTAGGACACAGAAGGATCAACCCGCTATGACTCCGCGCCAATCATGCTGCAAACCTTGTGCCATCATAGGTAGACCCTCTTCTCCCGCGAGCCCGGTGAAGCCTTTTTCTTCACCTTTTCCTCATGCTCAATCTTCTTCTGACGTTTCCGACTGCGAGGATGACTCAAGATCCGCTATGTCCTCCTTTGGCCAAAGGACTTTTCCCTGCTTTCCAGAATCCACATTGAGCACCTGGCCGTGGACATGGCTGCTGAAGGTGTCGCTCGAGAGGAAGAGTATACTCCTGGCTACAGCTTCCACTGGAACCGGCTTCCCCAGCCCAGTCTGTGGATATCAGTCAGCGTCAGCGTATAGGTATAATACATGGGGAGCGTGCTCACTCACCGTGGCCTGTGCATCCAACCACAGCTGCTCAGGGTTCGCGGCGCATTCTTGCCTAAACCTTGCCGTGTCGACAGGTCCTGGAGCCACAGCATTCACACTAGAACAGAAGAGATTCTCGAGTCAGAAAACATGATCGACTCTCAAAACAGCAGCAGCAAGGGAAGGGGAAACGAAAGATCGAACAAAAGGAAAAGAAAACAACCGAACGACAACAAAAAAAAAACCAAAAGACCAAAAAGAAAACCAACATCAAAACGTGAGAGGAAGTAAAGAAAAAAAAGAAAGAACGAACGAACGAACGAAAAGAAAGAAGAAAAGGGAAAAAAAAAAACCCACCGCGCCTTCCCATACACCCTCGGCGCCTCCGCCGCCAAGCTCTTCATCAACCCCCCCTGCACCGCGCTCTTCGCCGCCGCATAATCCGCACCCCCGCGCTCGCCCCACCACGCGCTCTCGCTCCCCACGAGCACCAGGCACGCGTTCTCCAAATACTCCCAGCTGCCCTCGGCGTCGCGGATCCCGCGCAGCCACTGCCGCGCCGTCAGAAACGCCCCCACCACGTTGACGTCCAGCGTGCGCCGGAACCGCGCGACGCTGACATCCACCACCCCGCCGCCGCCGCCGCCGCCGCCATTCCCGCCATCCACCGACCCCTCCCCCTCGGACGACGACGACGGCGACGACGACGACGTCGACGCCGCCGCCCCCGCCGCCCCCGCCTGCCGCAAGACGCTCAGGTCCAGCCCGGCGAGCGCGACGCAGCACGCGACGGGCCCGTTCTCGGCGACGGCGCGGCGCCACGCGCGCGCGAGCGACGCCTCGTCCGCGACGTCGGCGTGGTACTCGTGCAGGGTGCCGGGGCCGGTGTAGTCGGTTTCGCGGTCTTCTTCTTCTTCCTCGTCGTCCGAGGAAAGGTCCGGCGGGGGGTTATAGGCGATGTCGAGGGAGGAGACGTGGGCGCCTTCGGAGAGGAAGGCGCGCGCGACGGCGAGGCCGATGAGGCCGGCGCCGCCGGTGATGAGGACGTGCGTGTCCTCGAGGTTGAGGGAGAGCGGCATTGTTGTTGGGTCGGGGCGGGGCGGGTCGGGTCGGGTCGGGGCGGATTGGATTGGATTGGATTCTCTGGTCTTTGGATTCCTTGCTCTTTTTTTTGGGGGGGGTTGCTTGGCTGGGTTTGGGTTGTGGGTGTGGTTTTTTTTTCTCCCTTCCTTTGCGGGTGGTGGGAAGGTGACGTAGGTAGGTCGGTCGTGGGTTGGTGACAGTGCGTGGGGCTTGGGTGGTGGTGGTGGTGGTGGGGTAGGTAGACGAACGACGCTATCCTGAAAAGGCAAGCTTACGACAGGGAATACGAACATGGATGCGGACGTCTCTCTAAACGTGAGCTCCATCAGTAAGGGGATGAATGAGCGCAGTTCGCTTGAAAAAAAAATGATTTACGTTTTTAATTTGCACGCTGAACGCTGGGTTCCCATTATTGGGTATGTACGGCATTGGGGACTCTGTGCCTGTGGACTTGTGGAAGCGGCGCTGAATCAAATAGCCCCCAAGCGTGCTTGTAGTAAGCGATGCATATTGCGTGAGAGCAGAAATCAACTTTCTTCTCCATTCTCCCATGCTGAGCCACTTTGAGCTCCCGGTGCATCACTTCCTACACCTTACACACAACAAAGCCAGTCCGCGGGAGATCAGTTTCGCGAGGATGAGGCGGGAAGTCGCAGAGGGAGTGACGAGGCGCTGGCGATATTTTTTCCAGGACGGGGGGCGGGAGAGGAAGGATGGGTGGGCGGTTAGATGGAGACGGTGTAGGGAGGGGTGAGAGACGCGGCGGAGGTGTCGAGGCTACCAGGTTACATGGTGGGAGGAGACGGGGCTCCCCCGGTAGCGGAGAAGAGGGCTATGGTGGGTGCCGAGGGTTATTTGTCAGTCATTGTCGTTTTGCTTTGTTTCGTTAACGTGTGTGAATTTTCTCTCTTCCCCTCTGTCACTTTTTGTTTTCGCTTTGAGGATGACCCGATTTGATGGCAAGTCCGTCGTCGAAAAAAAGGGCGACGACGAAGCAAACCCGCTAAGAAAGCTTGCGGGAAAGAAGCTTTATAAGCATCCTAAACATTCCTGCACACAGATCTCCCCACCTGTGGAGCCGAATGTTCCGAATGGGCCCGGCGAGGCGGACCAACGTGCCCCGGATTTACGGTGCTAGATCCAAGGCGATCCACAAACTGAATCAAGAGGGCCGCGGATATCGATCATCAGCTGCATGAACAGATCGGGATATATCAAAACTATTTCTCTAGCTACAAGATGGGTGGGCAGCTGTGCCCCGCGAGCAATCTTTCCATACTGCATCTATTGATATGGTCCTGACTCTAGGTTTCTCCGCGTCTATTCCAACGGTGCGATCCAGTCTTTGGAAGTGAAAGAGACATCAGCCTGCTCCAGGCTTCATGTGCTGCCATCCACCCTCGGCCGTCCATTTCCCGGCCTTGGTGTAATCTCCCGCACGCCGCCCGTTCATGTATGCAAACCTGAAATATTCAGGGAGTTCAATGTCTTGTCGTACCCAAGTGAAACTGGTCTTGTCTTCATCCAAATATGCACGGAATCGCTCAACATCGTTCACAAGAATGCTGACGCCGTCGTACTTTTCTGGCAACGGCAACTGCCACTGGAACGTGATGTTGGGCATGAGACTGTGATATGTATCCTGCACGTTATGAATAACAGGTGGCAGGATCTCGGGCAACAATGTCCCGAGGTGGGCATCTTGACGAAGCTCAAACGGAGTCTGCAGAATGCTGTCAAAACCCCAGCGGGCAATTCCGTTGATGAACAGGCCGACCAGAATACCCTGGTATAGGAGACTGGGCCGGTTCTGCATCGACGTGCCCGGAATAAGCAATAGTGCCAAGATGTAGTGATGAATGCGGACGTTCATCTGCGGGACCGCCACCAGGGCAAGAATACAGCCGGCCATGATACCATAAATGACAAGGTACCGTGGAAGCCTTCCTTCGACACGGAAAGCGTAGGCCTGACCCAGAGCGATGAAAAAGAGGGAAAGAACGATGATGATGAGAGCCGGAACAGCACCAGGCTGCTGCTTAATGTCATGCGGCGTAAGGCGCTGAATGGGGATCTTGTCGAACGTGTAGTTGTTCAACGCACCGACCCAGCAGCCACCGAGCCAGAGAATGGTCTTCTCGAACTGGGCGGTGAGGCCGGCCAGGGTAGGGCGGACCGAGAACTTGTACATGACGAAGGCACAGAATGCAGCGGGTAAGAATCGGCCCAATGCGATGCTGATGAGAGCATGGTAATCAGTAAGATCGGGCGGGTCCGACGCCAGCGCGACGTGGAAGAAGATGCCGAAGAAAATCGAGGGAAAGAATACGGGTGGCGATGTGGTGAAAAGCGATAGCAGGACGGTAAAGGTCAACGACACGGCGAATAGGGACCAGCGCAGGTCCTTGCACTGCGAGGCAGTCCCTTCGACAAAGGTGTACGAGAGCGGGAAGTACGAGTCGAAGCCGATGCTGTTGATGCCGTGGTGATTGGACGAGGGGTATCCGCTTCGGGTGCCGATGCGCGAAACCACGCCGCAGCCGCCAGCCTTGTTGCTGACGAAGCCGGCATGAATTGCGGAACCGCAAATGAAGGAATCGCCGCGATAGATGGTGCTTTCGACGTCGTCCTCTCCGGCGCCCTCGGTGGGGCCACCAATGACAAGAGATCGGTAGTTGACCTCCTGATCACCAACGGCATGAGGGTTCACCACCTCGACACGCTTGCAGTTGGCGGGGCAGCGGAATGGAAACGAGTTGTTGCCGAAAGGACGGCAGTTGTCTCCGTTCAAACCGCATCCGTTGTTATCCGACCTGGCCCAAGTCAGCGAAGCACTAACAGTTTACGGAGGGCTGCATACCAGAAGCGGGAAAGGCAGGTAAGCCTGACCGGAGAGCCATATTCGCCGATCTCGGTGGAGAAGGCCGACTTGCGCAGCACCAGCGAGAAACAGAGGAGCCACAGCGCGTAGAAGGCCACCAGCAGCCAAGCCTTGTGCTTCCGCTTGGGCAAGTATGTATCCAACAGGCGCGGCAAGGCGGTCTGAGCCGCGGGGAAGAAGGGGGTGATCTTGTACGGGCGCGGGGGCTGCGGCCCCTTGATCCACGTGGCGACAGAGTCTACGACCCGGCTGACGGGCTTTGGGACGTAGCTAGGCGGGCTAGGCGGAGCGAGCAGCTCGTCGACATCGTCGTAGCTGTAGGGCTCGGCATGGTTGTTGTTGGTGGCGGTCGCGTCGGAGTCGACGGTGCTGGTCGCGTCGTCGCGATACTCGGCCTGCAGGCCCTCGCTGTCCTGGTATGGTGGCGACATGTGGCCGGCATCCGAGGCCGGCGGGTTGTCTGGGTCGGGTCAGCCGTCAAGCCGGAATGCGCCGGAGTTAATGGCTAGAGGGCGCAGCGACGTCGGCCAGCGAGAGTCGGCCAGCGCGGAGAGAGGCACAGCGGTGGGCGGCGGGAGAGACAAGGGAAAGGCAAGCTGAGGCGGTCGGAGCGGGAAAGGAGGGAAGGTGTGGTGGTGAAGCAGTCAGGCGGACGAGTCGTACCTGCATGCTGGTGCTGGCGGCGGCCATGACGTGCAGCCCGCCCGTGCTCTCGGCGGCCGGGCAGCTCGTGGCTCTCGTCGCCTCCGAACTTCGTCCACCACCCGTCCATGTCTTGGGCCGGCGACGACGTTGTTGGCGCGGCAGTCCGTCGCGCTCGAAGCGGCTAGGATGAGGGACCGCGGGCTAGCGTGTCGATTGATGGACCGCCAAACAGCCGTCTGCCGTCTGCCGTCCGCCGTCTCCACCGCTCCCCGGCTGCCTGGCCGCCTGGCCGCCTGGCCGCCCCGTCAGCGCGTCCGTGCCGGTGCGCGCGCGGGAATGCCGCGCTCCGAACGGGCAGCTCGCGTCTGGTTGCTTACAATTGCAGCTCTCTTATCGCCGACGCTATCGCAATCCATACCTCAGCATCACGACAGCGCACTCCCCATCCTTCCCCACATCCCGCCTTCTGTGAATCTGCCTTTCTCTCCCCTCGCAGCACCCGCCCGGACAGCGTCCATTATTCCAAAATGGAGCCGAACAAAGAGCTGCCCAAGCCCGTGGATCTGTCCCACCATCTTTCGCGCAATGCCAAGAACAGGGAACCCTCGTCTATGAAGTCTTTCTACAAGTACTTCATGATTCCGGGCATAGGCCAGCTTGCGGGCGGTCCGACTCCCTGCCGCCAACCTCGTAGTCCTCGCAGTGCTCATGCAATATCTAGGTCTTCCCAACGAGAGATATTTCCCCTACGACGACTTCGAGGCCCGTGTGGCCCTGCCGGACCGCTTCAAGCCCACTCCTAACAGCCCTGTCGACCCTCCCACTGCTGAAGTGTCCAATCTCTCTCTCTGTGACTCACCTCAATCCGCTCGCATCCTTGTTCCGCACTCTTCGCCCACCACCGATCCTCTGCGCAAAATCGACTTGGATTCGGCTCTGCAGTACGGCACTGCCCAGGGCTACCCTCCTCTCTACCAATTCGTCCGCCAGTTCACCACTCAAAACCTGCACCCCAATGTCCCCTACCGCGGCGGCCCCGAGGTTATCCTGACCTGCGGCTCTACCGACGGTTTCTCCAAGGTCGTCCAAGCTTTGACCAACGAATGGAGCGAGGATCGGGATCCCATAGACGACAGGGAGGCCGTGCTGGTTGAAGAATACTGTTACACAAACGCCATTCAGGCTGTGCGCCCTCGTGGCGTCAACGTTGTGCCTGTCAAAATTGATGACGAGGGCATGCTGGCCAAAGGCCCAGGCGGGCTTGAAGATGTTCTCGACAGTTGGGATGTGTCGCGAGGCCGACGCCCGCACTTGATCTACACCGTAACGTACGCAGTCATTTTCCTACTCAAAGCACCACCGCGACCAGCTCAAGTCTTCCCTATCCCTGTCATCAGCCCGTGTTCCCTTGCCCCTGCGCCCACGTTCTACGACATAAGCCATCCCCCCATTCAAATTAACACAGCCCCGCAGAATCGGTCAAAACCCAACCTCCGGCGTGCTCAGCTTGCAGCGCCGCAAGGAGATCTATGAGCTCTGCGTCAAGTACGACATCATCATCGTCGAAGACGATCCCTACTGGTACCTCCAATACCCGTCGGCCAACCCCGCCCCGCCCTCGAAGCCAGAGGGCAAGTCCTCGGGCTTCGACTTCCTCGACTCCCTCGTGCCGTCCTACCTGTCCATCGACTATGAGGGCCGCGTCATCCGCGTCGACACCTTCAGCAAGACGGTCGCCCCGGGCTGCCGCCTGGGCTGGCTCACCGCCCAACCCGCCATCGTCGAGCGCATCCTGCGCCTGACCGAGACGTCGACGCAGCAGCCCTCGGGCTTCGTGCAGTCCATGATCGCCGAGCTGATCATGGGCCCGCAGAGCAAGCAGGACGGCGGCGGCGCCGACGGCCGCGGCGGCTGGGACGTCAGCGGCTGGGTGCGCTGGCTCGAAGGGCTCCGCGGCAACTACGAGCGCCGCATGAACGCCATGTGCGACGTCCTGGACGCGGGCAAGCACCTCCTCAAGACGGGCCGCCGCCACTCGCTCAGCACGCTCGTGCACCCCTCCTCGTCCAACGGCACGGCCGAAGACCTCGACGAAGACGAATGGGCCGTCGTCGAGTCGACGCAAATCTACTCGTTCGTCCGCCCGCTCGGCGGCATGTTCGTCTGGCTCCGCTTCGACTTCCGCTCGCACCCGCTCAGCAGCAGCCGCAAAACTTCCTCCTCCTCCTCTTCCTCCTCCTCCTCATCCACCTCCAGTCCAACCACCATCCCCCCCGCCCGCCTCTCCCGCGCCCTCTGGGTCTTCCTCACCACCGCCCCCCACCGCGTCCTCGTCTCCCCCGGCGCCATCTTCGCCCCCACCCCGGACATCGCCGCCCGCGACGCCCACAACTGCTTCCGCATGTGCTTCGCCGCCTGCCCCGACGCCGACGTCGTGCCCATCACCCGCCGCTTCGTGCGCGGCGCGCGGCTCTTCTGGCGGATCCGCGACCCCGCGCGGATCGATGAGATTTTGGAGGATGAGGATTCGGGTGTTGAAAGGGAAGGGTTGGAGATGGGGGGGTTGGCTGGGTTTGGGTTTTGTTGAGGGGGCGGGGAGGAGAAGGGGAGGGAAGGGAAGGGGGAGGGTGGTGGTTGACGGATAGAGAGAGGTGGGGAACTGGGGTTGGGACAGGAGGAGGAGGAGGACTTTTGGAAAGTAGTATGGTATGTACAGATTGGCTCAAAGCGATGCATGTGACGGGAGAGGGGGACGCCACGTCGGCCGGGTTTAGAGGGAGATGGAATGTTGGGGGGATTCTCATTTAGCAAGGAACAAGGCGAAAGCGGGAGACGATGGGCATGTTCCATAACGACTACCATAGTGTGATTTATGACAACATATATAACGAGATTGCGACCTTACACGAACGTTTTCTTAGATTTGCACGGCCAGCGAAAGGCTGAGAGCGTGCTGCTTCATTTCGTGTCCCTTTTCGGTATTGTCTAGCTTGAATTGATATTTGCTTCTTCCAAGTTCGTTTTTTGTCTTTTCTTTCTCGGCTTCTAGTGTTGAATTGTCGACGGTCGTGCTGGTGTGTACGTACATCTCTCTCTTTCAACGAATACAGCAAAGCATTAAAAACTCATCAACATTCAACACCCAAGAGGAAACGAGCCCCTTCCGACGTGGACCACATTTACGTCAATCACTCCGGCACAGCCAAGACGAGAACAAAGCAAACACACCACACAGCATCTCGCAAGAGATCAATCATCAAGATAATTTGATTCACCAAAAATAAAGAGAAAAAGGCCCCCTCGCCTCCTCCTGATCCTCTACCGGCGGCGCCTTGGGGGAAGATGCCACTTAGCCATGTCTGTTCTACCAACAGCAAGAACTGTCAACCGTTTGTCCCGCAAATCAACTCCTGTTCCCGTGTTCTGCAATGCAATGCCACCTCCCCTTTCTCTTTCCCAATAATCGGCCGTGACCGTAATAACGCACACGCCACTACCGCTTGCTCGCTCTACATGCGTGGTTGTGAAAAAAAAACAACAACCAGGAAAGACAGGAAAAGCAAAGAAGAGAGCCCCAAGGGGAAGAGGAAAAAAGGGCTCCATCATCATCATCATCATCATCATTCACGCGTTAATATTCCTCAACGCGCCCAACCTGCCATGCCCACCAAGCCCGCTCGGCGCCGGACTGCCGCCCCTACTCCCCGGCGCGCCGCCGACCCTAGGGCTGCGCGGGACGCTGCCGGCGCGGGTGCCGACGCCCTGCCTGCCGCGAATGGCCTTGAGCTCATCGTTCCTGAGCTGGAGGGAGGCGGTGCGCTCGTGCAGCTGGAGCGACAGGCGGTCGATTTCCTGCTGGTAGGCGGCGGTGGCGGTTGCGAGGCTCTGGCGGCGGGCGCGGTCGCGCTCGCCGGCCTTGAGCCGCTCGAGCTCGCGCACCTGCTGGGTGAGCGTCGCGACGCGGTCCGACAGCTCGGCCGCGCCGTTGGACGCGTCCTGGTACTGGGAGCGGAAGAAGTCGGACTCGCGGCCCTCGGCCTCGCGCAGCTTGCGCACGCGCTCCAGCCGGGCCAGCGCGTCGTCGCGCTCGCGCCGCAGCTGCTCGCGCTCGGCCACCTCCGGGACCGTCGAGCTGGCCAGCTGCTGGCGGGCTTCGTCCAGCTGCTCCTTGAGCGCGTTGCGCTCGTTCCGGAGGCTGTCGATCGTGTCGTTTTGCGTCCGGATGCGGCTGCTGACGTTGATTTGGCTCTGTTTGAGTTCGGTGTTCTCTCTCTTGAGGTTGAGGATGATGTCCCTTTGTCCTTCTTTCTCGGTCTGGCATTTTTCGAAGGCCTCTTCGAACTCCTTCAAACGCTCCTTTGTCTGCCTGAGCTCCTTCCGAAGCTTTTCGTCCTTGCGATACGCCCGCAGGCCTACATCCGCATTGGAGCTTGAGTGGAGAGGTTGTAGCTGTGTAGCACCAGGAACAGAATCGCTGATGCGGGTAATCTCATTGGGGTCGATAGTGTCGGTTCCGGGCTGTGGTGTTATCCGCGTCCTTTTGGTCGGTTCCTCCATCTCCACATCCAGGGGCCTCTTCTGACCGGCGGATGGGCTCAAGGTCCCAATGGGAATCGAAGACGAAACGGACAATGCAGACACCATTGACTCGTCAAAGTGGACGTCGTCCTTAACGCTGTTGATACGGGGGAGCGGCCAAGCCTCGTGATGTTCCAGATCATTCTCGATGCTGGGCACAATGAAATTGACCGCATGATCAGCCTTGGTGGACACGTCGACCCTGCCAGCCAACTGCCTGAGCTCTGTCATGAACCGCACGACCAGCCTTTCTCTTACGGCTCCTTGGACCGATGCTGATATGCAGCGTTCGACGTGTTCGACCGAGTTCGTAACAATGGGCGTGATCACCGGGATGGAGTCCTTGGAACCGCGAAGATGGTTCCTGAGGGCCTTGATCTTCGGGTCGTGGCACTGGACCGTTGAGTCCATGGCGAAAATCAGGTGAGCAGCGGGGATGGCCGTATCCACACTGTTAAAGTCGGTGCCAAGAATGGTGACAAACAGAGACTCTCGTGCCTCAAAGGCGTCGCGGTCGACGTGGCCCCCTCGGGAATACTGGATTCCCAGCCCATTAACAAATTTCTCGATGATATCCATCAACGTTCCCTGGTGGCCCAAAATGACGAAATGGAACTTGGCGTTTCGCAGGCGGTCAAGGATACCTCCCAGGAAGCGAAACTTGGTGCTGCTGTTGTTACTCCAAGCCACCATACCCCGATCGGGGTTATCCTCGCCGTATTGGGTCAATGCATCCGCGTTTGCAAAGCCGAGATCCATGTGAGTGATGATATTGCCCACTCTCTTGAGCATCTCCTGGACTTCCTGGACATATGTTTCTCTAGGCGGGTCATCCTCCAGAAAGCGGGTGATGGCCACCTCCTTAAATTTGATCTCTCGTCTGTACTGATCGCCCTGCAACCCCTCCATGGAAAGCCCAATAATGTACTCAGCCTCCCCGAGGACGGGGTCGTCGAGTAGGATGCTGCGTGTGCTATCGTCAGTCATCTCGGTGTCGTTAGATTGATGATGGTCGGGCATGGAGTGATGGTTTTGTGCGTTAGGGGGATGACTTTCATCGGGCCGAGATTCGGCCGAGAGATTCGATGGAATTAAAGTGTACTGTGGCTCCATATTCGATGTGCCGTTCGGCGGGATAACTGATGGGGACCGTGTGCTTGGCCCAAGTGAAGGCGATTTGGGGAAAGCCTCGTCGGACTGAGCTAAGATTTCGGCTTTTCTCCTTTCCCTCTCAGCCTTACTTCGAGCGTAGACTTCACGTAGTCGTTCTGTCAGAGATCCCGGTGTCGAAGAATCCGCACCGCCGGTTGCACTGCTAGGTTGCGGAGTTTGGGGCATGCCGCGGGATATCTTTCTGTAATAGCCCCTTCTTATGGGCGATTCCAATCGCGTCTCGACGGTAGCTACAATATTCTTGGAGGCAAGATCGTCCGAGTCTTCTTGTTCGTAACGGCGACGAACGATGTTGGGATCGGCTTGACCAAGGACACCCAGCTCTAGGTTATCTTGAGACGAATCTTTGCGCCTCGGGATTTCAGTGTCCTTGAAACCGCCGTGCTGGTCAGAGCTTGCCAGTTCTGAAATCTGCGTTCGATGGCTTGATTCAGGTCCGTCCAGATCCAGCTCTGGGACGTACTGTGCAGCTTGTAGCGGTTCCGCGTGGTACTCCGAGTTAGTCTGCTCTTCAGGTTCCTCTGGAATGGCTGGGTTGATGTCGTGGACAAGTGAAAAATCAGTTTGGGTGGACCGGAAGTGAGATGTGTTCTCAGGAGGATCTGTGACGTCTTGTGTAGATATATCTGCCTGGTCTTGCAATGAAGATCTTGTAGCACCACCCACAGGTCCTTCAGGACAGGTCACAAAGTCCTGGGCTTCACCCGTACCTGTCGATTGTTGTTGATGTTCCGGATGCTCTCCTTGAGCAGATTCTCGGCCACTGCCTTGGGCGTTTCCAACAACAGCCGGTGCAACTTCGGCAGCGAGTCTTTCTTCTGGTTCCGCTACGGTATGTTTAGTGGGTAAAGCCCCAACGACTTGCTCTCCTTGTTCCGGTGAGATTCGATCGGCGGGCGCAGCTTCACTAACTATTCCACTTTCCGATTCGCGTACGGGTTGATCCTCAGTTGATCCGCTCTGTAGAGCGACGACCTCCCAATCTTGAGGCCTTTCCACTTCCTCAGAGCCTGTGAGACCGTGATCGTCCTCCTCTCCGCTCCCCCTAGATTCCTCGACACCGTGTTCCTCGTTTGTGGTTTGTTGACGTTCCTGGATCTCAGGCGAAGGCTGGTTTTGCTCCTCTGGTTTCGACTTCGGACTGAGAGGTCTTGAGAATACCTCCGCTTCGGGGCTCTGAGCCCGCTCGTCGTTGAACGGTGAAGGCGTGCGATTGTGAGCTTCCACAGACACCTGAGTGTTCGCTACACGGCTTTCAGACTGTATTGACTTGTCAGGCGAGTCTGTTGGAGGTGGCGACGAGGCTGAACTGGCAGTCTGCCAAGGTGATTCACGCGGCGGAGGAGCCCTCTCCTCGTGGTAACTATGGGCAGCCGGGCTAGATAACTCGTCTTCAATTGGGTCTATCTCTTCAATAGGTGCGGAGTCGTCGTCGTCCTGTGGGTTGGTAAATTGGGCTGAGCTTGAAGCAGAGCTGTCCTGCGGCGGTGGGGCGGTCGTCGATTCGGGAGGCTGGGACTGAGTCTGAACTGATTGGCTTTCAGCACCCGATTGTGTCTGGGTGGATGGAACGTAGCTGGAATTTCCGGAGAGATCCTGCGAATCCGGGATAACGGCAGTGTTTTTAAATCGGGGCTGTTGAAGAAGTCTCTCGGCGGGGATGATGTAGTCCTCGGGATTGTGCTGAGAGCCAACAGAGCCTTGCGATGGCTCCGCCGCCGATGAGCTCTGTTGAAGCTGTGAAGATTTCGGAGAAGTTTGGGACTCCCAAGGGACCTGTGATGCGGTGATGAGGTCGTAGTCGGAGAAGTTGAAGTCAGCAGGCCGAGTGATTAGTACCGCAGGTTCAGCACGAGACGTAGTATCCCGTGGCTCTATCTCCGGTATATCCCGCCAGTCGTTGCCCGGGGCAGAGCTGTCTGTAAGAAGTTGGTCTGATGCGGGACCCAGCTCCGGCGATGAACTCGGGATAACCCTGCGGTTTGGAACGCGTGGTGCGCGGCGCGGAGTAGTGTCAGGCTGCGGCGCGGGTGCAGGGTTGGTGGTGAGAAGCGGAGCCGCAGGTGCGGCGGGGCTGGGCGTGGAAGCGGGCGGGGCGGGCGCGGGTGCGGGCGCGGGCGCGGGCGTGGATTCGGATTCCTCGTCGGCCTGCTTGCGGTCCTTTGATGCACTTTTCTTGGATGCACTTTTTCTCCGCTTCCATTCGTCGACCAGCTGCTTGTTCGCGTTCCTCTTGGGCTCCCAGCTGGGCGGATAGGACTCGTTGGTTTCGGGATGGTTGGCCCAGTCAATCAGGTATTGGTTTCCCTTCTCCTGGAGAATGGCGTTGGCTTTCCACACGTCCTCTGACTCGAGCGAAAATGGGGCGGGATCAGCGGTTCTTGGCTTTGGGCGGCGGCCGGCGCTGGACTTCCGGCGCTTAGGCGGGGTTGAGGTATCTTCGTGAGAGTCGGGGATGCTAGAGCGCTTGCGCTTGGAGTTGCTCGGTCGGCCCGGGGCCATTATGCGGTCGAGACGCCGCAGATGGAGGAGGAGCTGTTCGCGCAAGCCGGATTAGTTTGGTCGGCCATGGTGGTCTTGCGGTTAAGAAGAGAAGGGATGTGTGAGAAATGCGCTGTTCCGAGCCAGCGAGACGCGCGACCTCCGATGCTGCAAGGGTCCGTCTCCGACTTACGCTCAAGACTAACTCCAAAGCCGAGACTGTCCGGTTCGTGATCGACACGTGACCGCGTGCGTCGGTGAGATCGCGTCAGCACACGCGGCTGATCGTCAGTCGGTCGCGACGATGACGAGGGAAGAAAAGACGGTCGCGCCGCTGATGGTTGTCGAGGAACGGTGTTGGAGGAGAGAGCAAACGGCGGATGTGGCGCTTCACCTGCGCCCCAAAACCTTCTGCCCCGAGGTGCAGCTGCGGCAAAAGCGAATTTGGGTGAGGGCGTGTGTGGGTGGTTGCTGCAGCAGCGAAAATTGACTTTTCGTAGATGACGGCGATAGTTTGCGAGGCACGGGCAGCGAAGGCAGGCAACCAAGCAAAGAGCTGTGTTGTATTTTGTCATACATTATTCACTATTCAAAACGGCCCCGTTTCCATATTATTGTTCATGCTCGACTTTCACATTTTCCGCCATCGCTAGCATGGATGCCATGCATCTGTCTTCCCAATCTTATCTGCGCCACCCCGCCAACGCCTTCGCCTGCCAGCACATGTATGCTTATTTGTTCTCGCCCTTCTTGAACCGCTCCTCTCTCTCCTTCTCACGCTTGCGCTGCAGCTCCCTCACCATATCCGGCGGGCTGTCCTCGATCAGGTTGCTATCCTGAGACAGCCCATCCCATTTCGGCAACCCGTCCGGAATGTCCATGACGCGTTGTCCGTAGAACATGTGGCATCTGCATGTAATCAGCGACCGCCAACTTGACCGCACCGGCCCGAGGAGCGTACCGAGGCTTGAAGTTTGCCTTGTCTTCATCCGTCTTCAGGTGGATCAAGCTTGGAAACAAAAGTATCATGTTGCGGCCCTCGTCCATGATGGGCGAGTGGCAGAACGAGCAGCGTACTTTGCACGGCAGCTTGTGCTCTATTGACTTGTCCGACGGATCGTACCATTCAAGGTCATGGTGGCCATTGGTGAAGTTGATGTCTTCCTTGTGGAAAATGGCAGCCCATTGGAAGGGCGCAGCTGCACACCATGTCAGTTAGCATTGGCGTCTCGAAACACACGCTTCGAGCACATCACTCACCGTGCTGCGTTTGACACGTCGTGCAGTGGCACAGCTTGGAGTCGAGCGGCTCAATGCGGCTGAGTTCGTACTTGACGCGCCCACAGTGGCAGTTGGCTTCGTACTTGACGTCGAACTGCTCGTTGGGCTCGTGTACGCGGTAGGGGGCTCTCTTCTTCCACTCGCTGATACCCTCGGTCTCCTCTCCTCTCGACTGGGTCTTGTGCATCACTGTAGCGGAATAGAACTTTGCTGGGTTGGCCGGGCTTCTGCGTCGTGTGAGCAGTGTCAATGACGGCGATTCTAGCTTGCGGACTGCGCTCGTGCGAAGATTGCTGGATATTCTGAACACGCAGCGGCTGGAGAAAGACATGAGAAGGTCGTAGTATCATTTGGGAAGCCTTCGAGGCGCATTGCGGCCTCTTGAAGTACGAAAATGCAGGAGCGAGCGGCCTTCTCTGGACGTCCTATGGGGCAATTTTGACGTCATCCGCGATGAATGCCGGCGATCGCTCACTGGTCGCACCAGCTCCCCCGCCAGCTGAGTCCGGCGGGAACATTCCAATGGCAGCATCATCGAATACCTTAGTGGGACTCGCCGGGGAATCGACCCCGCAGGGAAAATCTGCCATTCAGCTGTAGTGCGTTCGGGTATAGTATATTAATACTCTTCTTCCTGTATGGATACGCTCTCACCCGCCACCGTCGTCAACCTGCCCACTCTGCGGACCCATGCATCCGTCCTTTCGAGACTACTGCCGCCCTTACGCTTTGCACCAAAGAAAAACAAACGCCTCGCGAATGCATCAATCCATGCAGGCCATGCATCACTGGAATCATCAACATCATCAAATCTCGCTTTCCGCTTGTCGCCGCTGCTACAGCTTCAGCAGCTTCATCGCATCCTTCGTGCTGAGTCCGAATACATTGACCATATAGTCAAGCCTAGCACCCCGTTAGAACCAGTCCGTCGAATCGGCACACGTGTCTACTCACTTGATGTCCGTCGCAAGCCGCTGCTTCAGGTCCTCGAACCTGTGCTCGCTCTGTTCCCAAACGATCGCGCGCCGCTTGGGGTTGATTGTCTTGACGCGGATATTGAACCTGCCACTGACTGGCCGGTGGTCTGAAACGCGCACTTCATGCCTCCGGTACTCCAGCTGCTTGATACGTCCTCGGCCCCGATAGAGCAGTCGGTCGCACCACGCTGGAGAACGCTTCTTCTCGCTCGTGTCGTACCTGTCCGTCCCTACATCATACTTGTATGTCGGCGCAAAAGTGATCGGGCATTCCTGGAAGGCGCGCAGCCGGAAGCCGGGATTTCTTTTCTTAGTCCGAAGGAGTTGATCGTTCTCCAACAGCCTTGTCAGATTTCCCTCCTTGACATGCCTGACCACCGCATCGCGCGTCATCGAATCGATTCGGTAGTTCAAGTCACCATTGAGTATGCATATTTCGTGGTCGAGAATCATGGAGCCGTCTCCTCCGCCAACGAACACATCTGCGCGAGCTCCAAGATCCATCTGCGGTGGTAGTGCAGACGTCTCCATGATGGTAGCGACGTCGTTGTTGCGATGTGCTGTTTGGCTCTGACCTGCGGCAAGATGGCAATTGACGAAGCAAACGGAGCTGTCATCCAGAGTAAACCGGACGACGAGAGCTCCCTGACGTAAGTGTTAGCATCCTCAGGAGGATTGGTACACTTTGTAATGGCTTACCTTATTTCCGTGCAAACCGCCCATGCCCAGCTTGATTTCGGCTGCGCTCATGTCTCGAATCCTCATGCGTTCGGACTCCCTTACAAAGACGCACGTGAAAAGACCAACGAGGTTTGCTGTATGCAAGAGGTAGTAGCGTTCACCCGGGAGGTGTTCGTCGATGCATCGGGCAAGGTGATCTCTCCAAGCACGGTATTGGCGGCTCATATGTTCTTGATCCGATGCGTCTTTCTTCTTGCTGCTCTTGAAGAAGCTCTCTGTTCATGTATAAGCACATATCTCCAACCCGAGGTTGATTGGGTACTTACTTGCGGTAACCTTCTTGTCCTCCAGGTCAACCAGCTCCTGGAAACCAAAAACCAAGATGTCTGAAGGATCATCAGGTCGGAGCAGATCTCTGAAGAAAGCGCCATCCGGCTCGTCAAATCTCCCGCTAAGGCTCGTGGGTTTTGAGGCGCCAGCGTTCCATGTCATTATTGTGGCTGACACCTGGCGGAAGTCGCAGAATTCCAGATCGTGCTCTTGCATGTCTTGCTCGAGCCAATCATCCTTCAGCATGCCGTCCCATATTCTTATTACGCTGTCTGTGCCCAGCGAGGCAACCTGAAGTCGGTCCATCTTCCACAAGCTGCTTCGGTCTACTTGGATGGCTCCGACTGGGTTTCCATTTGCATGCGCATGCCAATCCTTCTTGACCTGCCACGGGGTTTGAGTGGTGTCATACACGTAGATCATGCCGGTGTTGTAGCCTGCCCAGAGGTAATCGCCTGCACCTGCCAAACAGCTTATCTTGTACACGCTAACGCTGACGACCCCAAGACAGGAATAGTCTTTTCGGGAATAGACGGACACTTTGCCATCATTGTGACCAAAGTAGATTCGATCCGGTTGGCTGGGAATCATCGCTGCCGCAGTGACTTCTCCGGCGCTGGGCTGAGATATGGGTTGCGTAAGGACGGGTACAAAGCCGAGGTGTTCTTGGCTTCGTTGGTAGATTCGGATATCTTTGCCATTCGCGACCCAGAGCTTGTTCCCGACAACAATGGAGCAGTTGTGGTTCTTGGGAATCCGGAAGCTATTTGGCGTTTGCTGTAGGATTGGGGACCCTGTTTCGTCCGGAGGCCAGATGTTCACCTTTCCGTCCTCGTCGATTGTCCACATCTCTGCAGCATACCGATAAATCTTTGTGATCTTGCTGGAGTGGGCATTTCGCTTTTCCGCGACGACGGCCCCAGACGGGATGTCGAGCTCGAAAAGTTCACCCTTCTCACTTCCAAGCCAGACCATCTCTCCCTCATTTTCCACATCCGTCGATGGTCTGAAGGCCATGGCTGTCATTTTGGTAGATTCCGCTAGAGCCGTGTTGAGCAGCATTTCGCCAGTCACCAAACTCCAAGCCCGAGTGAGGTACCCAGAGGCACACACTACTTCACCACACACTGCAAAGAGCTTGGTGTCGTAGCCCAGAGCAATTTCGCGCGGACGTTGTCTGAATGTGGGTGGTCTTCTGTTTGCTTGAGAGGAGTCGGGATATTCCGAAAGTATCGTTGTTGTCTTATCAGATTGCTCGACATCATCTGAATCGTCTCTGTACACTGCACTGTACCGCTGAGTCGCAGGTTGTCTTGTGGCTGGAATTGGCCTGGGCGTTGGCCGAGATGGCTCGTTGTAGCTGCTTCCATTGACGGCCAGTGGTTTCGAAGGGCCAATTGTAGATGACCGCTTTGGAAGCTTTGGAGTCGGTTCACTAGCTGCAGCGGCCCGTGCGGCATCGAGGACCGCTGTCCTAGAGGTATCCATGGAACGGCGTGCCGGCGGAGGATCCGGAGGGGGCGGCTTTGACCTTCTGATGTCACCGCCGCGTCTTGGAGGTAAGTCGGGCCGTTCGTCAAGTGAGTCACTGGCTTCGCCTGCAGAAATATCTGTTGGTGCTGGCAAAGACCGTTGACTTGACTGCTTGGGCAACTCTTGAACCTCTGATGGTCGTGCCGCGGGGGACTGTTGGAAATAGCTGTTCCTTTTCGCCGCGGGAACGCTAGAAGAAACGTTGCTGACGTTGCTGCGCGTGGGAGGGGAGTTTACGCCACTTTCGTCGCTGCTCGGTGGCGTGCTGAAAGGGGACAGCCGCTCCTCGGTAGGCGCATTGCCAGGGTCTACGGCTAGGGAGGATTTTCCAGTCGTGCCTGAGACCGCAGTGCCCGCAACTGAAGCTGGCTTGCTAGGGATTTTCGGCTTGCCAGCTCGGTTGATAGGGGGAGGCCCACCAGCGCTTGACGCCACAGAAGGTGCCCGGCCATTGTATTCTGATTGTGCAAACGATTGCTTCGACGGGTCAGGAGAAGCAGCTGAGGTGACAGCTGACTGTAGGAAAGGGGCCTGGAGAGCTTCGATGGCCGGCGTAGCCGGTTTGCTTTGTGCGCGGAAATGCCGGCTGCCGCTCCCATGAGGTGAGCCGGAGTGGGTGAGAGGTGAGCCTTGCGGAGGTTTCGGAGCACTCCTCGGCGTAGGGGACTTTATGTCGGGTTCAGGGAATGTATTGGATGGCTTAGGGGAATTAACAGTAACGACCGGCGGGGATCTCGTCGGAGACCTGGGCGGCGAGCTTCGCGGAGACAGCTGGTACATAGAAATTGGTCTTGATCTGTTCGTGTCCAACGACACGCCGCGCGTCTCCGGTGTCCGCGGAGGCGCGTACAGCCCCTTCGGGGATGTGCTTCGTAAGCCTACATTGGGTCGCGGCAGATCTAGCGACATGCGGCCATCGGTGCGCGCGCGAGACTCGTCGGGTCCATCGAAAATGTTTCCCAAGCTCTGTCGCGGGTTTACGGGGCGCGGTGCGTCGGAGGAGGAAGACTGGCGGTTCAGCATGTTCTCGAAGTGGCTCCGCAGCGACGACACAGGCTTCTACAGCACGCATTAGCTCCAGCTTCGCGGCGGATACAGGCCAGACTTACGATGGAGGAGCCATCGGTGCTCTCCGCCTTGCCCGGAGGTTTGTCCATGGCCGCTCAGTAAGGCAGCAGCACGAGTTGTTCACCGGCGGGCTTCAACGGACTCATGCCCCCGGCTTGGGCGGTTATAATGATCGGAGCTGGCCAGAGCAGCGCGAAAGAATAGGTCGGAGTGGTGGTGGCAGTGGCAGCATGCCCAGCGCGAGGGAGCCCGAGGTGATTGAGAGAGTACGATCGGGAGGTGTTGGAAGATTAAGTTTTGGGGCGCGATGGGCGTGAGTCGGCTTGGGCTGGCGATGCGGCAGGAGAGCTGGCCGGGATGGAGGGGTCCTGCACGAGTACCTTGCAGCGGGCGCGGCCCCCTGCGCGCGCGCGAATGTGATGGAATTCGGACTGAGAATGTGGCGGTGTGCGGGGAGCAGCACAGCTGCTGCGCGTGGTGACGAAGTGAGGCTGTGGGTGAGTGAGCGGCGTGCGAATATCGGGTCCGTACCGTACATAGGTAGGGCAAACGGCGTTTCCCCACAGGGCGCGCGTGGTGCTGGCCGCGCCCTGGTACATACAACGGCTTTTTGCGGCTTGCGATGTCATCCCCATCCCCCAAGACCGCTCTGTTTCAGCCCGAGTCCCACGCCTAACCCAACCTCCACGGTTTCTGCGCCCGCGCCCGACGTACGCGCCTGAGGCTTCCAACTCGCCTGCCATCTGTCGCTGCCCGCTGACACGCCCGCCGCCATGTGGTACGTCGTCGCCCGCTGCGCCGCGCCCCCTGTGCGCCGCCGCCGCCGCCGCCGCCGCCGCTGACCTCCGCCGCTCCGCCGCAGCAAGCACGTTCTCAACGCTCAGGTCGCCATCCGCAGCCCCTGCTGCAAGAAGTGGTTCGACTGCGCCGAGTGCCATGCCGAGTCCCAAAGCCACGACCTGCAGAAGAGCACCGAAATGACCTTCGCCTGCAAGAAATGCAAGAAATGCTTCCGCAAGAATGCCGAGGAGTTCGAGGAGAGCGACGAGTACTGCCCGCACTGCGACAACCACTTCGTCATCGATGCCAAGACTCCCGAGGCACGAATCGAGGTCGAGGGAGAAGACGTGCGCGTTGATGCTAGGTACGGCGCCTCAAGAACGGGTTACGTGCAAGGCGATCAAAGCTTACCGGTCACACAGAATGCTCAAGGACGATCGTGTCCAAAAAGTAGTGCCGAAGAACATTTGGGACATCAACGTCTCGGACAGGCTTGGCTAGGCTGCCTCGAATATCAACACGCGTTGGGCAATACCATAAAGTGCATAGGGCGGCGTTTACATAATTTACTTGGTAGTAGTGGGATTCATTTTGGGCGGTCGCAGACAACTTGATAAACGTGAGACGAGCAGCATCGTGATTCGGCGCGTTAGTGTTCTTTCATGGGTCCATGCTACTATTCAGGCCTGAGAAGTTCTATAATCCGAACGCCTGTGCTGCTGCCATCACTGTCCACGACCTACATTGTCCGACCCTGTTTAGCTGGAGCCCTCGCCCGAGGGACGCGTCAGAATGGCCGCGGTGCCGGTGCCCGGGGTCCTTCCGGGACGCCTGGTAGCGGCCTCCTCCTGCTTCTCGGTGTTGATGCTCTCAACGTACTTCTCGATCTGCTCCACGGGTAGCATCTCGATGGGCTTTCCAGGTGCCATGATCGCAATCTCGATGTTCTTCGCGCCAGTCTGGACAACCTCAAGCAGAGACTTGACCGTAAGCTTGATCGTCTCCTCGCGGTCCATGTCTGCCTTGTGGTTGCGCTCGAGGAATTCGCGGACCGTCTTGCTCGACCTTCCGATTGCGTTTGCCTTCCTGTACATGTGTAAGCGCCTTGTCCTGCCCAAACCGGAGCTGATCCCAAAACATACCATGCCGAGTAGATACCCGAAGGCTCCGTCTGGTACAGGCGCGGGGACTTGTCGTTCGGGTCGAAGCCGACGATGAGTGTGCTGATGCCGAAGGGGCGGACACCACCACTCTGCGTGTACCTCTGCTGCACACCGGCAACATACTTCGTGATGTACTCGATCGAAACAGCGTCTTCGACGGTAAGACGGTGGGACTGTGCTTCTAACCGGGCCTTGTCGACGAGGATGCGAGCGTCGGCGTTGAGGCCGGCAAACGCCAGGGCAACGTGGTTGTCTACCAGGCAGATCTTCGAAGGAGTGATACGGGTATCTTGGAGCTTCATCGCAGAACGCTTCTCGCAGCCAAGGACAACGATGTCTTTGCCCTTCACGGCAACGGCGCAAGTGCCTAGTGATGTCAATACGGCAGAACAGGAGGGTTGTCTGAGGGCGGAATACCTCTCTTGACGGCCTCCAAGGCATACTCGACCTGAAAGACGTGTCCATCGGGACTGAAGACTTGAGAAGGTAGAGCAATTAGCTACGTTGCGATGCTGATGATGCTGGGGTAGAGCTCACCGGACAGCGCTCTGTCGTAGCCGGATGCCATCGCGGAAGACTGTCGGAATGTATGTGGTGTCTGAGCCGGTTTGGCAAACGATGTCTGCTGGTGCAGCGAGTGGAAGCGGGTGCGGGTGAGTGCGGGCAAGGGCAGTTGACGATGGCGGAGTGAAGCCGCGTCGCGCTGAGCTGCCTGTCTCAAGGTGTGGTGCCAAGGCTGGCCTTCGGCGGAGCTCGCCCAAGCTCCGTCGCGTCAGGGCCGGCCATGACATCTTTTCCGTCATACTGCAATTCAATTTCCGCGGACATCACCTCTCTCTCTCTCACTGCAATTCAAATTCCGGACCACTTCCGCCTCTCCCCCGCACCCCCACCGTACCCCATTCGCTCCTCCGCCTTTTAAAAGCGCCTTTTTTCCCCTCAATTTCTCCTTCGTCTTCGTGCGCTATCATCCCCATGGCATGCCCCTCCAGAATCGCCGGCGCTGCGCTGCGCAGAGCGCGCTGCTCACGCGTCCCGTTGCAGCGGGCCAACTGCTTGCGCCCTGCTACCCAGGTGCGCTGGACGGGGAGCACAACTGCAACCAGTGAGCCCCACCAGCCGGACAGCAAGGGCAACGTGAAGGGTAAGCCGGCTTCGTCTAAGACCGTTAAGTTTACCTCTGAATCGTACAACTTCCGCCAATCCCGTACGAGGAAATTATAACTGAGAATTAGTCCAGGTACCCGCATTTGAAGCGCGATTCCAAGTTTGCTGAGATCACGCCGGATCATGTGAAGTACTTCAAGGAGCTTCTGGGGTCCCAGTCCGCCGTTATCGACGGGGTTACTTCTGACGCTACCGATGACCTTGAGGCTTTCAACAGCGATTGGATGCGCAAGTTCCGCGGCCACACGAAGCTTGTTCTCAAGCCAGGCTCAACAGAGGAAGTGAGCAAGGTTCTGAAGTACTGCAACGACAACATGCTGGCTGTGGTCCCCCAGGGCGGCAACAGTGGATTGGTCGGTGGCTCGGTACCTGTATTTGACGAGATTGTCGTCAACATGTCCCGCATGAACCAGATCAGGTCTTTTGACGAGGTCGCGGGCATCCTGGTCGCGGATGCCGGAGTAATCCTCGAAGTGGCCGACAACTTCCTCCAGGAAAAGAACTATGTGTTCCCCCTAGACCTGGGTGCAAAGGGATCTTGCCATATCGGCGGCAACGTTGCCACCAATGCCGGTGGACTCAGGCTTCTGCGGTACGGTAGCTTGCACGGTAACGTGCTGGGTATCGAAGCCGTACTCCCTGATGGAACCATCGTCGATGACTTGTGCAAATTGCGCAAGAACAACACCGGATACGATCTCAAGCAGTTGTTTATCGGAGGCGAAGGCACGATCGGAATCATCACCGGTATTTCGATTATTTGCCCGCAAAATTCGCCGGCCATGAACGTTGCATATTTCGGTTTGGAGAGCTTTGAGAAGTGCCAGCAGGCCTTCCGTGAAGCCAAGGGCCAGCTGTCGGAAATTCTCTCGGCGTTTGAGCTTATGGACGGTCGCAGCCAAAGGATTTTGAAGCAGGCAATCAACAAGAAACTACCATTGGAGGGCGAACACCCATTTTACTGCCTCATTGAAACGAGAGGATCTAACCCCGATCATGATAGCGAGGTTTGTACCATACACTGAAGCTTGAGGTTCCGTTGACTTACCAGAAACAGAAACTTTCGGCTTTCCTTGAGCATGTTATGGGCGAGGAGATCGTTGCCGATGGCGTGCTTGCCCAAGACCAAACTCAAGCGGCTGAACTTTGGTCCTGCCGCGAGGGAATTACCGAGTGCCTGGGCCACTGGGGAGGTGTCTACAAGTACGACATGTCGATTCCATTGGAAGAGTTGTACCAGCTGGTCGACGACACGCGCGACCGCCTCACCAAGGCCGGCCTCATTGGAGACTCGGACGAATACCCGGTGGTTGATGTTGTTGGCTATGGCCACATGGGTGACAGCAATCTCCATCTGAACATTGCCACTAGGAGATTCGACAAGACGGTGGAGAAGGAGCTTGAGCCGTTTGTCTACGAATGGGTAGCGAAGAGAAATGGGAGTATCAGTGCCGAACACGGGCTTGGCATTACGAAGAAGCCCTATATTGGGTACAGCAGGAGTGAGACCATGATCAGACTGATGAAGCAGATCAAGGACACGTTCGACCCGGTAGGTTCGACCATGTTTGTGAAGTCGCAGCGTGCTGACACCCATCCAGAAGGGCATCATGAATCCCTACAAGTACATATAACGAGTCGGGAGACGACGTCGGTGAAAAGAAAAGTATGGGCACAACAGCCCGGTGGCAAGAATGGATGCTATGTACGTGAGCATAATTCGAGAAAAGATTACGCGTTCGATCAAAGCTCGCAACGGACTCAGACATATGGCCGAATTCACTACGTGATGCGATGCGTGCTCCTGCAACTTCTAGGCACCCTGTCCGCGCGCGTCCCACGCGAGACGGAAATATGATTGGATGGAAGAATATTGAGTGGTGGGTCAAGCGCTTGGTCGACAACGGTTGTGCTCAGTGCAGCACAGACGAGAGCTGGGCGCCTGGGCGCGCGAATGGATTAGGAAGGTTTTCGAGGCTTTGCATAGGTCCATTAAGTTGGGACGATGGTGCATGCATGTGCAGTTCGGGACGAAGCGTCGGATCGCAAGGGCCCTGAAGCTCTATTATTCGAGGACTTTCTCTGCCGAGGGCAGCAACAACGGTGGCGAACGGGTAGGTTTCCTTTGTCGGAACCAAGCGGGCCCACGCCGACCTGCCATGGAGCAGGGGACCAGTGGGAACTTAGCACGTAAGACAAGTGCTGCCAAGCTGAGCTTGCATCCGGGCCATGGACGGCCCACGCCTCCAGCCGCTGCCAGCCGCGGTCTTTTGACAAGAACCGCTCGTAACGGCTCGCCAGCCGCGTCGCCCAGAGCACGATGGATGCTGGGTAGCTGAGAAGCTGATGGCTGCGAGGCTGATGGCAGGTCGGCGTTTGAAAAAAGCGTCGGCGTTTGCTCAGCTGGCATGATGCTGAGTGCCGCGAACGCCTCCCGCCCCATGTCTCCGCATCCCCGCCTGGCAATTCTCGCTCGCGACTCGGCCGCGAAGCCCGAACGGTGACGGCACTAAGCTGGTTCGGAGATAGCCCCCCCGCTCAGGTCAAAGCCGGCATCCACAGCACCGCGACGCCAATCTGGGGCCCCATATCCCGGGTCCGCTTTTCTACGTCGCGTGGTGCGAGTTCGTCGGCTTTTGACCAAGCGGGAACGGGGAACCCATGACGTGAACGGGCGGAGATTCTCCGTCTGCATCTCACTCCCTGCTTGGTGTTGCAGACTTCTCACTTTTTAACCTCACCGCTTCCCGTCTCCATGCCGCTGTAGTCGACCACCACTCCTCTCCCGCCGGGTCAGCCTCTCTGAGCACTACACAGGCCCAACCATGTCTTCCTCTGGCTCATTTGATCCGCGCGTCCCCCCCAAGACCGGGGCCGCGAAAGTATGGGATGACATTAAGACATACCGAAGGACGTACTTGTTGACCGCCATCGCATCCTTCGGCGGCATGCTGTTCGGGTGAGTTGTGAAGATTGACTCTGGGCCGAGTTGATGCTGATGGAGATTGCAGTTGGGACACGGGCCTGATCGGCGGCGTGTTGACCATGGACGCCTTCCAACACTCGTTCAACCTCGATCCGGACAGCGACTCCTTTGCCAATCTCCAGGGGAACATCGTTTCGGTTCTGCAGGGCGGTTGCTTCTTCGGCGCTGCCTCCTCGTTCTGGTTGAGCGACAAGGTGTAAGTGCATACATACAGCGCACGCGGCGCTGCAGAGTAGCTGATCTCAGCCCAACAGTGGCCGCAAATGGGCCCTCATCCTCTCCGACCTCATCTTCATTATCGGATCCATAATCCAAACGACCTGCGCTCTCGGTACGACGAACGACCTTGCACAACTCTACGTCGGTCGCTTCATTGGAGGCTTTGGCGTCGGTCTCATCAGTGCCGTGGTTCCCACGTATATTGGAGAGAATGCGAACAAGGAGATCCGTGGACGCTGCATTGGATGGTGAGGCCCCCTTCCAGCAGGTTGTGATTGTCCAATGGCGTGCTAATACTCGGGTCACCAGCATGCAACTGTTCAACGTCACGGGCATCATGCTGAGCTACTTTGTCAACTATGGCATCAGTAATCACATCAGCAGCGCTACCGATTCGACCAAGTGGCGCGTCCCCTTCGCGCTGCAAATGCTGCCCGGCGCTTTCCTCCTCCTCATCGTTTTCCAGAACGAATCGCCGCGTTGGCTGGTGGAGAAGAACCGGCTGGCGGATGCTAAGCGTGCTCTGGCACACGTGCGTGCCAGATCCGAAGATGACGCCGTGTTGCTCCAGGAGCTCGATGAGATCATCACCGACTTCCACGGCAAGGAGAGGCTTTCGCTGGTGACGCAAATGAAGGCAGTCTGCGCCAACAAGAAGATCTTCTATCAGTCCAGCATGGCGGTCGTCTTGATGTTCTGGCAGCAGTGGACGGGGACGAACTCGATCAACTATTACTCGCCGCAGATCTTCAAGAGCGTCGGACTTGCAAGCCAGTCTGCCGGGCTGTTCGCCACGGGAATCTACGGGGTTGTGAAAGTCGTCTTCACTTCGCTCGGGCTGATGCTCGGAGTGGAGCAGGCAGGGCGCAAATGGTCCCTCATCTGCGGTGCTGCGGGGCAAGCTTTCGCCATGTTCTACATCGGGGTGAACCAGGCGGTGCACCCCAACGACAGCAGCCTTTCGGGAAACAACATCTTCTCCATCATCTGCGTCTACCTCTTCGTCATCTTCTACTCGTTCGGGTGGGGCCCGATCCCGTTCATCCTGTCGTCTGAGTGTTCGCCGAACCACGTGCGGTCCCTGGTCATGGCGGCTGCGTTGATGACCCAATGGCTCTTCAACTTCATCATCGCCAAGATCACGCCCATCATGCTCGACCAGATCACGTACGGAACGTTCCTCCTCTTCGGGGCTTGCTGCATAATCATGCTCGTCTACGCGGTCCTGTGCGTGCCGGAGACCAAGGGCGTGCCGCTCGAAAGCGTCAACCTTCTCTTTGACGGAAACATCATCGCTGGGGCGACGAAGGACACGATCCCGAGGTACAGCAGGGCGAAGAAGCTGCAAAACCACCATCTGGGAAGAGGGGACGAGAACTGGGCGGGTGCAAAAAGCGTGGATGACAACGAGCAGGATGGGCGGAAGGGGGCGAATGTGAATTATGTGGAGCAGGCTTGATGTTGCACGATACCTATACATAGTTTCTTCACGCTTGACAAGGATTTCTGGTGGTGACTGCATCATTGTGACACTGTGTGCCAACGCGGCGAATCACCAGGGTGGCGGGTGAAGGATCGATTGGGCCCAGGATTTGGTCCAGTCCAGACCCCTGTGTGCCTGCCGTGCCCGGAGAGCGGTCCGCAAGATCGACATGGCCGACTTGCACCTCCAAGCCGCTAGCACGGGGAGGCCATATCTTCGCCGATGGAAGTGCACTGCGACACAAGAACCATTATTGCGGGGCCGGCGTGGAGTCGCACACATCGCCTGGAGCTGGACCTTCCCCACGCCCCGTTTCCACGCCAGCCCGGATCACGCATAGCGCGCGGCTGCTGCTTAGGACACCCGGCCATGTCCTCTCCCACCGACGAGGCCGCCGAGATCTCGGCCCAGATCCTCCGCGCCATCCAGCACCAGCTGGCCGACGTGCTCCACGACCAGCTCCTCGCCGCCGGCACCCTCGTGAAGCCCACCCTGCACCTCGAGGGCGTCATCCACGAGGGCTGGGAGGGCGCCGCGGACGCTCGACCCGTGTCCCGCCGCATCCATCTCGTGAGTGCCGCCACCAAGTAGTAGCATGCCGCATGCCCTGAGTGCTGAAACGCCTCCCCCCCAGGGCTCCATCGACATCGCCGCCATCAGGGCCGCCTCGGCAACACCGCAGACGCCCGCCAGCACCACCACCGCCGCCGAAACCCCTGGCAACAATGGCGGCACCCTCGCGCTCTCGCGCCCGCAGCGCGCCCGCCGCCCGCCGCCGCGCGACTACCTCTCGGACCCGGAGCCGGCGTCGAAGCGCTGCAGGAAGGAGACGGGCGGCCTCCGCCTAAGCCGGCCGTCCAACCACCTGTCGCCCACGAATGCCGGCGCCGCCAACCCGGGCCGGCTCGACGACATTGACGAGATGACGGATCAGCCCGCCCCCGTCCGCCAGATCGAGCCCGAGACGAAGAAGTTTCCCCAGCGCAAGAAGGTCGCGCCCAAGGTCCGCCCGCTGCAGCCTTCGACCCTCGACCGTCTGATCATCGGCATCTGGGAGCAGATCCACGGCAGCATCAGCTTCGACCCGCAGATTGTGGCAAGTTCTTTTTCTTTTTTTTTCCCCTTTTTCTTCTCCATCATATCTCAATGCTTTGCTCCCTTCACTGTCACGTGAAGTCCGTTTCTTGGCGCCGCTTGCCGCGACAGCACAACCACCGCCGTCTGCAAGACGACAGTTAGCTGACGCTGCCCGTAGATTGACCAATGGAAAGAGCCGCGAGCACAGAAGAGCATCGACTCGGTCAGCGCCGCGTCGCACATGGAACTCTATCCGGCCAGGGGCAAGTCGACCAGTTTCAACCGGATGAACGTCCTCTGCAGGAAAGTCACCACTGCGAGCCGCTGCTGCCGCTCCCTCGAGGTCATCGTCCAGGCCTACTGGATTCAGTGCTTCGAAGCGAGGGTGCATGCTCTGTGCGAGGCCAATCCGCACCAGTCCGTCACCAAATGCCGGAAGGCCGCGCTGATGGAGGCGTGCCACGATTTCGGATGGAGCGAGAAGGATCTCAGGAACAAGATGTGAGAGTGTCCCTCCTGCATCTCTGGTAAAATACTAAGCTCGTCCTCCAGGGCAATATGGCGAGGCTACCATGAGATCAAAGAGGCAGCGGGATGGGTCGCTCTGGTATTCGCCGGCATGGGTATCTACCGCTTCTGCAAGTACCGCATCAGCTTCGACAAGGAGGCCATGCAGCGTTTGGCCACTCTTCGCTCCCGCTTCGAAGTGGCGGCCGACACGTTGCAGCCTCAGTGGCGACAGCTTCTCTCCTTCATCGGGGAATCTTCCGAACGGACGTTCCATGGTCACCCACATGACTGGGTGGTTGAGGAGAACGGCATGCCTGTTCCACTGGCCAGTACTTACTCCCACTGGGATCCTAATTTTTCATACGAACACATCGACTTTTCAATCCTAGACGTGGAGGCGTGGAATCACACAGACCCTCGCGAGCTTTCTTCTGACAAACCACAGCAGTATTTTACATGCGCTTCTTGTAGAGAGCTGCAATCCGATGATCCTGCCGTGAACTCCTGCCGCTGCTTTCCCAGCCTATACGGCGGCCCGCGGAACCCGTGTCCAGTCCAAGTCTTCCGGACACTCAACGGACGAAACAATGGCCTCGTAGCTTGTTGCGTAAGCAGCCCCCTCCTCTCATCATTCTCTCGCCTCCTCTGACCAGATTAAGCCTTTCGAAAGAGGGACAGCAATAGGAGAGTTCGTCGGGCTCGTCACGCGTGGCTTGCACAACATGGACGTCATGCAGGGCGAAACCAACGGAAAGGCGTACCAGATATGGCAGGGGCGACAAGGCAACTACACGAGATTCGTCAACCACTCTTGTCACCCAAACAGTCAGTTCGAGAAGTTCACTTGGCTCGGCGTTCAGCGCATCATTCTGGTGTCCAAGGGCATAGGGGCCGGTCAGGAGATCACCGTCGACTATTCGGGGAAGTATTGGACGAATCTGGACAAAGAGTGCTTGTGCGGCGAGAGCTGCTGCAGATATCGCAACAGGGGCCACGGCAGAGTGGATACGAAAAGTCACGATTAATGGCAGCAAAAGAGCAAAAGTGAATGATCCGTCATTGGCCTCTCTCTCTCTCTCTCTCTCTCCCTCCCCCATCTTACTATGTGTTCGCAACGCAACCGCCACGGTGCCGGGTCCGTGTATCCGGCCGGCCTCATGCAAAAAGCATCCATCCCTCATTGAAAGACTTGATTGGCACTCATGCCCTACCTCCCTGGTATCTATCTTCACCACACCACCAAACGGATACGACCCCGTTTAACATCCTGTCCGCCACCGTGTCCCTTCCTCCACATGTTACGTACCAGCCCGAGTATGGAGGCACGTCCGCATCCCGCGGCAGCTACCCGGACTCGTCAGGGCCTTCGTGGAGGTGCACTGGATGTCGGCTTCCTGGCAGTCGATGCACGGCTTCGTGATGCTGGATTGTTTGGCGTAACGATTGGAAATACACCGAGTAGACGTGCTGAAGGGCTTGAATAAGGGACGACAAAGCTGGCGAGGTACATGATACATGGGAGTTCTGGAACGATACGGCTTTTCCCGATCGCTTACATTTCCTGGCCTTACAACTGTCGCATGCTTTCTTCGCGCGGCAATGGGAAAGCGATGTACATACGTGGCTCACTCAGCTATGTTTTCGAACGTAGCAGCCTAGTGTTGCCGTTCGTGTCACTGCTCCTGTCGAGTAGCAAGGAACGGTTGATCGTGGACACGTTCCCTGCAACACTGAAATATCCAGGCTTTTCTATTCTGTCTCGGGCTTCCGGGGAAGCAGATTCGCCAAGATGCATGCTCTGACTGTTGGCTGGTTTTCACGGCACAGACCATACCAAGGAATGACGGTGGTTCGGAAGTAAGCATGCTGTGCGGCTTCGGCTTGGCATTAGCGGTGTCGTCGCGATTCAGGCCCCCGCTTTGACTCAAATGTCATCGAGCTTGCAGGCATTGGCAGTGAAAGGGGTGACCCCGGATCAGATGGCGCATGGAGCTGAATGCATCGACGACGAAAGCAACGCATTGTGGGAGTCTGAGGGCCTACTACGTTGCTTCAAGGCACCGTCAGCTGGACATGGAAGCGGCCACGCCGTTGGTGAGGGCGTGGGCAGAGATTGAGCACCGATACGTACCTGAGCGATTTTCTGCCCGGGCAGCAGAAATGGTCGGGTTGGCGGCCAATAGCCGGGCGTGGGGCAGAAAAGGGAGCTGCTCCGCCCGGCTGCTCCCTCCACCACCCACCTGGCTCCCGGCTGCTGTCATCGCCATAGACCTTGGTGGTCGGTGTGAACGGACGCAAGTCATCGACTAGAGCACGACTGCCATCATAGGGAGTTCTACCCGGGGTCTCTGCGACCTGAGATATACATTTTCTTTGCTGTTGTCCCGCATCGGCCAGCGTCGCTACCAGATCGGACTAGCAATCGAGGCTAACGACAGAGCGTCATGGCTCCACAAGCTGTCGTCTCCGCCTCTCCCGCCGTTTTTCCCTTTGTGGCAGCTTACCGCCCCGCCAAGCCGTTGCTGAGATCGATCTTGCTCCATCACACAGACTGACCATGCGTGTTGGTATATTTGCGCCTCCTACCCAGGGGACGTGCCGTATTTTTTGCCTAGGGTCCAACTCCAGGCCTTTTGCTCCTTCCGCCGTGCACTTTGTTTCTTCGTTTTGTGCCCTGCCTTCTCACAGTCTTTTTGCAGTGCAAAGAATTTCCCCTCTATCATGGCGCCGGGCTCTCCAAACAATCCAGACTCTGAGGCAGAAGCGGGCGCACCTCTCTCTCGAGAAAAGTCGTTCGCAGACTCATATACATTCGACGGTCTCAAAGGATGGCGGAGGTACAGAGTACTCCAGCCTGGTCGCGGTATGTATCACGATGTGAAGAGGCGGTTACCGTACTACTGGAGCGACATTACCGATGCCTGGACATACCGAACTGTGGCCAGCACAATTCGCATGTACTTTGTCAAGTATGTGCATGGCATTCTGAACGTAAAACAACAAATCCAGAAAACTGACTCCCGACCAGCCTCCTCCCCGCACTCGCATACACACTCGACATGTACCGCCGCACGGGCGAGTTCTTCGGCGTCAACGAGGCGCTCTTCTCCTCGGCCCTCGCTGCCATGGTCTTCAGCATCCTCGGCGCGCAGCCCCTCACCATTGTCGGCATCACCGGTCTGATCTCGCTCTTCAACTACACCATCTACGACATCATCACCCAGTACGACGCCTCCATATACCCGCAGTTCATGGCCTGGACGGCTATCTGGGCCGCCATCTTTCACTGGCTGGCCGGCATCTGGAACCTGTGCGACTACATGCGCTACGTGACCGACTTCTCCAGCGAGTCCTTTGGCATGTACGTCGGTATCATCTACATGAGTAAGTGCAAGGTCCTGCGTCTTCTACCTTCCACCTTCTGTCCCAACGGATGGCGCTTGCAGCAATGATCCGCTTACCAGTCCGACAGTCAAGGGCGTCGAGGAGCTCGTGAACGAATTCAGCGTTGAGGGCAACGCCGCAGGCTACCTCGCCTGCATGATTGCCATCCTCTACTTCGGAAGCATCTACGGCCTCGAAAAGCTCGGAGCAAGCGTGATGTGGAAGCCCTGGTTCCGCGGCCTCCTAGCCGATTACGCCTACGTGGTAAGCATCACGTCCATCCAACAACAACTTCTCCCCACGACCATCCATCACGCTGACCCCCGACGACCAACAAAAAGATCGGAACCCTCTTCTGGGTCGGCTTCTCGCACATCCCCGGCACCCTGCAATCCACCCCCCTCACCTCCGTCCCCACCACCCGCGCCTTCCGCCCGACCCAGCCGCGCACGAGCTGGCTGATCGACTTCTGGAACCTCGACGCCAAATGGGTCTTCGTCGCCCTGCCCTTCGGACTCCTCCTCACGCTGCTCTTCTACTACGACCACAACGTCAGCAGCCTCACAGCGCAAGCGCGGGCCTTCCCGCTCCGAAAACCAGGCGGCTTCCACTGGGACTTCTTCCTGCTCGGCTGCACGACCTTCGTCGCCGGCGTCCTCGGCTTGCCGCTGCCCAACGGCCTGGTGCCGCAGGCGCCCGTGCACACGGAGTCGCTGACCGTGTACGAGACGGAGTTGCACGTCGTCGTCGTGACCACGACCACCGCGAACGAGGGCAGTGGCAGTGGCGGCGGCGGCGGTGGCGGCGGCGGGGAGCTGCGGCGGCCCGTGGTGAAGGCGGCTGCTGTTGTCGAGCAGCGCGTGTCGCACTTCCTCATGGGGCTCGCGCTGATCGGCACCATGACGGGGCCGCTGCTGGTGGTGCTGCGGACGATGCCGGCGGCGGTGTTTGCGGGCGTGTTTTTTGTCGTTGGGGTGTGTATGACCTTTTTTTTTTTTCTTTTCTTTTCTTTTCTTTTCTTTTCTTTTCTTTTCCCCTCCCTCGTCGGCTTCTTCTTCTTCTTTGTTCTCCCCCTTGTCTGTAGTACTCTTTTTTTTCCCTTGATTTCTTTCGGGAGTAGTCGATGTATGGTTCTTTTTTTTTTTTTTTGCTGACGGGCGATGATACTTACCTACCTTTGCGCGTTTTAGTGGGGCTCCATAGAATCGAACGGCATCCTCAGCAAGCTCATCATGTTCATGCGCGAGCGGCGATTCATCCAGTCGGACGAGCCGCTGCTCACGATCCAGCGGAGGAAGGTATGGATGTATATCGGCTTCCAGATCGTCGGCGTCGCCGCATGCGTAGCCATATCGCAGACGATAGCAGCCATAGGTACGAGACATCACCCTTTGTTTCCCCCTCCCTCCCCTCTCCAGCCTTCTTTTTTTCTTTCTCTCTGTCTCTCGATATTTCCCTTTTCCTCTCTGACACGAAAAGCAAACGCAGGCTTCCCGGTCCTCATCTGCGCCCTGATCCCGCTGAGAACACACGTGCTGCCCAAGGTCTTCACCAGGCATGAACTCGACGTCTTGGATGACCTGACGGCGAACAATTCCGCGGTGCTGGCGAGTCTGGGTGGTGCGCCAACGTTGCTGGAGAATGCTGCGCCGGAATGATTGTGGAGGAGTGGAGAATAGCTAGGTGCCATGGCGTTGAGAGACAAAGGGTGGTGAGCATTCATCAGTAAACGGGGGGAAGCCGGGAAGGAGTTGGCACGTGGAAAAGAGAGCGGTCGAAGGATGCAAGTGATGACAGAGAGGTTAAGAGTGGGGTAGCGGGGCAGTCGACCACAGGGTGCGGTGGGGTCCAAAGGAATAATGTACGGAGACGCAGGGTGAGGTAGGTAAGCAAGGACAAATGTGCGTGTTCCAGACCTAAACTTCTCGGTATGTCAGCAAGCGATGGTCCATCTGGTACATTATTATGAAGTTGTTCAGGGTTGCAGTTGCAAGGCCGCCGCTTTGATCCTTCAATACGTTATTGGCGCGGGTTGGAGCGGTTTCTCTGAAGTGGCCCCACTCTCTAGCGCATGGAGCGTCAAAAAGGCGTGGGGCTTCTGCTGACGTTTGATCTTCTCTGCATTCATGGCGTTGACAGGATCGACAAGCGAGGCGAAAGCCCCGGCGGACGAATACAGCACCGGGCCCAAGGAAGCGCTTCGAACTACTCATTGGACAGATTGGCATCCTCGGCCAACAAGTGAGCGAAACCGGGGTGGTTGCCTCCCATATTACCAGATGTAGAATGTGCTGAGCCACAGCCCCTTGCTGTATGCGTTGAAAAGGGAAAGTTCCCGATGCTATATATATGTGAGTCTTGGCCCTTGTAACGTACGTAACAGAGTCAGTGAAGCTCAATTCAAGCAACGATGACTGCAGAGATGACTTGCACAGACGTTTTCATCTGTGGAGGTGGGCCGGTGGGCCTGTTACTGGCGTATAGCCTTGCACGGCAAGGTATAAGCTCGCAGGTTGCTGGTGAGTGTCTTTGTGCCCACGTCGCAAATTCAAGATGCTGATTGCAACGCAGAGATGTACGAGCGCAAGGTTCAAGAAAACTTCGGCCGGGCCACAACCATGTATCCACGCACGCTAGAGCTTTTGGAGCGTGAGGACTTGTTCGACCAGATGGCACAGATTGGATTCTTTGCGCGCAATGCCACGACGTACAAGGATGGCCATATAGTGCCCGGCCGCGGCTGGCAAATCCTGTGGAAGGCGATGAAGGATTCCTTCCACCCATACGTGCTCAACATCCGCCAAAAGTACTCAGAACAGGTGTTTCGTGAGAACTACGAGGCATTCGGATATCAAGTTCACTATGGCTGGGAAGTGGTGGGCTATGACGTTGACACGAGCATTGGCGACGGATACAATGTCACGGTCCAGACCCAGCGTGTGGGTACCGACGAGCAAAATACTGTCAGATGGTAAGTTTGAGTGAGACCATACCACGATAGGAGCTAATTAGACTTACAGCAAATACCTCGTTGGTGCCGATGGGGGACGCTCAAAGATCCGTCGTCTGTCCAACATCCGCATGGAAGGTGACACAACGGCCTTCAACTGGGTGCGCATGGACGGCAAGTACAAGACGAACATGCCATTTGCCGACGCCGGCGTTGCCTCCATTGAGACGGAATCCCATGGTAATGTATTGTGGGTTCGCCTTGACCACGATGCCTATCGCATTGGCTATGTCTTGTCGCCCAAATTGTATGAGAAGTACGGTGACAACATCACCGAAGAGCAAGCCAAGTATGAGGCCATCGAGGCAATGAAGCCATTCTCGCTGGATATTGAGCGGGTTGACTGGATGACGTGCTATGGGTGAGGACTTCGGTCAACGTCTGGTTGGGAAGCTTAGCTGACACACATGACAGCATCGGCCAGAGAGTGGCTGAGAAGTTTTTCTCTGACGACTATGTCCTTCTCGCCGGAGACGCTGGCCACACACATTCTTCTGGCTTCGCGCAGGGACTGAACACCGGCATCCACGACTCCACAAACCTCGCTTGGAAGTTGGCAGGCACAATCAAAGGTCGGTATCAACCTGCCGTCCTCCAGAGCTATAAGGACGAGCGGCGCCCGTCTGCGCAGCACCTAATCGAAATCGACAAAGCTGCGTCTGCGGCCATATCTGGCGTCATACCACCGCGCTACAAGCAGCTCGCCGCCGAAACTTCTCCCAACCAGGTGTTGCGCACCATTCTCGAGGAGACCGCACCATTCACGGTTGGCCTGGGCATCGACTACCCCGACTCGATCCTCAACCGTCCTGAACAGCGCAAGATCATGATTTCTCAGGGCAGTCGTGCTCCAGACGTTCTGTTGCAAAAGCCAGGCGCTCTGCTGAGGACTCGTCTCTACGACGTGAACAAAGCACCTGGTCTTTGGACAGTGCTCGTCTTCACCGGAAACACTGCCACCACCAAGCCGGCATTAGCACAGCTGCGTGAAGCTCTGGCCCTGGAGTCAAGCTTCGCGAAACAATTCGGGCACGTGCTTCGGTTCTTAACCGTCATACCTGGTACTGCCCCAAGCGTGTGGAGTGCACTCGGAGGTCCGGCCTTTGGTAAAATGTTCATCGATCCTGGCTTTGAGGCTCACGATAGATACGGCATCCCCCACGAGACAGGTGCCATAGTGGTGCTGAGACCAGACGCCGTGCTTGGGTTCGTTGCAGACTTTGGCGATGTCGGAGAGATCAACAAATACTTTGCTGGGTTTTGTAATCAATAGCGGTTGTTGTCCGTAGACCGCACGCATGTATTTTTGTGTCAAACGAAGAGTTCGCAGGGTGTAATAACTCTATGTTCATAGTTTAGCACAAAGATCCTCCGGGAGCTTGATGAACGAGAGCAGAAGCCACAGCAAAGCCAACGTTTACCCGAATCACAGGTCTTGCCTCGTCAACCGGTCCCAGGCACTTGTACTCGTGTGAGTCTCTATATCGATGTCGTTGCAGTCGCCAGGGGCGTTGACCGGGTTACACCTGACGACACCGCCCGCGGGCAGTCTCGCAACATAATTGCTACCATACCTGGTAGCCATTCCAACACCTGGCCAATCGGTGCTCACAACCTGGGCTCCCGTCTCGAGAGCTCTTTTCAGCCGGGCATTTGCGACGTCATCTCCCATGAGAACGGAGTTGATGGGCTCATCTGCACGCGTGCGAATAAGGTAACCCTTCCGAACCAGCTCCTGACTCTCTGCGAGATTATCGCCCGAAGGGTCGTTCCGCTTGATGAAAGCGGCATCCGCCTCGCCAGGTAGGGAGTTTGTGAAGACGACGCGATTCTCAAGGTTCGCGTGACCGTCGGCGCGGTATGCGTCGCGGATGGAAGGGGTACCGTCGGGGTTGTTATCCATGACGAAGAGAAACTTGCCCCTGCTCTCTTCGAGAGTCGGCCAGCCATGTTGCAGCACTGCGCCCTCCAAGGTGAGATGCGTATCGGTCTTGGAGCGACCTCGCAAACGCACATCATCAGGCGTGATGATCTTGTCCTTACCCAGGGCTGCGCGAATTTCATCGTCCATGAGGCCCAGACTGGTGGCGTTCCATGGTTCACCTGGGGCTCCGCCGACGGCCCGAAGGCGCTCGTCTACGGTTTTGTACTCGAGGTCGATGACGACAGGCACGTGGGCAGGGCGCTTGTCAGACCAGTCCCGCAATTCCTTGAGGCACAGCTTCAGAGTTGGGCAGACGCTGCGAACGTCAATGTCGCTTACGTGCAAGACCTTGGCTCCTGGTTCACGCATGTAGTCCTGCCATGCCTGTTGTGGCTCGGGCAGCTGCGCAAGGCGATCTATGAGAGGACTCGCGAACTGGCCGGGAGAAAGGTAGTCGGCATAGACATCAAGCTCGAGACTCCGGACAGACTGGTAGTCCAACTGGTCCGAGAGCGAGGCATGGCTGTAGTAGAGACTCTGCGGAGACGGAACCAGAAGCTCGAAGATGGGCCGCGCGGTTATCGAGACTTCCCGATGATAGCTGTTGTGAGTACCGATGACTTGGATGTGGTTGAGGCGGAGATCGGCGGCGGTTGATACTGGCTGGAGCGGGCTTGCGGACCCGAATGACAGGATGGCTTCAAACAAAGAGGTCAGATGCCGCATGGTTTCGAAGAGAGGGAGTCGGACAAAGTAGGATAGAGCTGATCTGCGCTGCTCCCGTGAAGTGCTGCAGTTGCGTTCTCTACGTGAGTGTCTGTCGACGCTCCCGGCCCTTCCGCCGACGACGCCCGTACTTCCTGGTGGGGCGACATACTGTGGATCTCGTCATTGCAGCTGACAACCGTGACAGGTGTCGAGTTGCGGATACCATGGGATGGGTTGCCAAGGATTGCGTTTCGTGATTTCGAAGGTTACGCTTCGGTCTTTCGTCAAGTCGTCATTGCGGGGAGACGGGCAGCTGTCAATCTTCCTTGACGCATGGCTTGCTTTCACGTGTGACCGGAGGGCGATTTTGATTGGTGACGGATGCATGTTGCCCAACACGTGATGCGAGTCGGAATGTCGTGCATAGCCATTATTGAACTTTTCCAGTTGCCTTTGATCTATCCTTCTCAGAAAACCTCAACTCGCCCTTTCCACTGGCTACTACCTACGGTAAACCTCCACCAAGGTGGTGAGCGATTCGGAGCAGGTGTCACCGACGTAGATCCGATGGCACGGAAGGTGTAGTTCCCGCGTGCGAAGGCAACATTTTTCGGGTGGTCATGCACAATTTTTCGGTGTGAGACAGTGTGGTCCGAGTTGCGGCGAAGCACTTCAACCAGATGAGGGCTGAAGATAGCATCCCAGCGGCTGACCGCGGTTTCATAGTCGCGTGGATATGAACAAGTGAAACCAGTGTACGCGGGGAGTGCCAGGAAGACGCGAATCGCCTGCCGCTTCAGGTCGAGGTATCAGACTCCCCTTCCGAACCCGGTGATGGCGGCTGGGCTGGATGTCAATCTCGAACACATGCACAGCTGAACGGTGGACGCCGGAGACGATCGCATCCACGGCCCACGCGCCTAGCATTTGCTAGCTGACCCGAAGAGCGGGGCGGAGGCTGGGGAACGGCTTATGTCTTCGGGTTAATGCCAGGCGTGACGTGCCCATGAAACGACAATGCTGTCAGGCTTCAGCCGCCTTGCGTCGGCGGCACGGGCTCGCGAGTAAGGGCGCTCGCACAGTCGCCAGCTGAGAGGGTTGGCGCAGCGGTAAATTGGCGGCGGCGGCGAGATGGCGAGTGGGAGCCGGGGCTAGGCGGCTGAGCGAGCGCCGGGTGCAACGTTTGGGAAGGCGGACCTCGCTCGAGCGTGGGCCCGGGCGGCTTCATCACGATCGGAACGCGGTGCTACGCGTCGCGACGCGTTCGCGCAACCCTGTCGCGCAGCGTGTTAATGGTGGTGGCGGGCAGGGGCGGGAGGCTGGGAGCCAGTGCTTGGGCAGTCCGGTGGCCTGGGGCACGTCTTTGTGCCCTCGACTCCAGCCGACCAGGCACGGCAGACTGGCGGAATGGCTTAGCGGCCGGCGCAGGCCCTGGTCGCCCAACACCAACAGCACACGCTGCAGACGCGCCGCTCCTTGCAGCCGCCACAGATCGCGTCTCGTGCGACCGGCCGCCGCTCCGCCCTGCGCCGATATACACCTCGCGCCCTCGCCCCATCCCTCTCCTCAGGCTTGCTCCGTCTTCCCCAACAAGTCCTCCGCGTTGCGACTCTCGCCCTGCGTCTCTGAAATTGCCGACTGTTGCTGCCTGTAGCCCACCGTCACCCGTGCTGCTGTTACTGTTTATTCACTGCCTTTCGGGGCCGGACGTCAACACGCACAACCCCGCGCCCGATTCGCGTCCGAGCTGCTCCACTCGACGCAAAATCAGCACCAGCACCGCAACCGCCATCTCGACACCACCGCAACCGCATCCCCAAAAATGACTGCTCACGTTCCTGCACGCCAGCCCTTCGCGGCCTTGGATGGCCCTCGTTTGCGGAACCTGACCAGTGCGAAGAACCGCCAGAACTGTAAGCTAGCCCTGTCGCCTCGCCCGCCGCCTCGCCTGCCGTCGTCTGTGTCGATCGACCGTGCCGTACTCACCCCTCTGTAGCCATTTCCGCTTCCCTTTCCTTCCCCGCCTCTGGCAAGCAGTCCAAGTACTCGCCATCATCGAAGCGCCGCCACACGACGTCGCCTTTCGATGGTGATCTGAGCAGCGAGAATGCGGACCCCGCTGTTTTTGACTCACCAACCAAGCGCTCTAAGAACTTGGACGGGAGCCCGAAGAAGGTCTCAAAGTTCATCTTGGGCGCTGATGCTGCCCCCGCCTCTTCATCATCTGCCCGCCGCTCTACCCCGCTGTCGACCGTAGAGAAGCCACGAGCGTCAACCGTGCCCGCCCAGTCGTCCATCAGCACTAGCCGCGGCTCTCCGAAGAACAAGCGTGCCGGCCTTCTCTCCAAACGCCGCACTACTCGCATTGATCCGCCATCCTTTGACCTCAGCCCTCGCCGCAACTCCGGCGTGCCTTTCTCCATTGACGCCGCGCTGAGCGGTACCATCCCCGACTATGCGCCCCCGCCCAAACCTGCTGCACGCAAACCCGCCTCCCTCCTCGATGAGTCGATGCCCAAGGGCTGGTTCTTCGAGATCCACGAGGACAGCCCCGAGGAAGAAGCGACGAACATGATGGAGCACTCGGCGACGACGCTTGACATCTCGTCTGACGATGACTGCGACACTCGTGCTGAGACTGAGTCACGCGAGAGGGGCAAGGAAAACATCCCGCCACCCGATTACTATCTCACCTCGAGCTCTCGTTCCGCTGGCGCTTCTGATGCTAGCGCTGAGCCGAGGAAGGCGAAGCCGCGCCGCAAATTTGAGAAGGATGCCATGGAGGAAGATCGCTCCCCGCTTTCCGCCCTGCCTGCCTCTGATTTCTTTGGGGAAGGGCTTGATGCGAATTCCTACGTCATCGTTGATGGCACTGCTCCGGAAAAGCCTTCGAGGCTGTCCAAGGAGTGCACTTTCGACGACATCCCCACAAAGGAGGGGAAAGATGCTGCTAGCGCCACTGTCACCAAATCTGCAAAGAACATTGGCAGCACTGCAAAGGACCTCGAGTCAACTGCTTCTGAGGTTTCTTCGCCAGAAGAGAGCTCGGACTTCGCAGTCTTCGACGAGACTGCTACCGAGACACCTGACACGAACGCATCGGTCAAGGTCTAAGCATCCTTTTCTCTTCTGACGAAGTGACGAGGCGAGCGCTTATCAGTATTATACCCCTTCACACTGTAAATCTTTGCTCGCTGCTCGTTCAATCACGGGCCAGCGATATTTGAGTTGGCGTTTAGGTACGACGATGTCTTTTCACTATATGAGTTTAGCGAGTGTTTCGAGCGAATTCGGTCTCAATGGTTCCAGCAATGGGTTAAAAGCAGAGGTACAGGCTGCCGGTTGGGTGTTCATTGGCTTTTCTTCTTGAATTTTGGACGATGGATTCTAGGTGCTGTCACGATATTTGCGGACGAAGTTCCAATGTCTTGAAGGCAGGAATCTTTTTTGTAGCTGTTCTTAGCAACATATGATAATCACTTACGAAACGACCCACTCAAATACGTGGTAGAGGTGAACTGTGACATACTACGTAGTGGCACCTACTTAAGATAGTGATGCTGAGCACGGACCACGGCGATCGGAGCAGTCGGCCGTCAAGCTCCGTCGGCGGGCTGGAAAGTCGACGGCAACGCGACTCCACCAAGTCCACGCGCCCCAATGGCTTCAGCACAGCGGTGTCTTGCTCATCTGAGCAGAAATGCCCTTCACAGCTCGATACGGCCGACTGTCGGTCGGACGCTCGCCCCCGCCTTGATACCAACCCAGCAAATCCGCTGCGCAATCGCCGGCAAGGGCTACAAGAAAAAAGACGACAGCTCCAGCAAGAAGAAGAAGAAGTCTCGGACGAGCTTTATCACTCACGACCTCAAGGATGCTGAGCAATTCGCTCTCCTGGATGCGATCCGGTACGCCTGAGCCCTCCGGCCGACGTTTGGCGGCTTCACGACACATGCGCCGTGAGAAGCGATCACTCCCCCCCATCCCCAAAGCCAGACGGGAGAGACCACCAGGCCAATTCGCTGACGCCCAACCGTCCCCACCGCAGGTACATCCGCGCCTTCGAAGTCGGCAAGCACCCCACGTCGCCCAAGTACGAGCTCCACCTGAAGCTGCGCACGCTCAAGAACGGGCCGGTGGTGCGCAACCGGCTGCGGCTGCCGCACCCGGTCAAGACGGACCTGCGCATCTGCGTGATCGCGCCGCGCGACTCGCCGCAGGGCAAGGCGGCGCTGGCGGCCGGCGCGGCCGTCGTCGGCGAGGACGACGTCTTCGCCGCCATCAAGGACGAGGGCCGCATCGACTTCGACCGCTGCCTGTGCCACCCGGATTCGCTGCAGAAGATGAACAAGGCGGGCCTGGGCCGCATTCTGGGTCCCAGGGGGCTCATGCCTAGCGCGAAGAACGGCACCGTCGTCAAGGACGTGGCCGCGGCCGTCAAGGAGATGGTCGGCGGTGCGGAGTACAGGGAGCGCTTGGGCGTCGTGCGGATGGCCGTTGGGCAGCTGGCTTTCACGCCGGATGAGCTGGCGAAGAATATCAAGGCCTTCATCAACAGCGTGAAGAAGGATATGGCGCAACTGAGCGACCGTATTTCCAAGGACATTCATGAGGTGGTAAGTTGCGCATTCAATGGGACACCCCCATGACACCCTGTAACTAACCTCTTTTCCAGGTGCTGAGCTCGACAAACTCGCCGGGATTCAGCTTGAACGGTGAATTCAGAGGACCCGACTCGCCAAATCCGAAGGATTTAGTACATGCATAGATTTATAAGGGCTTCGAGGAATATACTTGGCATTGAAAGCGGGCACGGAAAATGTGTGTTATCATGAAATGATCTTTTGAACTCCATTGGTATAATGCGGCCGTGTGATCTGGGTATTGTGTGCTGCTCGTAAAGACGAAGTTCTGGAAGTAAAAGAGATCTGCTTCAGAAACGCCCGTTTCTTCAAGAACGCCCCCTCAGGACCTTGATAGCCTCAATGCCTTCGTCCATCTCCGCGTAGATGCTCATAACCTTGAGGACCCTATTCTTGCCCTGCGGGCCCGCAGACTTTGCAGACTTCAACTCCGCTCCCAGATCCAACAACAGCGTATTCCGTATCTTCGTCAAACGCGGCTCCTGCGCGACCAAGAACGGGTGCTCCTTGCCAATCCTCCCCGCCGTCTGCCGCACGCCCAAGTACTGTCGCGCCAGCCTCCTCAGCCTCCCCAACGAGACATTGCCCTCCGCCTCATCCTCCCCATCAGTCTCCTCGTCGTCGTCGTCGCCATCATCATCCTCCTCCTCCTCCCCATCGCTACTACCCTCCCCGCCCTCCCCCGTCCCCTGCCCCTGCCCCTGCTGCCCCACCACCAACGCGGCCTCCAACTCGCCCACCCTCCTCTCCACCTCCAACAGCGCCCTCGCCACCGCCCTCCCCCTCACCAGCCCCTCCCTCTCCCCCACCAACCCCCTCACCTCCTCCTCGCGCCCCGCCACCGCCTCCCTCACCTCCCCGACCGCCTTGCGCATCCCCAGCAGGCCGACGCGCACCTCCTCGACGCGGTCGTCGCCGCCGCGCAGCGCGCGGCCGAGCGACAAGAAATCGGCGTAGTTGGCGTTGACCAGGTCGAGCAGCTCGCGGCTGATGAGGGCGCTGCGGGCGCGCAGGTCGGCGCGCAGGTCGCCCAGCGTCTGGTGGCGGTGCGACAGCGTCGAGAGGTAGGCGGCGGCGGAGAAGTGGGGGGCGGGGACGGTGAAGGCGCTGCGGGGGAGCTCGGTCGGGTAGGGGAGGTCGGCGTCGTCGATGTCGGAGGAGGAGGGGGAGGAAAGGTTGTTGTTGTTGTTGTTGTGGGCGGCCTCGGGGTCGGGCGTCGAGGGGTTGGATGTCGCGGTGGAGGAGGGGAGCTGGTGGTGAGGGGTCGTCGGGTTAGCGGGTGGGGTGTTGTTTTGGTTGGGGGAAGGTTGGAGCTTCTGGGGGTTGGAGGATGACGGACTTCGAATTTGCTCATGGTTGCGGCTTTTTCCAGGTGTTCTGTTTTCTGTTGGAGAGGCTTTGTAGCTATGATGTTGCAATGGCGATTATCGCGGTTCTGGCATTGGGTTTGCCGCGCCAGTTGTCGCGGAATTGGCGAAGTCGAGGTTGGGAAGTTGAGGTACAGGTGTTGTTGGTTTGGCTTGTAGGCCCGCCGCGCGGAGGTCCGCTGTCGATCTCCGTGCTCCTCCGCACGTTGCCGATCTAAGCTCCGCGCAGAGCAATCGATTGAAGCCAAACGAATCTTGAAACTCAGGGCTCGGTATAGTAGTAAATAGTCTACTCAGTTGAGTGATCCCTCATATGAAGATTGTGTACTAAAAAAGAAAAAAAGGTGAATTTCAACCAGGCCCAGCTTCTAGAAGTGATTTGATCGAAACACGAGCTTCTACGTCCTAAGCTTGTAATAAGATATATTTCATGCTGAAGCGCACTCTAAAAAAGCACTCCTCAATAAAATCCATAGCGCTCTCAACACCTAAAACGCCTACCATCACAAACATGCGTGGAAGCTCTTTGCAATCTTCCCAACTCCACCTTCATCCTTTCTAGAGAACAGCAACTTGCGAGGTGCTCCGATTCTCGAGTGACGACCTTCATACAAATTCCAGCATTTAATCGTGCAGACTCCCTCCCACCAGCTCGCTCCACCCTCATCACCTCAGCCCCAACCCTCCAAACGCCCTATCCAGCTCCGCCCCCTCATCACTCTGCACAACCCCCTGCATCGCCTCACCACCCACCCCTTGCTGCTGCTGCTGCTGCTGATAATGCATCACAGGCGGCGGCGCGTCCTCATCCATCAAACTCGCTCCTCCGGGCTGTTGCTCGCCACCACCCCCACCACCCTTCCGCTCCGGCACCAGCATCTTGACCTCCTCGTCCAGCCAGCCGGGCGCGACGCGGCGCTTCTCGGCGAGGTCGCGCTCGCGCAGGCCGTCCTCCCAGCGGCGCGCCGTCGCGCGCGCGTCCTCGGTCAGGCGCGTGAGGTGGGCCTGCAGCGCGCGGCACGACGCGATGATGTCGTCCGGGTGTGCGGCGTGCTGGCCCGAGGCCGAGGTCACGTATGTCGGTTTCGGCGGGGAGGAGGAGGAGTTGTTGTTGTCTTGGTCGTCGGGGTTGCCGCCGGCTGGGGCGGGGGGGTCGGTGACGGACGGCGGGAGGGTCGAGGGGAGCTGCTTGTAGGTGTAGGGGAGCGGGGTGGCGGTTGGGAGGGAGACGAAGGGCGAGACGGTGAGGGGGAGTTGGGCGAGGAGCGGGTGCGGGTCTGCGAGGTGCCGGGCGGGTTGTCGTGGTTAGCGGGGAGATGGAAGGGTGGTTTGTTGGAGGTGTGGGGAGAGCTTGGTGGCGTACGGTCTTCGTGCATGCTGGGCGGTGCTTGTGATGCTGGATAATAGTTGGTGACTGAATGACGGAGGTGAGTGGTGGGGAGCAGTTGGCATGCGGGAAAGCTAGGTGATGGGCGGCTGGAGCTTCCGCTTCGGTGTCGGGTCAGCCCTACGATATGGCCTGATTTCCTCCACTATTTTGCAGAGCTCCGGCGGCATTCCCACGCGCCCAATCCTCTGCACTCCCTTTTTCCCCAGGAACACACCATCCGCCAACCAGTTATTCTCCCCTCCTCGCATACTCGCAGCAATGAACACCGTAAGCCCTCCGCCGCCTCAATTGTGTAGCTTGCGCTGACTCCCGCACAGATCAGATCTACCGCGTACGTCATTCGCAGTCATTCCCGATCACCTCCGTAGGACCGACGCTCACCATAATCTTTCACCAGCTACGGTTGGGGCGTTCTTATCGTCGGTACGTCTCATTCAACAGAAAATGGCTCGGCCCCGCCAATACTTCCTTCCTCCCACCACTGTTGGGCCACCAAAGAAAGCCGCGCTCCTGGCTAACGCAAACCCTCTTCCCCACAGCTGGCGGCGGCGCCTACTACTTCGCGAAGAAGGAGATCAACGCGGAGCGGGCCGAGAAGGCGGCTGCCGACCGCCGCAAGCGCGAGATGCATGCGCGCCTCGAAGCGCAGGCCTTCGCCGGTGGCAGCTCGAACGGCGGCGCCAACCCCAGCCAAGAAGCCAGCCAGGATCCCGCGCCAACACGGCACGCCCCCGAGACCGCAGGCCAGCAGGTCTTCGAGAAGAGCAAGTACGAAGCGACCGAACCGTTCAGGAGCAAGAAGGGGGACCGCTTCAGTTGAACGAACAATGGCTGATGGAATATGAAAGGAATCGGTGATGGAGCAATGCGACTTGCACGCGTAATGGGACTGGCAGTGGAGAGAATAGATGGGGATCAAAGTCTGGGGAACTGATTGGGCGCAGCTGAAACATGGGATGGCCGGTTGGCTGCGTGATTGTAGTCATGTCTCCGTAAGGCTGTCCTCGCCTTGGGCCAGAGCAACCGGCGGAACGCTGAAATCGGGTACTTGAACGTCGCAAAGAAGCATTGAGTTTCAAAAAGCTTCTGTACGGGGCAGCTGTGTTCGAAGGGTCTTCGGAGTAGTAATTGGTTTGGTCTGTATCTCAATCACCTCTCAATCATGTACAAAATTAAATATACTAAATTTGTTCGTTCCACTATGATGTCGTCGAAACATGCAAGTCTCCCAAGGGAGAAGCAGGCCGCTCAGAAATGAAGGAGCGACTGTTCAGTCCAAAATAAATGCCTGGTATATTACCGCCAAACGCCAATACGATGCTCCCAATGGGAGGGCTTCGCCAGCCCTTGGCCCCTCCCGGATGCCCCGTCGAAAGTCACCCTAAGTCCCTACGCCGATTGACCGCGCGAGCGCTGCTTGTTCAGCGCACGCGGGCAGAAGATGAAAGCTAAAAGTTGATCATGGTAGCTCCCTGATCGGCAGGCACTTTCCTTCTAGAACTTGGGGCTCGGCGTGAAGGGGATCGGCGGCCTGGTGAACAGTGCCCTGTTAGTCCTGTGTACAACGACCGAAGTGGAGCTCTCCTGACTTGCTCAACACGCGCAACTAGACTTTATTGGTGCAGTGATTGCGTGGGACACGCAATGCAGCTGCCAGGGCGGCGAAAAGGAGAGCAGGTGATTGAGAAACAGAGGACAGGCTTCAGAACTTACTTGGTCATGTAGGTGCCATCACGCTTTGCTTGACGGGTCTGCAGGTAGGGGTGCACGAAAGGCAGCACGACGCCGGCGGTGATGGCGCTGTGAGCAACGAGAAGCTGCAGGCGCGAGTAGCGCGGAGCAAAGGCACCGGAAGAGTAACAGCGGCGAGCGGCGTTGCTGAAGGCGGACATGTTGGATGGTTTGCTTAAGACTGTATAAGAAGCGAAGCTGGGAGGTGCTCGTGGACTTTGGGAAGGCGCAGAATGTTAGCGCGGGGTGGCTCGTTGCAGTAGTGATAGCAGCGTGGAAAAGACGAATGGATGGTGGAAGATAAATAGAGAGGCAGCGGGGCTTGCGCCATTTTGTACAGAGTCACGCAGTCTCGTGGGCAGGTTCGGCGTGAGGTCTGCCAGGCAACAGGGACTTACCAGTGACTATGATGCCAGACCGGAACAGGGCTGAGTTGGTAGTGACGAATGCCGCGCTAAAGCCGAGACGGGCCGCAGGAGAGGATGGTAGGGCGTGCCGGTGTATTTTTAGAGTGTGGGAGCGTGGGAGTCTGAGGGTCGCTGAGCTCAGGAACAGGTGCGTTGGTGCAGAGCAGAAGGTACTCTTTCTCAGGAAGAAGCTGTCTGGGGGGGGCGCGGAGAAAAGATATATGAGGTCCCATGCACCAGAGGTGCATTCCTGGCGGCTTGGAGCTGCGCGCTGAGCCCTGCGAATAGAGCCGCCCCTGCGCCGAGCCGCGGGGACCATGCGTGAGTGTGGGCTGGCTATCAGGCGACACGGCCGCCCTCTTCCCGGGAGCACCTGCCCACCAATGCTTGCTATTGGGCTCGCCGGTCGAATGCTTTTCCCTCTCGCGCCCCGCCTACCCGTTAGAGCCCGCCGTTCCTGCCCCGCCGTCACATGGCAGCACACCATTTCCGCCTCCCATGCCTCACACCTGGCCCGCATGCCGCTGGCTGTTCCTCCCGCCATCTTTTCTGCGCGTGCAACCAAACAGGCGTCGCCGGTGCTTCTTCCGGCACTACTCTGGCTGCATGCTGCACGCCCGGGACGCTCGCAGCTGCCACTGCCAGAAAATTGCCCGATCTGCCCCGAGCACAGGCGCGTGTAGCGCCTGCCTTACCAGGCCTGGCCCTGCGCTTGCGTGTTGCTCGGGTCGCAGCTGCTGCACAGTGACGCCGCCGCCGTCCCTGATGTGCAGGGCAACATGAGGATCCGTGGAATGACGACAGATCAGGAGGCGCCTTGTCTCCACGTCGGATCCAGCCTGCTGACTGCAAATTAGCAACGACGGCTGCACCCATCTGCGCCTACCACGCGGCAAATCTTAGGGAAGTGAGTGTGCAAACGTGCCACTGTGGCTGGGCCAGGGACACGATAGTCAAAGACGGAAGGCGGATCCTCGTCGGATTGTGGTGCATGCACGCGACACTACAACAGTCGTAGGGTAGGCCGAAGGGAACGGTGAACCGACGTGGGCTAGAAATGGACAAAACGTCAAGTCGAGACGAGCCCGAGCAACGAAACGAAACGAAACACCTCTCTTGCAGTTGCTCCCACGCCTCCATGCCAGTGCTTGTGCATCAAGGAGTTGCCCAAAGCACCTGGTCTTCCCGAAATCTCTCACCACTTTTCTCCGCAATGGTTGCCGTTCCTCGCGTCCGGTCGCCCACGCATCCCGTGCCGTTCCGTGCGCCAGCTGCCGACCCCTCCTTTCTTGCATCCTTCATGCTTTCTTTGAAATGCGTTTGCTCCTATTGGACCGTCGCACCCCTGTCTCACGACGCCAGCAAGTGTGACATCTGGTCAAAGCGCACGCCATGTTGCCACGCGGTAGTGGATATCGCTCAAAGCCACGCTCGAGGACGTCAACTAGTTCAAAGATGACTCTATCACAGGAGACCCTTGCACCAGAGGAAAGTATTTTCCGGCGTATGTTGCAAGGAGTGGATTTGACTCGGTCGTTCAAGAACTATCCACACAGCAAAAGGCTGCAAACCGGCCGTTTGGAAGTCGCCCTGGTAGGTGAGTGGATCACCATCTGCAAAGTGACCAAATCGGCCCCTCCCTCAGTATTATGCAAGTGACGAACTCGTTAGCTTGCGTACTGTGTAGTACTACTAAGTCTACCGCTCGGGGTTACCGTTCTCGTGCGCATGATCCAAACAAGTTTCGTTTGGAGCTTGCTGAGAACCAATGGGCGTTTCTCTAATCACTTTTTTCCACATCCTTTCATTTCCCTGTGCCCTTATCCCTGTTAACCCACCTAGACACCCATGTTGATGCTTAGAAAATACATCTCGGCCAGTGGTCCAGATGCCTCGAATGTACCCACTCAGGAGAGAAGCAAAGACACTATCAATCAATAGTTTTCGAGAGACTCCTGAGTGATCCGCGTCCCGAGCCAGGTGTCGTTCAAAAAAGCAAGTATGGATATGCAAGGCACCGAGACGTTGCATCGTAGCAGGTCAGGATCATGCCTTCCCAGAAAAAACTCACGTGCAAGTCGCGTATCCAAAAAAAAAAAAAAAAACGTATTGAGACCTATGGAAGTTATGAGACCTGTATCTCCTCGTCCATCCTCTACCATTGCCATTCAACAATGTCACAAAAAGCACTTAACATGTACGAGCACGGTCAAATTTCACGTCTTTCTAGCTCTATACCAAGGAGCATTTCATCTATACTCCCCAGACTACCACGTTCCCGTCACCGCCGGCGCTAGCGAACTCGTTTCTTCTCGGACAGAACGCTACAGCGCTGACGACATCTCTCTTGGAGGTACCTTCAGACTCTCCGTGCCGAAGCCGATGCTGGACAGTGCCTGAAACAATGTCCCAAGCAAGAATACTGCCATCCTCACTCCCTGCGACGGCAACGGTGTCTTTGAGACCAAGAGTCGAGCGGATGCGGTACTCAGTGTTCACGTACTGGAGTGGCATGTAAATATGTGGGGGACAAACGGGAAGATCACGGCGTGACGGAGTTCCTACCTCAGGCGCCTTGTAAGACTGCAGCAACCTTCCGTTTGACCTGTCCATCAAACGTATCGTCGAGTCGAGCGTACTGGTCAGGATCGAGTCGGCATCCCTAGTAGGCGTGACAGACGTGACCGGATCTGTCTCGAATCAGCCAACCACCCAACAAACCACCGGCAACTCTCCCTTGTCCTCATACTCACGTCCAAGAACGTCGACGAACACTTGTCCCATCCGGATATCGTAGGTCCTAACCCTTCCGTCCACGCACCCGGCGAATATCTCATGCTCCCAGACGCAAATCGACGAGATGCTATCCTTGGCCTCCGATAGCGTCATGAGCGGCTTGTGCGACTGGCTCTTGAGATCCCACAGCTTGACCGTAGCATCGAAGCTCCCTACAAGCATAAACGCCCACGTTAGCCCACCACACACATTGCCGCATACGCCCACATCCCGCCAACAGGATCCTCCACATCCCACCCCACCTCCACACACACTCCTGCATCCCTCCGCTCCCCGCTCTCCTCACCCACAATTCCCTGCCTCCAACCAGCCCCAGAAAACAGAGCGAGCGAGCTACCACGGCAAAAAAAGAAAGGGAAGAAAAAAGGGCCTCGACTCACCACTAACCAACACATCCCCCCCGGCCGCAAACGCGACGGCATTGCACTTCCCCGCATGCCCGCTGAACCGGCGCAGCGTCGCCGCCGTCGCCACGTCCCACAAAAAGACGTGCTTGTCGCCGCCGACGCTGGCGAAGCGCGCGTTGTCGTCCGCCACGGCGAGGTCCAGCACCTCGTAGCCGTGCCCGTCGTACTCTTGCACCAGCAGGCCGCCGCCACGCCCCGGGTTGAACAGCCGGACCGTGCGGTCGGAGCTGCCGGTGAGGATCTGTTGTCGTTGCGCCTTCGCGTCAGGTTTTTGTTTTTGTTCTGTTTCTTTTCGTCTTCGGTGGCTGGGAGGGAAAGGGGAGGGGGAGGAGACAGCGCTTCGTTTGCGACTTTTGCGCGCGTTTGTGTAGGTGGGCGTGGACGGACGTACGTATTGGCCAATGCCGGCGCTGTAGGTCACGGCATGGACGGGTCCTGCTGCGGGGTTAGAGCTTATATCCAGTCAGATTTTGGGGCAAAAGACCGAAAAGGGCAGGGCAGAGAGTTACCATTGTGGCCGGAGAGCTTGGCGATCTGCCGGGTTGGGAATTGCGCCGTCATGACATGTCGCAGGTACTGTAGTTGCGGAGGGTCGGTGGTGTCGGAGTTGCTGGCAGGAGCTTGGATGCACTTGCGCACGGCCTTGGCAAAACACGGTATCCACATCGCTCACATTATTACGCACGCTTTGGGCTCAAGGTCAACACGAAAGTTCATTAATCTACAATGGGGAGGGAGAAGTGGAAGATGCAAAATTAGCTGATGCTTCCCCAGATTTTATGCGTCTCTCCCAGCTTGAAAACTCCCAACTACGCAACGGTTCCCGCGCCAAAACGGAATCCCCTCCCGCCGCCGCGCTGCATAATAAATAGGTTCAGCCGCTGAGTCGCAAAGCCTCAAGCCAACCTTGCACTGAAGCTTGCTAAGCGCCATTACAAACGTACTGAAGACTGCAAATGAGAGGTATCAGAAGAAAGGAAAAACCGGGTGCATAGTGCGAAAGTGGCCTAACGACGGCCGTGAGAGCGGGTGACGCTGCCTTGCAGTGTCTCGACCTCTGCCTCGAGCTGCTTGATGACGGCGTGGCTCTGCTCCAAGTCCTTGTTGAGGCGGTCGCGCTCGGAGATGAGCTTCTGCTCCCATTGGCGGAAACGCTGCTCCTCCACCTTGACTTGCTCCGTAAAACGCTTGCGGAGTGCCTCTTCCTCCTCCTTGAACTTGGGGTTGTCCAGCTTCCTGGGCCGAGCCTCGCCAAACTTCCGCGTCTCCATCTGCTGTGCCCTGTAGGCTTCGTAGTGGTTTTCCTCGGTCGTGTGGATCAAGTCCAACATGTGGGTGCGGATCAGGATGGCGCGGAGCTTCTTGAAGTCGCAGTGCTCCTCGTTCTCGACCTCAGCAACACCCCAGGCGTATTGGCGACCCTTGACAGTACGGCCGTCGGTGGTCTGGACGTCCTTCTCGGAGCCGATGACGGAGAAGGGCATAGCAGCAATCAGGCTGCGGGCGTGCTGAAGGCCAGCCTCGTCGTCCTCCTCGAGCGGGGGTTGGTAGATCTTGATGCCCTGGGCCTCGATGACCGAGCGGATCTGTTGTCTCCAATTAGCAACAAGGTATATACAAAAATCAACGGGGAAGCCGTACCTTAGCCTTGAACTTGGTCAGATCGGCGGGGCTGAGGGTGTCGGCCTTGGCGACAACGGGGATGAGGTTGACGCGAGTGCAGAGACGCTTCATGACCTCAATGTCCAGAGGCTTCAGGGTGTGGCCGGTAGGGCGGATGAAGTACAGGCAGGAGTGGACACGGAGGTCGATCTTCTCGGTACGCTTGGGCTGTTGCTCCTGGAGCATGTACGACTCGTGCTGGTCGTCGAGGAACTCGATGATGGGCTGCCACGAGTCGCGGTTGTTGACATAGTCACCGAAGCCGGGTGTGTCGATAACCGTCAGACGGACTGTGGAACATATCAGCGGATGCGCGCATTTAATCGACGAGGGGTCCCCTATACTGACCCTTGAAGAACTTCTCCTCAAGCTCAGCCTTGGTGATTTCGATCTCAACCGTCTTGTCGACCTGCTTCTGGTGGCGACGCTTGTGATCGGCATAGTTCTTAATCGTGGTGGAGAAGAGGGTGTTGATAAAGGTCGTCTTTCCCAAACCGGACTCGCCAGCAACCTATCACGCCACGTCAATCCCCGATCATACTGCAGGCTTGCGATGGAGGTGTACCATAATAGTGAAGGCGGCACCGCGCTTGGCAACGATCTTGTGTCTATGATGGTGTTAGGACGCGCGACCGCGGCAGCAAGGAGAAGCAGTCAGCTATTTACCGTTGGTTAGGAAGCTAGGGACGGGTAAGCAAACGTTCGGCGCATATGGATCGGGAGATCAACTCACATTGGCAATGCCAATCGGGGACGCAGATTCCGCCATTTTTAGGTGGTGAGGCGCGTTGCCTTGTGCTGTGGTGGTAGGAAAGTATGGAGCTGGAGCGAGCGTGAGCGGGTGCGCGAACTAGCCCCTGAAGTAGATGGAGCTCACAATGTGGTGACCGAGACCAAGCTGGGCGCGGACGTTGGTGGAGCGAGCGGAAGAAGTTGAAGGAAGGGCGGGCGTCAATGGGGCGTCAGGCGCTGGAAGGCAGTGGAGAGCGGTGGTGGGAGCCCCTAAGTCGAGGTTCCCCTTCGGCGAGCGAGAGACCCTGGGGGAAAGCGCGTTTGGCCACGCTAGCACGCGCGCTCGGGCCGCTAATGCCTGTGCGCCAAGTCCTTTGGGAGCTGCGACACCAAAAAGTTTCCCGCCCGCAATCGATAAGTCCATGCCGCCATGAAGACCGATTTCAGGGTGAGTTCTGCCGTCGCATGCCTCGCCGTTGCTCCTGCTGACCTGCGTCCAGTTCTCGAACTTGTTGGGCACTGTTTACAGCCGCGGAAACCTTCTCTTCACTCCGGATGGCACCTGTCTGCTGTCGCCCGTGGGCAACCGCGTCTCTGTCTTCGACCTGGTCAAGTGCGAACTCTCCTCCGACTCACACCGCATTGGTGGCGCAGGATCTGACACTTTCACAGCAACAAATCACATACCCTTCCTTTCGCACACCGTCGGAACATTGCCCGCATCGCACTAAACCCACGCGGTAACCTGCTGCTCACCGTCGACGAGGATGGCCGCGCCATTCTCACGAACGTACCCCGTCGCATCGCGCTCTACCACTTCTCGTTCCGGTCGCCTGTTTCGTCCATAGTGTTCGCGCCGGATGGGCGCCAATTTGCTGCCGCAATTGGCCGCCAGGTCGAAGTGTGGCATACGCCCTCGACCCCGGATGCCGGCGCGGACGGTGAGCTGGAATTCGCGCCGTTCGTACGTCATAGGGTGTATACCGGACATTACGACACTGTCGAAAGCATAGAGTGGTCTGGCGACTCGAGATTTTTCCTTACCGCATCGAAAGACCTTACGGCAAGAATATGGAGCTTGGACCCAGAGGACGGCTTCGTACCCACCACTCTGTCTGGACACAGGCAGGCTGTTGTAGGGGCATGGTTTTCCAAAAATCAGGAATTAGTGGGTACCGCTGGGGTATGCAGGATCGGGACGACTCGTGCTGATTGAACTGCAGATGTATACAGTCAGCAAGGACGGCGCGCTTTTCGAATGGCAGTACCTTCCTAAGCCCGCCCTAGATGATGATGAGGAGGAGGAGGATACGGAGCGCTGGAGAATAGCTGAGAAGCATTATTTCATGCAGAACAACGCGCACGTCACATGCGCCGCGTTTCACGCAGAAAGCAATCTCCTGGTCGTCGGCTTCTCAAATGGTGTATTTGGGATTCACGAGCTGCCCGAGTTCTCAACGATCCAAAACCTCAGGTTCGACTTCTGGACACTTTTTGCATTTCATTGCTGACTTCAGCAGCATCTCACAAAACGACATTGACTTCGTCACGATCAACAAGACTGGCGAATGGCTTGCATTCGGCGCATCCAAGCTAGGCCAGTTGCTCGTCTGGGAATGGCAATCTGAATCCTACATTCTCAAGCAACAAGGCCACTTCGACTCAATGAACTCGATCATTTACTCGCCGGATGGCCAGAGGATCATCACCTGCGCTGACGATGGCAAGATCAAGGTCTGGGACGTTGCCTCTGGATTTTGCATTGTTACCTTCACTGAGCACACCAGCGGCGTGACTGCTTGCGAATTCGCAAAGCGTGGCAACGTCCTTTTCACGGCTTCTCTCGATGGATCTGTGCGAGCGTGGGACTTGATCCGCTACCGGAATTTCCGCACTTTTACGGCGCCGAAACGTCTTTCCTTCTCCTCTATCGCTGTTGATCCCAGCGGCGAGGTCATCTGCGCTGGCTCGCGGGACGACCCGGATATCCATATTTGGTCTGTCCAAACCGGGCAGCTGCTCGATACACTCTCCGGACACGAAGCGCCCGTGTCGTGTCTTGCCTTCGCGCCGAACGGTGGTAATATTGTTAGTGGCAGCTGGGATCACAGCGTCCGTATTTGGGATATCTTCGCACGGACCCAGACAAGCGAACCTCTTCAGTTGCAGTCCGACGTCCTCAGCCTAGCGTTCCGTCCAGACTCAAAGCAGGTTGCGGTGGCAACTCTCGATGGTCAGCTGTCCTTCTGGTCGGTGTCGGATGCAACCCAGGTCGGCGGATTGGATGGACGTCGTGATGTGTCCGGCGGCCGCAAGATGACGGACCGACGGACCGCGGCAAACGTAGCCGGCACCAAAGCTTTCCAGACCATCACCTATAGCGCAGATGGCACGTGCGTCCTCGCCGGGGGCAACAGCAAGTACATTTGTTTGTACGACGTGCAGTCTGGCGTTTTGCTGAAGAAATACACCGTCAGCGTGAACCTATCGTTGGACGGCACGCAGGAGTTCCTCAACAGCAAGCTTCTAACCGAGGGTGGGCCTCGAGGACTCATCGACGAGACTGGTGATGCTTCCGACCTGGAGGACCGTCTTGCCGGGGACAAGACACTGCCTGGCGCGCAGCGCGGAGGCGACATGAGCTCACGGCGCACTCGTCCGGAGGTGCGTGTTCCTGCGGTCGCCTTCGCGCCCACGGGCCGTGCATTCTGTGCCGCAAGCACGGAAGGTCTGCTGATTTACAGCCTGGACAACTCGGTGCAGTTCGATCCCTTCGACCTCGACGTGACGGTGACGCCGGATTCGACGCTGGCGGCGCTGAAGGAAGGCCAGTACCTGCGCGCTCTAGCCATGGCTTTCCGTCTGAACGAGCGCGGCCTCATCGCCCGGGTCTACTACGCCACTCCCCTCCAGGACGTGGCGCTCGTCGTGCGGGACCTGCCTCAGGTCTACCTCGCTCGCCTCTTGCGTTTTGTCGCGGCCCAGGCGGACGAGAGCCCGCATCTCGAGTTCAATCTTCGCTGGATCGAGGCGCTGCTAACCAGCCACGGCCGGGTGCTCAAGGACAGGCAAGGCGAGTTCGCACCGGAGCTCCGTGCGGTGCAGAAGGTCGTTGCGAAGGTGCAGCGGGAGGTCGCACGGCTTGCGGAGGACAATGTGTACGCGATTGACTTCTTGCTCGCCCAGCCGGTCGGCAAGCAGGGTGGTGCACTGGGGGCTGACGATGTTCTGGGCCTTGTCGAGGAGGGCGAAGACATGGAGATTGAGGAGGGCGAGGGAAGCGACAGTGAGGGCGGTGAGTGGATGGGACTCGATTAAATCCTTTAGATCCTTGCTCTCCACTTTTTCGTTCTACGGGTTTCTTGTTAATTTAGGGGGGGCCGAGAGGGATTAGAGAAAAAAAGGAGTTTGTGCTTTTTGTTGGACGACGCACGGGTAATCATGCATGTTGGATGTTGTCATAGCTTCTTTTCAAGAATACGGACTCTGCTCGACACGAAGATATCATAGTGTAAGATGTGGCGTTCAGTGGGGAACGGGGGGGTATCAGCAGCCGATGGCATCCACAGGTCTCCAATTCGAAGGGTCTCGAAATAGATGCGTGTTTCCGTCATTCACACATTGTAATGGACGCAGTAGGTTTTGTGCACACGACTTGTCTCTCACTGTTGGAAAGTATCTACAGAAGTGTAACCTGCTTCCGCCGAGACCAGCCTCGACTATCTCCCAGCAAAACTATTCACAAGAGAAGAAGAAACTTCAGCCACCATCACAGCAGCCCAGGAATCAACGACACGCAGCAACGACCAAATCGAGGGCACGACAAGCCTCTCTCCCGTCTAGCACGAGAGCACCGTCGGGCCGGGAATGGCATACGACGTCGGGGTAGGGTAGTACAGTTGGAAGACAATACCGGGGTCATCAGTCTTGTACGCGCCGGGGAACTCGACGCCGGTGGGGACCTCGGAGGCGCTGCCGCCGGTGACGTTGATCTGGGCGCACTCCATGTACAGCTGGGCGCCGGGGTAGGTGCTGGCGCCGTGCAGGGCGATGATCTCGACGCGCAGCAGGTAGTTGCCGTCGGGGATGCAGGTCGGCATCGTGAACGAGACCTTGCCGGCGTTGTCGATGAGCTTGTCGACCGCCCACGTGCCCGACGCGCCGTCCAGGCCGTCGGCGTAGATCTTGAACCACGAGAGGCCGGTGACGTCCTCGGTGGTTGCGTCGGGGACCTTGGCCAGGTAGGCCATGACGGGGCCCTTGTGCGAGGCGCTGATCGGGTCGTCGCCGTCCGAGGAGTCGGCGCCGGAGAGCGTGTGGTGGAATTCGGCAGTTACGGAGGCGCCGGCGGGGATCTGGAGGGGGGAATTGAGTCAGCGGAATGCAAGTCATGGTGTGTCAAGCAGATGCAGGTGTGGGCTTGGCGGTTGTGGCGCGGGAAGATGGGCTGCTTGAATTGCCTGATGGGGAATTCCGCTGCGTGTTTCATGTTGTTTTCCTTTTGGTTCTCCTTTTCTGGTCTACGCCGCTTTGAAGGATGAGGACCCTTGGTATGGCTTGGCTACACTCAAGGTGGTGCTTGGCCACGGGGTGACCCTAACCTCGCTTGCGGTTCGTGTCTTGGGGTGGAAGGGATCGGCGTTTGAGATTGTAGGGCGAGGGAAAGGAGCCATATATTGCTCCAGAGGTGAAGAAGTGGTACATGAATTGGTACATACGTCAATGACAGCAGTCGGCAGCGGCGTGTTCAAGGGGTTGACACCGCCGTTGCAGATAACATCATCAGAGGTGACGTCGGTGATAGGGCTGATGGCAGTTGAGGTTAGCAGATGCTCGGCACTTGTGGTTCTACCGCATGCAGAACGAATACGAGTGGATTGGAGGGACGCACCCGTCATAGTTGGGCACGCGAATGCCGGTCGTGTGGCCCTGGGAAACGCCGTTGACATAGAGCTCCTGGAAGATGGTGTGGGCGGAAGCAGCCGCGACCAGCGCACAAGTCGAAAGAATGGACCTCATGGTGCAGTGCAGGAAGAAGGAAGGTCACGGCACGGCCGATCTACGATTGAGAGAGAGAACGGGCAGTGCTTTAGGACCAGGAGGCATCGCATATTTATTTGGATAATGAGGACAGACGGAATGTCTCTGCGCTTCCGCCGGCCACGCGCTCCGTGGGTCCTGCAGCGCAATCGGAAACGGAACGAAACGACCTGGGGCACCTGCACGCATGACATTGGCTGGCCAGGGGCGGCGCCTCACACGCGGGCAGCGACACCAGCATCATCTGGGTAAATGAAAGCTATAGAAGGTCCAATATAGCACCGAAAAAGGCGGATACGCTGGCCGTGCGGAGAGGAAGAAGAAAGGTTGGCTCGATATCGATGGGGCAGGCGCCCAAAGCAGCCGGCCTGGGAGCAGGCCACGCGAGGCGAGGCCGAAGAGGAGCACGAGAGACGAGCGGGGAGTCGCAACGGCGGTCCGGGCTATCGCGTGTATAAGCGTTCTGGCGCGTCAGGCATTGGCTGGCGTGCAAGGCGGAGTGTCGCAGCCCCGGGTACGCCTCCCGCTGCGGGCGAGTGGAGGCAGACAAGCGAGCGCTGCGCCGCGGCAGAGGCTTGTCTCCAAATCCCCGGGCTGTAGTTGGCGGAAGAAGGCGGGCGTGGGAACCAAATAACAGGAGCAGCGGTTGTTGTAGGCGAGCCAGAGACAAAGTTCCGGCGCCAGGGCGGCTGCTGCGGTTTTAGGCAGCCTAACCGACCTCCCCCAGCTGTCCTTCCCTCTTGGCAGCAATCAACATCAATCAAACGCCCGCCGCCTGGCATCAAGCGCCCTGTGTTCTGGCCCGCTGACTCGCCGCCCCCGCTGTCCGTTGCGCCTCCACCATGTGTCGAAACACGCCGCCACTCGCGAGCCACGGGCCTTGCTGCCGCCCGCATGCGCGACCAACAGGAGCCCGCCCGTCCAGGCTGACGGTCAAGTCCACCAGGGTGCCTGAGCAATCTGCCTGTGCGCGCTGGCCGAGGACCTGAGAAATGGATATAAGCCCATTGGCTGCCGCCGCCTGGATACTTGCTCACCACCAGGCACCTTCCGCTTCACTCTTTCTCCAGTCTCTCGTTTCCCTTGGCGCCAGGTCGCCAGCTTCACCATGAAGTTCAACTCCTTCACCAGGGCTGTGCCCATTCTTTCGTCTCTCTGTACGCCTTCCACTTCTCCTGTCAGTCCGAGTGCACGGCGATGCTAACATGACGCAGTTTTCCCCATTGCATCCGCCCAGACCGGTGCTTACTACACCGATGCAGACACCGGCATCAAGTTCTGGGAGTACACGGTGCCGACTGCCCAGACCACTGGTGGCTTCCAGTTCGGTATGGCTCTGCCCGGCGAGGCGGGTACCAGCGACGCCGAATACATCGGCCACATGGTCGGTGCCCTCCAAGATGGCGCGGGCTGGTCCGGTATCTCTCACGGCGGCAGCATGACTTCTGCCCTGCTCCTCCTTGCCTGGGCCGATGGCGACAACGTCCTGACTTCGTTCCGTTTCGCCAGCGGCTACACCACTCCCGAGATCTACGCCGGCAATGCAACCGTCTCGGAGATTTCCCACAAGGTCAACGAGACCCACTGGGAGCTCATCTACCGCTGCCAATGGTGCTTTGCCTGGGACCACAACGGTGCCACTGGCTCGCAGCTCCCCACCGGCCAGGTCGAGGTGATTGGCTGGGTCCAGGCCAACGACTCTCCCAGCCCCGTCGATGACTCCACTGGTACCATTGTTCAGCACGACAACGGCATGGGTCAGTATGGCCACATTGTTGCCAGCGCTAGGAACACCGCCTACTCCACCTGGGCTTCTTCGGCTACCACCGTGCCTACCACCACTGCCGCTCCTAACGGCACCGCCACCGCCACCTCTGCTCCTGTTGCCAGTTGCACTGCTACCAATGTCCCCACCGATACCTATGATTACATCATCGTCGGCGCCGGTGCTGGTGGCATCCCTCTTGCTGACAGGCTCAGTGAGTCTGGCAAGAGTGTGCTTCTGATCGAGAGGGGTCCTCCCTCCTCGGGCCGCTGGGTCGAGGGTGACATGCCCCACACCAACTGGAGGCCTGAGTGGCTCGATGGTACCAACTTGACCCGCTTCGACGTTCCTGGTCTCTGCAACGAGATCTGGCAAGACTCTGCCAACATCGCTTGCAACGACATTGACCAGATGGCCGGCTGCGTTCTTGGCGGTGGTACCGCTGTCAACGCTGCCCTTTGGTGGAAGGCCCCGGCTATTGACTGGGACTACAACTTCCCCACTGGCTGGAAATCGACGGATATGCAGTCTTCTGTTGAAAAGGTCTTCGGCGTCATTCCCGGCACCGACACTCCCTCCATGGATGGCGAGCGTTACTACCAGGAGGGCTTCAACGTTCTTCAGAACGCACTTGCGGCTTCCAACTGGAAGCAGGTCACTGCCAATGATTCTCCCGATCAGAAGAACAGGACCTTCTCCCATGCTCCCTTCATGTACGCCAATGGTGAGCGTGGAGGTCCTATGGCCACCTACCTCGTGAACGCCGCCGCCCGCGACAACTTCAAGCTCTGGATGAACACCTCTGTTCGCCGTGTCATCCGCACCGGTGGCCACGTCACTGGTGTCGAGGTCCAGTCCAACGGCGATGATGGCTACTGTGGTACCGTCAACGTTACTGCCAGCAGTGGCCGTGTCATTCTCTCGGCTGGTACCTTCGGCTCCGCCAAGATCCTGTTCCGCAGTGGCATTGGACCACAGGAGCAGCTCGCGGTTGTCAACGCTAGCAGTGTCGATGGCGACTCTATGATCGATGACAGCCAGTGGATCAACCTTCCCGTTGGCCACAACCTTGATGACCACACCAACACCGACGTCCAGGTTACTCACAACAACGTCACTTTCTACGACTTCTACGGCGCCTGGACCTCTCCTATCGAGGCCGACAAGGAGTCCTACCTGAATGAGCGTACTGGCGTCATGGCTACCTCTGCCCCCAACATCGGCCCTATCATCTGGGATGAGATCACCGGTAGCGATGGCATCGCTCGCCAACTCCAGTGGACTGCTCGCGTTGAGGGTGACACCAACAAGTCCATGACCATCTCCCAGTACCTGGGCCGTGGTTCCACTTCCCGTGGTGTGCTGTCCATCACCTCGGGCCTGTCCATACAAGTGTCCACTGCGCCATACCTGCGCACCGATGAGGACAAGGCGGCCGTCGTCCAAGGTATCAAGAATTTGATGTCGGCGCTCTCCAAGGACCCGAGCATCGTCTTCACCGTGCCTGCCGCCAATACTACCGTCGAAGAATACGTCGATAGCGTAAATCACCCCATGCTCCCCTTCTCCCCCCGCGCCTTGAGCCCCTTAAGGCTGACCTCGTCAATGCAGTTGCCTGTCACTCCCTCGAAGCGCCGCGCCAACCACTGGATTGGCTCCGCAAAGATGGGTACCGACAGCGGCCTGGTCGGCGGCACTTCCGTCGTCGACACCGACACACTCGTATACGGCACCGACAACCTCTACGTTGTCGACGCGTCCATCTTCCCAGGCATGGTCACGACCAACCCGTCCGCTCTCATCGTTGCCGTTGCCGAGAAGGCCGCCGAGAAGATCCTGGCCGCCGAGCCTGCTGAGGCAGTTCCGAAAGTGAGTTAAATGCTTCAGCTGGTGACGGTGTTCTGCGGCAGAGGTGAACGAGTTGTGCGCCGGAGGTGGATCGAGGAAGAGAAGGGGGGCCTTTGTTGATGACTGTTGTGATAACGACGCGAAGGCGTATGTTTCATTCTCCTTTGACCATGGTGTTACGCCCTGGGAGTTGTTCCCTGCGCTACTTGCTTGTTTTGTCCTTGGTGGAACTTTGATTCTGACACAAGTACGTGCTCTAGTACTACCAATGCGGCGGTCGCAACTGGACCGGCTCCAGGCACTGCGAAGAGGGCCTGACGTGCACGCACTACGAAGGTAATGCGGATTACATGCAGGTATGTCGTTCCACTTTACCCAGTCTTTCCTTCGATACATGACTGATTATGGCTATAGTGCATATAAGCTGCGTGTTGGTCGGAAAAGGGAGAGAGACGACTTTCACGTGCCCCTCCTGAACATAGCTTACCTTCTTTGTGGATACTTTTTGAATTAAAATTTTTGTTGATATTATGATGATATCTCTTGCCTGTTGCTTCTCTAAGAAGGTGTACTGTGCGCAGTTTATGGCATCTTTAAGAATCTGTCCAGTGTGCCTTCCATCCCGCCCTGCCACTTGTCAGTACGTATCTTACGGGACCCCTGTGCAAAATAGCCAGAATAGCAAGTCCCATAATGGGTTGCGGAAGGAATTGACTTCCAGCAATCCTTCTCTTGGGCGACTAAAGCAGATACCTACTCCGACGTAGACGGAGAGTTGACTGGTCTTCTTCTATGAGCAGTCTAAGCAGGTATTCGAATGTAGATGCGAGAGTTAAGAATCCAGACACGGGATTCCACCACCTACGCGGGATAGATCTAGACGGATTAATGCCTTCCGTAGCCCTCTGTGACATTGCAAACGTAGAGCGTCTCCAGGGAAATTGACATTTACTTCCGGGTAAAAAGGAACTGCATGTCGGTTTCGGTCCTTTCCGAAGCCACATGTGCATTATTAACCACCCAGAATCTCAAGTAGATTGCAACTGGCAATGGGGGCCTGGAACTGGACCTGGACCGAACGTCTAGATCCCATGACCGCTTTCCACCCCCCTCCCGCATGCATACATACAGTCGCATCGTCGATCAACGGTCGGTTCGTGCCGTTGGATGGACTGACGTAGATAGATACGAGGCAGGGCCGAGGTCTCGGCCCGCTGATCGGAAATCGCTCCGTAGTGGGGGGCACGCACTAAACTTTGGTGTGTGCTGCGCGCGGGTAGCTCCGTAGCGAGAGATGCAACAAGACGGCGAGAGCATGGTGTTGTGGCATTGATGCGGCGTCGTGAGACAAAAAGAGAGGAGTCCACCAGACTTCATGCGAAGGATTATTGACGTCCGAGAGATGCAGGTTTGTATATATATATAATAATAGAATCTAATTAATGCTATAGCAGGCCTCCTTAAACCCTCTAACGAATTGGAGATGAGATTGTAGAGATGAGATGGTGAGTGAATTGGAGTGGTGATTTGTTAATGCATTGTTTTGCTTAAACATGAGGCTGTTCTTATAATCCTCTGAGATGCCATGCATATTGGAATCGGAACTGAGAAAGCAGTAAAGCGACACTGACTTCGGTGAACAACTCCCTCCATTGCCGTATCCGACCGAGGGTTGGACACGTTGTGTTGGTGTTACCTACTACGCCGGTTGGAACGGTCGGGCGAGCATTGGGGGCCACGATACAACTCCCCCCCAGCTACATTATTGCTCCAGCCTACAGTACCAGGCAGCAGCACTACAAGACAAGTTGCGTCATAGCATCCAGAGTTGATCCACGTACCGTCTATATTTCAACGTTCGCCGTCCGTCCGTCCGTCCGTGCTCCGTGTCCCAGCACAGTACTACGACCACCACCACCCATCAACGCAAACAACAACAAAAAAAAAATGTCATCCCCCCCACCCCCTCCCCCAACACCAGAGCAAGTCCTCGCCGCCTGCGCCACCGCCCCGCTCCCCTCCATCCTCGCCCTCCTCGCCGCCTGCCCCTCGCCGCCAACAGACTACCAAATCGCCGCCGCGGCCGTCGAGCACGACCGCGCCGACATCATCACGCACCTGCTCTCCACCGGCTCGCCCATCCACTGCGTCTGCCGCCGGGACGTCGTGGACAAGCGCTCGATCCCGATCCTCGAAGCCCTTCTCGCAGCCGGGTGGGACATCAACTCCGACCTGGGCAGCTACCGCGGCTGCGCGCTCGCGGCGGCGATGCAAGGGCGCGCGCCGCCCGACTTCGTCGCGTGGCTGCTCGACGGCTGCGGCGCGGATCCAAACGGGCCGTACGGCGGCGTCGATCACCTCGGCCACCCGCTGCGGATGGCGGTGCAGTTCGCGCCCGAGGACGAGGGCGTGGGAGACGACGCGGCGGCGGCGGCGCCGCCGCCGCCGGGGGCCATGGGGCGCATGTTGTTGGAGCGCGGGGCGCGGGTGGACGAGTCGCGGGCGCTGCACGCGGCGGCGGAGCAGGGGCGGCTGGGGTGGGTGCGGTGCCTGGTGGAGGAGTGGGGCGCCGACGTCGACGCCGAGTGGTTCCCCGAGGACTGGGCGGGCTCGACCGAGGTGGGGCTGGGCATCGGGCGGCCGCTGCATTATGCGGCGCGCGAGGGGCACGCGGCCGTCGTGAGGTATCTGGTGGGCAAGGGCGCGGATGTGAGGCGCAGGGACACCAAGGGCCGCACGCCGAGGGAGGTGGCGGAGCATTTTGGCCATGGGGAAGCGGCTGCGTTTTTGAGGGCGCTGGAGGAGGATCAGGGCGGATCGTCAGAGGCCGAGTGAGTGAGTGACTGGGTTGTCGTTTACTTTCATCGTGAAGGGGACCCGGGGATTGTTATGCGGGTCGAAGTCTTGTAACGAATTCCATGCCTCTTCTCAGCTCTAGGCCACATTTGTGTGAAGCTGACGTTGTGGTTTGATTTGGCTTGGAGACAGTCTGAGTAGGCGGATGGGGTCAAAAGAAAGTTTACAGTTGACGTCCGGCTGTGCTGGGGAGAGAACGAGTGTCAATCCGCCGACTTCTAGATAGCGAAGAAAACACGGGACCAGAATGTCCCGGTGAACAAAAACAGCCACATGTGGCTGCTCCGGCCATCCGTCCGATATCTGTCTCGTCAAGAATGGCCGAGACGAAAAGAAATCGGGATAACAGTGGGCTTGCGATAGACAATCTAATCACCCAACTCTGTCGCGAAAGTACCCGAACAAGTGATAGCGGTGAAAGTCCCCTATACCACAGGGCGAACCCTTGTAGGAGGCCTTTGGCATCCAGAAGCGGGCAATTTGGCGAGTGGGAGGGTGCCGGCAGTGCACGTACCAATGCTACCCACGCGACGTGGTTATTTTCTGCCCTCCGTCCGTTATCCGGAGCTATTGAATGGACATTTGCGTTGTCATGTTCGTCATATGCAGGCCTTCGAGGAAAATGACTTCGACATTCGCGGACTCTCTACAGAGAACCGGAAGCTTTCTAGGCGAATATACTAACGAATCAGAGAGAGGCCCTTTGGAGACAGCAGTGACCTTTGCGAGAAACTACTCGCGTTGCATTAGGATGTCCCTCAGAACTCGGCATTTTCCGACAAGTACTTCGAGATGACGTGCAAAATGATTGCAGATAGGAACGAGGCAAGGATATTTCAAGATATATCCAAACTTATTGTTCACCGATGTTGTAAGTGATATTGCAATAATGGCTGGAAATGAAACCTTGGCCGCCTTCGATCTCCATGAACGGTTCGCTGAGGAAAGTTCGTATAGAAACATGATGATACTATTCCCCGGTTCAGTGGTACTTCGCACGGCTCAGCTACACCAGGTGATCCTCAAAGGGTCTGTAGACCCTGAAATGATAAGCACTGACGTTATTGAACCAAACTTTGCTGGCAATATATATATACTCGAGAATTTCCTGTACGCTAGCCGTGCTTCGCGAATGATCGAGGATTCAAAGATCTCCGTCATCCCTCAGCGTGACACAGTGCAGCATCGACCCCAAAATGGCTACCGCACATCCAACGGCCTACGGTGAGGGCGAACCGCCATCCTATGCCATCATCTTCCCCGAGCGCGATCCTGCACGCACCGACGTGATCAAAGCCGCCTGCCGCGCCCTCGACCACCGAGACCACTCGCCCTTCGGCAGCGCGGACGCACGCTCCATCCACCGTCTGCGCAACTGGCTCTGCTACATGCTCATGGTCGACTACGAAGTCGCCACAGCCTCCACCACCATTACGCTCTCCGCCACCGACGCCGCCCACTTCGACAACCTCTTCGCCATCCTCGAGGCATACAGCGCCATCACCAGTACCACCCAACCGCACCCCAACAAAAACGCCTCGTCCACCTCCACCACCACCGCCGCCAAAAACAACAACGCCGACAACGACCGCTCCGCCGCAGCCCTAGAGGCCCTCTACTGGCAGCACATCCACCTGCCCAGCCAGGCGCTCAACCTGCCGACGGCCGCCGTGGCGCTCTGCCTGCGCCGCTTCGCCGTCGCCAAGACGGCGCCGCTCAACACGTACGCCGGCTGCGGCGACGGGCACGCCGCGGTGCGCGCGCACGGCGCGCGCGCCTGGGCCGCCAAGCTGCTGACCGACCGCGCCGTCCTCGTCCCGCGCGTCGCGCCCAACCGCGCCGTCGAGCAGGGCTTGCTGCAGGCCATCGCGAGGCTGGGGGAGAAGTGGTTCGTGGGGCTTCGCGGGTTCGATTGCGTGGTCGCGGAGCGCTTGGAGTCGCGGCCGTCGGGGTGGGCGAGGTGGGGGGATGATTACGATGGTGGGTGGAGGCATGAGGTCGTTGGCGCGTTTGAGCTGACGGAGATGGGGAAGCGGTGGGAGGCGAGGTGCGCGGCGGCGGCGGAGGTGGCGGAGCAGCAACAACTACGGCAGCACTCGGGAGGTGGCGCCAGCTTGTGGGAAAGGGTGAGGCGGAACGTCGGAATGTTGGGCTGGACGGGCGCTTCCTCGTCGGGGCAACAACGACGGCAACGGCAACGGCAGCAGCCCCGGCCGTCGAGGAGCATGGGCCTCGCTGACGACGATACCGACTCGTTCTCCATCACGAAATCTCCCGAGGATTGGTCGGGCGAGTCCAAACGTCTTGATTGATCGATGCGCTGGCGGGCAGTGACTTGAGCCTGACGGCTGTACATCAAGACAACAGATGGTGTCAGGAATCATTGTCATCTGCTTAACACCACCCTGTTATCATTCACATGTTGGAGACTTCATGCATGTAAGCATCGGACGTAGCATAATGAAAGCAGTAGCAGTGTGTACGTTAATCTTCGCATTGTTTAACAGATGAAAACACAACAAAGTCGAAGTAAAGTATCCCCAATGCAGTGGTAATGGTCCATGAACGGTCTTGTCCTCGGTCTTGAGTCAGATGCGGTAGCTGGTTCATTTGATGTTGTAGTGGACTGCAAACAATTCGTCCTCGATGGCGCCGCCGCGATCGACGAGGATGTCGTGTCAACGCACGAGCTAGTGCAGAGGGAAGAGTACTGCGGCAGTGCGAAACTGGTGTTCGTGAAGGTCGACGTGAGCAAAGGGGCGGACGTCAAGGCTGCGATCGGGGAGGCCGTGGAGCGGTATGGATGGGTTGATATGTGAGTGATTATGGCCGCGTCGCGTCGCATGGGTATGCGGAGGAGGTGCTGATGGATAGACGTGGACAGTACGGTGAAAGATGCGAGGATTTGCCGCACAACCTGCACACACACCCAGGCCTACGGAACTCAGTTTCTACGACGTGAAAACCTTCAAACTGCGATCTAATTCTCCAGAATCTGCCTTAATCCGAGATATATACATGAATCTTCGTCATTCCTAGCTGCAGTGCCAACAAGAGATTCATACTTATCTTGTTAATGTACGTGGCCCGCATGGTCACGCGCACCATGGAGAGTGAAGGCTGGAGGCTATCTCGGCGGTTCCATGCTATTATCTAGCTCGGGGACAGCCCGCTCCCTTCCGGGAGAGCCGATCAAGCTACAAGTCGACGGAGGAGGAGGGTGTGTCGTTTCATTAACCGCCATGCGATAGAATGCGCCGGATTAAGCAGCTAGAAAAAAGAAGCAAGATTGTTGTTTTTCTTTCCCCATTATTACCTGGCTTGTGAGGTGCTACAAACTAACGGCCTGTCGTCTTACTTGCATCGAGTAAGAATGACGCAAGGAAGCAGCCGCCACCGGCGCTAGGTTAGCTACTGATGCTCTCACCACTCCCCTCCGCCTGTCGGTCGTATTGCCGCACGACTCAGGAAAAAGCAAAAAAAAAGCAAAACGACGCTTGTGGACCAAGATACTGCAGGTGCGTCGATCGCTGCGTGTGGCGCCAAGTGAGATCCTGCTGGAACCTTGTTTTAAGGAGCGGACACTTGATGCACGTCAGAGCATAGTCCACGCGCGAGACTTGGTTGATGTGTGCTTGATTGTCAGGCCTGCTGGCATCCAACAAGTCGGCCAAGGCCGTGACGGAACGACCGCGCGCAAGATGCTGTTAGAAACAATGACAAGTATCCGAAATAGCTGAGAAAGTATGCCACTCGCTTTTTTGATCCAATGTTTTGCGCCCAATTGCTCGCTTCCTTGAACAGATTTTGTCATGGCCCGTGATATCCCTCCAACGAAATGTTTTTTGACTTCCCTTATCTTTTTCCACATGTACTCGAAGGCAGCTTCATGCCTTCAGTTTGCTTCCAATTGCTCGTCGGCCCCTCTCAAAGCCTCCATCGCCCTCTCCAATTCCTCCTCACCGACCATCACCGTCCCGGCTCTTGCTGTGCTGAGATAGCTCATCTCAACTGCGTCGCTACCCTCGCCTTCAAACCCACCGAAGCCGCTGGTGCCGCCGACCAATCTGCCAGCAACGCCGCAGACAATGCCGGTACTTTCGAGAGGAAGATCACGCAGGTCCAACGTGATCGGAACGAGCACATCCTCCTTGGAGCCCAGCAGCACATCTGGCGCGAAGTTGGGAAGAAGGCGCTTTTCCAGCAGGACCGAAGCGGGCTCCGTGTCTGTAAGGGTAAGGGAGAGAAAGGTTGGACGCGGTGCGCTGATCAAGCATTTGACAAGGCCGAGATGCAGCGTGTCCTCGACGGACGGTGGGTGGCCGCGGCTGGCAAACGAGCTGCCATTCAAGGCTCCACCGCTGATGGGTCGCGTAGAGGCACTGTCCTTACTGCCGGCGCATTGGACGAGCTGGATCGACGGATCGACGGCGAAGACGATGTTGCGGCGCTTGAGTAGGGAGAAGGTGCGAGTTTGCAGTTCGTGGATGTTGGCGGGCGGGGGCGTGCCGGGAGGCGGAGGCAACGAGTCGAACGAGGAGGAGCTGGACTTGTTGCGCGTGTGCGTGTTGAACGAGTTGGCGATGGGGTTCACGTAGGACGACGTGGTTTGCTCAAAGGCGAAGCCACGATCCTCAAGTGCCTTGATGACTTGGCCCCGGGCACGGACCGGGACCAGGATGTAGTCGGAGAAGTAGGTGGTGATGAAGAAAATGGAGCTATCGGCACCAGAGGTGTGAGAATATGCTGAGTGCGAGGTGTTTGGAGGTTGGTGGGTCGAACGGCGAGAACGCGCCAGTGGGCTAAAAATAGAGCGGGTGTTCTGCAACTGGGCCTGGTGGGCTACAGGGGGCTGGGGCTGAGGAGAGGTGCTGGGCTGGGGGAGGTCGTGAAGGAGTTGTACGCACATGCCTGCCATTGCCAGCGGGCTGGTTAGCTCGAGGACACGCTGTCCAGCGTCAAGCCCCTCGCCGTCGACTTGCATGACAATGTAGTCTTCATTTGTGATGGACACCTGATCTCTACTTGACGGATCTAGACTGTCGCGCACAGGAGTGAAGAGATCCTCCGCCATTTCACGCGAGCACGCAATCGAGCATTCGACGGGCGTCACGGAGATGTTGGTGAAGGGGTGCTCATAGGCCCACGACTTCTTGGAGCGCGGTGCATTGCTCCCATTTGTGGACGCACTGTCCGAACTGCTCGGGCGGCTCGACGGGAGCAGCAGCTGCAGGATGGGCTGCAGGAAGTTGGAGTAGAGATGCAGCGGGATGTGTATCAGAGCCAGCTGCGTATCCTGGAGATAGAGGACCATGTCAGCAAAGAGAGGGAAGAGTTGGGCGACGAGGTGGTGGGTGGTCGAGGCTAAGCTCTAGGTGCAGGCAACACAGGCACGACGTGCTGGGGCTTTTTAACGCAGCCTTACAACGGCGCCACCGAGGGGCCGGATTGGCTGTCGGCGACGCAAGGCGCAGCTGGGCATGTCAAGAAGGCGCACGGCGCGGCGCAGAGGAAAAAAAAAGCGGAGGCGACGTACGAGAAACTGAATATGGGCGTTGAGCAACGTCATGGAAGCATCCATGGCGGCGGCCCTGACGATACGGGCAGCCGGCGTATGGTGCCAGAGCAGTCAAACAGGCAGCCAGTCGGACAGGCAGCCGGGGCGCGGGCGTGGGCTGGCGGGCTCGCGGGCTCGCGGGCTGGCGGGCTCTGAGACGCTGGCGACGGGGGGCAGCCGGTAGCAGCAGCGCCTGCCCGTCTGGGAGTAGCAGAATCTGGGGAAGCGACAGGCACCACGACCGGAATGCCACGGCCGGATCGGGGAGGCTGCAGTCGCGCTCGGTGTAAGACAGGCTCGCAAAAGCAAGCTAGGGCGACAGCCCGCGTGGGACAGCGGGCGTGCGGTGATTGGGAAGCTGGGGCTGGTGCAATTCGACCGGTACACGGCCCTTGTCCAGCCGGCTCAGCGGTTGATGTCCTCTTGTCCAACGGGCCAGTGCGAAGTGTCGTTCTTGAAGTTCATAACCGTTGCGGCGGGGGAGAGGCGCGAGGGGAGCAGCCGGGGCGGGCGATGGGCGCGCTGGCGGCAATAAGAGCGGGCGGGCGGGCTCAGGTGACGCTGGAGGGCGTTGCGCAGAAGAGGGGGCAGTTCCGGGGCGGCAGGTTGCACGATGCTGCCGTGGGCGTCGAGCTGTCGAGGGCGCGGCGTGGGGGAGAGACGAGACCCTGTGCACTAATGCCTCCGTCCCAAAGCGTCGCGGGAGCAGCAACTCGCGCCAAGACAGTGAGCTGATGCGCGGTGCGGCGCTGTGCTGCGAGTGCTGACGTGCCCGGGTGCGCGAGGCTCTGGGGATATCACGCAGCGAGGGGCGCGCCTGGCGGGTTTTATGCATTGGCCGTGCCCTGGCGGTTGACGGTGGCTAGTGGGGAGGAGCAATCGCCGGCAATCGCAGTCAATCGCAGTCATATGCACGCCCAAGGAACAGGGCTGCATCACGGGTCGGCGCCAGTCAGCTGCGCGGTGCGACGCTGGTGTAGGTTTCCTCGAGCGCCTGCGTCGGCTGCAGCGCGTCAAACCTGCCTCTCTCTTTTGCACCCGCCGTCCGCTCCGCGATAACGCAGCGCCAGGCTTTGCCGCGAGGGGCGCGTCCGTTCCGGGCAAGAGTCAGAGGTCGTCATTTCCTACTCCAGCCGACGCTAAGCGCAGGGTCTACCCGTGGCGTGGACGCGCCTCCGCCCAGCCTCACAGCCTGTCCCGCGCATGCAGCGCTTGACGAGATGCCGGAGCCACGATCGCCGCCTCCCTGCAAGAACGCACGCCTGCTTGTCGCCGCGCGCAGCGTGGTGGCAGACCCTGGCTGTGCAAAAAAGCTTGGCTGCCTCGCACGCGCGGAACAGGCACTCGACCCTCGACCCCCCGGGACCCTCGACCCTCGACCCTCGACCCAGGCCCGCCCTGTGGCCCGCTCGCTGGTCCGCTCGCTTCCGACTCCGCGCCGGACCCGGCACCGGCCGCCCTCCGCTGCACTCGCCGCGCTCGCCGCGCTCGCCGCACCCGCAACACCAGCCATGGCCGCCGAAGAATGACATCAATCGCGGCGGATACGACTCTGCCCGGCGCTGCCACACTGCTGCGCGGCACCCGCATGGGCCACCGCGTCTGCCCGGCGAACACCTGCATGTCTGCATCCCCGGTCTCCGTCGTCGTCGACCCCTCTTCCAGCCCGGCCCGCCTGCCTGTATCGACCATCTCCGTCAGCCGCACAGCCCACCGCGCCCTATAGGCTCTTCTCCCGCGACCACTCCCCCGCTCCACGCCGTGCCACCACTGCGAAGAAAGCCTGGCCGTCGTGTTCGAGTCCTCATCCTTCCCTCTGCAAGCCCCGCCTTCCCTCGAAACAAGCCCCCCTTCGTTTGCTTAGCGTGGGGGGGTTGCTCGCCCATGCCATCATCGACCACGCAACACAGCGGGGCTTCGACAGCTGCAGCTGCGCGCCTATCACCCGTCTGCCACATCTATACAGAACTTCGGCAACCCCCATCTGTCCTTCCCGCCGCCCCCGTGTGCAACACCTGCTAATGCCACCCTCCAGTTGGCCCGCCTCGCCGCCTTGCCTGCCACACATCGTCGGCTACGTGCAGAAGATGCGCCAAGCCAGTCCACTGCAAGGACACCGCCACGTAAACGTCTATCGGCACCCCGACCCGCCAGGCAATGCGCGTTTGCAGTAAGCTGCCACCTTCCTCCGCCAACGACATTGACTTGTGCAACATGATGAAACTTGCCGAGACTGTTGGTTCTGCTTTCCCCTCTCTCCATCCATTGCTTGTTATTCCTTTCTACACGCCACCCCCATCTCAACCAATCCCGCGGGATCCAACTTCTACTACATCTGGCAGCTTGTGCAGGCTCGGCCCAATGCGCACCATGCAGTAGATACGGTTTAGTGACGTACGCACATCACCCAACATCCGCCGCGGAATCCAGAAATGAGTTCATTCTTGTCACGCGGTGGCAATGCTAGCGTGAGTAGAATACTGGGCTGGACCTGTTATGTTCGTCCGCTTTTACAAGTCCGCTTAACCCTCCCACCAACCAAAAGCATGAAACAACGTATGCATTTCCATACCCGCCCCATGCGGTGCGGTGGTAGTGGGCCTTTTTCTCCGACGTCCCGTTATTCTCACCTAAGTTCTCGCCCCCACCTTGTCTCCCATCGGTGCAAGGCCTCGTCGAACAGACGAGCCGGGGCAAAAAGTCTTCCAGGAGCGTACTTGCAGCAAAAAAGTTCTGCACACGCGGAGGGACGCGCGTGCGCATGTATGTAGAACGGTACCTGGCTCCCCCCACGTGGGATTGAAGTTCGATTGATGGGGTGCGCAGGTCACTGGTGAAACACGTTTCGGCGAAAGGTGCTTAACAATATTGCATTGTATTCCATCAAAATGCCTCGCCGCCCGCACGTGGTGTGCCTGAGTATCCACTCGTCTTCTGCCAGCTCCCTGGCAGAGCTGCGCTTTTCCGGTTCCTACTATAGCATCTTCCGTATAAAGCGTAGGAAACACCCTCTGTCTTCTTCTTTATCTTCTCCCTCGAGAGATGTTTCCCTATACTCGAGTGGTGTCGATTCTAGAGTAGGGACCCCCGCACAAAAGCCACCTGAGATAAAAGAAAAAAGCGTGGTTAGCGAAAATAAATACCTTTAAGTAGGCATTCTAGAAGCCAGAGACCGCTTGGCTTACCAGCCTCGGAGAAAACCTTGGGAGCAAGGTTCGCCCGGGCAAGAAGGCTCGGCGGTAGAGGCCCGAGAAGGGCCATCATTTCAGCGAGATGGGCTCGGCTCGGCCCCGGTACGTCTCGAACTCTGGATCGTGGCCGGTAAACAAGTACTCGCCCTCGAAGGCGTCCCAGACCTGCGAGTGGAAAGAGAGGTTATGTCAGCCAGAGCGCACTTACTCAAGTAATCAATATACTACTTACCACGCACCCCACGTTCTATATCTCGACGCTGTACGTCCCACGGGATATCTAGAATGATTTCTAGCGCCCGATAGATATTAGGCTGGATGTCTTCCCGGTGCTCGGTATCCAGCTCACTTCCCATAGACTTACCTTAGATGCCGTGCTAGCCACACGGTCGAAGTCGTTCCGAACCCCAGCTTCCCCACGACCTGATAACGTACGGCCGCGGAAGATTTAATTCGCCTATCCGGACAGGATAGTACCAGGATGCAACGTAATAGTTAGGAATGGTCTCCTCTTCGACCTTCTCATCTTCGGGAATCGGGACGAACCTCTTATTTGGAAAGGCGAGTGACTTGCACGCGCGGCTGAACAATCGCCCACACAAATCTAGAATCCCGTTAACATATAAAAGAGCCTTTTCAAGGGAGCGGACGAGACGCCCTAGGTATCGTCTGCGACCTACGGTCGTACGTGAAAGCATAATAAGCGGGTAGGTAGCGTAGTTTATGACTACAGACCAACAGGTTGTTGACCGCCTCTCGACTGCGAGGGAGGCAATGATCGCAACTGATACGCCACCGAAGACAAGACAATAACAACAACAGAGCATTTATGACCGCTTGCATGATAATGATCCGCATATCCATAAAAAGATGCCCAAGTCTAGAAAAGAAAAAAGAAAAATTCTTCCCCTCCCAAAGCATACTCACTCAACCACAACACTCACGGTTCCGTCCTCAACCCACTTCCAAATCTTGAAATGAAGGGGAAAGAACTTGCTCTCTATACATCCCCACCCAACGGGGGACTAACGGAATAATCAGAAAACAAAACCGCTCCCCTCAAACGTAAGCCAAACAACCATCATCCCTCACCCTCCCGACCACAGGCAAGACGGCCTTCCCGCCCGCCACGCTCGGCCCCATGACGACGACCTCGCCCCTCGCCTCGTCGTCCGTCGTCTTGTGCTCGGGTGTGTCCACCAGCTTGATCTCGACGCTGGCCGTCGGCGCGCCGAAGTGGCCGTACTGCTTGCCCTTGCCGCTCGTCGACAGCTGCGACTGCGACTGCAGCTCCTCGCGGCGGTAGTCGTACACGTTCGTCTGCGTGACGGCGCCCGCGACCCGGGCCGCCGTGAGCGCGTACACGACGCGCGCGTGGAGGTAGATGCGCAGGTCCGACAGGTCGGCGCTGCTGAGCGGCGGCGCGTCCAGGGCGCCCGCGCGCTCCGACACGTGCACGAGGCGCAGCTTGCCGGGCGTGGTGCCGACGGCGGCGCGCGTGGGGGCGTTGAGCTTGGTCAGCAGCGTGTTGGTCGGCAGCTTGCCGGAGCTGGTCATGGCGCGCGTCTCGGTGTAGTGGGCGAGCTTCTTGACGCCGCTGACCACGGAGGCTGAAGTGGCGCTGTGCAGGTTGGCAGCCGTCTCGGCGGAGATGGAGATGACGGTGGGGGCGACGCCACGCGTGGCGAGGCTGAGTTCGACTCCAGGGCCGGCAACAGACGTGATGGCGAGGGAGGCGTGGCTGAAGAGAGCGGCCATGGTCAGGGCCAGCGTGTACGAGCTGGTAAGAGAGTCGGCGGGGAGGAAGAGATCCGAAGGAGAAAGACGCTGCCCGGCAGGCAGTGCAGAGATCAAGCTAGCAATGGCAGCGGACATATTCTTGGGAGAGTCAGCAGCTTGCATCAAAAGTTTGGGGAAGAGTCTTCAGTCTCACCTGCTGCGTGAATTCGACAGTTTCTCCTTCTGAGCCCTCACGATCTTGCCAGATGGTGATGACATTCGGGGCCTTGTCACCTGTCACGTACTGCGGCAGCTCGGTGGTGGTGCTGGCCGCGTTATCCTGCACCAGCTCATGCCAAGTCGAGACCTCAATCTTGCCGCCAGCCCCCTCAGGGACCTCGTTCCAATCGACGTGCCTGCTGGTCTTCTCAACGACCCAGACAGCCTGCTTCAGATTCGGAACGCCTTGGGCAACATCGCTCAGTGGGATGGAGCCCGCCTCAGCAATGAGTGAGTCGGCACCGCTGTGCTGGAGCATAGCCACGACGACATTGTGCGGTTGATTGTACGGGATCAGGACGGGTGAGAAGCCGTAGAAAGCGCCGGCTGCAGAGGGGCATCACATCAGTCAAGGTCATGGGCTAGGGAAAAGGGGCTGACAATGGGACAAAGGCTGTAAAGCATACCAAATATAGTGGTGAGCAGCTCGATGGAGTTGGGCAGGTAGACGGCCACACGCTTGCCGCCGTGCTCCTTGACGTGGTTGCCTAGGATATTGATCTCCTTTGTAACATCGTCGAAGCTGTGCTCGACGGCTTCCTTGCCAATGACAGTGAGGATGGTGCCAGGGCTGCGCACTGGCTCGCCCTGGTCGGCAGGGAGCGTGCCAAGCACCTTGCGCCAGACGTCGCGCAGGTCGCCGTCGCGGCGCTCGTAGCGCTGCTGGCCGGGAATGCTGAGACCGGTCTGCAGAGGGTAGCCGTGCGGGACGTGGGGGCTGCGGTAGATGGCGGATTCGCCGGGCTGGCGGATGCCAGCAGCGACGGAGCTGCGCTGCAGCAGCATGGGGTGAATGTCCGGGTCCTCAAGGCCCAGGTAGATGGTGTAGGCCAGGAAGCCGGCGATGGCCAGCACCAGCAGGGTCGTGGTCGAGTTCCATCCGGAAAACAGCTCCACGAGCTGCTGATCAAGCTGTTCTACAACACCGGCCATGATTGCAGCATCGAGCGGTCGTGGTGGTGCGGGAGGGGAGGTGGGTGGAGTTGGCTGGGTGGAGCGCGTAACGGCGGCTTGATGGCGGGGACAGCAGGGCTGACGGCATCCAGGGTCCGTCCGCCGGATCCCGAACGAGCCGGCCCCGACACGCCATCCATCCCGCCCGACACCGGCGGCTTTCTCACTTGCTTGCGCACGAGTACGTCCGTACACAATATACAATCGATTACTCTCCCGTGCCGCCAGCCCCAGCCCCGCAGGTATCGCGTAACACATCCTCATTCGAAACAGCCAAAGCGTAAACCAACAGCGTCGTAACCTCACTGAAGCTATTGCTCCCCCGCCTTCGCCTGATGATGATCTAGTCTTAACACGTGAAATCCGTTACATACCGTGTCCCAAGCTCCTCCAACGCAAACAGCCTACCTCTTTGTGACCGGAAAAGAATAGGGACAACATGAACCATGAAAGTGAGGCCGCAATAAGCTCCGGAGCTCGGACCCTAAACGCCTTGCCTTCTTCCCCGCCAAGCTTGGTGCACCTACTGCACCTGGTTGACGATCTCTTGAGCCCGCGTTAGCGACTCCACCATCTGCTGGCACTCCTTCCTTCTGCGGACAGTGTACTCGCTCTCCTTGAGCAAGTCGTCCAGCTCCTCCGTGCGGTACATCATCTCGAGGAACTCGCGCTGCATTTCGTCCTTCGTAAAGCTGTGGCCCTTGCGTTAGCTTCCTTCTTCCCTCATGTCGTCATCGAAACTTACCTCACGAGGGTCAACATGATGGCCTTGGGGACCATGTCGATCATAGTCCTCTTCACAATGTTGAAGTACGAGCTGATGAGCAGCTTGATGACCTCGACCTCCTGCGCCTCCTTCTCTGAAAGGGTGCCGCTGGCCTTGAGCTGAGGCGGCGGCGCCTCCATAGCCGCCATCTTCTTCTTGTTTTTGCTGGCAAAGAAGCTGCCGAAGAAGCCACTGCCGTTTTCGCCATCGATCGACGGGCTGGCCGACCTCGGAGGAATGGCCGTCGGAGGCAGCGGCTTGCCAGTCTTGGGGTCGACCTGAGTGGGCTTCGCCGCATTATGACGCTCGTGGACGATGGCCATGGCCTAGATCGCGAGAAGTTAGCCTTTTGTCTCATTCCAGTAGTGCGCCATCTTCTCTTACCCTAGAGCCGTTGATGAAGTCAGGGTGGCCGGTGTTGATGTAGCAAGCCTCCATGGCGACCAGATCCTTAACAAGCTTGTTGGTAGGTTCCATGGCCTTCTTGAAGAAGTGGACCGCAACGGCGTGAAACTTCTCCTTCAGAGCCGGGTATCTCCTGAACATGGGCTTGGCGAGGAGCTGGCCGAGGATACGGATGAGTTCGTCGTACACTAGAGAAACACACTTCAAGCTAGGATCTTCGAGCCTCTTGATCTGTTGCTTGACGATCAACTCGAAGGCAGTAGTGCCAACGAAGAGCGCAGGTGCTGAACCCGACGAGTTGTACAGAACCGTCCTGATGTCGATATCCTTGACCTGGTCGAAGGGGTCCACGGCCTTGACACCGTTGGAGTAGAGCTCGTGGTAGACGAAGCTGATACGAGCACCTCCAGACAGCTCGATACTGGAAAGCTCTTGGTTGTTACCCTCCAGCACAGACCGGTATTCGTTCGAGAACTCGGTGATCATGTTCAGGACGATGTTCGACGAGTTCCCGAGAATCGAATCACCGAGCTGCGCAAGTTCGACCGAGTATTTCTGAAGCGAGGAAGCGATTCGTGCCTTGATGTCGGGGAGAGTCTGCTTGATGTGCATCATCAAAATCTACAGGAGAGTCAGTCTCGGCCTTTTTTCTTCCGTCGATTTGAACCCACCAAGTTTAGCTTGCGCGCAAGGTAAGGAGTACCGCAGTACGCGCTCTTGTTTCTGTACGCCTTGTGGTTCTCAAAGTATTGCCTCTCGTGCTCGAGGGCGTACGAGATGGGCTTCTTGTTCTCGATATCCCTCTGTCCACGGTTGACGACGGGCACGTATCCCAGACGCAGAGGGATGATGCGACCGGCCAGAATGTCGACAACGTCAGTGCCCTCGTCCATCAGGTCAACCTTGGTCAGCACACCAATGGTTCGCTGTCCCTCTGGGTCAACCTCGCGCGCCAGCTTCAAACCATCGGAGTTTGCCAAGTCGGTGTTGGCGGCGGTAACAGCCAGTATAATAGCATTGGGCTTGCTAATCTGCTTGAGGACCATCTCCCTAATCTGCCTCTCGATATCCCTTGGCTGATCGCCAATGGGCACCTTCGTCAGACCGGGCAAATCGACCAGTGTGAGCGTGAGCACGTTTGGCGAGTATATGCGCAGGTTGATGGGGGCCGGGGAGATGCCAGCATTGCGTCCGGTCTTCGCCTCCGTCTCTCGTACAATCTCCTCTCTAATCTTATTGAAGTCGTGGAACTTCTGGCCAGGAATGTGCAGGAACTCGCCCCACTCGTCGACGTTGGACTGGCTATCGGTAGTACCCTCGACGGTTTCGCTAGTTCCATTGGGTGTCTTGGATGTGGAGGCGCGGTTGATGAGCTGGAGGATGAGGGGGCGCCGCGTAACAATGCCGGTACCTCGGGGCAAGCTATGGCAACAGGTATCAGCTTCAGGCTCCAGGATTTCAGGGACGATATGGGTTTTGTGCGCACAAATCTCTGCCCACTATGTTTTCTAGCACCGAACTCTTTCCGCTGGATTGGGAACCGACGACGGCAATCTGGGGAAGATCTATGGGGTTTTGGACCTGGAGCAAGGCATTAGCATTTCTGCGGTGCGCGGCGGTGTAGCAACGGGCGGTGACGTACGCCGACAGTGGTGAAAACATCCTGGAGCCTGTTGACGAGGGTGATCAGGCCCGGATCATTGACGTTTATGCTAAAATTCGTCGTGTCAGCCAGATGCCGTCTCGAGGGCGCGCGCGCGCAGGAGCCATACGCAGTGGGGTTCGCCGTCATGGTGGGCGGCAGGTGTCTGGGCGATATCGCAAAGTCCGTGAAGGAGTTTGGGAACTGGACAAAGCAGGCCGTTCGCGCACGAAACAAGACCAGATACGCGTAGGTGGGAAGCGTGCGAAGAGCAAAGTTGTGCGGTGTTGAAGCTTGCTGGCACGTTCATCATAGGAGAGCGCAGCCCGCCAAGCAACAGGGCCCGACCCAGCGACGCCAACTGTGGCAGGGGTGGCGCATGCGCCGCGTGGACCGGGGCCCAAAAACAGTCACCAGGCCCGCCGATGCGGCCACACGACGCAGCCCAAGCCCAGTTTTTTTGCAACGCAAAAGAAGAGTCATCATGTACATTCTATCTACGCAGTCTTGGCTCGACTGCGAAGCAATTTCAAGAAAAGAAGCCGCGTTGCTTGCAGCGCTTCCAACAGTGCTACACCGCCTCGTCCAACCTCGTCCACCTGAAACCCTTGACCTCCACCATCTACTCGTCGGTCACGGATGCAAACTTCTCCTGCATCTTCTGGTACAGCTCCTCGTACTGCGGTAGCGTTAGCACGTATTTCCCTACTGTTGCGCCTCTCTTGAACGTACCTTCTTTGTGATCTTCTCCTCACCCTCGTTCGGCACTTCGAACTTCATGCTCCTCAGTTGTGTCTGGATGTCCGACGTCGCCTCCCTGATCTTGGACCAGCTCTGGCCCTGCGCGACCGCCTTCTGTGCCTCGTCGTGGAAGCCCATCATGGCCTTCATCATCCACTCCGTCTTCCACAGCGGGCAGAACTGGTCGTAGTCACTGTAACCGTTCTGCTGCAGGAAATCTTCCTTGATGAGAGTGGCCACATCCAGCGTGATCTTATCCGAGTCGCCCAGCGCAGACTTTCCGACAAGCTGCACGACCTGGTCCAAATCCTCCGAAGTCGAGAGCAGCTCCTTGATCTTGGCACTCAGGCGAGGGAAGTCGGGGTTGTGCTCCTGGTAATACTTCTCGAGAGAGGTGGTGTACTTGCTGTAGGAAGCGGACGTGTTGACCGAAGGGAAGTGTTTACGCTGAGCCAGCTTCTTATCAAGACCCCAGAAGACCTGCACGATACCAAGAGTGCTGCTGGTGACAGGGTCCGAGAAATCACCACCAGGCGGGCTGACAGCTCCAACGATACTGACACTGCCATTGCGGTCAGGGCTACCAAGCGCAGTCACACGGCCGGCACGCTCGTAGAAGGACGCCAGCTTGGCACCAAGATAGGCGGGGAAACCCTGATCAGCAGGCATCTCACCAAGACGACCAGAGATCTCACGAAGGGCCTCGGCCCAACGAGAGGAGGAGTCAGCCATCATAGCAACATTCTTGCCCTGGTCACGGAAGTACTCGGCGACAGTGATGCCGGTGTAAATCGAGGCTTCTCTTGCGGCGACAGGCATGTTGGAGGTGTTGGCGATAAGGGTAGTGCGCTTCATGATGGGCTCCTTGCGGCCGCCAACATCAATAGTAAGCTAGCATTGGGTTAGCACAAGTAGTCATTTTGACAGTCGGAGAGGGCGTACCTCGGGGAAATCCATCAGGACTTCGGCCATCTCGTTACCGCGCTCGCCGCATCCGACGTAGACAATGATGTCACTGTTGGAGAACTTGGACAAACTCTGCGAAATGACAGTCTTGCCGCAGCCGAAAGCACCGGGAATGCAAACGGTGCCGCCCTGGACACTGGGGAACAGAGCGTCCAGCACACGCTGACCGACAACCAGCGGCGAGTCCGAGAACAGCTTCTCGTTGACGGGACGGGGCACACGGACGGGCCAGTTGTGCATCATGCTGAACTCAGTCTTCTTGCCGTCAAACTCAACCTCCAGAATGTTCTCATCCACGGTGTAGCTGCCCTTCTCGGCGATGCGCGTAATGGTACCACGCGCCCTGGGGGGCAGGAGGATCTTGTGCTCGCTGAGGAGGGAGTTCTCGAAGACGGCACCGAAAACATCACCACCAGTGATATGATCGCCAACCTTGAGGCTTCCGGGGGTAAAGTCCCACTTGATCTGGCGGTCCAGCGCGGGCACGTCAATGCCACGGGGAATATAGATGCTGTTGGAGACATCGGAGATGCTGCGGAGGGGACGCTGGATACCATCGTAAATGGTTTCCATCAGACCGGGGCCGAGCTCGACAGAGAGAGGCTTTCCAGAGCGGACGACAGGGTCGCCGACAGTGACACCAGCTGCAACGTATCAGAGGGCTGCTTCATGACCTCGGCGGATTCAATGTGCCGAGCTTACCAGTCTCCTCATAGACCTGAATAGTAGCCTTGTCGGCGTCGATTCTAATGACTTCACCGACCAGCTTATCATGACCGACGCGGACCAGTTCGTACATGGCACAGCCAATCATGTTCTCGGCGATGATGACGGGACTGTAGGATTATCAGACGGCGTGAGAACGGGGCGGAGCGTGGACGACGTACCCGGAAACGGAGAAGACGGAGCCTTGAGGAAGACTGCAGTCAGCGCTTGGAGGCAATGATGGCGGGGGCATTCATCATACCATACTGCTCTTCGCCGGCTTCCTGGACCTTACGCTGGTTCTTCTGTTTGGTCACCGCATCAGCCACCGCTCTTTGGGGAAGACGATTGTCGGGCTTACGGGCGGCATGTTGGAGTCTGCAGGCGGGCGGGCGTCAGCGGGCAGAGTTCTGAAGCGGATGGGTTGTCGGGAGCGCGTGTACTGGGGCGAGTCGGGAAGTGGGACCTCGTAGGGTGCTGGACGGTCGTCGTCCTCGTCAAGCTCGGAGTGCGATGGAGTCTGGGGGCGCTGGACAGCGAGGTTCGCGGTGCTGGATACAAGCTCGAGAAGAGAGGGCCGGGACTTGAGCTGGGGACGGAAACCGAGCATGCAGCACCCGAGGCGGTGGGTTCGAGGATGATGAGGTGGGTTGGGCAAGCTGTGTTCAAGCTGCGGTCGTCACAAGCTGCTGCACGGATCCCGGTCGGCTTGGCGCCGCCTAACAAATCGCCCCGCTGTGCGAATACGCGAACACTCGATGCTGCAGGGGCCTGGAGATAGAGCCTTGTCGAATGACGTGCCAGAGGGTGCTTGGATGCTGCGAAGAGCCTGCCAGCAGGCCCAGAGCGTGCCGCCATCCGTCGTGCCCAACGACGACCGCCGTCCCGCTAGGCTGCATTGGTGCTCTCGAGCCCTCTTGCTGTCGCGCATCTGGGGATCATCTGGCACGCGCCACAACCACGCCTGATCTTGGGTGCACCTCACTGACAATCCGCCGAAGAAGTCGTGGCCGCCAGCTGGGGAACGCAGCAGACTTGACCCTCAGCTGTCGCTGTCGTTCGCTACGTTCTCCCCGTTGCGCACGGTCGCACCATCAAATCTCATTGAATGTCGTCCAACGTGAAGAGTAGGCAGCGGAATCTTGTATCTATTGTTTTAATACTTGCATTTACATTCGGATATCTGCTTCAGCTACTGATGGAGAAATGGTCGGTCGTTCAAGTCCACATCTGCGTCGGCACGCTTGCTTCAACTCCCACAGAGACCGCCTGTGAAAGAGGGTGCAACCAAGCATATGCCTCCATCTCTTGTAACTCTTCCAATAATGCCTCCATCATGCCGCCACAGCAGCGTTCGGCAAAATCCGCGACGCAACCTTGGAAAGGAATGCCTCCAAGTGGCAGCAGGCTCTCTGAACCCCACGAAAGAAGCAGCGCGACTGGACTTAATGGTCTGCGCCAAGGGCTGGCCGGGCCAATGGCCAGTCCTTGTCCCGCATCAAATGCAGCTAGCACACAAAGGGTACACCCCGCGTCACCGCTTCACCATATAAAGTGGCCGCTTCCTCGCTAATCACGCACACCCCGTGGCCGCCTCCAACCACCTCCTCACCCCGCTCTGCCACGATATAGTTACCTGCCGAAAGCGCTCACGGAGGCTGGCACAGATTCGCAGATACCGCACGGCGTCTTCGCATACGGTGGCCCTTTTGCTCTTCAAACCTCCAATCTCAGCTGTCTGTTCATAGTGTTTGCGAATAAACGTCTTTACTTTTTGCCAGCTTTCTGATGTCCTTCGTCCCGAATATTCGGGTTTGATTGTTCTCTTGGCCTTGCTCATCTCTCAATATTTCCTTCAAGTCTAGCACCTTTGGAACCGATTCGTTACCAAGAAAGAAAAAAAGCGAACAAGAAAAAAAGATGCCATTCAAAGTCCAACCAACCACCCTCTCCGATATACCCCAACTCGTCGACATCTACTTCGCCTCCATCTCTAGCAACACCTTCAGCAGCGCCATATTCCCCGACACGCCCCCCGTGCGGCAATGGTGGATCGACACGCTCTCACGCTCACTGCAACACCAAAAGGGCGTCGCCATGTACAACCTGCTCGAATACGCCTCCGGCACCGCCACTCCCGTTTTCGCCAACAACGAAACAAACCAGAACAACAACATCATCGCTTTCGCCAAATGGGTGCGGCCGATGGAAAGCGCCGCAGCGACGGCGGACGACCCCCCGACCGTCGAGACACCACCACCGCCAACCGACTGCGACCAAGCGCTCTTCACGCGCTACTTCACAGAGCTACACCAACGCCACGAATCCTACATGGGCACGAACAACCCACACTGGTGTACATACTCCCCCCCCCCACATCCCCACCTCCCCCAGCACACTTGGAAACACGCACTCACACACGCACTCCTCACACACGCACTATACAGACCTCGAACTCCTCGCCACCCACCCCAGCTGCTCGCACAAGCGCCGGGACGCCGCCGCGGCCGCCCTCGTCAACCACGTGCTCGGCGGCGGCGGTGACTGCATCAACGCCGGCTACGACGCGTATCTGGAAGCGGGCCCGGGGGGGTTGATGTCGACGACGTACGGGCGGTTGGGGTTCGAGAGGAGGGGTGGGTTCGTTGTGGAGGGGAGGGGGGAGAGGTGGGAGGGGGTGGTGATGGTGAGGGAGGGGGGGAAGAGGGAGGGGGAGGAGAAGAAGGAGACGATGGGGGAGGGGGAGGGGGAGGGGAGGGGGGAGCAGGGCTGAAGTGTGGGATGGTGGCTGTGTGGAGCACGGGGTTGGGGCATATCAATGTGTGGGTGGGGGGGTTGACGCGTAAGGAGGCTTGTGTAGGTGTTATGGTGGGACATTGTTCAGTTCCTTTCCATGGCCGGTTCGGAGTTTAAAACGACATAACGACATAGTGATTCGCTGAAAAGGCAATCATTCAGCAAGTCAAAAGTCGTGATGACATGATATTTACGATGAATATGGAGGCTGTCTTTCGTACGCTCTTCCATGGCGGTCTTCCTCGTCATCCAAATGTGCATCAGAGACGTGGGGGAAAAAAGGCTTGGTAAACAGGACTCGGCCCAAATAAATGACGATCACTCCCTCATCTCTTAAGTCAGCTCAAAGCTACATTGGGCCATAATACAGTTGAATACTGCCACTAAGCGATTAACGTCTATCCACTTTTTTCGACGACCCCTTCGATACCGGAATAGGAAAAAGGAAAGGACAGTTCCAAACAATAGCAGACTGGAACAGACTGGAAATTATCATCGACCCTCTTTTGTAACAATAACGAAGCTGCTCACTATGAAAGCGCAGCCACCCGTCAATCATCCCCCATGCTAATCTTGTTGGCGTCACAGAGCCAATCGTAATCTTACCTCTCATATCGAACCCCTCTTCGTGACAGAGGCGGTTGTGCGCATTCTCGCTCGAAAAGATTACGAAACAGACGTATAGCTCTCACTGTACCCTGACAACCTTCTCCTTCTTCTCCTTTGCCTCTAACAAAGCCTTGCACCATTCGTCCACCTCTGCCAACGCCCGCTCTGGCTCTTTCTTGCGTGTAAGCAAGAAATTCTGCACCTCAGCCGGTGACAGCTTGCCTTCAGGCATATGTCCCATGAATTTCTCCGCCATGCGGCAGAGTTCGTCTTTAGAGAGAGCAGGGAGAGCGACCGAGGTGGGGAGCTTTGGTATGACCTTCTCGTCACTAGGTGCTTTAGCTGCGCCATTGAGACTAGCCTTGGTGTGTGAATTGCTGTTGAGGCGCCGACTGGCGTTTTTGTTTGGCTGGCTGTCTTCATCGGGCGAGTACATACGAATGAAGATATCGCGCATCTGCTCGTGCGTCGCCAGGCTGAATTCGACCTGCATATCGACACGGCCAGGTCGGATCAGCGCATCGTCGAGCTTTTCCGGGTGGTTGGTTGTCATGACGAGGACGCGGCCTTCGTGTGTAGCGACACCATCAATGGCGTTGAGGAGCCCAGAGAGGGAAATGCCTTGCTTGTTATCGTCGGCTTGCTTCTGCTTGCGGTTTGCTGTCGTGAGGGCTTTGGCAAGCGACTCTGCGCTGAACTCCTCTTTCTTCTTGTTGGGGTTCGCCGCCTCCTCTTGGTCGCTCTTCTCATCACGGAGGAGACCAGCACTATCGATATCTTCTAGGAGGACGATGCAGCGCTGCGGAAGATTGTTGAACAGACGATTCAAATCGGACTCTGTCAGGGTCGGTTCAAGCAAGGAGATATTGTAGATGTCAAGTCCGAAAATGCCGGCCAGAGCGTAAGCCAAGCTTGTCTTGCCAACACCGGGGGGTCCGTGGAACAAGTACCCTCGACGGTAAGGGATTCCACGCGTGGCATACCAGCGCGGGCTGGAAGGATGCAAGTATTCATTGATATCGGCAATGATCTTCTCCTTCTGAGATGGATCCAAAGCCACGGTGTCCATTGGCCGAGACGGTTTGGCCCTGAGACGATCCCAGGCACCGGCGTATCTTGACCGATCCTTGCTGGCAGGCCGGCGGATGACCGTCATTGCCGTCTCCTTGTCGATTGACCAGAATTTGATGTGATCAAGGAGCGTCTTGATAGGCAAGGTGCTGCGACCAATGCAAGAGAGCTTGATAAGTTCTTCGTCCCTGCGGCTCGGTTGAAATGGATTGGGCGCCACTTCTCTTCGTGACCGATCGAACATGTACAGTCCGCCGTCGTGGAAGAAGTGGTGGCTGCCAAAGTATGGTTCATAACGAGGAGGAATCTTGGCAGACCACTTTCCGTAGTTAAAGATTCCCTGCTCGTCCATGGCGCCGTCGGTAGCCTCTTCGGATTCTATGCCGGACATGCCATAACGAGTTACTGCTTTGATGGATCTAGAAACCTTAGACATGCGTTGGTCGGCAATCCATTCCAGGACCGAGTCGTAAAGATCGTCCGAGTCGTCGATGTAAACATTCGACATGTAGCAATTTTGGAATAAAGAGAAAGCCTTGACCCAAATATATGTGACGGACGTAACGACCGCAAAGGCCAAAAGGCCAATGGAAACGAGCACGCCGATATCAAATCCGAATGCGTCGAAGATGAACCTTGATATCAGACTGTAGCCCGGAATGAAGGCTTCCAAGATGTTGCTGGGCAGCTCCGTAAGATTGGTAGCGGTGCCATTGAGGGGCTCACTCTGTGAGTCCAAGACACCGCGGAGTTTCTTGAAGTCCATATTGGAGAGTTTCGAAGAGTGAAGCTGTAAAATGAATCGAAAGAGAGAACTCGGCCAAGTGATGGATCTGGAGACTTTTATGCAGTGTCGTAGCGGTGCCTAGCCGCTGCGGTTGATGACTGGAAAGTGCGTTGCCTGATATGACAGTCCGACGCTCCGCAACGGATGTTGACTTCTTTGAGCCCGGGGTTCGAAGGCAACGTCCTGATGTTGGATGTCCTTGATCAACGATTGAACTTGTTCCGCTCCACCAAGAGCACGCGAAGACGAACGGGCCAGGTGCTGCAGCCTGGATCCAATATGAGAGCAAATTCAGTCTCTAGGCAGAGACAGTTGCCCGACACGCTCTGGATTCTCGTCCGTCCCCACTTCGGATGCGGCGTCAATCCTATTTAGCCTCAATGTGCTCGTGTTGGTCAGACAGGAAGCAACTGACAATTAATTGCCTGGCGCCACGGTCCGTGTACGGTTGACCGTGAGAGCCGCAAGATGAAAACGGAGCTGAGGATGCGCGCCTCGCGCAAGGATCGCAATGCTTCCCCACAGTGAGATTATCGCCGATGGTGGTACGAATCAGATGCGGCTGTAGACGAGCTGCAAGACTGAGAGGCTGGATTACAGCCTTGTCGAGCGGGGCGCGTGCCGGCGTACGGAATGGGAAAGTGTAGCGATGATGCAGAGCAGAGCCGCAGAGATGAGCAATCAGGCAAATGCTGCGGGATCGGCGTAAGCACAGGTTCGGCGGAGCCTGCTGCCTGCGAACTCACGAGATGCCTGCTGGAGCCGCAACGGTATCCGAACGGTCTTATATTCGGTCGCCTCGGTGTGCGCGATGGAGGCCGTCGGTGTTGAAGGAGTGCAGGTCCTCGGACGAGCTGATGACGAGAAGGCGGTGCATTGCCACAGCGAGCAGGAAGTGCTTGCCACCGCCCTGGGAGGCAACGGCGACGCGCGGTAGCTCCCACATAGCGGGGGCGAGCGCCACTCATCGTCAGCTAGCCGCAGCAGCTGACCACTACTATATTAACATGACGGAGACCCCGTTGCAGAGTTCATCCTGTTGGTCGTGCTGGTGGTGGGTGAGGTGCGCGGACTTGGGGCGGAGCATCGCAGCGTTCACGGTGACGGGGCCACGGCTCGGGCACAACGGCGATGGGCGATGCAAGGAGCGCGCCAGTCTCACAGCCAGCGCCCAGTCAACAGCGCGCGGCGGATGCTAGCAGCTATGAAGGTTTTCAGCGCGCCCGTGGCGGCAAAGCCGGCGGTGTACGGTGGCGTAGGGCTGGCACGGCATGACGAGCCAGAACAATCCATGCCGCGCGCCGTTGCATAACACAGAAAGCCTATCAAACACCCAAGTCACATGCAGCCGATCGCGCCCCCGAGTGAAGCATAATCATCGTTATAGTGTTGCTAGTACTAGCCACTACAGCGCGGAGCCGGCAAATGCCTATCCGATGTGATGCAGATTTCGGACCTTGTTAAGAACTAAGTGTGGAAAGAAGTTTGTACAGTAGGAACGTGACGCCCATCCGGGGCCAGGCGCAGCCCGCACCCAGAAAGGGATCGGTTTGATGTACTGCAAGGCAAGAAAGAGTCGAAGGAAGAAAGAAGCAATGGGGGTTATAGTAAAAGTCAAAACACCAAGCCTGTCCATCTTCTTTTCGTCCCGCATGAATAATTGAAAGCACACACAATGCCCGCAACACCTACCCATATGCCGGATATCTGTGTCGATTGCACCGCCTTCTCTAGGCGAGAAGACCGTGCTCGCGGCGGTTCTGGTGGTGGCCGTGGTGGAAGTGGCGCTTGTGCTTGGCCACCGGCGTCGCGTAGCTGCCGCCGGTCTCCGTAACGTAGACAACCTCCTCCTCGATCGCAACCTCGTACACGGCGCCGTTGCTGGTGTACGTCGTCGTACCGATGATCTCGCCGTCCGCGTCGCTGGCGCTCGGGGCGGGCGTGATGGCCGCCAGGTCAATCGTGGACGCACTGCCGGTAGCCTTGCTAGCGATCTTGGCAACAGTGACACCACCGCCGTTCTTGTCCGAGGCGAAGGACTCGTGGCCGGTCGAGTACGAGAGGGTGGGCACGAGCGGCGTGCTCGAGTGGCTGGTGGTCGAGATGGCGGCCGGCGAAGTCACCGCGGGCTTGACCGAGGCGTAGCCGGGACCGTACTGGATGGGGACGTTGCCGCAGAGGCCGTCGGAAGGACCCGCGCAGTTCTCATCCGCGAGAGCTTCGGGGACGGGGAACTTGCAGTCCAACATGTCATCCTCCTCCTGCAGGTTGAAGAGCGGGCAGTCCTCGACCAGGCCCGTCTCCGAAGTGCACGTGTCGACCGCCTTCTGGAGGAAGTCGACGTCCCAACCGGACATGAAATCACCGTGGTACCCGTATCCGGTGGGGTCACCGTGCGCCAGGACGAATTCTCCGTCAACGCCGATGAAGTCGTTGGTCGCCCAGATGGTCTCGTACATCAGGGAGATGAGACGCGTGTCGAAACCCTCGGGGCAGGTGCCGGTGATGGTCTGGTCGGGGTATGCCATGTGGTCCTTGTGGTTATCCGAATCGAGGTCCTTGCCGTTCCAGCACGACGGGAACATGACCTCGAGACGAAGGCCGGAGGAGCAGTTCTCGTCGAGGAAGGCCTTGTCGGGAAGGAAGTGGCGGTACAGGGTAGCCTCGGGCGGGTTGACGTCGTAGTGAAGGCAGTTGAAGCCAAGGGCCTTCTGCGCGAGAGCGCTCTGGGTGGCGTCCTCACCAGTCCAGGGCTTCTCGGGGTCAGGGACCGGGAGAGTGAAGTTGCGCTGGCGCATGTCACCCGCAAGCATGCGGAAGTTCTTGGGGAACGCCGTGACCTCGTCTCCGTAGAGAAGGTAGTAGCTGCAGAGAGTCAGCGTGCCGTGTGACACAGAGCGCGTTTGGACCACTTACGCAAGCATGCCGCCAACCTGCGGGACAACGACGGTAGTGCCATTGGGGTACATGAAGTGAAGCGAGGGCGTCCTGGGTAGAAGGTGAGTGTCAGCGCGCGCGCGTCTAGACTGCGATCTGGAGTGAGCCATACCAGTACGCGGAGTTGTCCTGGGTGACCTGGCAAGAGGTGCAAGACGACTCGAGCAGCTCAGCGTAGCCGACGCTCATGCCGAAGCTGCTACCGCCATGGATGGCGTGGGCGTGGCCGGAGACGACACCGTTGTCGACGATGGGGTCGATACGGGCGAGACCAGTGCGGCCGCGGCAGGGCATACGCCAGAAGGCGTTGGCGGCGCCGCTGAGGGCGAGGAGGGAGAGAATCTCCGCGTTCTTGACCATGTTGACGGTTGAAACCTGGAGTCGCCTTAGAATCGGAGGGTTAACGGGAAACGATCAGGGTCGGCCCGAGGAACGTGAGCGGGTCGGCAGGTCGGAAGCGAAAGGAAGGTGGTGAAAGGAGCGAAGAGGGTTGGTTGAGGAAGAGACGGGGGCCCGGTGGAGTTGAAGTGTGTTTGTTGGAAACGCGCACGGAGCCGCAGGTACCTACAATCAAAGACGCACCGCTTCTACTGCGGTTGGAGCAACGTAATTCGCGCGCGGGATACGGGCGGCCGTAACCTGTCTGGTGGGTAGGTCGAGATGGATCTTTCTTCAGCCCTACGAGACCAGATTCGGGACTTTTATGGCAACCCTGCGCGGTGGTAGCCCTTCTCCTTAACTTCAAATTGATTGCGCCCGTGCTGTAATCCACCGGGGACAAGTGATATTGCTCGATATGTCCAGGAAACGAAGGGCGCTGGGCCGCTGGGGGGGTAGGGAACGAGGGGAGTGTGCTTTTCGCAACGAACGAACGACGGACGGTCAGTAGTCAAAGGAGCGACTGGATGCGGGGAAGGCAAGGAGAGAAAGCGCGAGCGCAGCAGCAGTGGACAAGAAAAGTCACGATGAGGATAAGGAATGTTCTTTTCAGGACAGGGAAAACATGGGGGTACACGTTGACCTGAGACACGATGGATCCCCACTGGAATCTCCCTGACACACGGCGCACAGATAGCCGGGCGCCAGGGCCCAAGACATTCTTGCCCTGCTCAGGTGCGTCATCCCGGCGCCGGCGTGCACATCCTCGTTTACCGTCCGCTCTGATGAAACGCTGAGGGCCGTCCGATTGGCTTGGGCGCTTGGCCTGCCCTGCGTCCGCCCTCGCGCCGCGCAGCAGCCTCCCCGACGGCGCAAACGCAGCGCTGGTTCGGGTCGGGCTGCGGCTGGCGGCGCGCGGCGGCGGCGGGCGGTGGGCCAGCTGGGCTGCAGCAGCGCGGTGGTGGAGCTGCGGGCGGACAGCATCGTGAACCGCGGCGCCACCGTGCTTGCTCCATCTCCGTTACGCGCGCCGGCGCCTCCTAGCCTCCTAGCCTCACAGCCTCCTATTCGAGCAGCAGCGCCAAAGGCCGCTTGACTCGCGATCAGCGCTCTCATCTCGCGGCGCTCCGTCAGAGCGGCGGTGCGGTAGGCCAGCAGCGGCCGCCAGCACACTGCGAGGAGGCGGGCAAGCGCCCGCAATATGGCCAGGAGCAAGGCATACGTAACGCTGCGCTCCAATCGTGCCACTCGCCGGCCTGCCGCCGCGCTCAGCTCGTCACCCGCCGTGGAGGGGCGCGCTGTCGGGGTGTGGCTGCCGTTTCACGTCCATCGGTGGCGGAAGCTTGGTACTCGGGAAGTGTTCGACGCCGTGCCAGGCACCGGGCCACTCACAGCGCGCAGAGGATGCGGCGTGTCAGGCCGCGCTGAGCCCTACGGCGCGATAGAGGCGCTGCCGTATCGCGCGTGGGATTCCGTGGAACGCCCGCAGGACTGCAGGACCGCTTCTCTCGCACAGAGCACGCCGCATCCAACAGCTGAATTTCTTTTTCATCTGCGCCTCCCGATTCGCTGGCCACTGTGCGGCCATCGGCTTGACCGACTTCCGGCGCATTGTTCTCCTCGTACATGCTGCACCCACATCATCGCGCGAGGGAACAGCCGGCGGCTCTCTCAGGGGTCATGCGCCGGGGCGACTCGGGGTGGGGCGCCCGAGTCGAGTCGAGGGTCACGACTTGCCGCCTCTTCATCCCGGCGAAAAGGGCCGCGACAGGAATGGCACCCGAGTGGCCGTTTCGGCGCCATGGGAAAGCGTGAAGCTGCTGGCTGCTGTCAAGACCGGGATCGGGGAGCGCGGTCGCTCGGAGCGAGTCGTCGCCAGGATGGGATGCCTTTGCCATGCGGGGGTTCTTGTCAGTAGTCCCAAGTTCCCGACTCTGGTTCGGAAGCAACCCGAGCGCCGAGCGGGCTGAGCCTGTGGCAACTGCCGCCGCTCGCCAACAATGCGTGCCTCGTTGCCTAAGCGCAAGCGCCAGCGCCGGCAGCTGGGGGAACGGAATTCCAGCGTCGCGGCGTGACACCAGCCTCCCGCCGCCCTGCACGCGTCTCAAACAGTGGTGAACACCGCGCCCTCTCTGCATGATGGTGCCTGTCGATCACTGGGGAAGGGCATCAGACCCAATCCTCGCCCGCCAGCCCGCATCCGCCAGCCGCAGCACCGCTGAAGATCACCTGTTTCGAGCCGAAAGCTTGGTATGCAGCTTCTGAAACCGTGTTAAGCAAGGAACAGCCTTGCATCACCACCAACCTTCCCGGATCCGCTTCTTCTACTTCTATCGCACCCCTCGCGCATCCGCCACGCCTTAAGAGCATACCGCAGCTGCATCTGGAAGCGTTCTAGCACCTGCCGTGCTAGTCCGACCTCGCACGCCGTCTATCCAAAACGCTGCTGCATCACTGTCACGGGCAGGGGCACCCGCTACACGTTTAGTCCACGCTGCACTCGACGAGAAGAGCACGAGATACATTGTTGCTGCAAGCGATTGATTGATCAGCCAGACTATCTCAGACCTATGTATCTACCGCTGATGGTAGGCAGCTGCATTCCATCGCATGCGTTGCATCTGAAACTGTTCGCTGAAAAAAGCCTTCGTGGATATCGCCATCCTTTCTCCTGCAACGCCGTTATCGCCCATTTTTTATACCCAAATGCATGATGTGCCATCAAGCGAACATGGCCGTAGCCCTCAATGAGACTCCAGAGTGAGCTTCGTACACACGGTGTCAGGGAGATTTGCCGCAATAATGCATAGCCAATAATGTCCAATGCCCCAAACGTGCAAGGCCTGCGACCGATGCCCGCGTTCTGAGACAACGGCGACTCAACGCAGCAGCTGCGGGAAATTCGATCCTCTTAGTAGGAGCATCTCTTGGCAATCTTATCACAGCAAGCCCTGCTTCTGAAGGTCGTAGTAGACCTTCTCGGGCATGACGTTGCCCGCTGCATCCTCCATTTGGACCACGTTCTCCTGGGACTGCTTTTGCTTCTTCTTGTCGACCTCGATCTTCTTGTGGAGGTTGATTGCATCTTGGATGCCAGTGATCTCCCTGTAAAGTCCGGTATCCTTGGTGATTCCCAAACACTTTAGGCCGTAAAGGTGACGGCCCTCGGTAAAGTGCTTGTCGAAGGCGCGACGTCCCATGTACACAAAGTTACCACAAACCTCGCAGGGAAACTCGACACCGAGACCGTGCAGCTTGTACAGCCAGAACGGAATCGGCTTGCCATCCCAGGCAAGCGGCAGCTTAAGAGGGTTGTAGATCTTGTCCTCATCACCTTCTTCCTCACCTTCACCCTCCTGAACTTCGTCTATGCCCTCTGCATACAGAGAGTCGAGCTCCTGCTGACGCTCGCGCTCGGTCATACCCTGCCTGCGCTCGACATTGACGCGGGTATCACCGCGCTGTAGCTTCATGGCAGCCGCAAGCTTCTTGACAGAGAACTCACGCTGCGCAACGGCACGCTCTTTGAGACGCTTAGTGTCGACAGCGCCGTTCGAAGAAGGCTGGTCGTCGCCAGCCTGTCCGCCCGTCGCAGCCCTTTCAGCAGCGGCCCTCTTGTGCTTCCTTCCATTGAGGTGAGGCTTATACGTGTGCTCCTGGAACTCCTTCTGGCAGTCAGCGCACCAGTATCCAGAGCCAGATCCCTCAGTCACAGGGCCAGCAGTGGCACGCTTAGCTGCATCCTCGTCCTCCCAACCGGGGATCTCGTTGGCTTCCCACGCCTTCGCAAACTCTTCGTCGAACTCGGCGAACAGCCTGTCCAGATCCTCCAGCGGCCTCGTTTTCCTCATGAAGCCCTCAAGATACGAGACCAAATCGCCGAGATAGCGGAAGTAGGCATCTGTCATCTTGTTAGGACGCTTCAACTGGGCGAAGTTGTCGAACGTGTCTAGATACTGCAAGTAGGTGGAGTGTTTCGCATTCTTGTTGCCCGGCAGGTTCTCGTAGGCGTCGTGCAGGGTCGTCATGTCGAAGAAGCGCCCAAAGCCTTCCTCGCCAGTGAACATGGATTCGATGTTGGGCGCCATGGGCTCGGGCTCGCCGGGACGGCGCTTGTAGGCTCGCTCCAAGTTCTCGACCGCCTCGTTCGGGTATTCCTTGTGGTGGGACTTGATTTCCTTGTATTCCTTGTAGAATTCCTCGAAGATGTCGCCAGTGGAAATGGCCTGGACCTGGCGGGTGCGCTCGCCGTTCGAGTCGGCGTAGATGTCCAGCAACCGCTTGGATTGGCTCTGGATGCGATCAAGGAAGTTTGCCATCTGGTGATCACGGCGGAGGTGCTCCCTGTTGTTCCTGGGGTCCTCGAGAATGCGCTCGGCGGTGGCCTGCTCGAGGCGCTCGATGTCCTCGTGCAGCAGCCGCTGCTCCTCGAGGAGGATGCTCATGGCTGCGTGTGGGGCTGCGCTTTGGGAGGCGAGTCGGCTCGGGGGAGTAATTGATCGTCGACGCTGGAGGACAGGTTCGTTTGACGAGTGGGGGATGGTCGAGCTGAGGTTCAGCACTGGGAGGCGGCGGCGGCGAGGTCGCGGGCGAGATTGTCGACGCGACGAATGCCAAGCCTTTTCCGCGCTAAAAGCTCCGCGCCAGCTCCCCGGAAACTTCACCACCGCCCGCCGCGCTCAGGCCGCAAACACCGTCCAACTGCCGTGCGCTTTTCACGCCCGCCCGATTTTCCGCCAACAACAATTGGAAGCAGCTTCACACAACATGGCCGACGGAATCGACAGACGCGCCGATGAGAAGATGGAGTTCTCCACCTCCAAGGAGGTTACGGTGGCTCCTACCTTCGAGGCCATGCACCTGAAGGAGAATCTTCTGCGCGGCATCTACGCCTACGGCTACGAATCGCCCTCCGCCGTCCAGTCGCGTGCCATTGTGCAGGTCTGTAAGGGTCGCGACACTATTGCCCAGGCCCAGTCTGGTACCGGCAAGACTGCCACTTTCTCCATCAGTATCCTTCAGGTCATCGACACGGCGGTGCGCGAAACCCAAGGTGTGTGGTTCCGGTCGCGTTGCGCCTAAGCCTCTTCGCTGACCTCTTCAGCTCTCGTTCTATCTCCCACTCGCGAACTTGCGACCCAGATCCAGTCTGTTGTCATGGCTCTCGGCGACTACATGAACGTCCAATGCCACGCTTGCATCGGTGGCACCAACGTCGGCGAGGATATTCGCAAGCTCGATTACGGCCAGCACGTCGTTTCTGGCACTCCCGGTCGCGTCGCTGACATGATCCGCCGCCGCAACCTTCGCACTCGCCACATTAAGATGCTTGTTCTGGACGAGGCTGATGAGTTGCTCAACCGTGGCTTCCGCGAGCAGATCTATGACGTGTACCGCTATCTGCCTCCTGCGACTCAGGTTGTCGTTGTCTCGGCCACGCTTCCGTATGACGTTTTGGATATGACCACCAAGTTCATGACGGACCCAGTCAGGATTCTCGTCAAGCGTGACGAATTGACTCTTGAAGGCCTGAAGCAGTACTTCATTGCTGTCGAAAAGGAAGAGTGGAAGTTCGATACTCTTTGCGACCTTTACGATACCCTTACCATCACGCAGGCCGTCATCTTCTGCAACACCAGGAGAAAGGTCGACTGGCTTACCGATAAGATGCGGGAGGCCAACTTTACTGTATCTTCGATGCACGGCGAGATGCCGCAGAAGGAGCGCGACAGCATCATGCAGGATTTCCGTCAGGGCAACTCTCGCGTTCTGATCTCGACCGACGTCTGGGCCCGTGGCATCGACGTCCAGCAGGTGTCGCTGGTTATCAACTACGACCTCCCTAGCAACCGTGAAAACTACATTCACAGAATTGGTCGCAGTGGACGTTTTGGTAGGAAGGGTGTCGCTATCAACTTCGTTACGAGCGAGGACGTCAGGATCCTTCGCGACATCGAGTGTGAGTGCCACCTTCTCTATCCTATTGGACTTTTACTAATGTTGGCAGTGTACTATTCTACTCAAATCGACGAGATGCCGATGAACGTTGCGGATCTTCTTTCCTAAACAATATTGGTACTTGGCGTTTGTTCGGAGACAGCTTTCTTGACAGCGAAAAAAAAAAGGGCACTATGCCCATATTCACACAGGACACTTTGAGCGGGGAGGAAATGGGCTTTGTAGCCAGATGGTTAGTTCTCTACACTAAAAGCTTCACATGTTTGGTTCTGACATTCGCTACACCGAAGATATCTAGATTGATCATTGCTTTGCACCAGAAGACGACCGGACCCTTCATAATTCCATCTGGTAGGCTCGGGACTAAGCACAGGGTATGGCTAACATGGACCAAAGATGCCAAATTCGACGTATTCCCAGGATTACTTGACCAGATTTGAACGCAGATCACGCTGGGGATGGAAGAGTCTCTGACCAATGCTCGTGAATTTAGATGGTGCTAATCCAAGCGATGATGGAATGAGGTTTGCATCAACCGAAATCACTAGAACAAATGGCTTTCCGAGAACCGACGACTGGCTTTCATGCTGACAAGTGCTCACTGACCACGCTCCCACCTATAGCTTGGATTTTGACGGCATGCCAGAGGTGATACTTGCGGTTGCACAGTGGGTCGTAAAGGATTTATCCGTCTATACCCCGCGAAGAACACTACGACCTTCCTGTGTGTGGACTGTCGGAGCAAATGGAGGACCACTTTTCACCAACTTTGATCGTTACCTCCAACCTTGACCGATAAGAAGTGTGACAAGACTTTTGGCATGATTCATTCAGCAGTAAAGTGTGCTTGACGGAAGGTCAGCGCCCAACCGATGTTCTTGAGTAAAGAGTCTGAAGTCTCCCGGAAAATATGGGAAGTATCGCCGGACTTTGCTTTCTTGAAGGAGCGTCGTTTCAACAAAGCCGACAAGCCTGTTCCGGCCGAGGGATCTTCGGCCGAAGTGTATGGTATCTTGGTGGATGACTCGGTGTTTCTGGGGTTGTCAAACGATTTAGGGTGATACGCTGACCGGTGTAGGCTATACTCTGCGAGTAGAGGCTCGATGGGATATTGAGCGATTGCTTGTCTTCTTGTGAAAGGGAAGGTTACGCGATCTATTGAATATGCAAGCGGTAGGCAACGGTGACGCGCGGCTTATATTGTGTGCTTTCCCAATCGCTGCGGAGTAAGAACAAATCAGGTTTCCCAAGCCTGCATCGCTTTTGAGGGGCTGTGCGGCTGCCCGGCCTCTCCTTGTGAGGACCCAGAGGAGCCTCAACGGACCCGAGCAAAAGTGAGGCGTTGTGGTGCCACGCCCTGCAAGTTTCCGTGTATATCACTTGGCAACCCACCGAGCCGTTTCTGGCCAATTCTATCAGCATGAGTCGGATGCAGTAAGAGGACCACTTGAATAGAAACAAGAATTGAGAAAGTCACCAAGCTTGAACGGCATGAGATGAATTCCGACCCCAGTCGTCACACAAAGCACCAGCGACTTCGCGCTTTTGTGAGACGCTTGTGTCTCTCTGTGACGGCTGCATGGTTGTTGCATTGTGTCATGGGGGCCGGAATGCAGCAAACACTTGCGCGGCCTGTCGGTAGCATATCGCATTGGCTGAGACCTGCAGGCATCATGATCCCGGCTGTCGCCTACGCATGTCAAACAAGCAAACACCGTCCCGTGCGCAATCCATGACCACGAGGCCGGTTATTCGGTGTTGTAAAGAGGATGGGCGATCGGAGCGCCGGTCTGGACACAAATGCACGACATTTCTGTGAATGAAAGCAACCAGGAAAGAGCTTCAGCTCTGTCAACCTTGGTGCAATGGTAGGAGAACCGGCCTCGTAACTACAACATTCTGATGAATCAAAGGGAACAAAAGGCCAACTAAGTGATCAGTATTGCAGTCTCCACCTCCTCAAAGGGCCGCGGGGAGCCGAGCTTCTCCCCATTCTCGTCCGTAACTTGAAGCAAGGCTGGAAAGATGACGACAGAGCCGGGTTCATGGCCAGGGCCGGTTTGCCATTCAAATTCCCAGGAGCTCGGGTGCGAAAACAAGAGGAAGGCGAAGCCCGTCGCGCGTTTGAGAATTTCCTCGAGATTCTGGCGCCGGTTCGCATTCTCGTCTCTTCTCGCTCTCAGGCGTACCAAAACAGAGTCCAGTTCATCAAGTACACGGCCTATGTTGTGCCATCTCGGGTCACTTTCAGTCACGACTTTTGAGCCGTATGTCTGTTGGAGCATGCTCGCGGTTATGGCCCGCCACTTGCTGAGTAGTGCCGTCCGTGCTGTCTTTTCGTAAGCTCCATCTCTTAGCCGGCAATTTGGAGAAACCAACCGTGTTCATCATCCTGCATCCCCGTCATGGATTCAAGGCAGCTGGCTACTTCCGGCGGCAGAAAGCTCGAGCTTGCCTGGCTTTTGGGGCCGATTCGTGAAAAGATGGCCGATGCTATCAGATAGCGTAGCGCCGGGGTGCGTATTTGTGGGCTCGCGATTGCGGACACCATCTGCGAGGCCGAGATTCGGGACGTCTCCATCAAGCCGGCAAGAGTCGGTTCGTCGATTGCATCCGAATCGATTTCGGACGTGCGGTAATAGCTCACGACATGGCTGTCGATCATGCTCTTGAGCGTCGACATTTCATTGGAGATGCTGTCGTCTGCCACCGGTTGCGGAGGGTGTGTCTCAACCGACGAATTCCTCATGTCTATCGCTGTGACTTGTGGCACGCCACTGGTCTTGTTCTCTCCGTAGGATGGTAACTGTTTCCGCGGAGCCTCGGGGTTGTAACGTGGTTCCCGTTTCCTTGATCTTCGAGAACAAAAAAAGAACACGAGAGAGGCCAGCAGGATCCCGCCCATCGCAGCCCCAACTCCAATGCCTGCAGCCGCTCCAGAGCTGAGCCCTTTGCCATCTTGCGCGTTGGTTGGTTTCGTGGGAGAGGGAGATGGTGCTGAGGTACTACTCGTCGCGGTTCGAACCGTTGATGCTGAGGTACTACTCGTCACGGTTCGAACCGTGGAAGCTTGCGAAGTATCTTCGACTGTCGATGTCGTCTGCGGGGGCTTGATGGTGGAGACAATAGATGGGTTATCGAGAGCATATGCATACATGTTGGTTCCGGTGATACCCTTTGTGTAAGTGATCAAGACCAATACTGTGCCCACCGGCATATTTGTTGTAGTCTTATCTTGACCCGCAGGAGGTATGATTGGTGTTGGAAGAACAGCGGCTGCGCTGCCTCCCTCAGCATCGGTGTAGACAACCTGCGTCTGAAGGCCGGCCTTTGGAATCAATGGCGGCGACCTGGTGGAGCCAGGCTTATTTTGTGTAATGGTGGACATGGATGTCGAAGTGAGAGGCCAGGAAGAGGACTTAATGAAGAGACGGATGCAGTTAAACGGCGAAAACGCCGAGGAGAGTGAGAATGTGTTCTAGAAGTCAGCCTCAGCAAAGTGGCCTCGTGCATTAATTCATTTCTCTGGTTGAATGAAGTACATGCCTGCGCACATGCACTAACCACTACCCGGACGCCAGCTGAGTGTCTGAGCTGATACACAAGGGTATGCAAGCAGCGCGGCACAGAAGTGTTTGGGGGCCAGACGGAAGCCATGTACGTCCCATGTATGCGCCCGCCTTGTGAGTCCCGAGCTTTGCTTATACGCAGCGGCGGGCGCATTGTGATTGGGTGAGACTGCACGAATTTTCTATTGATCGGCATTGCAAGAGACGCGAAGGCTACGCATTACACTAGCCTATCGGCGGACATGCATAAGGGAAAGCGCTTGGCCAGTCGTCTCTCCGGATTCGGCCGTTCCGAGATGACGAAGCATTGCACAAGTTGGTTTTTGTGAGCGTCCTTTTCGGCTCGTCCGAGAATTTTGCCATGGTATTGAGTCTCACAAGGCATTAGCAGCCGGTCTGGTGTGACATGGCGTTCATGACTCAGATCTGATTGTTTGTGCCGTCAGTGTTGCTGGGGAGCAGGAGGCATCCGTCGGAGACCAGTTCAACGTCCTGAATTATAGAACTTAAAAGCTCTCGCCGTAGCTGGCCTACTTTAGGAGCGGGTTCGCTGCCTTGCAGACGTCTCCTTACGACGGAATTGAATTGGGCCCGCAAATACATGTACGGAGTAGATTGACGGCAAATATTGGCTGATAGGCCACATATGGTGGTGGCAGTGGATTTCGGGATGACCTGTAAGTGATGATAGCTGAATGAGATAGAGCTTGTTTTCAGAGAAGTGTATGACGTTGGATGTCTCGCCCGGAATACTCAAGTTACCATCACGTGCCTATCTGCGTCTCTCATCATATATCATCACCAAACTGAGCCTTACATGTTTTCCCAGGTACCGGAGTCTCTTACGCAAACCTATCCATCAGCTCCGAAGCCATCCGTCGGATCTAGAAATGGCTAGGCCTCGGATAGGCGGATGAGAACAAGGTCCTACTGTCCTAGTCTGCCCTCACAACCCACAAATCCCCTCTTCCTGGGGGTTCGGCTCCGAAACAATTTCAGAGCAGACGGATGATAGCCGAGAGTATCGAGAGCGGTTCAAGACATATCTGGACGTCTCCAGGCTCCACAAAGCACAATCTGAGCTGCCAAACGAAACCACGAGGTTAATTTACGACGTCAAAAAGTAGTTTGAGGGCTACTTGCGTCGTCTGTATCAGCATATCGAGTTCGCGCTCAGCTATCAGCTCCCTGGCGCATACTGGCCTGACGCGTATATCGAATTCATGTTTGGTGTTCCTACAACCTGGAACAACCCCGCGGTGGAGAAATTCAGGACGGTGATCCACCGCGCCGAATTTGACCAGCATCTGAGACATGCCGTCTCCATAGGTCTCACCGGAGCGGAGGCTGCCGCTGTGCACACGTCAACTGAAGCACCGGGAATCTTCAGGGTATGTATGTCTCTCAAGTGATGAATCACCTGGAACGGTGCGACGGAGGCGCCTCCACAGACCGTTTGTTGATGTGCACAGGATCAAGACATTCTCCTCGTGTGTGATGCAGGGGGTGGTACCACTGATCTGTCGGTCTTGAAAATCGTTACCAGCTAGAGTCGTTGCATGCCTCTGCAGCAGCTTGACGTTGTTTTTGGTAAACGAAGACCATCAAACCTTTCAAAATCCCAACCGGAACTGTTCGCAGAAGAGACTATCGGCTCGGCGGCAATCGACAATGGCTTCGAGGATCTGGCTTTGCAGCGCCTGTCGGGGATCGACCGTTCTGTCATCAGTCTAGAACCTGAAGAGGTAGCGTGGCAGATGATGAAGAGCACATAATTCTAAAATTCCAAGTGTGAGCATGGCGTACCCAGTGATACACCTATATTCTCCATCAGTACTCTTCAAATTGACAGGAATTACTCACAGGCAGAAATTGGCGTGATGCATGGAGAAACGAGGTTCAGAAAGTAAGACGATTGCTTTTTGATCAACCTTGTTTAGCCTTTTTTTTTCAGCTGATTATGGGACGGAGAGGATCTGAAATTCCTCTTTGACAAGCAAGTGCAAAAACTATTCGGGCTCATTGACCATCAGCTCGAGAGGCTTCAAAGAAGATATCCAGGCGAGCAAGTAGTAAGACATACCCCCCGTAACTTGGATACGGAGCACTGATGCCCCTAGACCCACGTCACCCTCTCCGGCGGACTACGTACAGAAGCGTCCCATGGAAAGATATGCGCGCGGAAGACACGTCTTCCTCAACGCCCAAAACATCCACTTCCGAACCGCGCCGGATCCTCAACTTGCTTGTCTCCAAGGGCCTTGTGACAGATAACCATCGGAATCTATGAAGCGGGAAGAGCATTTTAGATCGGCAGTGTTGCAGGGCATCTTACGGCACACTCTGTAAAGTTGCGCATGACAACAACATTCCCTGTACGGACCCTTGTATTTGTTTCCCTGTGCGAGATCTGGTCCGACCTCTCCAACGCCGACCAGTGAGAGTCCAAGGAGAAGAACGGGCGCTTCTGGGAGACGACGAGTCAGTGCCATTATGTCGTCGAGTACCAGATTCAGGTCATCATCGGCCCGGCCGATCTACGTTTTGAGTTGTGCACGCGAGCTCCTTATTACTCTATGGAAATGCGCCGTCTTACCGAAGCGCATTGGTGTGCAGAGATTTTCATCAAAGCTGACACGCGCGTGAACCAGGTTCAACGGCCAGAAGCTGAGCAGAGACCAGTCTATTTGCGTTGAATGGTCGCCCGCGACGCCGCCCACAATGTTGGCGGCCGAAATGCCTGCTCCGCCGCAGGTGAGACAGGATTCGGACGAGAGCGAGTACTTGTCGCGGAACAAAGAGCATAGACGAGTGCTGGGGAGTCTGGCGAATATCCTGAACGGTCGATAGATAAGTGTGTGACACAGGGGCTCTGAAGACACCACATCGAAGTATGAGTGGCAAGACACTCATGTGCTGAGACCCGCCGATGAGAGACTATGGGAAGCTTTGCCGTATTGTTTCCCAACTGTCAAGTTGCTACGTAGGAAAATAAGACCATTGCGTGCTATTTCTGGAAGGATGTGTGGAAAGTTCATTGTGTTATCATGAGTGACGATGAAATGGATTACAAAGTGTGCTTTCCTTTGTAGGTAGCTAAAGCCAGTGTCTGGATGTTTCTGTGCGATTGAAATGCCTACATCTATACCCAGAAGTCTTCTCCAGCTGCACACTTAAGAAGTAGTTTTGAAGTCTGCGTCTGTATCCTAACATTTCCTTCAAGCGTCTGTGCAGACGTGGTAGTATCCTTCGCAGAAAACACGGAAAGGGATGGATACTTTGCAACTTACTAGGGCAAAAAGGTAGCATAGCAGAGAGAGCTGTGCATCAACCTCTTCACTCTCCACAAACCTTACGCCAATACCTCACAGATTGCGTGGCTTGACTTCTGGTAAATCCCGTATGCAGAGATGATTTCTCGCAGCTAATCAATTCCTTCGCAGGTGCGCCTATTTTGAAGTGTAGAATAACGGTGAGCGGTGGCGGCAGGCCGGTTCAACATGAGGCTCAACGAGATGCAAGAACGACGACATGTGAACCCTACTGAAGCACCATCATCGAGAATGGGGCTTCCCGGCGAACCTGACGCCAGGATGGACCCAAGCAAGAGCGACTGCTTTTCGTTGCCCCTGCACTACCCTTGCTGGCCTAGTCATCTGAGAAGGTGTTCGATCGACAACGAGCGCGGACCGACTGCTTCAGCGGCACAGAGCCACACCGCATTTAGCATTCCGCTTACCGTTTTCCTTTCAGCCTCATGTCTCCTCGGCCGTGCATGTCAGTCTTTCGGTCCCGAAATAAGGCCTCGTGCTACCACCGGTTTTCGTGCGGCCCCTGGGTGGACTGAGTGGTGCAAAAGCAAAATCAGTCGATCCGGGGGGTGGCTATGCATAGCGTGGTGTGATGCGATGCATCGGTGGATTGCGGAGTTGATGGAGAGAGCAAAACAGTGGGGCAGCCGAGCCGTTATAGGACATGGGGTCCTGATGCTGCCGAACATGCGTTTTCTTTTGGCCATGCGAGGCTGGAAATACATCCCAGCCCTTCTCGCGACATTCACTAGCCTCGGATCGTGTTTTTTGGTTATGCAAAAAGTCGGACATAGGGAAGCTGTAGATCAACGATACGTGTGCATGAGTAGTACCGAGACCGAGCAGCCTCCAGGCAGAACTACCGAGGAAGAAACAGGAGAGCCGAAAGGCGATATGATTTTCCTGATTGGCTGACAACTACCGAAAGTGGAGATCTGTTAGATCGCAGATGTGGCGGAGAAGAGAAACGACTTCGCGAACTCAAGGCTGATAGGTAAAGATGTTGAGCAGTTTCAAGGCGTGACGTGTGTATACAGGAAGGAACCTTGAGGAACTTGTTTCGTCATAGGGAAGAGCGAAAGGACTGGTGCTGACGAGGTGCAGTCTCAACCGGTTTGTAAAAGTGCCGATCCGGCACCTGATCGCATTCTCGCTTGAAGGGAAGCTTGAAGTCCCGATAGACTGACGATCTGAGGGCACCTGGACACCTGGGGACATACTATAATAATGCTCGGTGACGGCACTTCAGCAAGGGGTTGGCACACGGAGAAGGAGTTGGAGGGCAGTGAAAGCCGGTGCTAAAATCCAGATCATCGCGTCGCCCAGTTAACAGTCTTGTTCCCGTGCGAAATCGTTCAGTGCCGCAATATGGCTTCGCACACACTAGGAAGGTGGTGTGCTTACGAAGGGCCACGTCGACGGATGACGAGGCGCTAGAGCACCGACAAAGTGTGAATGAAGGGAAGTACCTTGAGGGGTGGGGTGCTAGCCTCGAAACGTACAGCTGGCAGAGCGTTGCCGGCTCGGCCAGACGCCGAACACGGGCGGGATCGCACTTGTGCTGGCAGGACGAGATGGGCCTTGTTGGGAGAGCAAGATAAGGCGCACAGCTCCGCCAGAGCTACCGCAATTGAGGCCGGTGAGTCTGGGTGGTGGCGCACCGATATCTCTTGCGGCAGATAGCCAATTGGGATGTCGGCACTGCTAGCAAGTGCGGGATGGCAGCCGAGGTTCCGAGCCCTTGAGTCCACATGCTGATCGTCTCTTGGGGCGGAAGCCTCAATGCAGTAGGAGTGAGACCGGCTCCAGACACGAAATCCCCGAAATAACGCGTGGCGCCGATCCAGACCCGCACGTGGGCGCAGGAATCATCTCCAGGCTGGGCTGATGAAAGGGAGGACTGTGATCAGCGGGGCTATCAGTAATCCAAAAGCCCAGCAACAGGCACGGCAGCAGCCTCATTCCGGATCAGAGGAGATGAGGCACGATGGCTGTGCAGCCGTTGGCAGGCGGCAGGGTTCATGCGCAACGTGCTGGCCGCTCCGGCACGTGTCCAGTGAGGCGCGCAGAACCCCCCAGGCAGGACGCTGCACCGCTCAGCCGCATCCAACCCCTGGCGGGTGCCAGCTCCTTCGCACAAGAACGGTTGCTGGGAGGCCGCAAGCTGTGGCCACCTGGATCTGCGCCGCGCTAGCGCTCGGCCGCTCGCACGCTGGTCCCAGGCGCAGGCGAGAGCGGCCAGACACAGGCGACCCCCGGCGACGCCGGACAGCCTCATGTGAGCCTGACGAGAAGCGAGTTGCAGCAGGCGGCGAGAGCGAACGGCCATGGCGGGAGTGGAACGGCGGCGGAGAGAACGCCCGTTTGCCACGAGGGCGTAGGACGAGGCAGCGAAAGCTTGTTGTGTGGAGAAGGCTGTGGGGGATGGGCGGCGGTGGCCGAAGAAGGGCCCCCCCCACTGGCTGGCGGGCACGAGGCGCCAAGCCGAGCTCGGAAGGCAGCCGCGCTTCCCCGGCGTGTGCGCGGCCGCGCAGCCCACACCTGAGCTTCGCTCGGCGTCGGCATAATTTTTTTTTCCTGGTGCGACGGCGACGGTAGCCCTCCACCACACGGGCAGCCAGCGCAGACGGCCTTGCTAGCACAAACCTTCCAATCTCCAGCATACTTCGCCGCCTTCCCCAGAACCGCCGAGCCGCCCACCGCAGTCGAGCTCCCCTCGAGCACCGGACCCTCGGCCTGCACGAACGCAAGACAGCCCCGCCCGCCCGCCCTGCCCAAAGCCGCCTCGCGCGCAAAAACGCAATTCTTGTCACCCAGCCACACCGAGCCTCAGCGCCTGCCCCTCGAAACCGCCCCCGTTGCGCGACCTTGCACGTCATCCAAATGCCCGCCACCGCCAACCCTGCTAGCCTCGCCCTTACCGAGGACGAGGTCGACGATCTCCTGTATCTCGCCCGTGCGAACGAGACCCAGGACCTGCCGCACTACCTTCAAGAGCTCTCCCAGAGCCATGCCGGCAGCTCACATGCCGACATCCTAGTCGCTGCCGTCGACGAGCTCTCGGGCAACACCGTCCTCCACTATGCCGCCGCGAACGGTCACACTGGTACGTTGGACAAAACCGCCCCGCACTGCCATGCCCGGGTGTCTCGTGGAAGCGGGCTGACCGAATGCTCTTGCGCCGTGTCCGTGTAGAAATCCTCAACACCGTCCGCAACACCCTCACCTCGGCAGCCCCCTCCCCCGAGGCCGTGAAGGAATCGTACAAGTCATTCGTGAACCTGAAGAACGCTGCGGGCAACACGGCGCTGCACTGGGCTGCCCTCAACGGCCATCTGCCGGCCGTGCAGACGCTGGTCGCGCTCGGTGCCGATGCCACCATCCTCAACGCTGCGGGCCATGACGCCGTCTTCGAAGCCGAACAGAATGGAAAGAATGACGTCGTTGGATGGCTGCTTGTTGAGGGCGGCGCGCTAGACACAGTGGTCGGCGCATTGAAGGATGAAGAGGCCGCCGAGTCCAGCAAGACCGGGTCAAGGGATGATGACGAAGGAGAGGATGTGGAGATGAAGATCACTATGGGCGACACGTCAGAGTCGGGTGTGGAGAAGGGCGTCGAAAACCTGCAGATGGACGACGCTAAAGCCAAAGGGAAGGCGAGTGGGTGAAAAGAGACTGTGGGTCTGACCATGCACAACTCGTTCGGCGCTGCCACAAGTGAGGAGCCGAAAGGCCAGGTGCGGGAGTTGTTGGCATCCAGGGACTCGGTTCCTTTCCGCGTCCGTTCGGCGTACCGGCGCAAACGCTATAGCGGCCGAGCCACCACCTAAGTTAGTCGCAAATTGCGAGGCTGAGGCTACCGGATGCATCACTACTAAAACTGCCTTAGGCACAGGTCTGAAGGCGCAGCCTTCTGTTGGGAAAATGCCGCAATATTTCGCAATTGCGCGATTATCTATCATGCAGAATGACCGAGATGGCCCTCTAAACTTTTCAAGCCCTCCTCAAATACTACTCGAAGGGGACGAGTCTAGAAATGAACTGTTCTGTGGTTTGTGCTGTGTTCCATCAGTAACGGCTGAGATACGATGCCACTGTTTTCTCTAAGAAGGTCAATGCTCTCCAGGCAGAGAGGAACTGAAGATACACGGAGGAAACCAAAGGATATGACCGAAAAGGGATGAACGAACCCACCGCGCCGTTAGTGGATGTCTTGCACCCATTGGTCGGCCTCGACCAGACCATTGTAACGCCGCAAAATGCCGTAGAACATGAGTTTGCAAGAAATGAAGTGAGAGAGCAGGGTGGCGCAGCATCCGCGTGCTCCGGCATAGCTGAGATTAGACGACTTTTTGTTAATAGGGGAGTGTGAGACATTGCGAGGCACTCACTTGTCAAATCAGCTGCTAGTCCCTGAGCCATGCGCGCCTCTTCTCTTCCTTCTTCTTCGCGGCCTTTGCCTTGAACGCTTGGAGCTCCTTCTTGGAAAGCCTCTTATTTTGCCGCTCGGCCCTCAAACTCCTCCCGTCATGGCTATTGGCGGCGGCATCCACATCAAAATAAGCATTGAGCTGTCGTTTGCTCTTGTTTTCGTCGTTGTGCTGCTCGGGCCCAACATCGCCGGCTTGGAACCGGCCAGTGAAGCGATTGAAGCTGCCGGTTTGTGCGTAAGCATCTCCCCCCAGTGCAGCAGCGTGCAGAGCAGCGGCAGCCTCAGGGTCGACGACAGCCTCGGCTTCTTCCTCTAGATAGTCCTGCGCGTAGTCGGCGTTGGGGTCGAAGTCACCATGGATGGCCGGATTGTAGCCACCTCCACGCTTGCGAGGTGGCGAGCCCAGGCTGCTGCTGCCGTAGCCCGTCGTACCTGGCGCCGCAGGCACTGCAGGCATTGCGGGCAGTGCAGGTACCGCCGGTGCTGCGGACGAGGAAGCTTCCGGCACACGCGGGTTCTCCCATTGAGTGACGCCCGTGTGTCGGTTGTAAAAGTAGTAAGCGGCAACGGTTTGGTCCCAGAGGGCCTCCCAGCCGTCATCCTGCTGCGCTGGAGGCTCTTCGTCTGGCAGAGGAGGCGGGACCTCGTCGGTGGGCAGCGGAGGGGCATCGCTGGCGGTGGCAGCAGGGTCTGCGGATTCGGGATGGTCCGATGACTCGGGGTCAGGGCTGCGCTTGCGCTTCTTCGCTGCTGGGGTAGCCTCGGCAGCGTCGTCGTCGTCGTCCTTCGGGCTCCTCACATCCGGCGGCGTGTCTGCTTCAGCGGACTTGTCGTCGACCGCGGTGCTCTCGCCGGGTGTGGTGCTGCCGGACGCCGAAACTTTTGCGGTTTCCCGAGGGCTCCTGTCGTCGGAGGCCTGGCCGCTGGCGCGGTCGCTCGGCGCGGGCTCGTCGGCATGCTGGAGCGACTGGGCAGGCGCAGGGCTCCGGGCAGTGTCGTCGGACATGGCTTGGGCGGATAGCAGTGGCGGGCAAGGAAGGAAGTTGGAGCGCGGACAGGGCCACGATACAGCGTGCGGCGCTCCAAGCCTCACACGACATGGATGGGCTTGGGTCGTGAGACGCTCGGGCCATTTTTCACGTGACGTGCGCGCGCAGGCGCGCAAGCTGTCGCTCGTGGCGTCCCGGGCGTGCAGGGATGAGCGCCAAGCGCGGAGTCGCCAACTACCGTGGGTGCGCGGGCTGGGCTGTCGGCACTACACGGCGATGGCAGGCGTCGCAGGCGTGGCAGACGCCGTCGAGATGATGATGACAGCTGGACGTGCCCTGGTGCGGTCGGCGGGCGGCATTCGCGAGTCGCGGCGGGCGCGCAGCACCTGTCCAGGGCAGCCGGGTGGCCGGCCTCCAGATCCCGCGCTGTCGGCAGATGCTGAAACTGCCTGCAGCAACCAGGAGAGGCGCCTTAATCTGGGCCATACGCTTGCCCGTGCGAGGCTAGGGCTGGGGGCAGAGTGCGGGACAGCGAATCGATCGACAGCTAAATAGCGCTCCCCTGCTCTGGCAGTCTGGCAGCGCCTGCCATCCAAGCTCAGCGCCGTCATTGCCATCCTGCTCCCCGGAGCGCCGCAGGGTTGCCCGCCGCCACGCGCTGGGTTGCTGGAGCTGCCTGTGCTGCTGCTGCCCGGCCCCGTCGCCCGCCGGCGAGCGCACGAGCGCCCGTTCGCAAGCGCCGTTTCACCGGGCGGGCTGCACATGTGCTGCTCCTTTGTCGTCGCCAGCACGCCCGCACGCCAGCACCCCTCGTCCCTGGGCTCCGCTCCCTGCGCGCGCGCTGCCCGCGCGGCACCCGTGCCCAGCTTCGACTGCCGTCGCAAACGGGCCGAAGTGGAAACCTCAGCGCGCACTGCCGGCGCATCAGCTGCGCCCTCGGTACTTCCGACTCTTCCCCAGCCCTTCTCTCAACCCTCCGCCCCAGGCTGCCCGTGCCCGTCTGCTGCCCTCCGCTCCCCTCCGCTCCCAGCCTGGCTCCTGCTCAGCCGAGCCCGCCTCCCACTCAGGCCGTCCGTGGTACCGGGTCGTTGACTAGCTTCACACCTTCGATGGCCAGAGCTTGGCCTGCCGGTAGTCGCTCGGAATATAACTAGTCCCAGCCCTCCTCCTGCACCTCACAGGGTCTTGTCCAAGGACATCGATCGCTACCCCAGACCGCTCTCCGCTGCAACGACGCCCAAATGGAGCCCCAAGCGGAACCTGCCCGCGTTGTGCATGTGCTTCCCGGCCTGCACCCCTCCTCTCGCTCTCCAGATTCCTTTGGATCCTACCGGACGCCGCCTACCGCTGTTGCTGCCCCGCCCGAGCGCTTCTATGGCACCATCTCGCCCTCGCAGCCCGCCTCCTCGTCCGCCTCGGCCAGCGAGGGCGTGCAGCTGCCCAGTCTGCGCACTCTGATCAGCCCCGACCTTCTGAATCCTGCCGCCCCCAATGCTTCGCCTGCTCCCGTGACCCGTCTCCCCAGCCTCAGCGGCTTCGACTCGACCTCGACCTCGTCCAACGGCCATGGCTACTCCGCCCGTGAAGACAGCAAGGCCACCTCCAACCCAGCCCAGTCCGTCTCGTCCGTCTCGTCCGCCCCTCAGCCTTACCCGGTCTACACCCCTGCGTCAAGCGTCATCGCAGCGCCTGTGTCCGACGTCCGGCTACATGCGCCTCCTACCGAGCTCAGCCATCGCTTCCTCCGACGCGGATCCATCTCGTCTGGCGCCAGTGCCGGCTCGGAAAACCAATCGCCACGCGAGGATGCCAACGAAGGCTCTGCACTGCGGGTGAAACGCCGCATTGTAGACATCTCACGCGGCTCCACCCGCGCTGCACGTTGCGTCGGCCAGCAACAAGTTGCCGGAGAGGGCATGTGCTACGTGTACGAGGACGGCTCGTATTGCCGGACCGTCATCGACGGCGAAGCCGTCAACCCACAATGGGGAGTAACGAAGGCTGGAAAGCCTCGTAAGCGTCTTGCCCAGGCATGCCTGACCTGTCGCGAGAAGAAGATCAAATGCGAGCCCGGCGTCCCCAAGTGCGCCCAATGCACCCGTGCCCGTCGGACATGCAGAGGGTAAGTCGCTCCTCCATTTCCACACAGGGCTTGATGCCTGCCTGCCGCCCAATCAAGGTTGAATCAGCCAATGTTACAAGCTGCGATTGATGGCTGGCCTGCTGTCTCTTCCACACAACGGTTGAACCTAGCTCAACGGCTGACCAGACTGTAGTGGCCTCAGTGGTCAATCCCCAAACACCGATGGCATGAAGCTCGACTTGTTAGAGACAATAGCCACGCCAACAAATCAACAAGGGGATGCCCTCAGTGCGCACCATTCGCCTCCACACCAGTCTCAACGCGCAACATCTCCTTCATCTCGCGGCTTCTTGAAGCCACAGCGCATGTTTGATGAGATGAGCAAGCCGGGAGACGCGGATGAGCCCCGGAAACGTCGCTATCGCAGCACCTCGTCAGACGAAAGGGAGGCTCTTGGCTCCGCTTTCGCTCCCCAAGTCCCCACTGATGCCGTGAGGAGTTCAGCCATGCACGCCATGGCACGCTCCGGCTTGGACTCGGATCCCTACGAAGCCGATTCTAAACTCACAAGAAAACTCCTGGACTTGTACTTCAACTATGTCAACTCATCCACATATGCTGTGTTCGCTCGGGAACCATTCATGAATTGGGTTACCAATTCTCAACCCAAGACGGCTGACGAGAAGCTTGTCATCTACTCGCTGTTGGTCATGGGTAACGTCTTCTCCACCGATCCCGAATGGCGTCGCACCGAGAAGCAGCTGCTTGATATCTGCAACTCTGGTTTGCAGAAGCGTGTCGGCAAGTTCACCGTCCACATGTGCCTCAGCAGAATGTATATCGGTTTGGCACATTTTGCTCGAGGCCGGCACGAGGAGGCTTGGGATTGGTGTGGCTCGTTCTTGAGGGCCATCAGCGCCTTGAAGCTCAACCTAGAGGAAGGCGTTGCCTGCGATGACAGCGAGAGTCTGTTTGGGTTTGACCGCAGGATGAGTGAGGAGTGCAAGCAGCGGACGTTCTGGGCTGGGTTCCTGATGGACGTACGTATCCCCGATCCATCACGTAGACAAGCCAAAGCTAACTATACACCCAGCGTTACAATGGGTTTTCGGGAGGCACGCTCTTTATGATCGACGCCGACGACGTCTGCGTCAGGCTCCCTTGCTCAAAGGCAGCATATGACGCAGGTCGGCCACTCGAGACGCCAATCTTTGACGGTGGTCACATCGAGGAACGAGCTCTTCTGAGAAACATCAGCCCGATGGGCTACCACGCTCTAGTATCCGCAATTTGGGGCGATGTGTGGATCTTCACGGCCCGTGCCGCACGCAAGCATGCAAGCATGCGATTGCACGAGTACAACCAGTTCTACGATCAAACCAACGAGCGCCTGGATGAGTGGCTCGCATGTCTGCCCCTGGAGCTCCAATACAACGAAAGCAACCTCTACTCGGCAATCAACGCCGGCTACGCGGGTACCTTCGTTGGCATGCATGCTCTCCACCAGGCAGCCATCATGCGACTCAATCGGTATGCGCGGCACTCTTCACTGCCCCCTCATATCCTGTCCCGCAACGCCTATCGAGCCAACGCCACGGCTCGAAACCTTCTTTGTAGGATTATTGCGCCTGTCACCGAATCAGCTCGCTCCCAGCGTCTCGGTCCGAAGCACCCTTTCGCCTTTGCTACACCATTCCCTGGTTATGCTGTACTCATCGCGACGGACATTCTGTCTGCAGGTGGGTTGGCTTCTGATATGGCCACCACAATTGAAGCCATCGGCAACGGATTGGAATGTGTGGACGAGATCGCATCCTTTTGGTGTAGCGCTCGCACGCAGAAAAAGGCTATTGAGACACGATTGCGCTTCCTCGCTTCGATCGCCATAGGTGAAGCATCGCGATTCAAAAAATTCGAAGGCCATGAAGTGTGGCGACTGGACAAGGCACTTGAGTCGAACTTTGCCGGTCGGGATGATGTCGTATACGGGGCGGACGACGAGACATTCTTTGCTGCACTACTCCACAACGACTTGGCGAGAAGAAGAGAAGTGGGGGCGTCGATGATGTTCTAGTTTTCGAAAAGAAAAAGCGCGTACTGGTTGCGCTGCATCATTACGCACTGTAACTGTGTTTCACTTGAGTACACGAATGAAAAGATAAATATAAGGGTATGGTATGGTAGGTATAGGGCTTGGGGGAACTATTCGGGACGGCTTTCCCTGGACATGATTCCTTATGGTATTGTTTTCCTTTTTTTTTTCTTTGACTCGCAGGATACGGTCATACTCACTTTTTTCTGTCCTGTACAACTGTATCCAGCGCTGAAAAGCCTAGGCGTTCTCTTACTCCAGTATATTGTAGATTAATTCACGGGATGGTGCGGTGAGGTTGCTAGGGGACATAATCAATCATTTCCAATCACGCTTTGTTGGCCATCTGGTGAAAAATCATGGTGGACATGGATGATTGAGCTGCAGAGCATATGCCTTTTGCAGTTCTGCTATACTTGGTTCAGCTATTGCAGTAGAAAATCCCTTGTACGGCATGCCAAAGTCCTCGGCATCCTCGATCTTGTCTCCTGAAGCGTTGCAATCCGCCCCAAACACCTACCACTTCGCTTCCCACATTTCTCCACTGATGTTCAATGGTCACGGCCTTCTAAGCAGAGTGCATCTACCCAGGTTCTCCTTGGGAATCTGCGGGCCGGCCAAGAATTGAACGTTAGGGACCGTTCTGCACATTGACTCAGTCTTACTTTCCCAGAAGCTGGCTAAAGTTGTCAGCCCCTTCCACGTCCCGGGCACGCGCCTCTCCGGGAAGAAGACAGTTCCGGTCCGGTCAGCGCAACAAGGCGCCTCGTCTCACACACGACGACGATAGCGGCGGTGGCAAGAGGGAGTCGTATGATTGATCGGCATGCGAGTCTCCCGTCGGAAAACTCAGTTCAGATACGCTTTTATTCTTGTTTTTCGTTGCCCGCGAATGTTTGGTCCTTGCTACACGTCTTCCGGTAGGGCTTCGAAGGTATTTTCCGAAGGTGGGATTGCACGGTGCGTGCAAGCTCACTTGGTAAGTTTCATATCGTCTGCAAGATGTGGACGCTACTTTTCTGAAAGGGTTCATGTAGCCATCAGCATCATGGATGTATGCTCGAACTACATCAACCTCTTGCTTATTTTCGGTTTGTATAACTGAATAGCAGCGTCATATGGAAGGGCTGCTGCTGTACACGATGGTGTGACTAAGTGAGATTGATGTCTCGGATGAGGACGCTGGCAACGGCGACACCAGGCCATCAATTGGGCAGTGCACCAGACATGGCATTGGTCACATGCAACCGCCACGTGGCATACCCTACCGATGATGCATGCCCCGGACTGTGTTGGCGAAACCCCGAGGCCTCCGCAACAGCATGAATTGACCAATGAACGCGGGCACTTCTCGATCATACTTTTCCCATTCGAGACACGACAAGACTGAAACTCCCGGCCAGTGAATTCCAGAAGAATCTTGGCTGCTGAAACGTTGCTTTCCGAAGCTGTTTTATTCCTCCATGAAGCTGACATCCACACTCGACCGTCTTCCACGCAACATGTAAGGGGAAAATGTCCTACAACCCATTGTGCCTATTGCGGTTCCTTGGCAGACAAGCCATTCCCATGGATGACAAAAGCAGTTAGCAACACAGGCAGCGGGCACTGAAAAACATAGGCAAGCTTTCGGATATTAACTTTTTGGCGCAAGGATCTCCGACGGGTGTTCAATCAGCATTAAACTTCCCGCAGCGCCGCCCAAGCTTGGGTATCGACGACGAGCCAAGGAAACGATGCGGGCAAACTCTCTTCCTACCCTACCTGGACCCCCCTCCCCCCCGGGCGCCCCATATCACGCACGGGCTCTAACCTTCATTCTGCCCATCAGATGTCGACGCCGGCTCGCCTGCCTTGTCCGCCCCATCATCGTCAGCTTCCGGACCCCTCCCCTGACGACAACCGGACCGGAATCCTGGGAGCTGCACGCACTGACTCGGGCTGGCGCCGCCTCCAAACAAACGCGCCGATGTACTGTCATATACTTTTAAACTTTCGTTTCCTTGTCCTCCCGTTCGCCTCTCCTTGGCTTCGTCGGCACACTAGCAAAAAGTTGCCGAACTTGCCGATGTCTGGGGTATGCGGCATCTCGATGGAATAGGTATAAGCTTATCAAGGTATGTACAATATCGTTCACGCCACAGTCGCCCCCCCGTCCGTCGCCTCGCAGCATGACGTGGGGAGGAAGATTGCAGCAAAAACAGGCAACTCCAACGGCACGAGATTAAAACGACCGGACGCACCCGGCAGCAGTCCTGGCGTCGTCTGCGGTTCCTCCGCGGCCAAGCGGGTAATCGGAGCGGCCGTATGCGATAGTAGAGAGTGGGGGTGGGAGTCTCGGGCTTCCAATCTGTTCCAACCCCCTCATCCTGTCTATTCTGGCGTGGCCGGAAATTTGCACGCCTTCCAGAACTCTTGAATCATTCGGCTGGTTTTTGCTTGAGACCTTGTCTCTCTCTCTGTGTCTCTCTCACTCTCTCCGTATGACTAGAAAGTGAAGTGCTGCGGCACAATACGGCCATTGCTTCGCAGCAAAAACGTACGAGAAGCAACACGAGGCACGCCTGTCGCTGAGAAACTCGGCCAAATTCACATCTAGCTTTGGCGACGGGGTGCCCGCGCCCAAAGGCTTTTTCTTGTCGCGTTACAGAATGGCTTGGCAGAGCATGGAGGAGTCAGAGGCGGGGAATCTGCAGCCACCAGGTAGGCGGCTGTGCTCTGTGTTTCGGTGCGACCACCTACGTAGCGGCCATGTGGCATTAAGGCGGGGGGTTTCTATGCTCGTGTTGACGGCCGATGCTTCTTTGCCGGCCCGCCGCTACTAGGAATAGATGGATTGGCCTGGCTGCCTGACCCTCCTTGTCTTCGTCCATCACATGCGGTTCTCCATGCCGAGGACACTTTTTTTTTTCCCTCTCCTCCTGAGCGCACGGAATAAAGTGGCATGTTGGACAAGATGGTATGTACAACGCACTATTGCCACGATGCTTGCTGCCACTATCGATGCTCGTAGGCAGGCACTAGCGTCTCGGCTCAATATAGCCGGCTTACCGTCACTCTCGGGTGTGTTGTGGCTGACGCGGCTGCAGTCTGTCCAAGGAAAGACATAGTAGCAGCCAAGAGTCTGTCTGTGCGTGTTACCAACGCTTTCCAAGGAACAGCGCATACCGCACCGAAGAGGCCGTTGCGATTGACCCTTAACGTCGGATGTGGGCGCGCATCGGCGATGCAGGGGACCCCTACTTGGGCAGGCGTTTGCTATACCGCGTCCTCAAGCGACCAGTAATTTCCTCATCCAGGCGGGTTCGGGTCAGGACTGAATCCATGCGGTGCGAATGGCGGAAGGTCCAACACGAGGGCGGGCCGCATCTTGAGCATAAAGGCAATGCGGGTTCTTGGGCAAAAGTTAAAACAGTAGAGAAAGGAGACGGGTGCAGGAGCGCAAATGTCATGCGTCGGCCCCTCATTCGCCCAGTGTCGGAGAGCACGACTCTTTCCATCGAAGATCCGGGTCTTGAGCCACGGGGCCATACCAACAGGTCATTTGCCGGGAGCGAGGATCGTCGGTAACCCTAAATCTCGAACGTACAATGACCAGAATTGCCGACGACGCCATCTCGCCTTCCGCTCTTCCCGCAGACCCAGCCGTTTGCCTGCCCATCGCTCCGCACAGACTCGGGGTGTTGGAGCATTCTGGACGCTGTGTCATTGGAAGAGGGCTGCTGTGTAGGGAGGGTCCATGTAGAATCGATGCCCCTTGTCGTGTGCACGACTCGTACCCGGCCACCGTTGCTCCCGTAAGCGCGTCGGAAGTGCCGAAAGGAGCGAACGCGAAGCTGCCCACAGCTGGGCACAGCTGGGTAATCGGCAGCTGGCCACCGTTCTTTCCCGCTCTTGTGTCCATCTCCGCGCGGTTCCAACCGGCGTTTTCCTGGACATCGTCGGGCTGAAGCCAACATCACAGCATTTCGAGCTGTGTCAATCACGGGCTCTGACGTGGCGCCCCCAGTGCAACGGCATGGATTCCGCGGACCGAGGGGCATGGCGTACCTGATCCGGGAGACTGAACTGGTCCCACGGTTGCCTTCAACAATCCTTTGGCCCTGCCGTCAAGTATGTTTCCCCACTCCAAGTAGACATGAACTTGAGATAAGCGAGTGGACGTACCTCTATTCGATACCCGAACAGTCTCCACTGGCCTGGTCAGTCATCAAAGCACCTTGGTGTCTGCCATCGTGGGTCTTGACGACGAATCCACCACCGGCGTCAACGCATTGCAGGAAGCCCGCTGGAGCACCATTCCAGATGCAAGCATGTGCATTGAACCCTATCGAAATTCTCGTCTGTCGAACAATCCAGCTTCGTGCCGCCAATGCAGCCACCTAACAATACCCGAACGCCCGCTTTGAACGCAGCAGACCCGACCCAAGTCCAACCAGCCAGTGAATGCAATTAGGACGCCGCCCGGAGTCCATCCCATGCTTTCTTTTCTCTCTCTTTTTTGCGCCCATCTCTTCACTCGTTCGCCGCGTTGCCGTTCATCTCGGCGTCCTTATCCTCACCGCCTGCCAAGACTTTCGTCTGCGGCTGATGGGGACCGCCTGGACCGGGACCACCGCCGGGCGTCACGGCTACTACCTCGCCCTTCTCGTCGACAAACTCGAAATTGTAGCGGGAGAGGAGGTGGGGGATGGCCGAGAGCTGGGGGCCATAGCGGGCGGTGTTGTCGTACAGCTCGAACAGCGGAACGGCGAGGAGCTTCATGTTCTTGGGGACGGAGAGAACCTCTGCAGACATGTGTCAGCTTCCCGGAAGGGTTGCGGGGGCGGGGGCGGAGATGAGGGCGATGACATACTGCTCCGGGGCAGCTGGATGAAGTACAGCTTCTTGCACTCCTTGGGGCGGGTGACGTGGGCGGGGATGAAGGGGTACATGAAGGTCTCGAAGTTGGGGCGCCACCACTGGGCCAGGGTGTCGCCAATCTGCCACTCGTCGTTGACGCCCTCGCCGGTGAACTGCGAGCCGACGGGGGCGAGGCGCTCGTTCAGGCGGGCCTTGAAGCCGTCGATCTCGGGGTCCTCGGGGCGCAGGTAGTCGCCGGGCAGCTTGAAGAAGGCATTGGCGATCTGCAGCATCAGGATGTGGGGGTGGTTGTGCTCGTGGCAGACGAGGATGCCCTCGCAGGTGCGGCGCATGCCATGCTCGTTGTAGTGCTCCTCGAGGCGCTTCAGGCGGGCCAGCACCGAGGGGTCCTCCTCGGGCTGGTTCTCCTTGGTGCCGAAGGTGTAGTTGCTGAGCGGATACAGGCGAATCGTCTGCGGCTGGTTCGCGTTGAACTCCTTGGGCAGGACGGGGCTGCTTGGGTTCAGCAAGGTGCACGTGATGAGCAGACTGGAGTGAGACGCACGGGTACGAGCTCTGGAGAGCGCTTTGCGTGATGGTCGACATGGTGTGGTGGAAGGCGCAAGGTGTTGTTGCAGGAGTTGCGGGAGCTGTGCGGTCGCTGCAGCCGCAACTGCGCCATGATTTGCCCGACCCTGGCCCGCCGCGCCGATCGCCGGCCCTTCGTTCCCCGTCGCCGTCACGTCCGTCCTCACACCTGCACATGCCAACAATCCAATCGACCCATTGCATGCGGCGGGTAGGTTGCTGATTTCACATTTCACAAAAACATCCTAGCTCAATTGCTCAAGAAGGCAAAGCTCCTGCGATACATTCAATCTACCCAGCTAATTACGCCTCAGTGCCGCCGTTCTCTCCGTAGATGGAAGCCGCGCTCCACGTGTAGTTGGCGGTCAGGTCAACGCCCATGGCAACCCAGGCAAAGATTCCATCCTCGACGCTGTCACCCAGCATCATGTAGTCGAACACCGGGTCGCTCTCAGTCTGCGTCTCAATCGCAAACACCCTGTCGTCCGCGTTCTCGACAATATCAATCGTGTTCTCCGTGTAGGGCGAGACGTTCGTGTTGATCTCCGAGATGAGGTCTTGGTCGAAGAACAGCTGTCCGATGTGCGTGACGTTGCCGCCCGTGAGCGTGCCGTTGCCCAGCTCCGACGCCCCGCTGTGCGTCACCACGTGGATGTGCGTTGCGCGCCCCGAGTAGTGGCCCGGGAAGACGGTCTTGAAGCTGGCCACGCCATCCTCGTCCGTCTTCGCGATGCCGCGGAGGAAGGTCTTGTTTATGTTGGTCAGGTCTTCCTCGTTTCCGTTGCCCGATCCGACAACGCCCGCGTACACGCCCGTGGCGTTGCAGCTGTTGGGGTTAGCAAATTCGCTCCAGAATCGGCCGAGCCCATGTGACTTACTGCCACAGGTCCCAGTACAGGTCCGTGATCGGCTCGCAGGTGTTGATGTCGATGAACTGGCCATCAATGGAGACGGGAACCCCAGGCTCATCCTCAGTAATGTCCTCCCGGATCAGCTCGCCGAGAACGTCTTCAAATGGGTTAGCCCCTTGCTGGAATGTGCCTCAAGCGGAACAGCACTCACAGTACGGCCCAATCTCGCCCTCGGGGCTCAGGACACAGGAAGTGTTTTGGAAGATCAAGTCCTCAAACCCAGGCATATCAGGGGAAGCCGTCAGGTTGGACAGGTGGCTGGAGTTAGCGACCTGCGCGCCCCAGTCGGTGAGGGTAGCATCGTCGCCGGGAGCGCCGCTCGGAGTGGCCGCGGCACCGCTAGAGGGAGTGGAAGCCGCGATGGCACGCTTGGCCTCTATTCGACCACGGACGTCAGCAAACTGCCTCAAGGTTGCAAGGGAGAGAAAGCGCACTCTTCTTGGCCGCAACCTCGGCCTTCAGCGCCTGCACCTTCGTGCTGCGGCGCTCAATGGCACGCTGCTCGACTCCACGAGCCTTGAGCTTCTCGGCGCAGTGAGACAGATCGCGCGGAGCATGCTTGAGATAGGCAGCTCGCGCAGCAATCTCATGCTCAAGGCTGTGCCCTGCGTGTGCTGCCACTGGCTGTGCCGCCAGAAAGGCCGCGACGAGGGTCACTGTGCTGCGGAATTGGACCATGGTGTTGACTTCAGAGTGTCAGGAATGAATGAAAAGCTAAGAAGAAGATCAAGGGCGGTAATGATCATTACGACTCCATCTTTGAGGAACCTTTATACTAAAACCGCGAGCTCTGATACTCAAGTCGTCAACAGCACTCAGCCTGAATCAACAATGGTGTACGCAAGCTGTGTCGCTGCCAAGAGTGGACCTAGAGGTCAAACGAGGCCAGAATTCTACTGCCAAGACGCCCGTGTGCTTGTATGTACGCAAGCATCTGCGCAAGCAAACCAGGAACAGGCTACGATTATCCTTCGGCCACGGAGAAACGTGCAGGGAAAGGAGTGGTTCATAATGCGGCAGTGCTGATAGGCTAGGCGGCTACGTATTGCCGGGATCTGTGGGGCAAGCGGCTACTGTGTTTCCATGTCCGTACCCTACGGATACGAATAGTCACCTTCCATTTTGCTTGCAGAACCTCCTCACCAGAGCCCCGGTTTTCGATCCATCACGCAGCGTTTGAGAATGACGGTTCGACCAAAGGAACCCCGTCGCTTCCCTGTTGTTCCTGGAGCCTCGATCTGAGCTCCAACATGACTCCGATTTAGCTGGTTGCTGCTTCTAGAATGGCGGCTTCTCAACATTTGCCAGATGATGCGTCACTCAGGGTGCGGCCAAACTGGGAAACGCAAGTCAACATGGCAGCGGTGTGCGTAATCAGCGCACACGCCCCATCATTTTGCGGGGATCTTGGGTCTCACGGAGCGCGACGACTCCGTGACAAGAGCAGGTGGACGCGCGCCTTTAGGGTACTTGCAAGGCTTCTGTTGGCTGTTGCATAGTGCCAAGACCAGGCCGTCAACCAATGGCACGTCATCGGAAAAGCATGACCGTGTTTTTGACTTCTGGAGCTGCACTAAATAGAAGCTTCGGACATCTGGGACCAAGATATGCTTAAGGCCGAAGCTTATGACCGAGCTCAACATCTGAGCGTATTCTAAAGAACAACGGTAATTTGAAGCAATTATCTGTGATGTCTGATCGAACTATGTCGCAGATATATTAACAGAAGTTTTGGATCTCGAAAACCCTTTGAAAGCGCAAAGTTGTGGCTCTCTGCACGCAATGTGGTTCGGGGATTGAGTAAAGGAAGGGTTTATCTCCGAGGTGAATACTCCCAACGCCGAACACAAAAAGTAGGTGAAAGTTGTTTTGATAGCCATTCAGAGGGCCGCGTTCGCTGCTGACACCTATTCTGAAGACGAGGGACTGGGTCGACGTGACAGCGAGAATCATAGAACTTCCTCAATAGGAAATTGGACAGAGATTAGTCTCGCATGAGGTAGGTTTAAATGTCTGTCTCCAAACATGTGCTCAACGCATCAAACAGGTGCAGTACACAGTCAGTCGTAGTCCGTACGTAGTTCGGCAGTTGGACAGCTCGATACTTGGATTGCTTGGTAATGCTTGCATCTGGCGCCAAGTGCAGAGGCCCACCACACGTCCCTTGCAGGTGCTGACGCGTTCGCAAGTCAAAGATGGTCGATTTTGAGATTCAGATAAAGTAGAATGGGCCGACGGGTCAGAATGCAGGCGATGCGATTGTGACTTTATTTGTTTATTACGTCACACATGGCCCGTACTATTTTCTCATATACACAACTCAAGTGAAGATATTATTGTCTGAAGGGTCGAGATCGATGGTTAGATCCTTCCCAATGCGGCTAGCGAAGGTTTGAAAGGGTGAACATCGGCAGAGCGGCAGACTGTCCAATTCGAGCCCATGTCACGTGAGGTGGCGGTTGATGCCTGCGCTAGCTCGTTGGTGCCTACCTGGCCCCACGTGAGGCGTCAGTACGGACACTCTCTTAACGTGCTCGCTGCAACATTACAATACCTCACTTCGACACCATGGGCCCGGGTATTCTCCAGCTCCCAGAGGAGCTCCGCTGCAACATTGCCCACTGTCTTGAACGGGAGGACATTTGCTCCTTGAGACTCGCCTGCAAGCAACTTCATGCTGCGGCCACGCAGTCTTTGTTTTCATTTGTCCGCCTTTACCCTTATGTAGAAAGCATAGGCAGGTACAATGCGATTCTGGAGCATCCCGACTTCAACAGCCATGTGCGACACGTAGAGCTCAACACACTCGACGCGGACGAGGTATACCCACGCCCCTCTCGAGATGGACGTAGCACTAAGACATGTGCAGGAAGAAACCGAGATGTCGGGGGAAGCGGAGCTCGAGGAAGATTGCCTTGATGCTTTCAAGGCCTTCAGGAAATTCCCCAACCTCACCGGCGTCACTCTCCGCTTCTCCAAGCACGCCACCTCGGGTAACAGCTGGCAGGGCTTCGGCCACTGGCCGCAATGGACGGAATGGCCAGAGACGTACGAATTTCGCCAGCCCATCCTAAAGAACTTCTTCAAGACGCTGGCCCACCCCTCCGCTTCGAAGATCAAAGACGTGTGCATCGACAACATGCAGAACATGAACGATGGCAAATTCATGAAGTCAGAAACGGCTTTGAAGGTGCTGTCAAGACTTACTGCGTTGCGACTGTACATAGCCACCGAGGACCACGAAGGTGCTCCCGAAAGCAACCTCGAAATGGAAGAGTAAGTTCACCTCGCCTGACTAGATTCAGCCCACTGATCCGCGGCACAAGGCTTCACGTCTTCATGGCAGAGCTCAGACCTCTCTGGCTTGAGCCTTCAGCCAGCAACCTGACGACGCTTGTCCTCTACCAGGATTTCTATTTTGGATACAGTCCAAAGCTAGATCTCCGGGGGCTGCATATCCCAAACCTTCGCACACTCGCACTCGGAAATTACGTCTTCACGCACGACTGGCAGCTGGAGTGGCTGGCCAGCCATTCGTCCTCTCTTGAGAACCTGTACCTTGACGACTGCATTGTGGTGTTTTACGCCAAACACTACGACTGTGATACCGATTCGGACGGCTATCCAATCATCCAACCCAGCAGAGCCACGGGACGCGGACCCCGGACACGCGAGTACAGGTTCATTGATCAAAGGTGAGCTCGACTGTTCTTTCCTGGCCCGAGTAACACTGACATTAAACCGTACCCAGCTGGTCCCGCATCCTCGACCACTTCCGCACCCACCTCAGCTCCCTCCGCCACTTCCGCATCGGCACATCCACGCGCTGGAGAGGGCGCTACGATGACCGCCATTACTTCCACCCGGCCGAATACGAAGACCTCAGCATCGGCCTCTACAACGACCGGTACATGATGTTCGACATGGGCGTTGGCCCTTGCCAGTACACCGACTACCAAGTCAACATCCCCACGCCCGGTGGGCCGCAGTTCTCCGAACACGACGGAAAGGGCACAGCGGACGGCGACAAGGCGTATGCTTTCTTGGAGAGGCTAAAGGGGCAGGATCGCGAGGACAGGGACGCGCTGGTGCAGCTGCTGAACCACATCAGACAGCCGCTGCCGGCAGACACGGACGACGTGAAGGATTTGATGGGGAGGAAGTAGCCGCGGCCGGATTAAACTGTCACAATATAATTCGCGTCTAGACGATCAGTGCCCAACCCCACGGCTCGCTGCGCTGCGCTGCGCCGCGCCGCGGCCGACGTACCCGCAGCAGGCAATACATCTACAAGATCCTATCCGCCCAGCCTTTCAGCCCCCTCTTCTCCACCGTCACCACCTCCTCTCCCCCCTCCCCGACCGGCACGCTCTCGATCTCCGACCCGTCATACAAGCCCATGGCCTCGTACACCTCGTCCGGCAGCACCGCGCGCTCGATCATCGTCTCCCGCGGCACAAACGCATACTCCAGCGCCAGATACGTCACGCTCGTCCCCACGAAACCCAGCAGCCACCCGAACTGGTACGGGCGCGCGCCCACGCCGACCTCGATGTCCGCGTTGATGCTGTTGATGAAGCCGGGAAGATTCGGCGCCACGCCGACCAGAAACGCGGCCACGGCGCGCCAATTGACGCCGGCGGTGTAGCGATAGATGCCCGCGGGCTCGTACAGCGCGCGGGTGTCGTACCTGCGCGCGTGCACGACCCAAAAGTCGAACAGCATGATGGCGGCGATGGGGCCGAGGAAGACGGCGTAGGCGCTCATGAAGTTGAGGAAGCTGCCGGCGGAGGCGAGGATCTTCCAGGGGACGAGGGCCCAGGCGAGCACGGCGCAGGCGAGCTGGCCGCGGCGCAGGTCGACGAAGCGCGGGAACAGCGCGGTGAGGTCGTTGGCGGCGCTGAGCGAGTTGGCGCTGATGTTGACGCCGAGCGCGGCGAGGGCGAAGGCGAAGGCCGCGAAGAAGCGCGCCGCCCGCGAAGGCCACTGCGCCACCAGCGCCATCGGGTCCCACAGGTAGGCGCCGCCGTATTTGGCGGACCCGGCTGCGGACGCGGCGATGCCGATGAAGGCGATGAAGGTGAAGACGAGCGGGAGGAGCGGCACGTAGAGCAGCTGCCACTTGACCGAGACGCGCGAGTAGCGCGAGAAGTCGGCTTGGTTGACTGACAGCGTGGCGTAGTTGCCGATGACGGACGTGAGGTTGGCGAGGAAGGCCCACGAGTAGGCGGCGCCGTGGATGGTGGGCTTTTGGTCCCATATGTCGGTGCCCTTGGCGGTGATCAGGGCCCAGATGAGGATGGCGATGAAGGCGATGGGGACGATGATGGATTTGGCCATGAAGAGCCAGCGGAGATTGTTGGGGTGCATGTAGAGGAAGGGGACCTGGAGGAGCCAGAAGATGAAGAAGGCGATCATCGTGTTTGTTTCGATGCCTTCGTCGGCGGGGATGTGGTTCGGGAGGGTGAGGAAGGACGGCCAGATTGCGCCGAGCCTGCGGGCATCAGCAACGCCCAGCATACGAGGGTCTCCGGTTCAGGGAATGCTCACATTACTCTGACCGTGTTTGCTCCGTTCATCGTCTGGATGGCGAACCAGAAAATTGCAAGGATGACTCTGGAGATGATTGCAATGTAGGAGCCCCAGAACCCCCAGCTAGCACGTGCGAGGACTGGAAAGGGAGCATGATGAATTACGCCTGTTGCGCCATTGAGGGCGATGACCCACGATATAATGAAGAATGCCAAGGCCACGATCCCGAGCGATTCTCGCCTGGATGTGTGTCAGTGTCGAACATGGGGCCTGCTAAATAGGGGCCGCATAATGGGTTACAGAGATTTTACTCGTCAGTGTACCACAAAGACATTGCTTTCTTCTCACAGAGGCAGCTGAAGGCAATGTCGGGATGTGATTGTAGACTTTGAGATTCTACTGAAACATCCTGACATAGCCTCCAAATACCCCCCGTAAGTGGATGCAATGGTCGTTGTAAACAGTCTGAGGAGGAGGGTAAAATCTGTAACCGCCGTGGCCGGAGAAGCGCGTACCAGGTGAGGCCCACAGCAATGATAGAGGATGCGAATTCCCACGTCGCCGCGCTGCAGAGCCGGTCAACCATTTGCTATTCTTGTCGCTCTTGCTGCTTCAACGTATGCGTACTTGAAAGCGTCGGATATCCAATATGCGATGAAGGAGGTGACGCCCCATTTTCGGGCGTGTTTGGGAACGGGGTCGAGGTCGACATTGGTCCTACATCAACAAAAGTCAGCCGCCTTTTCCAGCACACATGCTCTTACGAGACAAGCCAGACTTACCACCTTGCGCTGCCCTCGGCAAACTGAGACTTGGCCTGCTCAACGTGGAGCTTCGGTCTCCTGAGCTTGAAGCCCATGGTGGCAACAATGTAGAAGAATCAATGCCGAAGAAAGACGGAACGGCGTCCAAGCTGACGGGCTTCGCGGGGGCGGCTAAGCTTGTTATAATTTGGGGACGTGTGCTGCTTGTGCTACCCTTGTCACTTGCCAGCCCGTATCATGCCGGCAGCTGCAATGCGATAGCGATAAGAAAGCTCGAAAGATGGGGCTCGCCGCTAGGTAAGCGGCTTGCCCGAAACATGCATCATCGCCTTGCTGATGGCCAATGGCGAACTGGAGACGCCGGACGTCCGGGAAATAGTGAGCATTCCACGGCTACGGGCGTGGAACTTTCGACGAGCCGCATTCCAGACGGTGGTGCAGGACACAGTCGCGTCCTTATCTATCTTGTATCGCGGGTCTGACCACGCCCTGAGTCGTGAGCCCTGACGTCGACCATCTTTAAACCTAATCGGAACGTCACAGCGCGCTCGTCGCTCCTGCCGAGGGGCTGGAACGGGTCTGGCAGCCTTCAGCCGGTTGGGTTTCAAGATGGCCGACCGTCGAGAGTGAGCGACCTGCAGATAAGAGACGTGAGCACCCAGCCAATCAGACGACGCTGTCCGCATCCCTGACACTGACATCTGGGGAAGTTCCCGCTCGCCCTGGAGCTTGGAAGCTACCGGCCCGCTTTTGCAGTCGTCCGGGGAGCACCGAGCGGTATGAAATCTATGGAATTCTTTTGTCGAAATGACTGCTAGCTCTGAACATGCGGACAACCGGGTGAGTCGGGCTTACTTGTGACCAATCCTCTACTCCTCTTGACATGAAATAACACCTGAAAATGACCGTTACCCCGTCGCATCGACTATGAATCGCATCCCAGTTACCCGTTTTCCAATGCGCCTGAACTTGGTTACGTACAATGGAGGCATTCTGAGCAATCCGACCTCCTTTGGGTATTCTGCGCTGCTCTCTTTGCGACCAATGTCAATCAATATCTCGAACCGTTTTCTGCTTCACTTCACCCGTACACTCTTCCGGGGCTTCCATGGCCCGAGCTTCTCCGGTTCCTCTCGTACAGCCAGCGGCTCGTCAGAGCAACCGAAGGGCCCTTGCCACCGCCGAGGGGAGTGGGTGTGCCAGGAATCGCCATCGAAGTGTCCTTGCTCGTCTCCTTGCCCAGACTCTCGTACAGCTCCCAGCCACTAGCACCAGCCGACTGAGAGCTGGAGAGACTGTTCCTCCTCCGTCCACCAACCGCCTTCTGCAGCAGGGGACTCGTGATGGGGCTGAAGGGGCTCGATGCCTCGCGGAAGCCAAGGCTGGACCCGAACGGGCTACCGTAGTTCGGGGATCCCGTCTGCAGCGGCCTGTCGCTGCTGCGCGGCGTCGCGGAGCGGGCGTAACGCGGCGGTGTCACTATGGAGCCGCCTGGGGTCGACACTCGCGGGTCCAGGCCGAGGAGAGCGCGCTGCGAGGCGCTCAGCGGGATGTCGGCAACTTCGTCCTGGGTGCGGAACAGAGGCAGGAGCGTGACAGAGCCGTTGATGGCGAGCACGACGCGGGTGAGCCAGATGATGTACCTGATGCTAAGGAAGGGGACGTCTGCGATCGCTCTGGGGTGCAGATCCATCCGTTAGCTTCTGGTGCGCACATGTCGGTGGAAACGGAGCATGCTCACGCATCGGCGAACCAGGCGGGTGTGAAAGCGGTGACGGCGAAGGTCAGGAAGAGGAGACAGGCGGTGGAGAAGAGACTCTTGGCCTGGTCCTCGCCGAAGGCACTGGCATTCTGGCGCCGAGTGATCTCCTCGAACTGAGGATGGCGCCAGGTGCCGGTGCCGGGGGCGGAGCCGGCGACAGCAACGGTAGAGCTGGCGGGGGTGACGGGCGCGGACATGGCGTTGAGTTTTCGCAAGCGGGCGGAGGCGGGACAATGGCGTCGTGGAAGCGAGCGGAGGTCGGGACGGATGTGCTGGAGCTATGCAGTTAGTGGTCAGTGGTGTTGGGCGTGGCTGTCACCACGCGGTCGTGGGCGCCGGTGGTCGATGCAGGCGCGCGGTGCAGTGGCTCTGGCGGCCGCAGCCGGTGTTGATTGTTTTGGTGACAGCAGATCCCTGTCGCTCCGGAGCCCGCTCTGGGCGAGTCGGTGCTGTAACCCCATGCGCAGTCTCGTCACCATCTTCACACCCCTCAGCGTCTGGCTATGTGCAGAGCGGGGCTGTATTTAGAAAGCGACGAGCTCTCCCCAGCTCCCACGCGACTGTCTGATCCATTGGCCACCGACGTCAAGAGCTGAAGCGCGTCGCGTCGTCGGCAATGCGCCGCCTCGGCTCTACGACTTCACCCCACTGCCGCGCCCAAGCTCCAGCCCGCATCACCAAACAACTCTTTGCGCCCGAACAATCCTCTCGCAGTCAATCACGCCACCATGCTTCTTCTGGGCCTGACCGGATCCATTGCGACCGGTAAATCCACCGTCTCGAACCTGCTGCGCAGCCCGCCCTACAACCTCCCCATCGTCGACGCCGATGTCGTCGCCCGCAAAGTCGTCGAGCCGGGTACGCCGGGCTACCGCGCCATCGTCGAGTACTTTGGCCCCACCACACCCGATCTGCTGCTGCCCGCCTCTGATCCTATTTGCGGTGGGAAGGAAGATGGCCCTACAGGCAAAGGGCGTCCTCTAAATCGGCCAGCCTTGGGAAGGCGCGTGTTCGGCGCTGGCGACGAGCACGGGCGCGATCGCAAGGTGTTGAACAGCATCGTGCATCCCGCCGTGCGCCGAGAAATGTACAAGCAAATGCTGTGGGCCTATTTGCGCGGCCATTGGGCGGTGGTGCTGGACATCCCGTTGCTGTTCGAGAGCGGATGGGAGAGGTACTGCGGCTCCATCATGGTCGTTGCCGTCAAGGATCCGGAGATTCAGATGCAGAGACTGAGAGCCAGGGACCCGCACCTGAGCGAAGAGGACGCGAAGAACAGGGTCCTGAGCCAAGGCGACAGTAGGGAGAAGGCCGAGAGGGTGCAGCGAAGGGGAGAGCATGCCAGTGTTGTCATCTGGAACGACGGCGACAGAGAGGAGCTTGAGAAGCAAGTCTCAAAAGCCATGGCCGATATGAGAAGCCGCAGTCCTCGTTGGTGGGCGTGGCTTCAGCTGTTCTGCCCGCCGCTTGCCGCCCTCACTGCTTTCTGGAGCTTCTGGAGGATGCGGCGCGTACAGCTCCAGTGGGAGCACGAGAAAGCGCAAGAGAAGGCCAAGCTGTGAAGAGGGTGTATAGTACGGGCGAATGTGTAAGGTCTTTCACGTTGGGTAGAATCTCTCGTATCCCAGTAGCTATACCCATTGTCATCATCGAGCACTGGTAAGCGGGCATTGAGCATTGACATGGCGGCAACCACTGGTGAAGGCGCAAGACTGCGGGTTGCATAAGGTTCAGTTCAGATGCGGTATCAGCAAGCACTCGTTTCAGCCATGTCGATGCTCGTACTTGATACAAGAGTGCATGCGGCGGCACTTGGCTCCTCACTTTCCTTCCAAGGGACCTCACTCAGCTGTAAACTTGCGCGAGAGCGGCACCTGAGCCGCGGCTGATGGGCGTTCGCCGCCGAGCAACGCAGGTGAGGCCGGGTTTTCAGGGTCCAGTGCTTGCCTATTTCTATCACCCCCCTTCCACCCCTCAACTCTACATCCGCACCCATCTTCTTCTTTCTTGTGACGCACCTGCGCCCAAGTCCTTTTCGCCCTCTGCTGTACCACCAGCTGTCGCTCTTTCCCGCCACCATGGCGCCGATGAGCCTCATTGACGACTCGGACGAAAATGTCGTCTTCTCGCGTGGTGGCTTCACTACCAGACGCCCCGACGTGACAGCTGACAGCTGCAATGGACGTCATGAGCTGAACAATGGCCAGAAATCCGAGGCTGCTGTTGGCTACGTCGTTGACACTGAGGATCACAGCACCTACCGCCCCTCGCGTCCCCAGGTCGGTCCTCCCAGCTTCATTGACGACTCCTCTGAGGTTGGAGTTCGCAATGCCGACAGAAAGAGCTTGTCTCGTCACAAGGATACCAAGACGCAGTTCGAGAACCCCGATCCTGGTGCAGAACAGGCATACAAGTCGCTCGTGAAGAAGGTTCAAAACGCTCGCAAGAACGGCTTTGTTGAGTTCGAGGACGGAAAGTGGAGGTACGACCTGCAATTCGTCCGCGACGGCAAGACGACGAGCCTGCTTTCTAACGCAGTCAGCTCTAGCTCGGCCAAAAATGCCAGTCTTCCTTCGGTATTGTCTATCACCTCACTTCACGTTCAACTGACCCAAAGACGGCAAAGGCTTGAACCTAACCTGCAGACAGGGCAACCCCAAGCAGGCCGAAATTCCCCAGAAGCGCACTGTTCCGGCTAGCCAGGATACGCCCGCTGCACACCGCATCGAGCTTCGTGGCAACCAGAAGGCCTCCATTGCCAACCATGTCGGCGGTATCCCCTTCCCGACTGTTCCCCGCAAGCCCAAGGTTATCGTTGCCCACGAGCTCACCGATGAGGAGCGCATCTCCAAGCCGACTGCCTTTGTTGTTTCACCCAACCATTGTGGCCAGAAGGAGGACATTCCGCGTTTCGGCTTCCTGATCCCGGGTGCCAATGGCAAGATTCGTCTTGTCAACAACTCCAACGGCTCCGTTCTCACCTATCGTGGAGCTGAAGCTCGCCCATCTCGTGCTGTCGATGTCACCGCCACCCCTGTTGCCCAGTCTCCGGGCCCCATCAGTCGCGCTAATTACCAGGCTCCGACTGTGGAGTCTGTCTCTGACTCTGGCGACCTCGGCGGCCTGTTTGACTGAATCACCAAATTCTGACCATCAAGAAGCGCAAGAACAAAGTCACGGGCAAAGTCTCTGAGGATACTGAGGCCTTTTACACTTTGCTGAACTTTTCTGATAACGATGGCGTTTCAGGATGGGACGAATATGTCGGGTTTGCGGATAACACTGCTTGTTAGTGTTCTAGGTTGCACTTGATGCTACGGCCATAATTTTTCTAGTCCACGAACGGCAAGGCCAGGATACAATTTAATTTGTGTTTGTTGCGGATGTAATTTTCGTGATATACTTCACAGTGGATGGTGAAAGAAATTGGTTCACCTATATGCAAAGTGGAAACCATTATTTTGTTCTTAGCGTCTCTCGTCTGCCCAGCCAGAGTGAAGTCGTAGCCAGTCAGTTCGTTATCCTGCCATTGCACGCTATCCAGATCCATCTAAAATTCCATGTTCTCCAGCGCTTTGGTTGATATGGAGTTGGAGGCGAGCGCTTCAACCATCCACTTCTTGCGCCGACATGGATTCGCTCAGAGCTTCGTAGCCGCCTTTCCATTTTTCCAGCCACTCACCATGCGTTGTTTATCCAAGGTCCTCCATCCGCTCGGCCCCTCCTCCAGCCCATTTGCTTTGCCTGCCGGCCTCTCCCTCCACCTCCACGCCTTGACGTACTCCGAGTCCTTCTTCCCCTCAATCACCTCCACCACCTTACTCCCCAACACCGGCAAGAACTTGAACCCATGCCCGCTGCCTCCGCTGCACACCATCAACCCCTCGGTCCCCGGGATGTAATCCACCAGGAAGTCATTGTCAACACTATCCGTATACCAGCACAGCCTCGCCGTCTCGATCGGCAGCGTCAACAGCTCCGGCAAGTTCTCCTCGCAAAACCTCTCCACAACCTCCATCGCCTTCTCGGGCACCTCGCCCGCCCCCGTCTTCGGAAACGACACCTTCCTCACCGTCGTCGTCGTCTTCTTCCCCTCCCCCTCCCCCTCTCCCTCCCCACCCCGATCATCCCCACCCCCCACAAAATTCGTCCACTTCGCCCCCCTAAACCCAAACTTGACCACCCCCTCCTCCGTCCGCGGAAACCCGTACAACCCCCCCACGCTCGTCCGCGGCTCGCCACCGCCACTCCCGCCATTATACCCCGCCATCTTCCAGCTCCACACGGGGAACGCGTCCGGCGCGAACTTTTCCCACAGCTCCGGCCGCTCCGCGCGCGGGATCCGCACCGTCAGCACGGTGCCGGCCGTCGTCTCGAGCAGGTCGTGGATGCCGGACCTGGGCGCCGCAGCGCCCAGCGCGGCGGGCGTCCAGCCGCCGCAGGCGATGATGACGAGGGAGGCGGGGTGGGTGGGGGTGGAGGCGGTTTGGATGCCCGTGACGACGGGGCGAGGTGACGTGGCAGTGCCGGTCGAGGGAGAGGGGGAGGGTGAAGAAGACGTCGCGAGGTGCAGGCGGACGAAGCGGTGCGCGGGGCCGAGGCGCAGCTTGACGCCGGCGCGGGCGCAGAGGTGCAGGGCCCAGGCGCAGGCCTTGCTCGCGAGGACGTAGCCGCCGGTGGTGTCGAGGACGCCGTCGAGCGGGAGGTTGCGCGCGCGGCGGCCGAAGGGGTCGAGCTTGGTGGGGGGGATGCCGGCGGCGGCGGCGCGGGCGGGGCCGGAGGGGTCGAAGGATGATGGAGAAGGCAAGATGTGGTATTGGGTGTGCTTGATGCTGGGCGGGAAGTTGGCTTGGGTGGTGGCTTCGTGCTCGTCGAGGCCGTGGTCGCTGAGGCGGAGGAAGCCCGACGGGTGCCAGATGGCGGTTGTGGGGGTGAGGCCCGGGGGCAGGGGGGAGGTGGTCGAGGCGATGGCCGCGTTCCAGGCCTCCCAGTGGGGGATGGCGGAGAAGGCGAGGTCCTGGTAGATTTTGCGGTCGCCGTACGAGGCGCGGAGGATCTTGTTCTCGTCGGCGCTGGCGGCGTCGCAGCCGGCGGCGGTGGAATAGCCGTTTTCGTGGTAGGGCTGGTAGTCGAAGATGCTGGGAGGGTGGTTGATCAGATGGGGTGGCGGCGCTGGTGTAGGGGGGGAGGACTTACGTTACGTCTTTGTACCCGCTCTGGGCCAGGTGGAGGGCGGTGGAGAGTCCGAAGACACCAGCGCCTACGATGGCGATGGGTTTGCAGTACTTCAGCTCTTGCTTCTCGCCCTCGGCCCGCGGCGCTCCCTCCATGTTGTGGTTCTTGTCCTCGGGCAGCTTGTACTTCCATCTCTTTTCCAGGTCGGGGTTAAGTTTCCCTTCAAGCATATCCACGACCCGGTCTCCCAGGACGCAGAGGAATTTCCATCCATGAGCGGATCCGCCAGTGACAAGGGCGAGGTGTTTGATGGTCGGGTGTCTGTCGACCAGGAAATCGGACGTCGGTGTGTTTGTAAAGAAGCATAGCTTGGTCCTGTCGAAGGGCTGCTCGGCGAGCGGGGGGAACAGCTCGGCGAGATTTGCTCGTAGACCTGCTTCGGCGTCTGCGGGGATGGGGCTGGGCGAGTCTGGAGGTGCCGAAACCTCGAAGCTCCTACCAGATGCCGAGTCGGTCACTGTCCTGGTGTTTGTGTAGCCAGGAGAGCGCCGCAGGCACTTGATCTCTCCGTTCAGCGGCGGGAAAATGTTGAAACCGGTGGTGAAGTTGGTGGTGATCTATACGGAGTGAGTTCTCGACCTGCGGGCTAGGGGAGGAAGTGAATTTCTACCGGCATGTTTTTGTACCGCTCTTCCATCTCGGGCGAAAGCTTCAACCAAGCCACCTCGTGTCCAGTAGAAGTCATCTGGTCTCGCAAGTCAAGCAAGGTATTCGTCCAGGCCCCAGTAGCCAGGATGACCAGTTCGGCGGTCAGCTGCTTCCCATCAACAAGCTCAACCCCCCTTGCAACGCCGCCGTCGACGATGACCTTCTTGACAGGGTTGCCGAACAGGAAATGCGTGTTTGTTTGTCTCCGGCACTTGTGGTAGTAGACACGCATGCACTCCTCGGCGTTGACAAAGGCAACGTCTTCATTTAGATAGCCCTCGTTCCATTGCTTCTCACCGGACTGAGGCTCAAAACCCTGTCCATTGACGCGCTGGAAGATGGCGGCATGGGAGGGGAGATGGCGAAGATATCCTTGGTTGGAGAATTCTCCGCTTTCGACACGCTTCTGCTGCAGCGTCTGGGCCGAAGCGTATTCTTTCTCCCAGATTTTGGATCCGTGGCGTCCTGCACCGGAATGAGCATAGATCATGCCGCTGCGGTAGTAGTGGGGTGCGAGCTCCGGGTCCTTTTGGATAAGCCGTTGGGACTCCAGAGCGAGTTCTGAATAGACGGGATCATGGTAATCGGCGCGGATCACCCTTGTTGTGTCTGGGACATTGTGGTCAGCTTGTTTGAATCTCCCTGGACTGCACGCGAAGTACGAACCGACCGATGTGCCGTCCGGGACCGGCGGTTCATGCCTGTCGATGAAAGTGATTTTCGAGCTGGGATAGCGCTTCGAGAGGGCCAGGCCGGTGGAAAGGCCGAAGACGCCACAGCCAACAATGAGTATCGAGTCCATGTCGGCGAGTTCGCGCATGAAATGTTGCGTGGCAAAAGCATCACCCTGCTAGCAATATATATAGGTGCTGGCAGATGACCCCACGATGCCGACTTTGAGAGGCCGAAAGTCGGAAGAATGCTGGTGGTTGATGGATCGAAGGCGGAGAAGACGCGGGGATAACGGCAACCGAGCACGAAGCCATGTTATGTTGTTGCCGCTGACCCGGCGCACAACAGCGGTCCCGGCCGGCACTCACTTTGCAGCAACCGCTCGCCCACTCTTGATGTGCGATCACCCCTCCGCACGACAGGCCAGCAAAACATCTGTGGGAAGGTCCAACACGGCTCGGCGCTGCAGCTGCTAGCCTATCAGCCCGCTCTTAATTTCCACGAGTGAGCAGCATTGATCCCCAATTGGGAACTCGACAGAAGGCAAATCGCTCTTTACATGCCCATCGCTTCCAGCCAGCAGCCGTGCAAATGCACTCCCTTCGAGGCAACAAGGGTGTTTCATGCCATCTGCTTCATCGGAGAAGGACACTGCTTATGCAGGCACCCAGGCACCCAGGCTTGTACCACCGCCTTGCATCTAACCGACGACGGATCTGCTATCACACGCACGACACCCCATTCTCCAATGATATGATAAGAGCTACTGCTGTATCACGCTTGCCACTTATAAGACTGCCGTTTCCAACCACTCTGGGTCGGTGAGCCTGGCCACAATCTCTTTGTATTTCCTTGGTGAAGCACTGGAACTCTTTGGGAGTCAGTTCGCCCGTGATCCACTCCTCGACGCCGTAGCAACCTACCAATGCGCCACCTCAAAAGCTCCGACGGCGATGCCGCCAGCACCAAAGACCCCGCTCAGATTGAATACGGAACCATCTCAGATGTCGCGCCTGTTTTGCCTCGAATTGACGCTGCAGCCGAGCGTAAGCTGGTGCAAAAGCTCGACCTCCTGGTCATGGTCATCATCTTCTTCATGTACTTCTTCAACAGCATCGACCGCAGCAACCTCGGCAACGCGAAGACCGACGGCATGGACGTGGATCTCGGCTTCGTGAACAACCAATACTCCATCCTGGTCATGGTATTCTACGTTCCCTTCTGCGGCCTCTGTCTTCCCGCCAATCTGGTCACCAGGAAGTTTGAGCCTAAGTTCTTTTTGGTCGGCTTTATGTTGTGTTGGGGCATCATGGCTATGATTTGTGCCGCGTGCAAGAACTTTGCCCAGGTAAGGCTTCCCTGCTTGCTTGTGGTGAGCTTAGCTGATATTGGCCACCTACAGATCTTGGCTGTGAGGATTCTGTTAGGAATTGCAGAAGCAGGATTTGCCCCATGCTCAATGGTACAACTTCTTCACATGCTTTCCAGATCCCCACTTACTGATGACAACACAGTTCTACATGAGCACCTTTTACACCCGCGGAGAACTTGCCACCCGCTTTGCCATAGTAACTTCAACTGACCCAACTTCCTTTGAGCGCTTGCTGACGCCATCTCAGTGGTATTCCTCGACAGTCCTCTCCTCTGCCGTGTCAGGTCTCATCTCCTACGGAGTATTTCAGATTAGAGGAGCGCTGCACGGCTGGCAGTACCTTTTCCTGATCGAAGGAGGCCTAACCGTTGTGATCGCTCTACTCGCCAGCGTCATCCTCCCAAAAAACCCTTGGACCTGCCGCTGGCTCACCCAAGCCGAAAAAGAACTTTGCGTCCTGCGCGGTGAAAGAGACTCGACCTCCGACGTCGGCTCCGCGTGGGACTTCCGCGAAGGCATGCAGCCCTTCAAGTCCTGGCAAGTGTACGTCTCGATCCATCCAGCCCACCACTTTCCTCCCCTCCCCCCTCCCCCTCCCCAACCCTCTCCCAACATCCTCAACTCACCCCTCCTCCCTCTCCTCCACAGCTACGCCTGGGCCCTCATCGGCCTCTGCTACGGCACGTCCGGCAGCGCCGTCGGCTCCTTCCTGCCGCAAATCGTGCAGCTGATGGGCTTCTCCACGCTCAAAACGAACCTCTACACCGTGGCGCCCAACGTCGTCGGCGCGCTCGTGCTGCTCTGCACCGCGCGCTCGTCGGACGTGCTCCGCGAGCGCAGCGCGCACCTCGTCTTCGCGCTGCTCGTCACCTTCGCCGGCTGGGTCATCCTGCTGGCGCTCGACGAGCCGGCCGCGCACGTGCCCGTAGCCTACTTTGCGTGTTTTTTGCTGTGCGCCGGCGCCATGACGCCGACGGTGCTGTTCCATTCGTGGCACGCGTCGAATATGTGCACGGAGAATGGGAGGATCTATGTCATGAGTTTTTTGACTGGCGCTGCGAATAGCGGGGGGATTGTGGCGAGCATGACGTTTAGGGCGGAGGATGCGCCGAGGTATTTGCCGTTTTTGGGGACGGCGGCGGGGTTTGAGGGCGTGGGGATGGTGTTGATTTTGGCGTTGCGCTGGTGGATGGTGTGGGATAATGCGAGGAGGGATCGGGTGGTTGGGAGGAAGTTGGTTAGTAAGGATGTCAGGTTGAGCGAGTTGGTAGGTGGGACAAAGGACGTGAGGTGGAGGTGGTTTGTGTGAGCTTGAAGTCGGTAAGGGGGATATTTGGGGGGGTCACGTTCTTTCAAAAGGCCACAGCTGAGCCCGTCATATATGGTTGAAACTATGCAGGCAAAATCGCAGCTTAATCAAGCAACTCAAATGGAGTGACTGCTTCTCTCAACCCGTTCAGGGGGTGGAGCAAACAACTTTCTTTTTCTGCAGCCATTAGTTGACGTGGGAACTCTCAGTGTGGAAGTGTTCGATGGGAACCTGTCATGATATGATCGTTCTTGTGGTTTGACTCGTCTATACCAGACGCCCGCTTCTCAATGCTTTCTTTTTCAATGTCCCACTCAGCCCACAATCTCCAAAGTGGAAGGACCGCTCTTTGAGGGTTGCTCTTGCTCTCCGAGAAGCCATTCTGCGTTGCACAAAAGGTTGTCTCAGCATCACAACCAAACGACTAAGCCCTTGTCTCACCCGCCCCCTTGACGTCAACGGTAAACAGCTGGGGTGACGGAGTCTCACCCTGTTCACCATCCTCCGACCCGGAGCCGTAACCCTTCTTCGCCTTCTGCGCCTTCTCCCTGTTGTGCAAGACCAACGTCGCAAGGGCGGTGCAGATCAGCAGCGGCCCGCCAATGACGGCGACGGTGATGAAACCCTTGCGATACTGTGGCGCGTCTGTCTGTCTCCACACGATGAGGGGCAGCCAAGCCTGGATGACGTAGGCCATTTGGTTCATACTACCGATGACGATGGCACGTTCCTCGTTGTCATTGGCGCAAATCTCATGTGCCCATCTGTCGAGTGGGATGGATTAGCCTTTGCTGGGAATGTCGCGTCGAGTGCCGATGTGGTTACTTACGACATGCATAGTCCGGAGAGACCGCTGTTGAGACCTGCTAATATGTAACAGGCCCAATGCCATCCGTTCGGGATATCCCATACAGCCAGCGATGTGTAAACGATGATGTTCCATATCTGAGTCGAATTAGTATGTTACGGACTCGTGTGAAAGCGGACGGCCTACCCCTGCGAATATCATTGGCGGCCAACGGGATCCTTTCAGATACGAATCCGAAGACCATGCGTAAATCAGCGTCGAGACCACTGCCACGGCATACGTAGTCGTGGGGTAGGCATTGATCTGTCCCACAGAGTACTTGGGATTTGTGCTTGCTTTGAGCCACTGCGCAAAGGCAGGCTGAGCAAACATGTTTCCGTTGTTGAACGCACTGTCTGGTGATCAGCCGAATGTTTTTGCAAGGACGACTACGCACGCAGCACAGTGAGAAAGGGTAACTTGGTACACTCACATGTAGAGAAGAGTGAGCACCCAAATGTGCCATGATGTCAGAATCTTCTTGACCTTGGCCTTCGTGTACGGCTCACGCGGCTTCCGACCCTCCAGCTGCATCCTCTTCTGCGCATAGGCGACTTCTTCTTTGGTCAGATAGAATGGCTTGGAGATTTCCGGCACGTCTGGAAGCACGAAAAAGCCGGCCAATGCAATGGGAAGCGAGATGATGCCGTCGACAATGAAAAGCCTGTGGCAATGGATTAGCACCAGTGTTGACTGAATGCGCAGACGAAGACGGACCATTGCCATCCCTTGTATCCTCCTTTACCACCGAGGTGATAGACAGCAGCCATGAGATAACCGGAAAACATGGATGCAATGGCGCTGCTTGTGTGGAAAATGCAACTTCTTTTGGCAAGCTCATCCTTTCGATACCAGCTACACTTGGGTTTAGTTTCTCAACGGGCGCAGTGTTGATCGATCACAAGGGAGAACATACCTGCCGATTATGTACTGCATTCCTGGATAGAAGGTGCTTTCGGCAAGACCTGAAGTCGAGGCGTCAGCAGGGACGAGCAACGCCAGGTTCAATGAAACGTACCGATGAAGAAACGTAGCACGTAGATTTGCTTGGCTGTCGAGCATCTCGATAGACAAAAAGTGAGTATCGTCCAGAGAACCTCGGCGGCGGGAATCCATCGCGAGGGCCGAACTTTGGTCAGGAGAATGTTGCTCGGCAGCTGGCCAATCACGTAGCCCACAGTCCAGCATGTCTGCATAATGTTCAGTTGTTCGCCGTAGAGACCCAAGTCTTCTTTCATGCCGGACACAAAAGCCGAGTTGATGTTTTGTTGGTCCAAGTACTTGATGAAATAGCCTGAATTCGTTAGAGGAATCTTCTTTGCGGCGGCTGGTTGGCTCTCACCAAGGGACGCAAAGGTCAATAGAGCAGCATCTAATTTGCCGAGGAACTTTCGCTCTTCAGGAGACTTGTCGAAGGTGTCCCATAACACTCCTTTCCAGCTCATCTTGACGTCTTTTGCGACCACCCCGTCGGCCGCCTGCGCGGTTTGGCCGCGCTCCTGGTCCTGAGTCTCCGGCATGGTCGATTTCGGCCGCTGGGAGGCAAGTCGGCCTTGACAGGTTGCAGCCAAATTTTTGGGCGGCCGAGCCAAGATAAAGCAGTCGACTTGGCTACATCACGGCGACGAAGTACTTAACCAGCCAAACCACCAGGAATGCGACGCTGTGGCACCGGGAGTGCGAACCCAATCCGCGAAGGTGGCGAGGCACCATGTGTCGGCAGTATTGCGTGCTTAAGGTTGGTTGGGCGCGAGCTTATGCACTCTCCAGCAGCGCGGGGACCTGGAGCTCGAGTGGACGCCGATGGCAGAGATACGGCCAGGCTGGGAATGCCCGAGCGAGAGTCGGCAGATGATTGCCTTGCACGATATGCCGGCGTAACGTGGGCCCACTTGCAGATGACGAGCCCATGGCCAAGTCTTTCGTGCGGACGACACGGGCAGCTTGACGCTGGAGGCTGCGGCACGGGCGGACGGCATAAAGCCAAAAGTGTGGCAGGCGTGGGATCCTACCGAGTGACGAGCATCCGGGCGTAGATGGCGTGCGACCCAACTTGCATATCGTCCGGCTTTGCGGTGTTTAATGGCCTGCGGCACGCGCAGGGAATGCAAGCGCTGGGGTAGGCATTGCAAGCAGCAGACCACTTCACACCGCGTGATAGTGACAGGCTCGCGAGAGTTCAAGCAGACAGGTGTTGAAGTGTTGGAGTGTTGGTTCATGGTGTGCGAAATGCGGGGACGGGCGGCAACGACTTTCTGCCAATCGCGCATCGGGCAATCTAAGCGAAGACGGCACTGTCGTCACTTCTGCTTGGGAAGCGCTGCATCGTCCATTCAACATCTATCCGTCTCTATCCAAGCCGCAATCTAACATGCCGGGAACCACTCGTCAGGTACCTGAGGTGCCGGCTGCGAGCCTCGCCCCCCGCCCAGCAGGCTCTTGATTCTCTCGTATACGCCTTCCTTTGCAGCCACAAACTCGGGCGTGTGCGGAGGGATAGGCGCTCTACCGCGCTCCGCCAGGTCCTTGTTGACCCAGCCGAGTATCTCGTTGACGTACTCGACCTCTACAAACTTGAGCGAGTTGAACTTCTTGCCAAAGCCCTTGGCCTTCACCCTCTCGTCGTACTCGGTCCTCATTTCCTCTTCGCTTGGCAGAGTAGCCCCGCCCGAAAGCACTGCGGCAACGAACTTGGCCTGGAACTCAAACAGCGAATAGGTTGCTGTGAAGTACGGCACTCCAATGAAGATCAGGCTCGGGTCGGGAATGTACCAGATGTCCTTGTGCAGGTTGTGGTACTGCGACCCGTCGGTGACGATGGCCTTGTCGTCTACCTCGTCCGGTCGGAGGTCGTCCCGGTGGAGAGATCGCAAGAAAGGAAGGGTGACGTGGTATCCTGTTGCAAGAATCACATGGTCGATGTCGCACAGCTTGTGCCCGGACTTCAGGGTGATGGTGCCTGGGATCGCCCCGCTGGGCTCTGAGGCGTCTGATCCTGATGAGCTTCCTGCATCCGACCCCGAGTCCGACCCCGAAAGGACGTCGGCATCCGCTGCAGGGAGATCAAATGACGCGACGTCACCAATGCGTTTGGCATTTGCCGGCAGCACTGTCGCTGGAAAGTCGAAGTCGCCTCCCCTGGATGTTTGCCAGATGCTCTTTGCGTGCGGCGAGATTTCCTTCGCAATGTCCGTAGACGACGTCCCCGATCCGATCAGGAGCACGTTCTGCCGCTTCGTTAGTGTCCCTCTGTGCCGCCCATCTCAACCGCCGACTCACCTTCCCCTTGAACGCCTCAGGAACGCGGTAAGACTTTGAATGCTGGACCCTGGTGGGATAGCGTGTTTTCCACTCGATGAGGCCTGGGATGTCGGGAACTCTGGGTGCATGGTAGTGGCCGTTGGCTACCACTACTGCATCGAAATCCTACACCAGCTCAGCCACCCTGAACTTCTAGACCCAGGCTGGCACAGTACGTACGAGGGTTTCTCTTCCATGTTCCTGGTTCGTCAAGTCTCGTGCTGTCACTTTCCACTTGCCGTCTTGTTTGCTTGCGTTTTCCACCAGCGTCCTATACCGAATTGACTCCTCAATACCTGCTACTTTGACGATTTCACTGATGTATGCAGCCATGACAGAGTGGTTGCTGTAATCACCTGTGCCATCAGGGAATGGAAGAAGAGTGGTTTGCATCATGTCCCTGTGGACGTTTGTCGCCAAGTCGCGGTAACATGGCCTGGGCTTCTCGTCAACGATAACCTTGATGCTCTTGAAATAATACGACTAACCCTGGTGGTGCTGCAGCCAGGTCGCTAATCTGGCTCTCGTCATGAGCCTGCTGCACTGTCCGCCACTGCGTTTTGGGGATATCGGAGGCGACGGAAGCGTTGATGGAGGGATAGTCCGGCTCCAGAGGCTGACGTTCATCGTAGACCCTGCACGTTCATGAGCATATATCCATGGATTCCTGGCTTCAGATGCACTTCTGCATAGAATGCACTGCCTTGCGAAGCGCAGAAGGAGAGGAACCAAGTAGGCCCGAGAAACTACACTCAGCTAATGAAAAGGCAGTAGTATATCGAGATCCTCAAGCTGCTCTGCCATGGCTTCCAACGGGTAGTCGAGCCAGCCCGTCAGTGCGCGCCGTGGTTGGCGCAAACTGCTTCGCAAGGTCCTGATGATCACCAAAGCTCCGACTTACCAGACGCCTCCAGGTTTACCGATCCGTTCGAAAACAGTGACATTCACACCAGCTTTCTTCAGGTGTGCTGCCGTGACGACTCCGCTGATTCCTGCGCCGATGATAGCGACGTGAGATGCCGATGTTGCGGGCATAGTGGCAAACAAATCAACACGACTGATGTTGGGACTTAGGAATCAGATGCTCGGACTCCGGATGCACTGAGGCTTGCCAAACGGACTAGATAATGGGCCGAAGCTGGGAAAGGAAAACCGGCTCCCCATTGGGCACCGGCAAGCGACGGCGCATGGTCCCAGCCCCCAGCGAACAGAGGGCGCACCTCCGCCGAAGAATGGTGCAATCAGCCATGGCTGTGAGACATTCGGCCGTTGAAGACTGCGCCTCGCGGGGCTTCGTCTCCTGATGAAACCTCCCATTACAAAGCGCACCGTTTCCGGGACTTGCGGGTTTCTGGCGTGACACGTTGGAATGCTCCCACTGTGGGCCAGCAGGCGCCTCGAGGTCGCCGACCAAATGAAGCTGCCAAAACAAGCAACGACTTGAATCAGCAAACCGAAGATAGCAAAGCTGAAACGATAATTGGTTGCGCCACGGGCGGGGTCCGGCCGCCTCCCGCTTGCCGATGCATGTCGTGGGTTTAGAGAGAGATGGCGCCATTTGGCGATCGACCAGCGCCGGGACTTAGCACTGGTGGGGTCTGCTCAACCCCAGGAAAGTGTGGGCATGAACCACGTACACTCCGTTTTGGCACGCTTGCTGCTGACGAATCAGGGATGATGTATGATGAGGGGTCGATGATGTGATCCCCGCGCCCCTCTCGACGCCGACCTGCAATAATGCGGCAGCCTCACGATAGGCATCTTCTCTCGACCAGCCGAGCGCCTACATATAAGCCGGGGAGATCAAGAAATGTGATGTTGGCGAACAGCCGAAACGATCCTAGCATCTAGAGGAATACCACCGTCACAAGTCGCTGTTGCGGCATCTTCCAGATTCAAACAGATTTCTCCCCCTCCAGCTCTAGCCATGGCTCCCGCACCAATCTCATTCCGCGAGGAAATCAAGGACGTTGCCCCGCCGCGCAAGGATTCTCTGCGTCTTCCGGAGCCGACGCGCAGGCGTCTGGAGAAGGCCGGCATTGACCTGTCCAAGGGCTACCCCTACCGCCCCGCACGTCCGCTCTACCTTGACGATGTCTACAAGATTCGCGACTACGACCGCCCCTTCGTTGACCCGGGCTCCCGCGCCGACCCCGAGAAGAAGGCTCTCCTTTCAGCCGCCGAGAAGGTCATTGACTTGACAACACACATCGGCACTGAGATTGTTGGCCTGCAGCTCAAGGACCTGACCGCCCAGCAAAAAGACGAGCTCGGCCTGCTGATTGCCGAGCGCAGCGTCGTCTTCTTCAGAGACCAGGACATCTCCCCCCAGCAGCAGAAGGAGCTCGGCGAATGGTATGGCGAAATCGAGGTTCACGTGAGTACCACCTACCCAGCATCCAACCAAATCCCAAACAGGAAAACAGCCACTGACATCTCTCTCTCCCTCTCCACCAAACAGCCGCAAGTCCCCCACGTCCCCGGCGTCGAGGGCGTCACGGTCATCTGGCCGGAGCTGCAGTCGACGGAGCGCCCCTCCAACTTCCGCAAGCCAGGCGGCGCCTCGCGCTGGCACACGGACCTCGTCCACGAGCGGCAGCCCGCGGGCGTCACGCACCTGCACAACGACGTGATCCCGTCGACGGGCGGCGACACGCTGTGGGCGTCGGGCTACTCGGCCTACGAGAAGCTCTCGCCCGCCTTCCGCAAGCTCATCGACGGCAAGCACGCCGTCTACCGCTCCGCCCACCCCTACCTCGACCGCGAGAAGCCAGAGGAGGGCCCCAAGTGGATCGAGCGCGTCCACCCGCTCGTCCGCACCCATCCCGCCACCGGCTGGAAGAGCTTGTACGTCAACCGCGCCATGACGGATCGGATCGTCGGGTTCGACAAGGCCGAGAGCGACTTGATTTTGGGGTACCTGTTCGATGTGTATGAGAGGAATGTGGATATCCAGTTGAGGTTCAAGTGGACGCCGGGCACGAGCGCGCTGTGGGATAACCGGTAAGCCTTCTTTTTTCTTTTCTTTCCGTTTCTTTTCTGCCCAGCTCTTCCCCGTCCCTCTTCCGGAGGGAAGGAGGGGAGGAAAAACACTTCGAGCCCGATCGCTGACGTCGTCGTCTCTTCTTCTGCCCCACAGCATCACCATCCACAACGCCAGCTGGGACTACGGCAACAGGGAGCCCAGGCATGGCACCAGGGTGACTTCGCTGGCCGAGAAGCCCTTCTTCGACCCCAACGCGCCGACGAGGAGGGAGGCCTTGGGTCAGGTGCACCCGGATGAGCTGAAGGAGCAGGGTCTTCCTGGCTATTAGTTAGAGAGAGGGCCATGGAGGTTCCAGAAGAAGAAGAAGAAGAAAAAGAGGGGAGGGCAACTACTGGATCGGCAAAAGAATGATGTAAAGAATGACAATATGAATTGAAATGACTGCAAATCATCACTCTTGCCATAATGGATATCCGCAGCACTGTCGTTTTTCTGTCCACAGCTAGTCAATATTGATGTAGGATGCTGCTGCGAGCGGGGAGGATGTTGTTCCAACCGAAGTGCTGAAGCTGGAAATTGGCAGACGGTTTGCAAGCGGCAAGGCCCATTCACGCTCTCTTTTAGGTGGGAGTTTAGAGTAAATCACCTGGGCAGCCCTAATATGAAGGCAATCCAGACTCGAACTTCATGTGCTGCTGTCCAATGTTCACGTTGCATCATGCTCTCTCTTGATTTGCTCTGGTGGATTGCGCAGCGGTTATCGTTACTTTACCATTCAAGAATGCCTATCGACAAGAGATGACACGTGAATCGAGTCTGTTGACGACTTTAAAGTTGAGAGAAGAATCGAATACTAATTACTGTTTCTGGGGTATCAACTAAGCAACCCGCAAAGCCCGTAAGCTTCCAGAACCAACCCCCGACATCCCCAATAAGCTCACCACCAGGGCACAGAGACCCGCGTTAAACTCGTTTCCCACCACTGCTGCGCGCGCGCCTTTCGTCTTTCCAGTCCCACAACGCAAAGCGACACTCGTCCGCAGCGCGCAATCCCCGCCGTCCCTAGCCCAACGGAACGCCAGCATCATCATCATCATCCAAACGGATCCTCTTCGCCTCCGTCTCCTGCAAATCCGGCGTGGCGTCCGATTCCAATCCCGACCCCGACCCCAATCCCACCAGCCCCTTCGCCTTCTTCGCCGCCGCCCACGCCTTCTCCTTCGCCTGCACATCCACCCAGTTCTCCGCCACCCACCTCAACACCTCTTCCTCACCTCCTCTTCCTTCCCCACCACCCATCCTCTCTAGCCACGGCCTCACCCTCCCGACGTCATCCAGCGGCTCGTCGCGCAGGGTGAGCACGCCCTCCTCGACGCTCACCCACCGCTTCAACCCCCTGACGACGAGCGCCAAGCTGTCCCCCTTGCGCGGCACCGTCGCCTTGACGGCGCGCCAGAGCGCGTCTTCGCGGCACGCGAGCCGGTGCGCCGCGAGGCGCTCGTCGTGCTCTGCGCGCTTCTCGAATGCATCTAGGGCCGCGTCCAGCACGCGCTCGCGCGACCACGCGCAGTCGGCGCCGGCCTCCGGGTGCGCGGGGACCCATTCTTCGACGAAGCGGCGGTACATGCCGCGCTTGGCGCGGCGGGCGCGGTCGTTGTGGTTTTCGCTCGGGGGACGCTGCTGTTGTTGTTGTTCTGCGCTTCCGCTTCCGCTTCCGCCTCGGGGCACGACGGCGTTGCGGTCGAAGAGGCGGGAGGCGGCGACCCAGGCGAAGATGTCGGCCTCGCGGGCGAAGGCGCCGGCGTGGTAGCGGGCGGCGTCGAGGCCGAAGAAGGCGAGGACGGCGGAGGGGTCGTGCGAGAGGTGGATCATGCTGGCTTTCTTGTTGGTGGGCTCGATCTCCGGGATGCGCACGTGCAGGCCGCGGTCCGTTGAGGTGAGGCCGAGCGGGCGGATGATGACGCCGAGGATCTGGGAGAGGTCGCCGTAGGAGGTGAGAAAGAGCTGCCAGGGGAGGTAGCCTGGTGGGCTCTCCTGCACGTCGAGTTGGACGAAGGCGTCCGGGTCGGTGGGGTGCGGGATGGCGTAGTTGGTGACGGCGCCGTTGCGTTTGAAATTCTTCGCGCCGAGAGTAGAGGCGATGCGTTCGGGAGTTGTGTCTGGGTGCGGTGCTTCGACAAGCATGTCGACATCGCCATGGTCGGGCTTGTCTGGGGCGATCTCCGCATACGCGGTGTGGTGGTAGAACGGAGCGAGCGCGTCTTTGTATTCTTTCTTTAGGACGTTGTATGTATCTGTAGCGATCCTGGGCGTCTTCAAGCCGTCCGATTCAAAGGTGTGTCCGCCCATGGTCGCGGATCTGTGTGATGGAGCGTCTGTGAAGAGCGGTTAGGTGTTGACCTGGATATCAGTTGAAGGTCGTTCTTCATGTGAGAGATCACTGAGTCATAATCCTTGGACGAAGCTCGCGTGAGCTCAGACGCCGGACAAATTGCGGGCAAGCGTGAATGGAACGCGACTTTTGACTGCCTAATCCGGCAATATCAAACAAGTAGAGGCAGAAGCCGCCAGCGAGTATTGAGCAACAGCCTAAGTGGAATTGCGGCACTGATTGTTGCTTTTGTACCTCCGAATCTCTACTGGCAGGGCAGAGTCGGTGGACGTCGTACAAGATAACCTGCAGGGTATCTCAATAATCGATATCAGTTTGATCCAGTACGTCTTAATACCTCCGCACACGACGTCACCTGCACGGAAATGATGGTTCCAATGACAAGAGCCCCTTTGCTGGTTGCAGTCAAAAAGGCTCGTCCGCGTGTACCATCGACCGCGGCCAGGATGGCGCTTCCCGTGGCGCCAGCCGCTGCTCCCATCAGCCAGCAGTGCCAAAATGGGCGCGGAGGTGTCTCGCTGGAGAACGAGGCCACCAAGAAGTTGTAGGTGCCAAAGCAGAAGAACAGTTTGCTGGACTGGTGCGCCAGTGCGTGCACAGTGGGGCGTCGTCTGTTAAACACTAGAGACTGGTAAGTCACCTCAGTGATGCCGCCAGAAAAGCCGCCAACTGCGCCAATGAGTCCCCTGCGGATAGGTGATGAAGGCTCGGAAGAAGAACCGGAGAGTAGTGATTTGACTATATCAAAGGCCCAGAAGCGGCATATCACCCGAGGGACTTGGACTGATGCGTGAGAACGGAGCAAGCTGGAGACTGGGACTCTCGTGGAGGAGGACAGCGTTGACCCAAGTTCGATGGGGAACACGGCCGCCCCAGCAAGCCCTCCTGTCGCAGCATATATCGCCTGTTCTTTGAAGGAGGGCAGCTGGGCACTTCCAGCGTAGTTCAGCATGACGATGAACTGGGTTCTTCGCGACCGACACGGAAGGGCCAAGGGAGGTCAGGGAGGGAACTGTAGGGTTGAGCTTTACCCGACGATTCCGTCAAAGGCGTCATTCGGTGCTTGCTGGCCAAGAGTGATTCGATAGCTTGTAGCCCGAGCAGATGCAGTTGCGTCTCGAGGTTGATTCGGAGGCGGTCCAGCAGACGAACCACAATAAGTGAGCGCTTGAAGCACGGAAATCGGCGTAAGCGTACAAGGACGGCCTCGAAATCGCGACCAGAGAGGAATTCCGACTCGGCATACGCGACGATGACGATGAAGACAGCACGCAAACTCTCGTCGTATGGCCGGTTTGGGCCGACAGCGGGCTTGTCGCCGTGGTTGCAGCCCAGGGCCAGCTGAGCTTTGTTGGTGTTGAGACTGGGAAGAGCCGGGCTGAGTGCCAGGGTGGCTTTGCCGATCGGGGCGTGGCAGCAGCCAATCACGACAGATGCCGTCCACTCTTTCTGCGTGAATGACATCGACGCCGTCGCGCCTCATCCACCATGAAGCCCGCCAGCCGAAAACAGACACGCCGTTCACATGCACTGCATGAAACAGGGCATGGAGTCTCATTTTCAGGACCTCGCTGCAAGTCCTGCCTTATTATGTACTTCCTTCGGGACCTCCACCCACTCCGCCAACGTCACTGTCAACACCCGCTAATTTCCTGCGCGACTTCAGTCACCATAATGCTGCCCGCTGCAGGGAGCTGCTTTGAGAACGTGCGCCAGCCAACATGCCGTTCGAGAAAGACCCAGAACCGTCTTCCGATTCCGACGAGCGCTCTCCGAACCCTCCAGCTGGTTTGAGCCACGCATCTCGCATCCATGCCGTTTCGCGCCGGGCCAAACAGAAGGCCAAGAAAGTGCTGAATGTGGATGATACGGAGGGGCTGGTACGCGCCAGGGAGCGTGACGGCTACGATGATGTCGCCGCCAACCCTGCTTTCAACCCCCAGAAGGTGTTTCAAAAGCCCGTGAGCGTTGGCGACGCTCTCCACCAAGCCAAGGACGGCGTTGAAACCATTGCTCGCGTGGTCGTCCATCCCAAAGACTCTGCCAAGCGGAAGGCTGCCGCCAGGCTCGCTGCTCCAGAACAACCATTCTTGTCGCAGCAGGCCGACAAGGTGCTTTTGGATGCCCACGACCGGCTAGAAGCTGCGCGCAGGAGTACGGATTCCGACGACGAGGATAATGCCGAGGTGTACGAGGAGGAGGTGGAAAACCTCCAGGGTCAGAGGGAGAGCCTGAGGGTTGCATGGACGACCAGTAGATTCGTTCATCGCGTACGAGTCGCGCCTGTCGAATACATCGGCCATCCTCGTTTCAAAGACGTCGCAGTCCGAGATTCAAAGGGGGCATACGTCAAGACAGACTGGACCAAGTTTTGGGGAAACGTAGGTGGCTATTCCTGTGCTGTGCTTAGTGCAATCACTAACGTTCTCCCCAGTGCTGCGTCTACGCCACTCAAGACTACCGTGCTCTCGGGGGCGATGCGTTAGATCAGACAGCATTTAGCCGTCACTTGCTGATAGAGCATGTGGAGCGCATTTTAATGGCGTCTGCGCCCTGGCAGTCGTACTTCTTGAAGCTGCGGGACCTATACCGCTGGGAAAACCCACAGAAGACCGGAAGATGGCTGGCGATATTCGTTTTCCTCTGGTGGGCCGATTACGTCTTCACCTTCATCCTTTGCTACTGTGTTTTTATCGTACTTCGGAATGGATACAGCCATCACTCTTTCAAATCGCTTCGGGAATCTCATGAGCGCGCCATGGATCAAGGAGCGACAGCCTTCAAGATCAGCGAGCTCATCCACCGCCACGGTCCTGGAGAATGGCTAGACCCGCTGATTGACGAGATTGGCCCTCGAGCTCAACTCGAGTTCAACGACCTAGCCGACCATCTGGAGAGAATGCAGAACTTTTACGATTGGAAGTTCCCTGAGAGAACATGGGCCACCTTGTTCTGTATTGTCTGCGCTATTCTCCTCGGCGTCCTCACACCGACCGCTTACTCGATGAGAGTGGTCACTTTTGTGGCAATCTGGTGGTTCTTCATGGGGAGGCCAGTCGCAAGCCACTACCCACGATTCAGGCATGCCGTTTCCCCCGTGGCATATGTGTTCTGGGGCCTTCCGACACATGCGCAATGGTCCTTTCGCTATCTGACGAACAAAGCTCAGAAGATGCGTGAGCGAACTGGGGAACATGTTTGCAAAGAACTGCCCGGTACCAAAGGCTCAGCCACGGATGACGACGAAGTCTTTTTCGATGCGCCATCGTCTCCCGAACCCGACCGCACACAATACTTCCTAACATTTCGATGCCGGTATCACAAACGTCCGGCTCGCCTTGGAATTTCAGCAAGCGGCGTTTCCCTGATTCGGTTGTTTCCGGCAAAGCAGATATGGTCGCGTCATTTCCACGAAATCGGCGAGATGCGGAAAACCGCGGGGTCGGCCGTGGGCCGCGGCATTCGCAAGGTTCTTGAGGGGAAGACCTTGGAGTTTACTTTCGTCGATGGAGAAGTCGACCAGATCGAAGCAGTTAGGAGGCGGGACGAGGCGTTCAATAGCATCATCGGCTTTTCTAATCTAACGTGGCAAATGTTGGACCCTGTAAAAGGAACGAACGAGATGGAAGTTGGGGATGGTTGAGCATAAATCTTTTTTAATTGTGTTACATTACGCACATAAATGTCATTCAGCGACTGCGCCGGGGCGGATTGCAGACAAATTGTGCAGGAGAATTGAAAGTAGCTATCGAGACGCAGATGTACGGCTTCGGCACCATGATATTGTTCGTGACTCAGGCTTGGCAAGGATGACATGCGCTGTAGCCCACCGTGCTCATCGGCACGTCGCAAGAAGAGTTGGATCCTCCATCCAAATCAGAAATCGAATCTGGGGCAAAGTGCACTCACTGTTTCCGCCGTTGTGAGGTCATTGCGTAAACGAGGTCCGCATCGAAGGGCTCCCGCAAAGGTCACCGGACGGCGCTGCATTCCAGGAGCATTGCCGCAGAAGTCTGCCTTCCCCCCAGGCTATTGATTTCAAGCATTGTCGAGTCAGTGCACGTTCGCTGTGCAAGCCATCATGAGCGTTTGCGACGGCGGAAACGTAACGAGCAAGTAGAGACAGCAATGCGATGGTTGGGACCAGTGGTTGACGTGCGACTGGGCGATTGGGCGGTTGGTTCCAAGGCACAGGGAAGGCCGAGCTGGGGACGAAAGCCCCTGAGGGGGAGCGGGGGAGCACAAAGTGGCAGCAGACAGCGGGCGGATGATGTTGAGCTGCAGGGCGGTTGAGGACGGCGCGATGGAGGAAGCTGTCTTATCGCGCGCCCCACTGCCCGGTATCCGTTCGGAGCACGGGGACCGCTGCGCGATTGGGACGGCCTAACACCATTGCAGCGTCATCTGACAGTGGCAGAGGGACACGCAAAGAGGGCGGCGGGAGCAGAGGCAAAGCGAGCGCGGGTACAGTCGCCGCTGCGCAGCACCGCTACCTAGCTATTGCATCAGAACTGGCGCGGCTGGAAGGCTGCAGCTGCGTCCTGACATAAGTTACGCTTCCGGGGCGAGCCAAGACGCCCGCCGACTGCCCCAAGCTGCCAACATCACTCCTCCCCATACTCTTCCTCCTCTCTCCCCGCCCCACAAGCCACCACCACGAATCCTACCCGTCCAGCGCATCAGCGTCCCCCGGGCCCCGCGCGAGCAGCTTCCCACGTTCGGCCCGCGTATTGGGCCACGCTCCAGCTGCCACAGCACCGCAGTCGCCGGCTCTCCGACGCCTGCTCCCGCCGCTGTAGACGCCTGCCACGGCGTCGAGACGGCTGGAGCTTCCTCCGCACGCGCGACCGCGAACCTCTGCAGCTCCTCGCCCGCCCCAGCTGCCCCCCGAAGCCGCAACTCTCCCGCAACTACCGATCCATTGCAAGAGGCGTGCACCACTCTAGCGCCTCTTACATCCACCAGGCCCGCCGAGCTGGCCGACGAAATCCCTCACGACCATCCCCCTACACTCGCCCCCGACTCCCCCGCCGATCCACGTCCAGGTTTTTCCTCGTACACGGCATTCTCAGCACAACCTGCAGCCGGCGGAATCCCGAGCACGCCCGCTGCTTTTAGCTCCGTCCCGATCCCCGAGCCAGAGCAGCCCTCGTCAGCGACCAAGCGCCCGCGCAGCTCATCAGAGTCCACCATCTCTGATACCGAAAACCCCCGCTCCTTCCCCCCGGGTGAGGCCTCTCGCAGGCCGAAACGCAGACGCCGAGCCGATCACACAATGCGCCTAGGCTCCGAATCATCGCGGAGGTCTCCATCGCCTTCCCAGCCTTTCTCCAACGGCCACAACGGCGTGTCGCCAGGCCAAGCGCCAGGCCTCGGAAAGGCAACAAATGGTAGCGCGCACGGCGCGTCGGAGAGTAACGGCGATGCTACTTCCTTCATCAACGGCAGCAGGCCTGCCACCTTCTTCGGCCATGATAGAGAGGAGGTGACGAGGATCTTGATCCAAGGCCTGTCAGATCTCGGCTACCACAGTGCAGCGGCCTCGCTAAGTCAAGAGAGCGGGTTTGAGCTCGAGGGTCCGACTGTTGCAGCTTTCCGGAATGCGGTGCTTCAGGGTGATTGGGCCGAGGCCGAGGCGCTATTGTTCGGTACGACAATCGAGGATGGTGGCGGCGTCGGAATCGGAGATGGTGCATACGGTTATGGGAACGGAAAAGAGCCCGACAGGTCTGAAAAGTGGTCGTCGGGTACCCAGCACATTCGCGGCCTGACATTAGCTGAAGGGGCGAACAAGGACCAGATGAGATTCTGGATGCGGCAACAGAAGTATCTGGAGCTGCTCGAACAGCGCGATCTTGGTGCTGCGCTTATGGTGCTTCGTCAAGAGCTTACACCTCTGCACCAAGACACTCACGCATTACACTCGCTGTCAAGGTATGTTGTCCCAATACTCCCTGTTTATGCCGATTTCCGCGGTGCATTGCGCTCTCAACATCGTGGATATGTCCGGGTAGTTGACGCATGAATAGTTTGATGATGTGCCAGTCAGCAGAGGATCTCAAGGCTCAAGCAAGCTGGGATGGCGCTGCAGGGGAATCGCGAAGTATACTTCTATCGGAGCTGTCTAGTAAGGCGTCCCCCAAGGCCTCGGGAATTATCCTACCGAGAAGCAAGTCGCTAACAAGGTGCAGAGTCAATATCTCCCAATGTGATGATCCCAGAGCATAGGCTTGCAGTACTCTTAGACCAGGTGAAGGACAATTGGGTCGGCAAGTGTCTGTATCATAACACTTCGGACTCACCCTCGCTTTACCTCGATCATCAGTGCGACCGCGAAGAATTTCCGCTTCGGACAGTGCTTGAGCTTCGTCATCATCTCGATGAAGTCTGGTTTCTCAAGTTCTCCAACGACGGGTCCATGCTTGCCACTACGGGCAAGGACCAAAGGATCTACATCTATGACACATCCAACTACACCCGGCGCTTCGCTCTTGAAGATCATGAGAACGGTGTCTGCTACCTGGCCTGGAGCCCTGATGATACAAAGCTCATCAGCTGTAGTCAAGACAATTCTGCCAAGTTGTGGGACATGACGGTAAGTACCGAGTCCTTTTTGAGTCATCATAGCCGCCCCTAATCAATCATACAGACCGGTCAGCTTCTTCAGAGCCTCGACAAGGGATTCGACTACCCCGTGACCTCCGCGGCATGGGCTCCGAATGGTGAAACCTTCGTTACTGGATCCCAAGACACCAATGCTGGCCTTTGCATGTGGAGCAAAGATGGCGAGAAGAGGCACACGTGGAGGGAAGATGGTAGCGAGCGCGAGCGCGGATACGCTCTTCGTGTTCACGATGTTGCCATCACCCCGGACGGTGAACGCCTTGTGGTCGTGCTGGAACATCACATCATGGTCTACGACTATCTGACACAGGAGAAGGTTTCCGAGTACGAGATGAGCGACGTCAAGTTGACGTCCTTGAGTATCAGTCATGATTCACGGCGCATGCTTGTTAGCATGAACGAGAACAAGATTTGCCTGATGGAGATTGAGACTGGCGAACTTCTGGAGAAATACGTGGGCCAGAAGCAGAGGGAGTACATAATCAGGAGTGCTTTCGGAGGAGCTGGCGAGAACTTTGTGGTCAGTGGCAGCGAAGGTAAGTCTGCCGTACACCACCATGACTTGTGAGATTAGCACAATTATGCTAATTGCAGCAGATTCACGGGTTTACATCTGGCGATCGAACGGCAACTTGGTTGAAAAGCTCGAAGCGCACAGATCTGGCTGCGTCAACTGTGTCGCATGGCACCCCAAGGATCCTTCCGTCTTTGCCTCTGCAGGCGACGATCGCACAGTTCGCATGTATGGGACCGCAGCCTTTATGTTACCAGCCAGTCTTGATATCTAATATAGTCGCAGATGGACCAAGCCCGCAGCAACCAGACCGATTAGAGGGTTCGATCGGTAGTGGCGTTACATGACCATGGCCTTAGACGTTCATTCCCCTCCACTAAGGGCAGCTACACGGCGGTCCCTCTTTCATTTCACGTCATCAGACACTTCCCATTCGGATGGTGAAGCCAGGCTCATTCGCCAGTAAATAATTTTACCAATCCTTCGGCATTCTGAGCAGAGGAACGTCAACCTTCGGTCGCACTTGTTTCCATCACCTTCGTCCGACAAATTCTGCATCCCCCTTCTTTTTCACACAATTAGCACATGGCCGGAGTACGGATGATGACTTTGTTGTTATTGTTGCTGCACAACATGCTTTAGGATGTCGAGTAGAGGGAATGGCAGGCTGGATGTTTGTGGCTTGGCGTTTTCGTGCAGTTTCTGGTTCAACTCCCTTCTGCATTATTTGGCCGCGAAACATCAAGTGGGTCGAAGATTTCTATTCGAGGGATGTCAGCGAGGGATCGGAGGGGGTTTTTGGCTTTCATGAATGGAGCACAAGGCCCGAATTGATGAAGCGAAGTTGGTGCATCTGGACATGTAACAATTGGAAGGTCCTCCGTAGAGTGTAACTGAGCTCGTTGATCTATGAAATCTACGTAGAAAGGTAGCCGACTTATAGTCGGCTGATACAAAGGGTGAACAATTGCAAACGCCCAAACTTCAAGTGTTCGAACACGTGGTGGCCTGGACCGCTCTTGTGGTTGGATTTAGACACTGGCGTCATTACTTAGACTCTTTCCATCCATGCCACTGGCTACTGTTCATACAAGGTTAACTTGCTGCTGTTAGAGACGGACCTGGCATGTTTCGGCTGACGAAGCAGTGCTGCCTGAGGTACAGGACTACATTCGGAAAAGCCGCCTAATAAGCTGGCCGATTCTCGACGTCCGTCGAGAGAAGGACCAAATGACCAAGCACTTTCCGGAAGGCCATTGTGAAACGGGAATGGCAGGTGTGAAGCACTCCACTCATCAGTATAGGGCAAGGGCGGCGGCAACACCGCCACAGCGCATGAAGCCTTCCCTTCTCGCCAGCAGGATCTCGCAATAAAACTGCCCGCCCTCAGCCGTGCAGAGACACACATCCTTCAACCTTCACCTCATTTTCCGAGAAACATCACCATGAGAGACTCCACACGCCTCATCATTATCACCGCTCTGTGTTAGTACCTCTCGACACGCTTGCCCCCTCTTCTGCACATTCTCGCTGCACCACAACGCACCTGCTGACAGTACGACCGACAAACAGGTCCTGCCCTGGGCGTCTACCTGCTTGCTGGCTGCGAGGGCGAGCTCTTTCTCTGCATCTTTCTCTGCCTTCTCGGGTGAGTAACGCTGCTCCCCTCACGCTGCGGCTGCCAGAAGGCGTATCTTCGCCTCTAGGTTGTAGGAGCAAGTTGCTGACGACAGTGGATCTTGATTCCGTGCAGAGCTGTGCCCGGTCTCTGCTATGCGCTCTGGATCGCCTACGTCTACTACGACCGACGCGAGGACGCGCGGCGCGGCATATACTCATCGGAGCGCAAGCCGGGTATATTCAGCGAGAGAGTGCTGAGGGGCGGCCTCACGCGTCCGGTGGACATCAAGTAGACGGAGAGGCTCCTCATGTGGTTGATGAATGGCTCGGAACAGGTGGAAGACGATGCCTAGGCTCATCAGGTTCACGAAGTGAGTGGCAGATTGCAAATCAAGAATCATCATCCTACCTTTCACTCCTCTTGTTGTACTGTGTATGTGAAGCCGCCAGACATGCACGTCTGTACCTGCCAAGCTCGTGTGTTGCGCACATGCCAGGACCGGAGCGGTGACGTAGCGCTCTTCTCTAGCGCTCTCCGCACATCGGCGCTTCGGTGATCGGTGCGACTTGTCTGAGCCAAAATTCCTCGCGACTCCACGCCTGCGATAACGAGGGGGAAAAAACAATCCGAGCAGCGAATTGCGACGAATCACGAAACGGCGTTTTGCGCGCAAGCTTCTCACCTCGGCTCCCGGGTTCGTCCGGCGCTCTGCTCTTGGGCCATACACCTCTTGCCATCGTGACCGCCGTCCGCTCGTCAAAAGTTCCTCTTCACGAGCACGAGCCGATAAGCAGGGGAGTTTTGAAGGGGTAATGGAAATCCAGCGGACACCACACGCTAAGCCGCTCTCGGTACAACTCGGTGCAGTTGGGACCTGATCGAATTTTTTTTTCCTTCTGGCCACTCGGGGCCATCTAATTTCCTGTTGACCTGGAAGCGGTCGGTTGGTGGTACCTTTAGATAGGGTCGTATAAGTACTGCGTTGTTGCCGAGTGGAGACAGAAGGTCAACTGCTGGTTGCTAGCTTCCAGCCCGCCCACACCCTTTCCTCAGCTTCCACTCTTTGGCCGCCTCTCGTCTCTCGCTTCTGCCTCGCGGTTCCAGCCGAATAAAACCACCCACGTTTCGTGCGTTTTCTGAAAATGGTGTCTGCCGGCCAAGAGGTCCCCGAGACGCGGGTTTTGATCGTCATTACCGGTATGGCGGCGCTTCATCGACCAGATCGAACCCTCATGCTAACAGGCACCCACAGGCGGCACAATCTGCATGCAGGAGTCCGAGGATGGTCTCATTCCCGTGAGTGGCGCAACGGTTCTTCTCTTATCTGCCATCTCTAATCTCGACTAGGCACGTGGTTTCCTGAAAAACTGCCTGGCGCCACGCCCGTCCTTCAACGACGGCTCGTACCCCGAGCCGCTCGAGATTGTCACCGATGACAAGGGCTCCAAGAAGGCGGTCCAGAGCCTGCGTACGCCCAAGAGCTCGTACAACCGACGCGTGCGCTACTCGGTGCTTGAGTTCGAGAAGCTGCTGGACAGCAGCTCCATCAACGCCGCGGGCTGGGACGAGATCGCCCGCACTCTGTACCGCAACTACACGCTGTACGATGGCTTCGTCGTGCTTCACGGCACCGACAGCCTGGCCTACACGTGCTCCGCCCTCAGCTTCATGCTGCAGAACCTGGGCAAGCCTGTCATCCTGACGGGCAGCCAGGCCCCCATGATGCAGCTCCAAAACGACGCAACCGACAACCTGCTCTCCAGCCTGGTCATTGCTGGCCACTTCATGATCCCCGAGGTCTGCCTCTTCTTCAACTTCAAGCTCTTCCGCGGGAACCGCTGCACCAAGGTCTCGGCCGACGACTTCAATGCCTTCGCCAGCCCGAATCTGGCTCCGCTGGCCACCATTTCCAGCCTGCGTACCAACGTGCAGTGGCACCTCGTGCATCGCCCCACGAGCGTTCACCCCTTCAGCATCCAGACCAACCTTGATACCGCGCACGTCGCCTGCCTGCGTGTCTTCCCAGGCATCAAGCCGGAGATGCTGGATGCGGTTCTACGCCTGGATGGTCTCAAAGGTCTCGTTCTGGAGACTTTCGGTGCCGGCAATGCCCCCGGTGGTCCTGACTCGGACATGACCAAGATTATGACTGACGCTGTCAAACGCGGCATTGTCATTGTCAATGTCACACAATGCCTCAGCGGAAGTGTCAGCGCTCTCTACGCACCGGCTACCGTCCTTGGCAGGGCTGGCGTTGTGTTTGGTCAGGACATGACAACCGAGGCAGCACTGACGAAGCTCTCTTACCTTTTGTCCCTGCCCGACATGACACCTGTCGAGATTGCCAAGAGGATGTCCGTAAGTCTCCGTGGAGAGCTGGAGGAGAGTGGTCGCACGCATTTCCAGCACCCAGACAGCGGTCTCATGAGCCCCGAGATTAAGAGCTTGGTGTCGTTGGGCTACATGATCAAGGATGGAGATTTCAATGGCGTCAAAGATGTCATAAGGCACGAGCCGAAATACCTGCTCAACGAGACGGATTACGCCGGCAACACACCCTTGGTGAGTCAATCATCCCTGATTTCACTCCGTTGTCCCTCCCGTTGAGTGGACGACGCTGCCACACGCTGCGCCCTCGGCCGTCTTAAGACAGTCTTCATGCGAGCACCCTGCATGTGAGCGAGACGTCCGTCCTTCCGGCCCACAGACGGGAAGCGACGTGGTCGGAGCAAGCTCCTCCTTCACCCATCAGCTCGAGGCAACCTCGCATCCAGCAACAGCCTCGGCGACTGGTCTGCAACCCACCGGAGAGGGATCGGAACCAGCGTGGCGCATGAGGAAAGGAGATTACCTTGCATGGCTGCTGACATCTCAACGGCAGCACTTGGCGGCATCCGGGCCGAACGTCGAGATCCTGCGCGAATTTCTGTCGCAAGGCGCGTCTGTCCACCTGCGCAACCGAGAAGGACACACGCCGCTCTATCTCGCGGCGCACGCGGGGCAAGGCGACCATGTGCGGCTGCTGCGCGAAGCGGGCGCGCATCTGCACGCCGAGGAGACGGCGTCGGCGTCGCTGCACGCGGTGGAGAAGGGGCGCGCTGAGGTCTGGCGGCTGGCAGGCGTCGGCGAGAACGGCACCGGGTGATGAGTCGTTGCGGCGGCGGTGGAGGGCGGGCGGCTCGGCTGTGCCGCATCGTTGCGCAATACACAGTTGCGGCTGACTGGTGGACGGAGTGCCGAGCGGCACACGGAACGGAGCTTCAGCATGTCCAGAGGAAGGTGGGAAAGCTACGAACCCACTGTAGATAGGGCAAGCGGGTGCAGCGCATGGTATTGTAGGTACGGCGGACGGGCCCTGTCAGACGAACATCATCAGACCAGGGGCGGCCGGGCTGCGGCGATCTGGCAGGCAATTTGCGGAGGAGAGGCGGCTCTCGTAAGCGAGCGCAGGCGAGCGGTGATGGTAATCTGGGGAAGCAGCAGGATGTACCTGCCGCTTGGATGAGGCCGGACCGTCGCGCGCGCGGGCGTAGCATTCCACGCGCGGTGGGCTGCGGGCAACAGCGAACGGCGAGGCAGCTCCGCGGAAATGCACGCCCGAGCGGGGGATGCGCGCGCTCCGAAATGGGATTCTGGGACCGCGACCTTGGACAACACGACCACGGCAGCGCGCAAGGGCCGCCCGCCCGCAGCGTGCATGGGGCGCTACGGCGCGGTGAAACGCGTTGGAGGCATCATGACCTGGGCCGGGCGTTAGTCAGCTGCCCTGCAGCAATCGCGATTGCAGCGCGGGCGGGGGCGGCATTGGCTCGTGGCCCGGCAGTCGCGCGGCAGGGGGAGCAGCAATAATCGAGCAATCGATTACCCTCGCGAAATGCGGTCTTTTGACAAACGCAAAGGGCCGTGGGCAGCGAAGTCGGCCCTGCGCGGCCTTCGGCGCGGCCGCGAGGGTGCCGCCTGGGTGCCGCCTGGATACCTGGGTACATATCCGTACATAGACGAGCGGCCGCGATCTGCTCGCGCTGCCGCACCGGGGGGCGCCCGCGGGGCCTTCTCCGAGTGCGGCAGCCCCAATCGAGCGCCGCAGCGCGCCACGACGCGCCGCAGGCGGAGAGCGAGAGAGTCGTGGAGGGCGCGCGAGCAGCTGGCGGGCAAGGGGCAGCCCGGCCTAGTTTTATTTTTGTACTGCCCACCGCCGGGGACCGGGCGTTGGCCGCGACTCATCCAGTGTATCTTCCCCGCATCCCGAGATGGCCACCCTGCCCTGAGCACACTTCGTCACCGTCCGTCCACGGCTGCATTGCGCTGCTGCTGCTCCGTCTCACGTCACAGCGCGCGCGCTCTCCAGACGCCACGATTCAGTGCAGAGTCAGCCGAGGTGCCCCGACACGCTGCTATTAGGTAATTGGGTAGGATTCATTGCCCTGATGCGCGCGCTGCCTGGCCCTATGTCCGCAAAATTCTCTGCCTCTCCTCCCAACACAGTCACGTTCCATGAGATAAATAGAGCCGGCCCGTTGCTCCCATGCGCCTGGGCCCTGTGTTCGTACGGGAAGGCGCCCTGCACCCTTGACCGTCCCTGTCTCTGCCCAAGAAGATAGCGCGCACATGCACGTACTGTCTGCTCAGGCCATGTCCAGCGCTGTCCGCCCGCCATTGCGCTCCCTCACCACCACCAGGATATAATTGCCGTGCCCGCCAGACGCCCCCTCAGTCCGACCAGCTCCCTACCACGCCCGCCAGCCGCCTCCAACAAGTCCCAGCCCGCTGTCACACCACGTTTCTGAGCCCGCCGCGTGCCCTCTGAAAATCTTTCTCACCGCTGCGGCCCTCCGCCCGTTCGCTCCGACCCCAGAACCGAGCTCCGCATGCAAGACAGAAAGACGGTCGTCACCATCAACAGCACCGGCCGCCAATCGGCAAGCTTCATCCGCGTCGCCGCCGCCGTTGGATGGCAGGTCCGCGCTCAGACGCGCGACACCCAGGGCATTGTTGCGCAGGAGCTGTCCTCGATTCCCGGCGTCGACCTGCGGGTGGGCTCCCTGGACGATGACCACTTCGTAGCCGACCTCTTCAAGGGCGCCCAGCTGGCCTTCATCAACACCACTCACTGGGGCGATGAGATCACAACCGGCCGCGCCGTGGCCATGGCCGCGAAGAAGGCAGGCGTGGAGCACTTCATTTACAGCAGCATGCCCGACCACTCCATCTACGACAAGGGCTGGCGGGCCCTGCCCCTCTGGGCCAACAAGTTCGCCGTGGAGAACTTCGTGCGCCAGATCGGCATTCCAGCGACCTTCGTCTACGCCGGCACCTACCACAACAACTTCACCAGCTTGCCCTACCCGCTGTTCCGCATGGAGTTGCAAGACGACGGCAGCTTCGAATGGCAGGCTCCATTCCACCCCCATATCCCCATTCCGTGGTTGGACGCCGAGCACGACGTCGGCCCCGCGATCCTGCAGATCTTCAAACAAGGCCCGCGCAAATGGGCAGGTCAGCGGTACGTCTTCGCCTTGTCTGCATGCCGTCTCACACACACAAAGGACACGCTTGCAACATGTCCTGCCTCTTCCAGCCCGGATGCGCAGATTTGCCCCACATGCTCCATTTGGTGGGAACTCGTTGTGCTGACGCCAATTCTTGTATGCAGAATCACACTAGCCTTCTCGCAGCTCACGCCGGTGCAGGTCTGCGAAGCCTTCAGCCGCGCGTTGAACCGGCCGTGCCGGTACGTCCGCGGGCCCATAACCTTCCACGTCCCGGTGCCGGTGGGGTATCGCGAACACCTCGAGATCCTTGAGGAAGTGCTGGGATGGCAGAACGCGCCGTACTTCGGGCCCGATCTGGAAGAGGACTGCACGCAGACGGCGCTGGAGCTGTGGGAAGGGTTCCGCGACATTGAAGAGTACGCGCGCGAAATCTTCCCCGTGGAGGAGAGGGCCAACGGCCTCACCTGGATGGACGAGGACGACACGGACACCCAGCCCGACGACACGCCTTCGGAGACGCCGATCAGAGACGTGGAGAATTTCTTCCAGGTCATGAACCTGTGAAGACACGGACACTCATGTCGCTTTTTCGGGGTAAGGCATATATTGCATTGCGTTGGCGTTCTTATTTTGCTGCGAATTCGTCGGTTTGGTGGTGGCATAAGAAAAAAGCTTTAGCGGATTGACTTTATTTTGCTTCTAAGATATATGGTGGCTTTCACTGAGCGCACCGTGGTATCTGACAAAAAAGAGGTTGTCTCCAGCACGATTCACGTGGTCACGATGGCATTTGGATTTCCTGTTCGGTTCATAGAGCTTGGATTCCGGTTGGAAGGTGGATAATGTCTGTTAGATACTGCAGCCTCTCTCCTCTTCGGTTTGATGGCTTGGGGAACACGTACGGCTGCGATTGAGTTATTCTAACACGGCAGATGTTCAGCGAAGCGCACCAAGTCCGTAAAGATGGCGTGGATAATGAGTTCGCAGATACGTAGAGGCGACATCTCACCCGCACAAATTTCACCTACCGTTCTTGAACAAGTCACCGCGTGTACATCATTGATCTTCATGGAAAGCCCTGTGGTATTGCCTTACTCGGTTAGGTCTGAGGTTCCACCCACTCGCCAACACCCATGAAGCCATACAAGGGCACGGCAACATTTTGGGGGCCCGAAGCAAGATAAGACTTTTTGCCGATCGCTCCCTGCATGCGACTCGCCTATCCCGATGCCCGTACCGCTCAATCCATCGACCCTCGTTGCTGGTCCTGCGCGGGAATGGCGGTGCTTAGTCAGCATCACGGTCATCTCGGCGGAAGTTTCAGGCTCGCAAAGACGCGGCCCGCCGCCGCCGACCACTCAACCCATTCACCCCACACGCACAATGGCAACACCCCGCTCGGCCGCACGGCCACTGGCCGCATGGAAACTCGCGCTGCGGCAGACTCGCGCCTCCAAGGTGCAGCGCCGCTGCTTCGCCGAGCTGGCGAATCGCCAGCCCAGAGCTCTGCACGCCAACGGCCTGATCAAGCGTACGTCTTCACCAAACACGCCCCAAAACAATCCCCAGGCGCCATGTACACACAAGTGTGGCTCGGCCCTCCAATTGCCAATCCGGAGTTCCCCCCCGCCATTCATCCCCGCCATTGACTCCCGGAAACAAGCATAGAAAGCTAATAAGAAGGGCGTCCGAGCCAACCACACATCCACAGAAAACAGCAAAGTCCACAACGCCATCAAGACGTACCCGCCGCCGCCGACGGCGGCCGCGCGGTGCAAGGACCCGATCGCGGCGGTGACCAAGGCGCAGCTGGCGACGCTGGACCCGACGGGGGCGCGGGCGCACCTCTTCGCCAAGACGAACCTGGAGGGGGCCAAGGTGGGCGACGTGCTGCTCGTGCGGCAGCGCAACGGCGACCCGTTCGCGGGCGTGTGCCTCAACATCCGCCGGCGCGGCGTCGACACGGCCGTGCTGCTGCGCAACCAGCTCACGCGCGTCGGCGTCGAGATGTGGTACAAGGTCTTCAGCCCCAACGTCGAGGCCGTCGAGGTGGTGCAGCGGCGCGAGAAGAGGGCCCGGCGGGCGAGGCTGTACTACATGCGCAAGCCGAAGCACGATCGCGGCAGCGTGGAGAATATCGTCAGGCAGTACCAGAGGCAGAGGGCGATGCTGAGGAGTGGCGGTGGTGCGGCGAGGGGGAGGGGTGCGAATGCTGGGAAGAAGTCGGGCAAGAAAGGGAAATAAGAGCGGTCAGGGGACGGGGTGTCGTGGGTGGGTTGAGTAATTGTGCTTTGGGCTTCACGGAGGGGAAGGTCGCTGCGCATGTATTATGGGTATCACATTTCGCCGAGGGAAAGCTTCCGGCCAGAATCCAAGGAGCTCGTTGGCTTGCAACGTACGAGATCATTGTGTGGCTTTTAGGAGAAAGGCGTGGGCGATATCAAAAGTCAAACACGGCTGAATGGGTAGGTGGACAAGCAAATTGGGGTTTAAAGCGGAGAGCAACTCCAACGGAGACAGAAACTCCGACGGACAACAAGGGCTCCGGGTTGTGTTCTGCAGAGGCGAAAGGTGTCGGTAAGATTCGGGGCGGAATGCAATGCTGACAACAGGAATAGAAGGGCTGGACGATGAAGCGGGCCGGCGCCACAAGCCCACTTTCGAAGTTGTTGGGGGCTCAGCACACGGGGCTCGTGGAATAAGCGCTCATGTTTCTCGGTATCGATGCGTGTAGCAAGAGCACTGCATCCGGGTTGTGGCAGGATTCCAGGTTGTCGCGGAGAAACAGTCGCGCAGCGCTACGCCCTTATCTGCAACAACGCACTCCTGGCTACGCGGGCTCTCGACCGCGTCCGGATCAATGGCCCGCGCAGAGCGGTGGAGCCGTTCGAACGGGGACTAGGCATCCGATCCCCCGCAGTGCGTGTTCCATGATGAGAGCAACGCGGTCGGGAATGTGCATGGCGTCGGACGGAAGCGAGAGCTGTGAGCGAGGCATAACTTGGCATAAGCCGCACGGGACCGCGCGTTGAGGACTGGCTGCCGCAGTTGGCTAATCAGCAGCGCCGCATCGCGCCCTACCCACGGCCGTGCGGAGCGGACAGAGGCGCAGAAAGGGTCCTGGTCGCACGAGTCAGTTCATGACGGCATCCGCGAAGAATGAGTCGGCCTGATCGGCCTGAAAACCCTAGTTGTTGTTGCATCCCAACATTTTTACCTGCTCGCCTCCCACGTTATTTGTGCATACTTAAACGCGCCGTCGGTCCAGCTGCGTCCCCTCAAACATTCCCCCCCCTCAGACCTCTCCCCCGAACACCCACCGCTTTCCAAACAATTCCACCGAAATGGCTCCCTCCGCCACCACCACCGCCGCCGCCGAGCAGACGACGGACGTCACCTACGAGGACCTGATCCAGTTGGAGCAGGAATTCGAGGACGCCGACCTCCAAATCAGTACGCCTGCTTAGCTTCTTCGGCGCACTGTGCAGCCGCAGCTAACACCGAGCCTCGACCTGTAGTCCGCCACCAGTACAAGATCACCCAGCCTCTCTTCGCAAAGCGCCACGAAGTGATTTCCAAGCTGCCCAACTTCTGGGCCCTGGTGTTCGAGCAGGTGCCGCCGGAGCTCGACAACTTCATCCAGCCCTCGGACTCGAGCATTTTCGCCGACTGCCTGAAGAGCATCGAGGTGACGCGCTTCGAGATCGACGACCCGGCCGGCTCGCCGCGCAGCTTCTCGGTCAAGTTTGGCTTCAGCCCCAACAAGTACTTCGACAACGAGGTGCTGGAGAAGAAGTTCTGGTACCGCCACTCCCTCGACGGCTGGTCCGGCCTGGTGTCGGAGCCGGTCAAGATCAACTGGAAGAAGGGCCAGGACACGACTGACGGCCTCACCGACGCCGCCGTCGAGCTGTTCGACGCCCGCAAGACGCTGTCGGCTGACAAGGTGAAGTCTGAGTTCAAGAAGCTGCCTCAGTACAAGAAGCTTCTGGAGAAGATGGAACTCAGTGAAGAGGGCACTCTCAGCTTCTTCACCTGGTTCGGCTTCGTTTCGGTGCGCCCTTTCGTTGCCGCCGAGGAGTCGGCCAAGGCCATCAAGAAGGAGGCTGAGAACCGGACCAAGAAGTCCAAGGGTGAGAAGGTCGAGGAGAACAACGAGGACGAGGACGAGGACGACGAGGAGATTCAGCTGTTCGCCGAGGAGTCTGAAGTCTTCCCTACGGGCGACGAGCTGGCCACGCTCATTGCCGAGGACATCTGGCCCAACGCCATCAAGTACTTCAGTAAGTGACGGCTTTCCAGCAATCAGTTGCGCCGCATGCTAACCGAGATCAGCTTCTGCCCAGGAGGCGGACGACGACCTCTCCTCAATCGAGGACATTGAAGAGATCGAGTTCGACGACGACGAGGACGAGCCGGTTGATATCCGCGCCCTCGTCGGCAAGGGAAAGAAGGAGAAGAACGGCGAGAGCTCCCCTCCTGCGAAGAAGCGCCGCACCTAGAAACGCTACTTGCTTGAATATGACTGGAATGTATTGGATATAAGCACGATATAACAACAAAACAAAGCTAGATACCCGGGGTAAGAATCGAGGGAAATGGACTCGGCGGATCGACACGGAACGGTTGGCATGACGGAGACTGATTTGGATATCACCTGGGTGAGACAAGCTCTACTTGTCCTGTAATTAACAGTGTGTATACAATTGATTGGCGCTGGCGTTTAGACTTGAATTACGTCGTCCTTCTCATTCCGCACTTGGTCGTGCAGATTGCTATTGTACGGCTGCTGGGCGGTGTTGGGCTGACCCGCCCCCAGCCTGATTCGGGCGCGGAGTCGCCTCTCCGTCTTTCTCCCCCGCCAGGGCACAGCTTGGCACGCCAGGAACAAGCAACGGATCGAAACAGTCCTTGACTTGTTTATCCGTAGCGCGGCTCTTGTTGGTCCTTCCAATGCATCATGGTCATCGTCTCCACGTTTTCCCGGCTCGTCCGTGGCCTGCCCATGCCGCATGGCGCCCGACTCTTCATCCGAGCTCAAAGCTTCTTTCTCCACCGTGCCTCTTTTCTACCTTGACCCCGCTCTCCGCCGCACGAGCATCATGCCGCATCACGCCGCGCACAATACTGACTCTCCGCCTCACCGCATAAATATGCCCGTCCGCCGCTTCCGTCCGGTCATGAGAGACCCCCCGACTCCGCCCACCGACTGTCCGCCATGCCTTCCCTCGTCCTCCCCGTCCTGCTGGTCTCATCCGCTATCGCTGGTGCCCAATTGACTTTCAATGAACCAGCGGGCAGCTATTCGACAAAGACTTATGCCGTCCCCGCTGTCGAGACGGAACACAGACCCAACACCGACTACTCAGACCAAGCATTGGCCTTCTTGTGGGATCAGGTAGGACCCATCTCCACTGGTCCTGTCACCACAACCGTCCAGCCTACGCCCGAGGCCACCGTGCACCCTGGCCCAGGACCCATCCATCCGCTCGTCCCAAGCTACGACGCGAACCTCACCAGCCTCAAGCTGCCCAAGGGGTTCAAATGGGGCGTGTCTTCCTCCTCCTACCAGATCGAGGGGGCTGCCGACGCCGAGGGCAAAGGCCCCAGCATCTGGGATCTTCTGTCTCACCGCGTCCCCAACTTCGTCGCCGACAACACCACCGGCGACGTTGTGGCCAGCCATTACTGGCTATACAAGCAGGACATCGCGCGTCTGAAGAGCCTAGGGATCCCGTCATTCAGCCCCAGTATCAGCTGGCCGCGTCTCTTTCCCTTCGGCAAGGGCCCCGTCAACCAGCAGGCCGTGGCTCACTACGACGATGTGATTTCGGAAATGGTAGCCAACGGCATCAAGCCGAAGGTGACCTTGTTCCATTGGGAAACGCCATTGGCTCTCTTCAACGAGTATGGGGCGTGGACCTCGCCGGAAGTCGTTGATGATTTTTTCAACTATGCCAAGTTCGTCATCTCCCGGTATGACGAGTACGTCGAGGATTGGTTCACTATCAACGAGCCGCAATACTGCAATTGGCAGTATTCCGTCTACCCTGCTGGCGACTACTATCCCGCATACAACAACTATACTGGAGGCCTGCCGACCCGCTTCATCTGTGGCCACTATACCCTGCTCGCTCACGCAAAGGTAGCGAAATGGTACAAGGAGGAATTCAAGGTGCGTTTTCCCAAGGCTTTGGCCATCTGGATTGCAAGGTACTCAACGTCAACAGGGCACCGGCAAGATAACTTTCAAGAACTCTGGAAACTACTTCCAACCAAATACCTCCTCCGAGGCAGACGCTCTTGCAGTCCAGCGCAGCTTTGATTTTGTGCTTGGCTGGTTTAGCGGACCCTGGACAGATGGCGACTACCCCCAATCTCTGAAAGATACTCTAGGCGATATCCTCCCAGAGTACACACAGGAGGAGAAGGATTTGATCAAGGGCTCGTGCGATTACTTTGCCATCGACGGCTACTCATCTTACATCGCATATGCCATTGATGACTACGAAAGCTGCATCACAAACTCGTCCCACTCTGCGTACCCTACCTGTGCGGGCAGCACCAACGTTGCACCAGACGGCTTCCCTCTTGCTCCTGCTGCCGATCCCGGAGTTTCTTGGTTGATCGATGCGCCGCAAGGGCTGCGTCGATTCCTTTCCAAGATCACGAAGGACCTTTACCCCTCTGTCAATGAGATCATGGTGACCGAGTTTGGGTTTGCGGAACCCTTCGAGTCCCAGCTCGACGATCTCAGCACCATCCTTTGGGATATTCGACGCGCTGACTACTTCCAGTCCTATCTGGACGCCATCCTCCAGTCGATCCACTATGATGGGGTGAACGTGACGGGCGCCTTTGGTTGGGCTATCTTCGACAACTTTGAATGGCTGGTTGGTCTTAACACTAGATTTGGGCTTCAGTATGTCAACTACACCGACTTGACGAGGACGCCGAAGGCTAGCATGTTCCAGTTCGTCAACTGGTTCAAGTGAGTGGACTGTTCCTCTCCATCCGCCCTAAAGCATGAGCGCTGACCATATCACTCACCAGACAACATGAGTATGGGGACGAGCCGTCCAACACAACAGTCAAGCTATTGTAGAAGGCAGATGTTGCTGCTAGGTTTCCCCAGCTTCGTCTATTCATGTTTCCGCTGCGGTTGGCAGCTTCGAGTAATGATATGAGTTATATGCCTCCCCTGGCTCCTGCGAAGTGACGGAATGTTGAGCTCGCACAATTGAAATCACAGATAGAACCGGATGGTGAGGGTGGTTGAATGTTGAGATTAACCCACATACGTTGAAGGCTGAGATACAAGGCTGTTCTCAAACGCAAACGTCTCCAGTTACTTCAGAATTCCTCCCTCACACGTCTCGAAAGGCCGAATCCAAACAGCCATGATCATTCACATCGTCTCAATCTCCCCCGTCATCATAATCATCATCATCGTCATCGTCATCATCATTACCCCTACAACATCTCCTCCAACTCCGTCCGAATCGACATCTGCGCCCCCCTCCATATCAGACACGAGGTGCTCTCCTCCATCCACCTCTGCAAACACTCACTCCATAACCAATGCCCGCACGCCAACGCAACGGTATCATCCCACCGCTCTTTCTCCATATCTTTCTCCTTCCCGGGGCCTACGAAGCATTACCCATCCTTTCTAGACCGCTAAAGCCAGCTTACAGCCGTAGGTGTTGGGATGCAACTACTAACTCCAGTAGGCAGTAAAATATCCGGTACAACAAACTTCCAATGGTCAGCTTCCGTTGTGACTCACTGCAGCACTTATGGGTTGCTTTCACACACACACTCTCTCTCTCTAAGATACTGATGCTTGCATTGTTTCACTCCACCTAATCCTTACTAACCCATAGTCCCTCCGCTTCGACCTCGACCCCAGTCGCCCCCAACCCACCTAGTCCAATCCGCCGCCCCCTCCCCCCCCGGGCCTAACCATAACATTTCCCGACCAACCAACAGCCAGCCAGCCAGTCCAGCCACCCAACCCTCTCAATCATCAATCATCACTCTCCGCATCCCCATCCTCGCCGCTATCGCTCCCCCCCACCAGAAACGCCTCTTCGAGCGCCCCCTCCTGGCTCCTCTCCTCCCTCGTCTTCCGGCACGGCGTGTCCAGCTTCAGCACCATGGCGTCGTGCCACTCCTTGATGCTGCTGCGCAGCCGCTCGACGCGCTCTTCCAGGTTGCCGCGCGGCATGTACCACTCCGACGGCTGCACGTGCTGCCGCTCGGACGCCCAGTCTCCTCCCGTTTGAGAAAGAAAACAGCTGGTGGGGGGGTCGACTTCGGCTTCGTTGTTGTCGTTGTTGTTGGTGTTGGTGTTGTTGTCGGCGATGCCGATGCTGCTGTTGCTGCTGCGTTTGTGGCTCGTGGCCGTCGTCGTGTCGTCCGTCGTCGTCGTGGCCCACAGCAGGGTGGATGTGGGTCGTTTCCTGTGGCTTCTGGCGCCGAGGACGGAGTCGGTTCGGTCGGGGCGCGACGGGTGGGGTGCGGACGCGGGGCAGGCGGGTGCCGGCGCTGGTTCGGCCGGGTGAGGTGATGTCGAGACGCAGGGGTAGTGGGTGATGGAGTAGCGGGGCCGCTTTGAACGCCCCGAGGTCGCCTTCATCTCCAAGGGCGCGTCGGAGTCGTTGAGGTCGGTTGAGGAGGCCGCGTGGTGGGGCTGGACGACGATGTACTCGTCGTCGCTCGTCATGATGGTGAGCTTGGTGGTGTGACTGAGTGGTAGTGAGGATTCGCTCCGGCGCGACTTCAGCTGCACGTCAACGGGCGGTGGGCGTGTGGGTATGTAGAATTCTGTATCCTCGAAGACATCGCTAAGAGACCTTCCAAGGCATGTTGCTGTCCGTGGCCTTGAATTGGAAACTCCCACCATGTTCACCTGGGTTGGACTAATGGCCAGCTCAGCCTCACAGTCGGGCAGAACCTCCCAGGCAGGGACGTTTCTGCGCCAGAGGGGGAGGGACGAGTACCACCCGGCGGTCAGACTCTCTTTAAGTTTTTCTGGCTTAGGTTTCTTCTCTTTCTTCCGCCGGGAATCGGCCGATTTGGTGGGTGACGCAGTATGTGAACGCTTGTTGGCTTTCATGATTTCTCCCAAGTCCTGGAGCCCTGGGGTAAGAGTGAACAGAGGCCGTCGTTTGCGGCAAGGTTGCAGATCCAGCATGCCTTTGTTGGGCGGCGAAACCGTGGGCACATCGGGAACCCGGCATACAGACAGCTTAATCTTAACTCGGAGGTTACGCTCGAAGACAACGCGGCCGGGGAAGAAGCGCTGGCTCACGACAGCCACGTCCACATTGAGGCATGTGCTTACTCCTGCTTCTCCGAGGCCTGGAATCGGCCGAACATAGCCGCGAAAGCCCTCCACGTTGGTGTCCCACTCAAACTTGACCCAATCCGAAGCAAGACGATATTCTGGGCGTCCAAGGAACGAAGAATAGCTTGGATCGAGGGCTGGCTCCACATAAGCGGGGCGGATCTCGCACCAAGCTTGCTCCCTTGTGAAGGCGTCCAGTCGACTGAATCCCATGACGGGACCGAAGCGCTTCAGGACACCAACGACAGCGGGCTCGTTCTGGGCCGAGAGAGCGGCGGAAAAGGTGACTTTGATTGTGGGATGAAGAGGCGAGTCGAGAAAACAGTCACGGGTGCGTAGAAACTCGCACAGCGCATTGTAGAAGTTGCCGCCAGAGGAAAGCCATTGATGTTGGCATCCATGACGCTTGTAGAGCTCCAGCATGCAATTTATGATTTCTCGAACGTTTACTGGGAACGTCTTGGCACCTAGCTTGGTGATAAAAGTGCAGATGCGGCCATCTAAGTCGCCCGGGTAACGATCTGCGGGTCGAATGCTGTGAGCAACCAGAACAGCACGGACAAAACAAAAGCATAGTTACCAATGCTGCACTCATCCATGTCATCCACGAGGTCGATCAAATGGTTTGAGACGGTGTACTCGAGGACAGCTGCGAACATGTCTTCCCAGAATTTCAGCTCTTTGGCGTGAGCGGTGGACAACGACCTCCAGGTTGACGTCATGTCGAGATGGCGAACTTGGCGGTCTTTGCTGGAGCCATATTGGTGAAACTCGGGAACGTAGAGGTCAAGGTAGGAGTCCCTCGTGGGCATGGTATCAGATTCAAGACGGAAGTGGATCTTTCGCAGAGGCTGGGGCTCGCTGCACAGGTTGCGGAGCCTGGACAGCTCGACACCGTACACGTGGGAGCGCTCCATTGTCGGGAAGGCTGCTTGCGAAGTATGTTGACGGAAATGCTTCAAGGAGGTATAGAAATCGCTGTTCGCAATACGGATAGCGGTGGGACTGGACGTCGGCGTGCAGTCTCGATGGAATGCACCCGAGAGCTGGTCGAGACAGCGCTCTGGCTGGAACACACGCGTCTGCCGTCTGCCACAGCCTCGCCCCTGCCGCCTGGCGAGAAGGCAAGTGCCGCCGCTCGCGACTTACAGGTCGGTTTGCTTCACACCGCATCCATGCTTGCCCTTGTCGTGAGCTGCTCATTCTTATTGCCCAACTTGGAAATCTGCAGGAACACATCGACGCCGTAGCCTTCCAGGCTGTGCAGCTCCAGACTACCTGCCCAGTATTCGGCATAGATCCTACTCATCGGCAAGCCGATTCCCAGGCGCAAATCGGGCGGCCGGCTGGTCAGTTGGCTGAGGGAGCCATCGTGGTGCTCGCCTTCTACGCGAGGCTTCACGTCTTGCATGGTTGCTGCCAGCTTTGGCACCCTCGACAAGTTCTCAATACGGAGCTTGCTGCGGGGCCCCTTGCTAAATGACCAGAGATAGGGAAGCACGTCCTTTGGGACGCCCCCTCCCTGGTCGGAAATACGGATAATGACATGCTGCTGAGTCTCACAGATAAGCACCTCAATCGGCGGCGGCTTTTCCCCCTTGTCCTTTGTCTGCTCAATGACGGCCTGGATAGAGTTCCGCAGGAGTTCGCCAATGATGTATTCCAGGTGCGTGAGAATGTAGGGGAAGGTCGCAGTGATATGCCCCTCCACCCTGATGTCGGGGAGAGGGATGTCAGACCCATACGTCTTCCTCATCAGATCCTTGGTGGCATTTGCGCAGTGCTCAACAATCTCCTTGGCGTTGCACTTTAGAAAGATCTCACCTACAGAGTCCGTATGCGGATCGTGCTTGAACTTTGCGTCAGGAAAATGCCACGGCGAGTGGAAGGTTTCTGTGAGAGAAAGATGCTGCTCGGCAATCGTGCGGCGGGAAATTCGCTACACAAAGTCAGTGAAGGGATTTCCGAGCAGCTGCGGGCCGGCGTACCGATCTGAGCAGTGTGGTCATGAACTTGTCTGTCTCTTCGGGCTTCATGGCGCCCTGGACCTCCAGCACGCCAATGGCCAACCGCGGGATGACGGTTAGGTGCTCGTTCAGCGTCTCTCGAATGACCTTGCACAGCTCATCGTTGTCCTCGACGCTCTTGACCGTGGGGATGCGGCGATATCTCTCGAAGGCGCGGTAGTAGAGCTCATAGACATAGGAGATGTTTGGATTGGTAACGACGAAGTATGGAAGCGTCTGCATGTCTCGAAGGCGGTGGGCTATGCTAGACGGGCATCAGCGTCGTACCAATCGACGGCACCGGGGAGGCAGACCGCGTGGGCAGCTCGGTGCGGACGTAATTCGCAGAGCCCAGCAAACGCGCTTCGGTGAGGCGGGCGCCGAAGAAAGTCAACTGGCGCAGGCTGATGGGGCGGGCCTCGCGTTGCACCCAGCTTGGTCGCGTCAGCGGGCAACACAGTAGCTGGCGAGAGGTGCGCGCCTACTCATCGAGGACCGAAGACGGCCGCCACGGAGGAGCGCCGGAGAGCTTGATGGTGCTGAACCCGCGGGCCCTGAAGCTCGCTGGGGGGACGCCCGCGCGCATGCTCTTCTGCGCACGCACGCAGCGGCCTAAAGCCATGGCGGCGAACGCTGTGGGTTGCGGGGCTCTTGAGCAATGTCTCGAGTACTGGCGTTGCTCGCGGGATGGGTAGCGGAGGAGCTTCGTCGGGCGTCTGGCGTCTGGCGCAGCGGAGGCTTCGAGAGAGGGCTTTGCCTTCAGCAGGGCGCAGGGGGTTCGGCAGCGGCCTTCAGCAGGAGTGCATACAAACGCAGCAGTGTGGTGTGAGAGTGATGCTAGCTTGATGTTAGCTCCGGTGTGCAGCGTCATGCCCTGTTAAATTTCGAGCCGCGCTGACTCGTGCCGGCTGCCTGTGCCTGCTTATCGAGGCGCCTATCGATACTGCGCCAGAGCTGCTACCTGCGCTGCGTGCAGCCGCGAGCCAGGCAGCGCCGCAGCATTGGCTGGCGCGACAGGCAGGCGTGGGCACGCGGGCGGACGCAACTTCTGCAGGCTGGGGGCGTTGGCAGGCTCGCGAGTGCTTTCGATCGACTGCGGGAGACGATAAGTTGCAGAACACCGCGGCGCCCTAGCGTCTGACGGCAGCCACGGCCACCACCTCCCGTCAAACGTCTCCCCCGCGCCCGCCCAAAAACACGGCCTGTCTGCGCCAGAACCCCTTCCTCGCTCCATCTCCCTCTGCTGCAACCCTAGATCACAGGCCGCGGCGCTTGCGGCGACGACAAAGACCCGCCCCGGCGTCCTCGGCCACCCGCTTCGTCATTGTGTTCCCCGCCACGCCTTAGCGAGCCAGAGCCGTACCTTAGCTTGCAACTTTACATGATCAGGCCTGCCCACCTCTGTCTGCTCACCTCACCACCCACGCCCGCCCGCGCATCCGTGTGCGACGCCGCCCAAGCCCGCGTATCGCCGTCCATTGCTCCGCTCTGTCCAGTCCCTGCCGGCTCTCGTGTGACGCCACCAGGGCGCAGACGTCAGGTCCGCCGACGAGCTCACTGCCTGCAAATCCCCAGACCTATCCCACGCCACCCCAGCCATGGACCAGGTAAGCCTGCCTTCTTCCTTTTCCCTTGCACCGGTCCTGCCCGTCCTCCGCGCCTGCTCGCATGCCCTGGTCAGCAGTTGGCTTACTCTCGCGCCTGCGCCGCCCCCAACAGCTCGGCAGTGACATGCTCGTCGACGCCGAGTATGAGGAGAAGCAGGATGTTGCCATTATCTCTCCCGACGATGCCATGGACGAGGCCGAGCAGGAGCCCAAGCCGCGCGCCGACGACCTCGAGGCCATGAAGAAGGCCTACCTGCCCGAGCTTCCCGACCTCGAGACCGAGGCCGAGGCTGCTCACACATGGGAGATCAAGGAATGGAGAAATATGGCCCGCCGGGAGCATGGCCCAGTCTTCAAGTGCGCAGACCACCCGTGGCGGATACTGTTCTTCCCGTACGGAAACAACACGGATCACGCCTCCTTCTACCTCGAGCAGGGCTTCGAGGACAAGGCGCCCGAGGATTGGTACGCCTGCGTGCAATTCATGCTGGTGCTATGGAATCCCAACGACCCTACCGTCAACATCCAGCATTCTGCAACCCACCGCTTCACGGCCGACGAGGGCGATTGGGGTTTCACACGCTTCGCCGAGCTCCGCAAGCTCTTCCAGGCGCCCTGGGACGACCGCGATCGCCCGCTGGTCGAGAACAACAGCGCCAACGTCACCGCATACGTCAGGGTTATCAAGGACCCTACCGGCGTCCTCTGGCACAACTTCGTCAACTACGACTCGAAGAAGGAGACTGGCATGGTTGGACTAAAGAACCAAGGTGCCACCTGCTACCTCAATTCCCTTCTCCAGTCGCTGTACTTCACCAACGCTTTCCGCAAGGCCGTCTACCAGATTCCCACCGAAAACGAGGCAGAGCGCAGCAACAGCGCCTATGCCCTGCAAAGACTCTTCTACCAGCTACAAACCAGTAATGTTGCAGTATCCACCAACGAACTCACTGCATCCTTCGGCTGGGACTCCAGGCAGATCTTCGAGCAGCAGGACGTCCAGGAACTGTCCAGAATTTTGATGGAGCGCATGGAGGAAAAGATGAAGGGCACCGAGGCCGAGAATGCACTTGCCAAGATGTTCGTGGGGAAGATGAAGACTTACATCTCGTGCATAAATGTTCCCTACGAATCATCGCGCATCGAGGACTTCTGGGACATCCAGCTGAATGTTAGCGGTAATAAGAATCTCGACGATAGTTTCAAGGACTATATCCAGGTTGAAACCATGGACGGCGAGAATAAGTATTTCGCTGAGGGCTATGGTCTTCAAGACGCCAAAAAGGGCGTTATCTTTGAGAGCTTCCCGGACGTCTTGCATCTCCAGCTGAAGCGTTTCGAGTACGACTTCAACAGGGATGCCATGATGAAGGTCAACGACCGTTACGAATTCCCCGAGGTCTGGGATGCTGCGCCATACCTATCCGAGAGCGCGGACAGATCAGAACCCTATCTCTACCACCTCCATGGCGTTCTTGTGCACAGCGGAGATCTCAACGCCGGCCATTATTACGCTTTCTTGAAGCCCACAAAGGACAGCCCCTACTTCAAGTTTGATGATGATCGCGTCACACGCGCAACCGTCAAAGAAGCTCTGGAGGAGAACTTCGGAGGCGATTATACAAATCTTGCCAATGGCAACGCTCAGCAACGGAACCCGTACACCCGTACTTGGTCGACTAAGAGATCCATGAGCGCCTACATGTTGGTATACATCCGGGAGAGCCGTCTGGATTCTGTTCTCCCAGGGGACGAAGAAGTGCAGCCCCCTGCACATTTGGGTATGTTGGATTGCAGCCTTATCCAGCCATTGCTAACAGGTGCCCAGCACAAAAGTTCGCCGAAGAGCGGGCAGCCTTCGAGAGGAAAAAGAAAGAGCGCGAGGAGATGCATCTGTACCTGCATGTCGCCGTGGCTACTGAGAAGAACTTCACTTCCCACCAGGGATTCGACGTAGCGCCGTGGTCCAAGGATGTCGAAGGCGACGCATCACCGAAGACGCACAAGGTTTTGAGAACCATGACGATTGCTGATTTCACCAGTCTCGTAGCTCAGGACATAGGCGTTGAACCCAAGCTCCTCCGGCCTTGGGCTATGGTCAATCGGCAGAATGGAACGGTTCGTCCCGATGCTCTGATCGGCGTCCCTGAGATGACTGTCGAAGAAGCTGCCACCAAGTTCGGCACCAAATCGGGCAACTTCAAGATATGGATGGAGCAAACGAACGAGACGGATGCTGAAGGCAACGCTGTGTTTGGCGATGTGCACGTTGACCTCCACGGAGTTGCGAACAACAGGCCGATCATGCTCTATTTGAAGTATTTCGATCCGGACGAGCAAACCCTCTTTGGAATCGGCACCTTCTACGCAGCCTGGCAGGACAAGGTCATGGACCTGTCTCCGCAGATTTTGAAGCTTGTGGATCTCCCAGCCGGCACTAACTTGAAGCTGTTTGAGGAAATCAAGTCGAACATGATTGAACAGATGAAGCCCAAAGTCACTCTTGCTTCGTCGGAGATCCAGGACGGTGACATCATCACGGTTCAGAAATCGCTATCCGAAAAGGAAGCGGCGGCCATCTCCAGCACTGGTCGCTACACCGATGTCAGAGAATTCTACGACTACCTGTTGAACCGAGTACACGTGCACCTCGCCCAGAAGGGCCAGGACAAGGACAACGACACGAGTTTCTACATGTGGTTGAGCAAGAAGATGACATATGATCAGTTTGCCGCCAAGGTAGGCGAGCATCTCAAGGTGGACCCCACACACATTCGTTTCAGCACAGTCAACATCTCCACTGGAAAGCCTAAATTGCCGATCAAGAGGACAGCAAACGTTACGCTCAGTCAAATACTCTATCCCAGTGCGTACCCGACGTATGGCAACGCGCACAACCAGAGGGTAGATGCCCTGTACTACGAGATTCTCGAGTACAGCTTGTCCGAAATGGATCAGATGAAGAGCATCAGGGTTTCCTGGCTACCCGAAGGCGTAACAAAAGAAGAGCAGTACGACATCCTTGTAGCCAAGATGGGGACCATGGAAGACTTGATCAAGGGCCTGCAGAAGAAGGCCAGCTTGGACGATGCAACGGCCGCCAAGGTGCGCCTTTATGACGGCTCAAGTAATCGCTTCAAGCAGGAAATCCCACGAGACAAGGGAGCATTGAGCATTCCCGAGTTTGCCACTCTGTATGCGGAGAAGTTGCCGGAAGAGGAATCTACAATAGACAGTGAGGCCGGTGACAGCATTATCCCGTGCTTTCACTTCGACAAGGAGCCGACCAAGCCGCACGGGATCCCCTTCGTCTTCGTGGTCAAGGCTGTAAGTATCACTGTCCCCGGTCAGCTTGGAACATGCTAACATCGAATCAGGGCGAGGCTTTCAAGGATACCAGGGAACGCCTCTCCAAGCGCACTGGCATCAAGGGCAAGCAGCTCGAAAAGATCAAGTTTGCTGTGGTGGTGGGCAACGGAGGGTTTCCCAAGGCCGAATACGTCGAGGACGGTAAGCAAATCGAAGCCATGGGTACGGGTTGTTTTCTGACTTGTGACGCAGAGGACATTCTTGCCGAGAAGATTAGCAGCCACCAGGAGGACGTTTCTCTAGGCCTGGATCATGTCAACAAAGCGCGCTCGACGTGGGGCAAGTCGGACTCGATCTTCATCAAATGATGAGACGAGTGCAGTGCTCGCGCGTTTCGGGAATTATTGCATAGGGCGCTGGATAATAAAGGGCCGGGGACGGGACAAGGCAGGGTTGGGGGCGACGGCCTGGATTGATTGCGGGATGAATTGATTAGCGATACAGTTTTTTGAAGGAGGGCGGGTGCAGAAAGGAAATGCTCGTTGCGTGCATAGAGACGGCGTCCGCTTCCACTTCTCCTTCACCTTCCTCAACGTTTTCCATGGTTGCACACCCGGGCATCTGTCACCGCGGATACCCAGGCGGGGGTACATGTAGAACTTTGGCAATGACATCTTTACCTTGCTGCAACTCGCTCTGGGTTGAGAATGGCACCACTGATATAAAAAAAAAAGAGGAAGAAAGCGTCAATGAAGCCTGGTCGATTAGTAGCGTCTCCGCTCTCACAAGCTCACGGGGTTTGGCCGGGGTTTAGCCGGGTGATCCCTATCCGCGACACCTGTCCGCCAGGAGCTCCGACCGCGACGAAGCTGGCACGACCGACAACCGCCCTCCACTCTGTTCCTCACCCTCCGCCGCCAAAATGCACGCTGCACTGCTCCTCTCCTCCCTGGTGGCCTTTTTCGCCACGGCCGGGTCCTCGACCGCCCTGACCTACAAGCTTGCTGCCAACGAGAAGTCGTGCTTCTTCGCCCACGTCAACCAAAAGAGCGCCAAGGTCGCCTTCTACTTCGCCGTACGTTTACGCTCATACTCAAGCCAACAATGTCTTGCCAATCGCTTTTCGACCATGTGGACCACGCCGTGGTGGCGCGAGGGCGTCTCATGCTACAGTTACGGGCGATAACTTGAGTGCTGATGGAAGGTTATTTGTAGGTCCAATCCGGTGGCAGCTTCGATATCGATTATGAGGTCGTCGGCCCCAACGAGTACAGCGTAATGGACGGCACCAAGGAGCGCCAGGGCGACTTTGTCTTCACGGCAAACAACCCGGGCGAGTACCGCTTCTGCTTCAACAACGAGATGTCGACCTTCGCCGAGAAGATCATCGACTTCGAAATTGCAGTATGACGCCGCCGGCACCACCCAATGGCGGAAACGAGGCCGAGACAGCCACTGACGCACAGGCTTACAGGTCGAGAACGAGGAGGCGCGGGCGAAGCTCCCGTCGAAGCAGGGCACATCACCCGAACAGACTTCGGTGCTTGAGGAGTCGATCCTCAAGCTGTCGTCGCAGCTCTCCACCATCAACCGCAACCAGAAGTACTTCCGCACCCGCGAGAACCGCAACTTCAGCACCGTCCGCAGCACCGAGCGCCGCATCTTCAACTTCAGCATCATCGAGGGTGTCATGATGGTCACCATGGCCGGCCTGCAGGTCTTCATCGTGCGTTTCTTCTTCCAGGGCGCCAGGAAGGGTTACGTGTAGTCGGGACTTGGGACGGGGTTCTGAAGGGAGCATGTACTTGTGTGGGTTGGACAGGCATAGTTGCTTGCAAGTCGGCAGGGCTGGTGTGGGTTGTATCATACAAGAACAAAACACTGCAGCTTGGGTTTAGCATGTGATGCTAGCGCCACGAAAATGCGGCGTACGGCATGACGATGGGATGCCTGGCTTTGGGCGTTCGTGTGGCATGGATGTCAAACTATTTTATTTGAAGAATGCGGAATGAACAACAAGTGCAGCGTAGAACATGAAATTCAAAGCGTCATCCGAAACCAAGTATTTTGCATGCGACTGACCTAAGTGTGGCGCGGAGGAGACGCCCTTCCTGGCCTAAGATTCTAGAAGCTTTCCCAGAAACGCAACTTACTCGCCGGCACGTGCGGCTGGCGGGACGACGTCACTCGACTGGCACCTGCCAGATCGGCACGCCTGCGGCCTGACAGTGATCAACTACACCTCCATCGCTCGGGTTCCGCGGTCGGAAGCGCGCTGGATCCACCGAACCCTCCCCAACGGGCGCCATTCCTGCGGTAGATCAGCGTAGCAAGTACAACACGGAATCCACCACGTCTCGCACCACCACCTCGGGCCAATCATCAACCATCAGCCGCGGCTCCATCCATCCACCCTCCTCAACCACCTAACACAGCCGCCGCAAAACATCGCATACGCGCTTTCTTTCTCCTCTCACACCCCCGAGGAAAACACAGCCAAAAAAGAAAAAGAGAAAAAGAGGGGAGAGAAGCAACCGCGCACCACCGAAAGAAAGAAAGAAAGAGAGAGAGAGAGAGAAATGTTCTCAGCCGTAACGTCGGCCCTCCAATCCATGTGGCGGGAGGCGACGGCCGACCTGCAGCTCCCGCCGTCGCTGCTGCAGCAGCCCCTCGTGCGCGGCGTCGTCGGCGCCGCCTACCACCACTACGGCGCATCGTCATCGTCGTCGTCGTCATCCGGGGGCCCGTCCGCCACGTCGCCGTCCCGCTCGCCCATCGACCACGCGTACCTGCCCTCCCCGTACGACGTCCAGCACGCGCGGCTCGTCCTCGTGCGCGGCCTCGGCCTGCCCGTCGAGCTCGTCGACCTCGTCATCGACGCCGCGCAGTACTGGCCCGCCGTCGTGGGCACCACCGAGGCCGTCGGCGCCGTGTCGTTGCGGTCGGGGACGGGTGGCGGTAGCAGCAGTGGTGGTGGGGCCTCCGGCGGTGGTGGTGCCGGCGCCGGCGCGGGGGAGAGGCGCGGGAGCAGGGGCCCGGTGGGGATCAATTTCGGGGGCAGCGGGGTGGTGAGGGCGAGCGACACGAGGAGGAACAAGGCGGCGCAGCTGGTGGTGGTGACGGGGGCAGTGCCGGGGGATGGGGAGGTCCTGCCCGGGGGCGGGAGGGGGAAGGGGTGGGAGGGGCTGAGGAAGGTAAGGGTCAGGAGCGTGAGGTGGTGGTTGAAGAGTAGGGATCAGGGCTGGATCAGTGAGGGGGTCGGGACGAGAGGTATGTTTTTTTTGAGATGATTCTTTCGCGCTTTTCTTTCTATTTTTGTTTGTTTGTTTGTTGTTGTTGTTGTCGTTGGCTTTTTTCTTTTTTCCCACTTTTCCGCCGTCGGTTTCCTCTCTGAATTCCTCACTTGCCGTCCCGCTTGGCTTGGCAGTCATACGCGGTCGATTATCACAAGGCTACGAAGTCCCAACCACCCATATTATCTAGAAACTTTCTAGATCCCTCACCACCACAAGATCCAGCCACCAAGGACACACACACACCCCATAGCTAACGCCCCTCACCCCACCAACACTAGGCAGCTACCACGGCTCCTCCTCCTGGTTCGACGCCTGCATCCTCCGGCCCCTGCCCGCCTCGACCCCGCGCCCGCCGCTCGCCGCCGACGTGGCGTCGCGCATCGAGCAGCTCCACCAGCGCTTCGGCCCGCCCGCCTCGGAGCCCTTCCCCACCTTCCTCGTCGGCAACCTCCTCTCCCACGACCCCGAGGACGCCCGCGACTTCCTCCGCTCGCTCGGCTGGGACTTCGTCGAGCGCGTCGAGCGCGTCGAGGTCGACGGCGAGGTCGGCGAGCGCCGCGGCGTGCTGTGGAAGGTGCAGACCAACGTCGTCGCCTCGACGGATTATCACGTGCATGAGGGCGAGTGGCGGAGGAGCAACGAGCATTATTGGGAGGCGCGGGGGGAGGAGGGGGGTGAGGGGGAGGCGGAGGCGGAGGGCGCGGCTGTGGAGACGGGTTGTGGGGACGGGCTCGGTTTTGTGGATGAGATGAAGGTCGGGGATAGGGTGGGCATTTGGGCCAGAGCGATGGTGAGTGTTGTCTTCTTCTTTCCTCCCCTCTCTCCTTCCGACTTCCTTGATGAAGTTCTTCTTTGCATCATCGTTGTTGGGGTGGTTTTCACGTTTGCTGACATGTGTACGCTTCCTTAGTTTCCCGGTTGGGTGAATGATGTCGACGAGGTCAGTGTCGAAATCAGGTATTCTGTCTAAATTATGAGTGAAAAGAAAAAAAAAAACGAGGACGGCGAATTGGATGCTTGTATGATTGCGAATGAAAAACAGATCTTAATACCTTCACTTATGCGTTTATTTGCGAGGTCTTCGCAAGTCACCTACTTTTGTGGTCACAGAGTTTTGACATGTGTCGCTGAGGCTATGAAAAGTGCAAGTCAATGAATCATAGGTTATAATCCTTTCCAAGAAAAGCGTGCTGCTTTTAGCCAAACCCGCCAGCTGAGGTCTTCCCTTTTCCCTATTGTTAACGCCATCCAATGCCATCCCAAGTCGGGCCTCCCACACCAACAACCAACAACAGCCAAGTCGTCACCTTAAACATTCGTCTTCATCCACAACCATGCTGTCCGCCGCCGTTTCCTGCATCGAGTCTTCGATTTCTCGAATGCGCCGTCTCCGCTGATTGCGTCTCCGCACCTCGACCTTGCTGCCCCGCAACCTCCTCTCGACCTCCTCTTCCTCGCTCTGGCCCATCAGGTCCACGCTTTCCACCGCCTCCAGCGCGCGGCTGAGCAAATCTGTCGCGACCGGGTCCTGCGGGCTGATCGCCAGCGCCTCGTGCAGCGCCAGGACCGCTTCCCACGAGCGGCCCATTTCGAGCAGGACGAGCCCTTTGGAGCAGAAGACGCCGGCGTCCTTGCCGCCTTGGCGCAACACTTCGTCGAAGGCGGCGAGAGCTTCGTTGAAGTTTTGCGCCCGGCGGTTGGCATGTCCGAGGTTCGTGCGGGTCGCCAGAATGGATGGAGAGGCGGGTGCGAGGGACAGCTGTTCTGAGAGGGTGAGGGCGAGGGTGAACATCTTGATGGCGAAGTTGAGGTGGTCCTGGTGGTAGAAAACGACACCGAGCTCGTTCAGAAGGAGAGGGTCCGTTTTGCATAGTCCATAGGCGGTGTTCAGGTACTCATGTGCAAGAGAGAGGTTGTTGAGCTGGAGGTTTTGCATTCCCAAGAAAAGCTGCGGAAGATGAGTCCCTTGGAATAGACGAGCAGCGGTGGAGTAGGCGGATATTGCTTGATCATGCTCTCCTTCAGCGGCAAAAGTGTGCGCAAAGCCGATCCAGGCAGGACCGAAATGGGGGTCCATCATGGAGGCCTTGGAAAAGAACCTTCGTGCCTCAGCTATCCTTCCGATAGTCAAGTAGTACACACCAATGGCAAGCCACGACGTCGGCTCCTCCGGATGTGTATCGGCGAGGTCATGAGACAGAAGGAAGAGCTCGTTCTTGTTATTAAGTTCGTGGAGACAGGCGAGGTGGACGGGCATGGTCGAGAAGTTGTATTTGTCCGTCTGTAGGATGGACGAAGTGAGTGACAAGGCCTCGCTGAAACGACACTGGGTAAAAAGCTGTTCGGCCTTTGACAAAAGGATGTCGGGATTGCTGGCAAGGTTGTAGTGCGTCGACAGGGTCTCAACAGCAGCGGTAAACTCGTCGGGGTTCTTGTATTTGGACAGGCGGGTCATATACAGCATCTTGGTGAAGTCAGCAGCCTCCTGCGCGGACGATCCCTCGTCAGCAGTGACGGTGTCGAAACTAAGAGAATCAAGGAACTGCAGCTCCTCTTCGGGAGACATGAGTGAATTCTTCATGAGCTGATCGAATGCCTCGAAGCACTGCACGTCGATGCGCACGGCATCCTTGTAGCACTCCTTGGCGCGGTCGAAGGCATTTTGCTTTGCGTAACAGAGGCCACGCAGGTAGCACATGCAGGCCTCAGCCTTGATGTTGGATATGTCCTCGCGCTCGCGCTCTTCACTACGGTCAACGCGGTCGCTGCGCAATCCCTTGTTATGGTGTTGCCTTGTTGGCCCGTTGCGGGGAGCGACCTCGACGTGCTGCAGCTTCTTGCGAGTGTTGTCAGGAGCGGCGACCAGATGTACCGGATTCTTGTCGCCGAGAAGTTGCATCGCCTCGTCGTATTTGGCCTGTTTTATGGAGCAGTGGGCCAGCAGGTAGCGGCATTGCGGGCTGCTCTGTTGGGCGTCTGACTTGGAAACGAAGCGGGCGAGGATGCTCTGGGCGCGGGCGTAATTGCCGGTGGTGAAGTGGACTTGGGCAAGCCAGAAGGCATCGCGGTCATTGTCTGCATGGGGCAGGTCAGCGCGGGCGGGGAGCTTGGAGAGCGGATGGGTGGACGAACTGCTGATGGCCAGAAGCTTGTCGCCAATAAAGATGGCAGACTCGTACTGGTGCTTGCTCAGGGCGTCATGGCGCCAGTCGCGCAGGAACTTCTCCATGTGCGCGGGTGGAATGGGGCTTCTGACGGAGCCATGGAGGGGAGCTCGCGCGGGCGTGATGTTTGGGCTTGGTGTTTTGGCGATCACAAGCCATAAGCCCGAGCTCGCGACTGCCACACCTGCCTTAGAAAGACGCGCCTCGGCCTTTCCTGACGCCGACACCCATAGGGCTGAGCCACCGCCGAGCCCTCACCCGTCGCCCGTAATCTTCTCTATGGCAGGGTGTCTTTGCTAAGGAAGACATTCTGGGCGTTAACTCTTCGGAGTGACGACGTGGGGCGGCAGCGGCGACTTGTATGTACATACAGCTGCGAGCCCCGCCCAACTGCTGACGCAGCCCACCCTTTTGTTGCATGCTTGCACAAAGCTAGGGCAAGAGGAAAATAGAACAGACACGGCTTTTATCGAATTCCTGGCACCCTAGGTCGCCCTAAATACGTCTTCTGAATCGAACGATATAGCAACTATCCAAGCATACCACCCAAAACGCCCGTCCTATAATGCACTGTACGCCTGAACCATGAAACACTTGCCAATATTGCTTTGCCAGTCCGCATCGGCTCTATGCCACTGCCTCATCCGAGTCATCCTTCCTATACATGAAGTACTGTACAAACACGCCCGCATCCAGCAGAAGCGTCCCGAAGCTTCCCAGCAGCCAGCTGAGGTTGACGAGGAAATAGCGTCCGTAGATTATGCTGGCCTCGCCCGGCCTGCAGTGCCCGCCATGTCCGTGGCATACAGGCTTGTACGCCAGAATGGAGATGACATAGGTCAGGTTGCCGAGGCACGCAAAGATGAAGAACAGCATAGATATTCCCTCTGTGCTCTGCCGCTTGTAGTTCAGGTACAGCTGTGGGAGCCGCGATCCTAGGTACAGGGCACAGCAGATGTAGCCGCCAATCTGGCCTAGGACGTTGAACTGGATGCTGTCCTCGCCCTCATCTGTCGTGTTGTTTGCCGGTGGCTGGTATGTGAGAAGCCAGCCGAGGAAGCCAGCCGCGCACACCAGAACGACGGCGACGAGGTTGAAGAGGACCGACTTGAGCGCCGAGCGAGAAGGCCGTGGCGCAGAGGCCGGTGCGGGTGTGTCGACAAAAGGCGTCGCGGGCGACAGGTGTTCTCCGTCGTGGAACAACCGCTCGGTAAAGGACGAGTACGACGACCGCCGCTCGGCATCGCTAATGCGGGCAGACCTCGACTGGCCATGGCCATTGCCATTGGGACGCAGCAGCGCCGACGTCTCTGTCGGCTCTCTCGGCGGCTCATCGTCATCCGCCGGCTTTCCAACCTCGTCCTTCAACGTGAAGCCCTTGTAGTAGAAACATTGTGCGAGCAGAACGATGTCGGCGAGCGTATAGTAGATGGCCAGGATGATCTAGGTACCGTCAGCGATCGCAATCCCAAGCGTCGTGAGGGAGACTGGACGCACCATTGTGGGCAGCACCCGCTGCAACACGGCGCCAATAATGTTGAAGACATCGCCGAGCAGCCAGACAACAATGAAGACGACCGACAATCCATCTGCGGAACCGCGGCGAAAGTTCTCAATGATTTGCGGCGAGAACACCACAACCCAGCATGCGATGGAAATTGAGCCAGTGATGCCGCTGATGGCATCAATGTCGAGACTGAGGCCCTGTGATGGTGGGAACATGGTGGGTGCGCGGGCCGTCGCTCAGGCGTGCTCCCTCGGTCAATTGGCGTAGGTTTGAGCTGTACGTTCAGCTGCTGTCGACGAGTGAGTTCGGGTCTGTTTTTCGACGCACACAAACTGGGATGTGGGAGCGACTGACGCAAAAGTTGGATGCGAAGAGTCATGGCGGAGGACTGGCACTGGTTACGTAAAGACGGGCAAGCACCGGCCCTGGCCAAGTGTACCAGGACTGCAGATCCGGGGTACATACATTGGTTTCGGCACGTCGGCTACACATTCCATGGTTGTGCATGCGTCATACGCCTCCCGCTGCACGTTTTCGCGTCACGTTGGGTCCGAAGTTCCATCCAATAATCCACAATAATCGAAACGGGGTGCTTCCGTGCTTCCCCTTCCGCCTTGCTCGATGCTGGTTCTACTAGATCCTGCTCCACCCAATGCAATGCAAATCGTCTATAGGTTGTTGTCCTTCTTGAACTTATCCCATGCCTCATTCAGCGTCGCGAATACGGCGGCGCTGATCATTCTCTGCTCGGTCGTAGCATCTTGCGCAATCTGTCCGAGTCTTGTCAGCATCCTGCACCACAAGCCAGCGCCGGTGCCAGAACTCACCTTGTCAGGGTGCACCTTCGCAATCGCCTTCATATACACAATCTTGACCTTATTTGGCATGACTAGATCCTGCATGCCAACCTTCTTCCACCCTGCTTCAGGCCACAACATTGTGTCGAGAGACCCGAGCAGTGCACGCAGATTGTCCGCCTTGCTGCCTTTCCAAGCGACTAACTTAGCATCCACTTGGTCAGTCAGCGCAAACTTCTCATCGTCAGCCTTTTCTGCCGCCGCGTTTGCCTCGCGCAGCTTCTTGACGGCTTCTGCAGACCCTGCAGCTGAAACGTTTGGCCTGGGAGCCGGTCGTGCCGCAGCCGCCTTTTTGGCAGCAGGCGCGGGGCGTGCAGCCGCAGCACGCGGGGTCTGCTGCTGTGAGCCCCCGCCTGCCGCTTTCTCGCACCTATTCCGGCCTTGGATGCTGACTGAACCCCCGACACCTGCTTCGACCGTCTCTTTCCAAACTTTGGCTGCCTCACCCCACTTCTCCATGTGCTCCAGTGCCTCTGCTTTCCGCATCAAAGCTTTGCCGAAAAACTCCTTCATGTCCTTTTCCCCTTCCGTGCCCCCCATGGCGATTTTCTCTCCCTCCCCGCGCGATGGCCCAACGATGGATAGAACAGAATCAGCATCGGCCACCGCGGCTTTGGGATCGCCCACTTTGATATTAGTGAGAGAACGGTTGCAAAGAACAATGATTGCGATGGGATGTCCGGAAGGAAGAGGTTGAAGGGCGTTTGTATACGCTGTATGCGCGGCTGCATAATCTCCGCGTTTGAAGGCTTCGGTGCCTTTTTGCCTGTGCGAAGCCGAGTTTGATAGGGCGCTGGGTGAGACCGGGGGTATCTGTCGTGGAGGTGCCTGCGGACGAGTAGGCAATGGCGAACTAGCAGGTTTGGGTGCCGACGGAGTTGTTGGCGCAGGCGAAGCCTTGGGAGCGAACGGGTTGTTCGGGTGAAGCGGCGCGGGGGATCTGCCCGAAGACGGGGCGCTTTGCGACGGCGAGAACAAATCTGGTTCAGGGACTGGCTCCGAAGGCTTAGGCGTCGTTTTCTTCCGACGAGCTGGGCTGACATAAGCCTGTGCCGATTGCTCTTCAACATCTTCGCGTGTGAGTTTTCCAACGCGTGCCTGTTGCCGCAAATCGGATGGAGGAGGAGTAGAGCGGTAAGAGCCGCGCGCGGAAACCGGTGATTGGCCTCTTGACCGTGGATCCGAGGCCTGCATGTCAGGACGGGGGCCGGTAGTCGCCCGGCTAGGTTTCTGAGGTGGACCCATACCGGACTCCAGCAACAAAGCTTCATCCGTGACTGGCCGTTCCGCCGGGGGCCCGCTCCTTCGAGCTGGGCCATCCCCGGATGCGTGGCTTTGGGCGTCCCTCATCCATTTCGGCTGACTAGGGTCGCCATCCTGTTGGAAATCGGCAACTGCTTTTTGCACTTTCTTCTGGCTCTGCTTCCAGAAGCTGTTGGCAGACTTGAACAAATTAGTCCCGAATTCCTGGGCCATCTGTGCCACATCCCTCTCTTCCGTAGGTGTGCGGCCTTCATTTCTTCGCTGAGAACTCGACCGGCTTCCCTGTTCGCGCATCCACGCCGGAACGCTTTCTCCCGCGTGCTCATTTCGGTTGTTTCGCCCCGAAGAGCTCCTGTGCCGTTCACCCTCCGGACTCAGCGGACTGGCACGACCTCGTGTTTCTTGCCTCTGTCGGGACTTGTTCTTTGCCTCGTCGTGTGCCTGGTTAAGCAGCCAGCCGACAGCAGCTTGAATATCCGTCCCGCCATCTGTGTGGGCTAGCGCCTCCGCAGACTTGTCCGCGGGGAATCCCATGTCAACCAACTCTGCAACAGCAGCATCGCGGGGATCATTATTGGGTGTCGCGACATCAGCACGGTCATTCCTGTGTTCTTCCTCTTGATGTCGAGGCTCCGGTTGTCGTGGGGGGAGGTCAGACACGGGTTTGCCAAGATCACCGAGAATGTCATCATCCTGATCAATTGATTCGGAGGGGCCAGTTGATTGAGCTGCCGGCCTCGATGGCAATTGATTCAAGCCAAATGGATCATCGTCATCGCCGAACGCTCCACTGCCTTGTCCCCGAGAGCTTGCGTCGTTGCTACCTGGGGCTGTAACCTGGCTCGGGGTAGTCCCCCGGCTTGCTGGGGCTTGTGGAACGGGGTAATGACTAGACGCGTCAACCGGGGCCTCCGAGTTGAATGCGGCCAGGATGTCATCTTCATCCTGTGATGGGGCAGGAGATGCACGGTTTGCAGGCGCATTGATGGCAGCGAAAGGCTTGTTGATGGTGCTGGACAGTGTTGACATACCCAGCGGCTGCGCCGGCGGAGGAGCGCCGGCGGTAGCATTGGGAGTGCTTCTGCCGCTGCCCAACGAGTCCCAGAAGGCATTGTCAGGGGCGCCGAATTGGCTCTCCAGTTGCTTGCGCTGCTTGTCTTTCTCCTCCTGCAATTGGCGCTGACGCTCCTGCAGCGACAGATTATCCGTTGGCTTGGTCGACTTGGAGCCAAGGAGCGAGGAGAAGCTGTCGTTCGCAGGGGTGGATGGCTTGGAGGAAGGCTTGATGCCACGGAAGGCAACGTTGGGGACGGTGCCGGAGAGCTGCGACGGCAGCGGACTTGAGCCGCGCGACAAGCTGGGGAGCGGGCTCGGATTCAGCGAAGGGAACGAGGGCGTCGGGGTCGACTGCGACTGCTGCTGCAGCTTCGGTTGCTGGGCGCTGGCGTTGGCGGCGGGCGCGTTCCAATCTACGCTCATGAGATCATCCATGGCGGGCGGCAGGGACGGCGGATGGCAATGCGGGCGGAGTGGTCGGGCTGCAGCACAGAGACATCAAGCAGGGGAGAAGGTGGCGTGTTGGCGATGAGCATGTGTATGCTGTGCTGCTGGCCATGCGGTTGCTGCGCGCCGAGCAGTCAGAAGGGACGGCGCCCACACAGCGCGGGCGGACCCTTGCTTGCCTGAGGCGCGCATGGCAGCGATGTTTTGTATGTAGGCACGCAGCCCTCAGGCAGCGCAACAGACGCCAGCCGCCCTGTCGTCGCACACAGCGCTCCCGCCCGCGCCCAGCCAGAAGCAGGCTGCCGCCGCGCGCTGGCCGCCGGGCTGCGCTGAGAACGCCGGCGGCGGGCGCGGAGTTGAGCAGCACGTGACACGCGCGGCTTATCGAGGGCTTCAAGGATTTGGGCGACGGCGGGAAAGGCCTGCGGCGAGCGCAAAAGGCCGACGGGGCATGCAGCTGCAGGGGGGGTGTCCGCGGCCGACGGGTAGTGCGAAGTTGCTTTTTCATGGAAACCTGAACCAGACCTATCATACCACCAGAATCAGCATGAATAACCCGTTTTGACCTGTCGCACGCCCGCAACAACGTGCATTCCCTTGTAACGATTTTCAGCGCTACCCTTCCGGCGCAAGAGGGGACTGTACATAGCATGCCCACAACCCTTGTCGCACATCATCAGCCCACACGCACCCACCCTTCGTTTGCACGCCGGACCAGCGGCCACGGTGTCGGCACAGGTTTAGGCACACGCGCATACGGTCGAGGCACACGATGGGGCCTGCGCAGGCGACGGGCCGCTCACGGAAGAATTGTCATTTCATTGCACCACGCCCGAAATGGTGGCGCAAGGGGCCGGCGGCGCCCCGGCCGGTGCGCGGAAGCGGCAGCCCTCGCCCACGATCCTCGCAGCGGTGGGGTTGGCCAGAATTCCTACGCCATGGGAAGAACCGGCACGCGGCAAATTGGGCGACCCTGCTGTGGCGCGACAGCGCGATTAATGGGCGTGCAGCCACATGGGCGCCGGCCCAAGGACAAGCAGGCGGCCGCCGGCGCGGGATGATAGCTGATTGCAAGCGCCGTCTGCATCCAGGAGCGCGCGCGCGGTGTCTGGGCGGGTGGCTCTGCGAATCGTCAGCAGCGTTCCTAGTTAGCATCAGCCGCAATCGCCGCCCGCCAGATCGTTCCCCCCCTGGCCCCGGCCAAAATAATCTACTAGTGGCCGCGGCCCCGTGCGACAACCTGGTCTCCCGTCGTGCCCACCTTGACAGGTTCGCATCCACTGAAACACTTTCCTCTCCTCGATAATCTTTCCTGTCGGGCGCGGCCGTCTGCAGAGGGGCTCACTGCTGATTCGTGTTTACCTCCTGCTTCTTCTGGGTGGGTCCGCCAGCTCAACTCCTCCATCCTCGCTGTTCCTCTTTCTTTGTCACTTGCTGCTGTCAGCCCCAGCGCACCTTATCGTCCGCAATGGGTCTGTTCAACCGCAAGAAGGACTCAAAGGCGCCTCAGCCCGCCGCCCAGGCTACTGATGCCGCCTCCACCATCTCCAACGGCAGCGTCAAGCCCATCAAAGCCTCCGCCAACGGCAACACCACCATGGCCAAGCCCCAGATTCCCGACATCCCCCTCCCCAGGGCCCCAGACCCGGCCCTCGATCCCGCCGGCTACCTGCGCAGCATCCATGCCGTGCGCGACCGCTCGCGCCTGGTGCTCGACAAGGCCAAAAAGAACCAATTGAAGCACTTCACGGTAGACATGGGCAAGTTCAACGACACAGCTGCCTACGTTGTCTCAATCATCAAGGTTGGTCCGAAACGCCCCGTGCCGCCGAGCGCCGCTGATCCGCCTTGCACAGCGCGACTATGCGGGAGACTATGCCTCGATCCCGCCCCACGGCCGCTGGCAGCACTTTGAGGTCGGCGGCCGCCCCCGTATCGACCAGCTCATGGCCGCCTGGCCGTCCAGTATCGACAACCAGGAGCGCACCCGTCGCCTGATCGACCTCTTCGTCGTCTCCGTCCTGCTCGACGCTGGCGCCGGCACCAAGTGGCAGTACCGCAGCAAGGAGTCCGGCAAGTTCTACAAGCGCAGCGAGGGCCTAGCTGTGGCCAGCTTGGAGATGTTCAAGACCGGACTCTTCAGCAGCAACTCCGCCCAGCCATGCCAAGTGGATGCCGCGGGCCTCAAGAAGCTGGACATGAAGGCCATGGCTCGCGGTCTGCAGGTCACGGACGAGAACATCCTCAGCGGACTTGAGGGACGCACCAACCTGCTCATCCGGTTGGGCGACGCCCTACAGAACTCTGAAATTTTTGGCAATGATGCTCGTCCGGGCAACATGCTGGGTACGTGATTTCGTCCATGGGGCGGGGTTTTCCATGCTGACGCCTCGCAGATTACCTTCTCTCGCACCCCTCGACCCAAGCCTCGTCCGTCCCGATCGTCCCCGTGCCAACGCTCTGGAAAGTGCTCATGGACGGCCTTGGGCCCATTTGGCCCGCAACGCGCACGCAAATCGACGGCATTTCCATCGGCGACGCATGGCCCTGCTCCGTGATGCCCTCGCACCCCACGCACCCGTGGGAGAACATTGTGCCGTTCCACAAGCTCACGCAGTGGCTCTGCTACTCGCTTATGGTGCCCATGAACAAGCTCATGAACGTCCACTTCGCGGGAGAGCACCTGCTGACGGGTCTCCCCGAGTACCGCAACGGCGGACTCCTGATCGACACGGGTCTGCTCACTCTGAAGAGCGAAGAGACCCAACGAGGCTTGGCGCAATACCAGAAGAACGCGCAGGTCAAGGGACAGCCGAGCGTCGAGGTGGTGCCCATGTTCACCGCAGACGACGACGTGGTTGTCGAGTGGCGGGCGGTGACGGTTGGATTCCTCGACGAGCTGCTCTACGAGGTCAACGGCCTGCTTGGGCTGACGGGCGGGGACAAGCTGAGCCTAGCGCAGATGCTCGAGGCGGGCAGCTGGAAGGTGAGTGCTGGCGCGGAGCCAATGCAGCATGCGGCAGCTAACGCAGTCACAGGGCGGTCGAGAAATAGCCGAAGTCTCGCGGCCAAACACGAAAGAACCGCCGATCATGATATTGTCCGACGGGACTGTTTTCTAAATGATACCCCTCCTTTCCCTCATTGGCCATTTCCTTTCTCAAGGTTTTGCGTCTGGTCGACGCGCAGCAGCAGGAGGCTTCATTTGTTTATTTATTTAGTTATCTTCTTTCGCTGGCGGCTGCGTTGGAGAGCCTGCCCCTTCTCTACGCCACTTTATTCGACTTTTATTGCGCTCCGCAGCGCGTCGGCTCGGCGCGCTCGGACTCTTTCCCGAATCGCGTCGCGTACTTCTTGTCCATATGTTGCTCGCACGTGCTCGTCGCATCCGAAGGAGGGAATTGCTCTGCAGCAGGGAAATTGGAAGGCGAGAGCGGCGGTCACACTTGCTTTTCATACCTTTAGATATCCTGGCGGAGCGGGTTTGGCACGGCATGTCACCGGAGGGTTGGCTGGAACAAATCAAAACTGTAGTAATCCAAACGTACCTAATGATGCGCTGAGACCTGACTTCGCGATCTGCACCCATGCATTTGCCATGGCGGGAGTGCGCGCGTGCGGGCAAGGGGGAGGCGCCTGCACGTGAGCGCTCCGGCCGCCGGCGAGCCGCGGCGTCGTCATGCGCTGCCCGTCAACACCACCGACCGCCCGCCGCGCCCATCCCCCCCAACCCCTCGCCCGACGACACCGGCCCCGCGCTAGCCCGCCGCTGCGATCGCAAGATGAATATCGGCAAGAAGCAGAAGCAGCGCAAGGTGCTGCTGATGGGCAAGAGCGGCGCCGGCAAGTCGTCGATGCGCTCCATCGTCTTCAGCAACTATGTCGCCAAAGACGTGCGCCGCCTGGGCGCGACCATCGACGTCGAGCACAGCAACATCAAGTTCATGGGCAACCTGATGCTCAATCTGTGGGACTGCGGAGGGTGAGCTGTCCCGTCCTCAACGCGCGCGGCCGTGGCTGACGGCATCCCAGCCAGGACGGCTTCGTCGAGAACTACCTCACCCACCAGCGCCACCACATCTTCTCGTCTGTCGCCGTGCTGATCTTCGTCTTCGACATCGAATCCCGTGACTTCGCCTCAGATGTGCTGTCCTACCAGAACATCATCGCCGCCCTCGCCGAGTCGTCGCCCAATGCCAAGATCTTCTGTCTGATCCACAAGATGGACCTTGTCCAGGCCCGACTGCGCCTGTCGCTCTTCGAGGAGCGCGCCGATTACATTCGCCAGGCTAGCGTCGAGTTTGGCTTTGGCGACACGGTCGAGTTCTTTGCGACCAGCATCTGGGACCAGAGCCTGTACAAGGCGTGGACACAGATCATCTACTACCTCATTCCGAACGCTGGCGTAATCGAGTCTCTTCTGCGGCAGCTGGCCGAGGTCATCGACGCGAGAGAGTTGATTCTCTATGAGCGCACGACCTGCCTTATGGTCACGCACGTCACGCGCGGCACCGAGTCCAGCAACCCCTTCACCGACCGGTTTGAGCGCATCTCAAGCATTCTCAAGACCCACAAGCAGTCGATGGCGTAGGTCATCCAGCACTCCATGGACACGAGCACAAGCGCAATTGTTGACCGTTTTGCAGCAAACACACGGCTTTGCCGCCCTCTCACGCCAACTTTGCGGAGATGCAGATCAAGACGGGTCGTTTCATGTTCTTCATCACCCGGCTCACGGAAAACACTAACCTTGCTGCGTCAATCCCGCCATCGGAACAGATATTCAATGCTGCAAGGGTCAACATCAGCCTCGCGAGGAACCGGTTCGCCGAGTTGGACGTCATGACCGGGAAACATAGAAGCATGCAGCAGCAATTTGTCAACAGTTTAGAAGACAACAAAGGCGAACTAGACAAATCGGAGGGCAACAGCGGCGGTGCAATGGGCGGCATGTACTAGACGGGGTATTAGGAAAGGAGCTGATTTTCAGGAACAGAGATACCCATTTCGCGAGGTGAGCTGCATGCACCTCTGTATGACTTACGACCTGTACGAATAACTGCGCTACATATTAAACAGCATATGGTATTCTCTCATGCAAGCTGGCAAAGCGCGCTCCTTGCACACTCTCTCGCGGAATGCCGTGGTGGGGCTTTGGTCCACTAATCGCCGTCATGCTGAAAAGGTAGTCCCGTAAAAGATGCGGAAAGCCGGTAAGAGAGGGAGGAGGCGGTAATAGCAAGGACCACGTCTTGGAATAGGCGATGTACACGTTGTTGCCGCGCATCTGCAACAATAGTATGCCGTCCGTCTCGGCTCAAGATCCACAACCCACAATAGTTGCTTTGAATAAGTCGAGGGATTGACCCGAGGTCGTAGAAACATGGCTCGCTAAACATCAGCTCATTCCGGCCAACCCCGACGGTTTAGCGGATGAGGCACAGCGACCCAACTTTTCCGGCTCGATGATCGAGCGAAATGCAATACGTGACAGGGTATGGCGGCGGGGCACCGGTCAGAACAACGGAGACGGCGAGCACGTTTGGCGGGCGGAGGGTGGGAAAGCGGCCGAGTGTCGGGTGGGGATGCAGTCAACTCAGGAGAAGCGAGCCTTGTCCTCTGCGCCCCCGGGGGGGAGGTCTATCGATGCACAGATTGACATTGACGATCAAGAATCCAACGGCCAGAGACCGGGAGTGTGGAAGGTGGTATGGCCTCCACGCGTCGCCGCTGCCGCCCAGCGAAGGGGTGCCGCAGGGTTGCATTAGCAGCGGATCGCAATCCGAGAGCCATTGTGACGGTAGTCGGGGTATCCGCTGGTGGGTGTGCCAAAGCTCCAAGCCACCCAAACTTGGGCCTCGTTGCGGCTATGGCTGTTTGCGTTTCCCGCCGCCCTCCTTGGCTCGTGATTGGTTTTGATTTGCCCCCGGGCGCCTGCGTGCTTGGGGGGGTTCAGACAGTTCACAGCGCGAAGAGCGATGGCACTGGCCACCGGGTCAGTGCCCCCTGGACGGGAGGTGCGATCGTCCCGCATGACGCCCCAACAATGCCGCCGTCACTTTCCATAAAAACCCTGAAGATCGCTCCACCCCCAAATGTCTTTACAATGCCTTGGGATCAGGGCCTCCCACTCTTGCTTGGACCCTGCCAGAAAGCCGCCGTTCTCGCTCCGAAGTCGATCGTGTCCCAGGAATTCCCGGCGAATCGCGGCTATCGCGCACACCTCAAACAAGTCCAAGCTATAGTCGGGATACTACGTACACACGTTGCAATAGATGCACAAACCTCTTCGGCCGTTCCGTCGATGGACCGCCCAACTAACCGAGATCGTGAGGCAGGCACCAAGGCGGCCCGTGTTCCAATCCATGTAGGTTAATTATGAGGACCACTGGAATGGTCGGATCTGTTAGAAGGTTACCCATTCGGGTTACGTCTTTTGCGGGCATCCAGATTCAAGGCGCTGCAAATTGACAGCAACAGATTTTTCGATACAAGGTCATGTGGCCCTGTATCTTGTGTAGTCGTCAAAGCTGGGTGCAGCCCAAATTTCAATATACGGCAGATGAGTACTCTAACGGCAACGACAAAAAGAGTGCTGCGAAGGGGGTGGGTCCGTCCGTACCTCAACGACAGGGAATATATGACTCGTATGTCACATGAGGATGTGATGACTCTATGCCAGCCTGACGTTTGGTTTCGCGGGTTGTTTAAGATCTCCTGATGCCGAACATCGCAAACGGAAGCGAGGACGGGATCGGCTTTCCGGTGTTGGCAACTGCTCATTCGTATTTACACCAAGCCTTTGAACTCAAAATACCTAATGTGAAGCAAATTACGCTCGAAGTGGTGCGCTCATATCTACTACATGCAATCTTGTTTCAATATCGAGACATGCTACACAGCCAGACCCCCGAAATTGATATTCTTGTTTGATCGAGCATTATACTTGGGCTGCGTCCAGTAGGTGACCAGTGCATATGTTCTATGGCTCTCCTGGCGAGGATGTATGGATCGAGCTGGGGTGTTAGTGTTGAATCGCACGGTCAAGAGAAGTGGTACCATGATGCACTGGTGTAGATTACTTTAAACTGCCATTCACCATATTATGGGAGTCTCGGATCAAAGGTCGATTCATCACATTCTATGCGGTCCATCCGGTACCGTTGTTGCACGTAGAGGTATGCACGGTGGCTGATGGGGGGCTGCCCGTACCAGATTGTGAATCAGCTTGGAGCCGTGAAGTTATCTTCCGGCAAAGAGACGCTGCGAGAGATGCACCGTCAAAATGACATTGTTACAACTTAGTTCGATCAGCTAAATACAGGTGGGTGGAGATGCCGAAAGCAATCATTGCCAGAGTATCAAACCGACAAGCGGAAAGCCGTCGATGACGAGTGGCTCGGTGAGCATTGAGGGGTCACACGTGCTGTGATATCGCAGATCACATGCCTCGGGATGCACGTTTAGTGTAGATCAGGGCATGGCGCTTAAGTCGAGAGAAAGAGGGGGGCGAAGGACAGAGGGTGCCGAGGAGACGAGCTTAAATTGTCGATCCTCCACACTACCCCTTGCGCTTCCCCAGATCCGAGCACGCCCCAGGCCCAACTAGAGAAAGCGCCCAACCTTCCCCTCTCACAGCTGTCCAAGATTCTTTCATTTACACACTGGAGCCTCGGTTTGTGGTGTTGTTACTCTTCCCCCGCTCGAATTCATTCCCGCTTGTCCCTGACCCATGCTCCGATGGACACCAATCACATTGTAAACTCGGCCACTTTCTGGCAACAGAGTTGCCAGCATCTTACAAGCAGACAAGGTTGAGGGCCTGCTCATGGTTGCACTGGTGATGGGATTGGAGTATTAGAGTTGGTTCACAGGTACTTGAAGCTCACTCGACGCCCGCATCTCTCCTCAGCAACTTTACCAATCCCTCGTTCTCCACAATCATCCAACATTTTCTTGCGCTCAGTATGAAAGGCTTCACTGCTGCCGTTGTGGCCGTCTTCGGCGCTGTCGTTACCGCCCAAGACTTGGGAACTCTTCTCTCCTCCTGCGCCGTACGTGTTTCTGTCACATGCTCGCGTCGTGCGCACCCGCAAGCTAACAGCACTGCCATCAGTCCGATCAGTTCCAAGAACTTGGGTTGACCGGCGTCGACGGTGACCCGTGCAAGGGCGACGCGGGCAAGTCTTCGTACTACAAGTGCTCCTGCACCACCGGCCAGGACTTCGTCATCGACTACCTCTGCAAAAACCCCGGATCGTGCTCTCCCGAGGACATTCCTGGTGAGTTCGACCTCGTTTCTGCTGCAGGAGGTTAGCGCGCGTCAGTTCGAGCTGATGCCGCCCCCAGGTTTGTCCGACACGCTCGTCAGCTTCTGTAAATCGATTGGTGTTACCGTCACGCCACCCTCGAACCCATGCGGCGTCGCCGGCGGCAGTAGCTCTTCTTCCGGTGCTCCGGCCTCTTCTGCTCCAGCCTCTTCTGCTCCAGCCTCTTCTGCCCCGACCTCTTCCGCTCCGGCCTCGTCCGCTGCCGCTTCCTCTGCCGTGCAGAGCTCTGTTGCAAGCTCTGTCGGAGTCTCTGCCGCATCATCCCCTTCCGCCACAACCCCGGCCGGGACGCCCACAACCCCCGCCGGTACCCCTGCCGGCACCCCGATCGGCACACCGGCTGTCTACACCGGTGCTGCCGCCGCTATCAAGAACGCTGCTGGTGGCGTTGCCGGTGTGGCTGGTCTTGCCGGCCTCCTTGTTCTTTGAGCAAGCCGTGAATCCCTGGCGACTCGTGGATCCCATCCATTGTGCACATGGTCCAATATATATGTGCTGGGGAGGGGGATAGAAGCGGCTAGGGTTTGATGTTATATAGTGCATGGATGCGATACTAGGCGCAGCATTCGTCTTTGAATGTACACTCAAGGCACAACTCTCCGAGGGTGTTTTTCTAATTTCCGATATTTTTGAACAGTACAGTCTTCGTCGTCAACGTGTTACGGAAGACGGCATGTTCGGCATGTGCTCGATTCGTTGCTATGTACGGAGTGCTGCTCTCATTTAACAGAGGGGCTTGGCATTATTGATAGGCCAGCCTCACTTTAGGAACCTTCATATACATGAAACAATGCTGCCCGACCATACTCCCAACTCACGAATGCTACTGCCTCGGCCCGCTCCCTTGCATGTGAAAGGGAACTCTTCGACCTAAACAGCAAAGCCAATTACCGACATCGCCTGATGCAAGTCCCAATCCAGTAACCAGCCTTTTTTTGTATGTACAAGGAGGCGATCAGAAACCGCCGTCTCCTTGGACGCGTTTCACTGCCCCCATGACACCTTTGGCCCAAGACATGTGTCCGGGATTTATTCCTATGGCACCCTTTGCTTCGTTTCCGTCCTTGTCCCTCCATATGCCGTCTTCTTGCGACACGGCGCCGTAGATGTGCGTGTTTTGGTTCCTCCGAAGGCCGGCCGCCCAGTCCGCGCAGATCTCCGGCGAGTCGAGTAATATGTTCACCTCCTGGGAGTGGTACCACGATTGGGTGTCCTGGTTGCCACTTCCTTGAATGCCAATGTGGTTGTCGACTATCATTAACTTGACTATGCCGGATGTCAGCAAACGTCATCTGGGCTCCCTACGTGACGACGACTTACTGTGACAGCTCCTCTGCTTGAAATTATTATGCAGTGGCATCGTCTGGTCTTTTCCAACATACCAGTGCACGTGGAGAAGCTTTCGCTGTTCCGGCTCGAGTTGCTGGTACATTTTGTGGGAGATCATCTCGTTCGTACCACCTTGGAAAGGCAGCAGCTCCCCCAGGTCATTGTAGCCGAGACAGGCGTACACAGTGACTTGAATCTGTCGTCTAACGGCACTCAAGAGCGCTGGAATGAGAGGCTCCGCATTGATGTCAGGCGATTGAATGAAAATATTCGACTGTGCATTTCGAATGGCAGACAGCCAGGCCTCATTCTGTGGCGTATAAACGGAAGAGTGGTTCAGGGCACCCCAGGGTTTGCGGTTTACAAGGGCAATTGGAAAAGGTTCGTGTCGGGAATGTGGAATGTATGGCGTCATGGTGTCTTCGGGTGCGCATTCGGGGGCAGTGCCTTCGAGCTTCTGCCTCGTCGCCTCGTCTGGGCCTTGGTCAGCATGGCTTGGTGTGTTGGTATGGACAATGATGCCTACTCAGGTGTTTTGTGACAAGACCCATGACGCTTTCGCCATTCACTGGAGTCAGCACGGCTTGCATTCGAAGTAGTTCCGAAGCTAGATCATCATCATAATGAGGATCACCCGGTTCATTCTCCGGCAGAGACACACCACTATCTCTCGCACGAGTAATGAGATCGGTACGGGTGGCTGGTGTTTGCTTTGAAATCTCCAGAAAGGGCGAATCAAAGGTTCCGTTTGCCTCGCTTTGAGCTTCGCTGATGGTCAAAAGAGGCAACGGAGGTTTGAGTGCGTCGTGCCATGTCAGCAAGGCCATGTCGTAGAGAGAATCGACGATTGGGCCCTCTAGGTGGGTCATCATTTCGAGGTTGTCATTGTCCTGAACAGAGCTAGTCAGTCGTGGTTACCATAGTGAAGCAGTGAAACGGCTTACTTGGATATTGTTGCTGCACACGACGCCAATTTTCCTGTCGACGACCATGAACTTCGCGTGAAAGGTACCGAGCACTGGGCGGTGGTAGTTGATGACTTCGATGTCGATGTTTGGGATATCTTCGGAAGATGGTATGCCGATGCCCTTGGCTGTGCGCTCGGCCTCGCTGACGTCGAGGTGATTGTTGAAAACTTGCTTCGGGCTCCCGCGGTCGTAGATGATCTTGACCACGGCCTTTTGATTTCGCCTTCCAGCCCTCTTCGAAAGCTCTATTAGCGAGTCCGTGATGAGACGGCTAGCATCAGATTCCTTCCAGTAATTGGTTGCCAGGATGACCTCGTGCTTAGCTCTGGCAATGAGGTTGGCCTGGAGAGGGTCAGTCAAGACGTGGACTCGCATGTATTGGCAGCGCAACTCACCATGTGACGGCAAATATCGGGCAAGGCGCTGATGACGGTAAGCGGCAGTATGCCAGAGCTGCCCATCAACGGCGGACTGACGACGCCATGGAGCGGGTCATGGTCCAGCGTACACAGAGCATCGTGCCAGATTCTCAGGAACAGTTCACTGGGTTTTACGGTTCCAAACTTGCCACAGCCGAGGGCACGGTCAAGTTCCTCCGAGGTGGCGACACGACGGTTCTTTGGCGGAGTGGTGTCCAGGACACTGACTACATGGGTCGAGTAGAGCCGTTTTGCAGCTTCGTCGGGGGCCAGAGTCGGGTCTTCAGCGAGGAGGGAGCTCACGGACCGTGAGCTGTGGCAGAGGGCAGCGAGGCGCGGAGTGATGGACTCAGGCATGTCCTTGGTGCGTCGGATCCACGGCTGGCGGCGATAGAAATGGTCGATGGCGAGTGCAGCGGCAGCGGCAGCCACGAGCAGCAGGAGCGAGGAATATGAGGGGCTTGGGAACGCCATGGTGTCAGCGTGAGCGGATGGGACGGGAGCAGCAGACGGCGAGGCCGGAAAACCCAAGCGTTGGTGTGAGTGTCGTCATCGAGACCCTGGGGAAAAGCTTGGCTAAGCTTGTCGAAGCTTGTCGCGGCGCTGGCGATCCTGATGCGGTCTAGCCCTCGTCCGTTCCTTGCTCCGTCGCGCCGCCAAAACAGTAGTTCCCCCCGTGTCATTGGCAAGGGAGTGACCAAGGCACGCGTCACCGCGCCGCCCGTTCCGTTGAGCCTAGCTCCATCCTCCAGAATCCTGCATCCACTGCTGCCGACTGCCGGCCGCCCGTGGGTCTGCTTTGCCTGCTTGCCCGACACGCACGCCGGTTTTGCCTCCCCAAACTGCGCTCACAACAGTCGCAACTTCCGGCCCTTTCTGGACATGACGTATCAATAAGCACTGCTGCTCTCTAGCAGGGTATTATGAGAAAGATAGAACGCTAACGAGCAAAAAAAGACACGGCTCACCCGCGACGCCTGCCAAATCAAATCCAACTCCTCCCCAAGGGTATATCGTCGTCCTGGCCGCCTTGCTGCTCTTCCACGCACCCCAATCCCGCCAAACCGCTTCTTCCGCTACGTCGGCGACCAGTGCTTGCGGTCTTCGTCTCCAAATGTTGACGGAACGTTGCTGTGTGACGACACGGCCACCGAGTGCTGCACGCGAATGCCAAAGTTGGGCGTGTGGTCGAACTTGTTCCCCGACGTCGACTCGATGATGTTCTCGGTGCTGTCGCTCTCGACGTCGATGTTGGTGCCCGCCTTGGACCCAAACATCCTGCTGGTGGCGTTCTTGCTGCCGCTCGTCCCGTACGCGTCCAGCGGCACCGATCCGTTCGTGTATCCGTGCGACATGTCGTTGTCGTCGTAACCGCCCTGGTAGAACTTCCTGGTGAACATGGGCCGGATCATGGGCGCGTTTCCGACGAAGGTTGCCACGAAGCATTCGCGCATCGCCCAGATGGCCGGTTCCGATGGCGCCGCATTCTGCATCCCGTCAGCCCCCGTTTCCACGCGTCTTTCCTTCGCATACTGACAGTCAACACGAAGACCACGCGCAGGGTCGCAGCCACCATGACGAAGATGCCGGCACCAAGCAGGACCACCAGCCCAAGCTTCTTCGCCGTCGACACCTTGGCCTTGATGACGAGCTGTGGAGCAGTCAGCGGCAATCACGCAGCGTCGTCTGCAGTGTTCTTACCGGCATAGGGATCGGGACGATGACGGCGTCGGTCAGGACGTTGAAGATGACTTGGACAATGTACCACACGGCGCTCTCGTGCGTGCAGAGCTCTAATCAAGTCAGCCGGCGGCGCTTGCTGGCCAGATAAGGGGACGCACTTCCGGGGTCTGGGTAGATCTGCCAGTTCCTTTGCACCGGGCGGCAGGTGAGGAGAACGGTGAGAAACTCGGCCAGCCAAGTGACCCCCACGACGCCGATGGCCGGCTTGACAAACTTCTCGGCGGAGAGACCCCTGGTCAGGCGCGCGAAGAAGAGCAGCATGCAGAGCTTCAGCGTCCAGATTGTCGACACGTAGGTAAGGTGGCCTGTGAGGAAGAACTTGGAGCCCAGGATCTTGGCGTCGCGCTCGGCGGCGGGCAGCTGAAGGCGCTGTTCGTTGGTCATGGCTCTGTTGTCCCCGTTGAGACTGACAATGTGGGCGCACACGGACATGGTGGTGAAGAAGGCCTGTCGAGAGTCAGCACCGCAGCGGGGCTCGGGCTAGCGAACGCACCCAAGCGAGAATCATCAGGTAGTCGTCCTTCTGCAGACGGCCGCCGACCATCTTGAAGCGGGTGAAGAGGCGCATGGCGATCATGATGGTGGAGAAGCCATATTCAATCCAGGTCTCGACCAGCAACGAGCGTACGGACATCGACATGGTGGGCAGCGGGAGGAGGAGGGAGTGGACTCGTCAAAGGTGCGGCTCGCGTGGGCCCTGGCCACCGCCTATATCAACCGCACCCAGGCGGCCCAGGAACCGGCCGTGCAACGGCCAGGAGGCTGCAGCATGCTGCTCGACTCGCTCAGTCTGCGCAATCGAGATGGCGCAGCCAGTCACAGGCCAGCTGGGCGCAGATCGCGGGCCGCCAAGAGGGAGTGGGTTGCCGGCTGCAGCCTGACTCTGCACCCGTTCGCCGACGCAAGGCCCGCCGTGCAATTGCTTGTTCTGGAAGATCGTGCCCCAAAGCGGCGGCGGAGCCACCAACAAGGCGGCCGACTTGGACCGTTGAACGGCCGGTAGGATTGTTCTGCAGGGGCCTTCTGGAAGCTATCCCGCAGTGTGGCGGGCCCGTCAGCCTGTGAGCTCGCGCTCCAGGCGCGTTTGACGGCAGCCACCCGGCCTGACCGTGCCTGTTTTGGCCCCCAGCCCTCGTTTTCGGGCCGACGGCAGCGCTGCCGCCCCCATGCCGCTTAGCATGTCGCACATCACGTAGATCGCGGTGCGGAGGATCGCTGCATCCCAGTCAGGGGCTGCCGAGCCGCCCTGCCTCTGCGAGAACCGCTGAACGGCGCGGCGGACAGCAGCAGGCCAGCAGCAGCCGCGCCGCCGCCTGACCTCATGCCGCGCCCCACTGCGCTATTCCCTGCCATTCTCGCCTCGCGGAGCCCCTTCCGCCGCAGCCTGCCACATAAGCCGCATGCCGATCGCTTGTATTGCCTGATAACGGGGATAACAGACTCTTGGTCCGCCGCCCCGGTGCCGCGTGGGTTTGTGGGTTTGTCGCACAATCGCACCAAGGGATCGAGTGCGACTTCGCTTCCATCCATTGCCGACGCCCGGCGCCCGACTTCTTCCGCATGTCGTCACCCGCCGTCCGTGGACACACCACCGGGGTGGAGATGAAAGTGCGCTCCTGCGGTTCCGTCCTCGTCCACCAAAACCTACACCTCGCGGGGCTTGCCACTTCGGCGTCGTCTGTCGAATGCGGGCGTCGTAAGCTCGTCGATCCCATTGGCCTCTCTACTACGTACTACGACTGCTAGAAGCCCGCACGGGCACGCACGTGGCCGACTAGCATGCAGCGCAGTGCCACGGTGCCGTCGCGCCGCGTGCCAGCAACCGTCAGAAATTGGGGCTTGCGATAGCGACGTCGGTGGTTTGAACGTGTTGGTTTAGCGTCTGTGCTTTGACTGGCGATCGCCTCGGTTGACGGCTGGAGACTGTGATACGTCGCTCTTGTGTCACACACCATTATTGCCATTCCGATGCTCGCTATTTCGCGATTACAAATCGCTCAGCTCGAATAGCCTTTACCCTAATCCCGGAATGGGCGGTTCAGCTCAGATCCTATGACTTGGGAATTCCCCGAACGTCCACTTCTGTCGTGGCTTTTTTTTCCCTGACCCGCCTGATCTTCAGTTTGTTTTCCCCATCCCTTCTCGACGGTCCGGCTCTGGGCCAATTTGTCCGGCGTACGCATACAATAGAGCCGAGCGATTCATCCTTGACCCCAGCTCGTCACACAGCATCTTAACATCGATATTCGGGCATTAACTGTTAGGTATATCCCTGTACCGTGTTCAATAAGGCCAATGGCATGTATAAGACGACAACTCGGGGCAAGGGGCGCACCGCCGGATTCGGCTTAAGCAGACCCGAAGCCAAGGCCACGGCCAGTGGCCAGCAAGGTTACATAGGGGCACCATCATGCTCGGAGCCAGCAGCGAGACTGGGCCGGGTCAGCACTGTCGTCCAAAATTGAAGGTTGGCGGTGAGTAGCACTGCACGAGGCCGCTTAGGGAGGGACAAATGTAGAAAGAAAACCGGAGGCATTCGATCGTGACCCAAATCGGCGTAGGATAGCCAGGGTAGGTTTGAAGGGGAACCCGGTTGCGACTGTGTAACGCGAGTGAAAATTGGGGATTGATCAGAAGCTGATGTAAAACCAACAGGTCAAGGCGTCATGCAAAAGAAAATTTCAATCTCACGCCTTGGTCACGCTGCTATCAGTGGTGTGCCAAGATGAGCGGGAGGGCGAAAGCAAAGGTGGGGCGGAACTCCTGGCAACCAACACCGAGAGTGGAGAAGTCGATATAAGGGGAGCGGGAGGGCAACCTCGGAGCCCGGAGCTCCCGCACCTCCTGCACTTACGTCCGGCCTGGTGCCTCGGCTCATTACAGAAACGACCCGCATGATCCGCCTCACACTGGTCTCGGGCGGATCATGCTGAGAGAAACATCAATGCGAGATAAGTGTGCTCTCGTGATTCATTCGAGGGAGCACTTCCCAGTGGCTAATCCAGCCAGGCAGGGAACCCCCGCTTGACAGGAGCTTACGAATGATCCAAACTCCTTACGGGTGTTGCAAGGAAGTGGTGAAGTGGTGATGCCCGAAAGGTAGTCCCTGGTGGGAAGTAGGAGTTCCGGTCGGAACCTCACGGAATCCGCGATACAGAACCGGTGGCAGACAGTTTCGCCAGCAGGAACGGCCCAGAGAGCAACTAAATGCATATCCTTCTAAAGGATGTCTCCGTACCATCTTAAACACAAGGAATAAAGGTGTTCCGGTCGGACTGTAAGGTTCCGACCGGAACCAGCATTCACCACGAACAGCCCCCCACAGAGACACAACCACCTTCGGTACAGTGTTGGCGATGGTTTTTCCTGCGTATTGCTCTTCTGAGACCTCCCATTCGTGGCACAAGCAAGCCCCCCCACTGCAGACGAGATCGTGCAAGATAGTCAACGGGATTTGCGAAAACGGTGGATGAACAAGCGTCCAATTGAAGGCGACGACAACAATACCAGGACCCACCCACCACTCAGCGGCTCTGAGCCCTGCGATCGCTGCGCGAGGCGAGCACACTATCGTTGCAATAATACAGCGCATAACGGTTATCCAATCATGAGGCTGCATTGAGTCGCCTCTTGTTGATGACCGAAGAAACTCCACGAGCGCCGTCACAGAATCTCGTTGGCTAACCCATTAGACCGTCGAAAACGTTAAATTGGTACGAATGTATGTGCAGGTATGAACATTCTTTCCGTCACACTATGTTAATCTGCGCCTCTAACCCTATGTGCCTTGGTCTCCAACAAGGGAAGAAACAGATCAAGACGAGTCTCATGAAGGTCACCCAAACACCACTGCCCCACAATAGCAACCGTTTATACAGAACAAACATGTGCGACTCGCCACCAGGATATATCGTAATACGTCAGCGGATGGCCAGTAAGATCCAAGCGCGAAGAAGAGAATCTAAAATGGGAGGGTATCTACTGAAATCAAAAAGGTTTTTCTGCGTCCTGTTCCATGGGATCCCTCAGACAGTGTCCCTTTTCGCCCACTTCTTTCTGTAGGTATTTCAGGGTGGCTGGGTCTTTGGTGAAATATGAATCAGACCGTGCACCGCAGGCAATGTTAGTGGTACCGCCGGAGGATTTCTGAGGCTGCAGGCGGCCTTTGCTGTCAAGGCCTTCGTTGACATTTGCAATCTCGGAGGGAGCCGAGACATGGTGGAAGAGTTCGGGGTTGACGCTATAGCACTTGTAGTCCAGATCTCTACAGGCCTCCAGGATGCGCACGTCAAAAGCATCGCAGCCACCATCCTCCTCTCTTGCTGCTAGCTTGGTCAGGATGCGCTTGGCTGAGGCGCGGGTGACGGCGTAGCCAAAGGTGCAAAGCGGCCACTTGGAGCGGTGGACCATTCGCTCGCCTTCTTCGAGGCCGAGCTCTTCCAGGAACTCGTTGGTGTGCGAGTGCATCCTCCGATGGGGCAGAATGGTGTCGTCTCGGTAAACGCGATGCTGCAAGCTGTCAAGCTTCTTGGCGTCGAAGAAATCGCCACAGTGGCCGAGATAGAGAATCTCCCACTGGTCCAAATCAGCCCAGTAGGTGTCGTCGGAAGCCAGGAGCTTGCGCAAGTTCTCAGACGCAAGTGGGACCTGGACGCTGCGCAGGTGGATGTCCCAGTCGACGTCGTCCTCGAGAATAAGCGCCGTCTCCAGGTCGGAGTCGAGGAGCCTGTGCCACAAAATTAGACGCGGAAATTGCAGGCGGGCCAAAGCCACGTTACCATTGCAACGCGTTCAGGTGACCCAGCCAGGCCAGCGCTGAGCCGCGAGTGATTCTCGAGCCGTGCTTGGCTCGAAGCTGATTGAGGCGGTCATCGGTCCATTGTGGCTGGCGCGGGACGATGATGTCGACGCCGGTCAAGTTGGAGGCGAAGAACAGGGACTCCTGCCGGGGCGAGTTGTGGCGCGAGACGGCAAGCACGGCACCGAACTGCGGATGGCGGGTGGGTCAGCGGGGAATGCACCAAGGCAGGCGGCGGGAGACATACGCCCAGAGTGGAGTTCGCAGGGTGCAGGCGGGTGTAGTTCAGGCCGGCGGAAAAGGGCGGCGGCTGCTGCTGCTGCTGCTGCGCGCTCGCTTGACGCTGGACAACGGCGGGCGCGTGGAACCACAGCGTCAGCGCCACGACGAGGAACAGCAGCGCCGCGGCTAGGCGCTGAAACCGGGGCTCCATTCTTGTGTTCGGCGCTTGGGGAAACACGGGGTCAGGGTGCAATGGCGGGTGCAAAGTTGCGCTTGAGGGCGATTGCGCAGCTGCCGTCTTAAAGGAGAGGGCGCGGCGAGGCGCTGGCGGCGGCGCGATCGGCTGTCGCTCTGCAGCGCGCGCTTGGCCGGCCTACATCTTACAACTGCGCTCGTATACTTCGTGTGCCCGCAGGAGGCGTCGAGTCTGCGAACGCAACCCTCGCAATCTCCCGGCCCTAGCATCAGCCTTACCGCGGAGCCCAGGGCGTCGCGCCGCCGGGTGGGGACGACCCTTTCTTCCAGCCAGCGGCCTATTTTTATTTTAGCCAGCGCCCTCCCACGGCGTGACCACTCCCCCCGCGAACCGCGCTAGCGATGGTCGATCCAGCTGCGAGATCTCCTTCCCCGATCCATTCTTGGCCCCTTCTTGCCGTCGCCGGCCCGCATTCCAGCAATCTTCCGCACGGCAGAGCCTCTCCTCCCTTGCAGCTGCACAATCTTTCCGTGTCACCATGGCGGCTGCAGAACCCCAGCCCGCCCCAGCCCCGGCTGGCTCCCACCAGGAACCCAAATTCTCCCGCTACCGCTCCGTCCGTCGTGCTCACCAACACCAACACCAGCATGATCCGCCCGCCATGCCTCCACTACTGCCGCCAGAACCCACTCAGCCCGCCCCCGCCTCCGCCACAGTGAGCCGTAGCATGTCGCGCTACCGCCGCCAACGCCCCGTTACAGCCACCGCGCCCGTCGCCCACGACCGCGCCGCGCCTCCACTTCCCACCCAGCCTGTCGCCTCCTCCGCTCGCGAGCAGCGTCGTGTGCGTGCCGCGAGCAACCCCGCCCAGCCCCCAAATCACCAGACAAGCCGCCCCTCGACAGCGCGCGCTCAGGGAGGCGCGCCCGACCACAATGTTTTGGATTCTCCCACGAGGGCAAGGGAGGAGGCCCGCAGGCTTCTGGAGGGCGAGAGCCAGCGCCAGGCACGCATGAATGCCCAGCTGAAAGCCGAGAAGCGAGCCAAGCTTGAGGAGGCCGAGAGACAACGTGCCCAGCTTGAGGCTGAGGAATCCGAGCGGCGCAACGCCGAGCGCGTTCGCCAATACCAAGAGAAGAGAGCCGAGGACCTGAGGGTACGGCAAGAGACTGCTCGCGCCCAAGCTGCTCAGGCGCGCCAGGAAGAGGACGACAGAGTGCGTGCTGCAGAGCGGGAGAGGCCGCGCACCGGAAAGACATCCGGCGCAGGCTCCGAATCGGACGCTCCTCAGGTCCCACACTCACCTGAGAGCCCCTCGTCGTTCCGCAAAAAGGACCGTTTGGCTGGCTTGTTGCGCAGGCGCAAAGATGACCACCAGCCTGATGTGGCCTTTATTCCCGCTCCAAAACCCCGCCAGGTCAGCAATAACGACAACAGCAACTCCGATGCTTACATCAAGGCTGGCGGTGGCGGGGTCGTTCCCGGAATCGACGCTCCCGTTTCTGCTGTCAATGCAGGTGACCGCCGTGTTATGGTCGAGTGCAAAAAGAAGAAAATCTTGCTCCCTGTCACGCCCACCACCACTCCGCAGGAGCTCATTCGCACCGCCTCTAACGTTTTGTCGGAGGACATCGATGCCAAGGCGTCGGTGCTCCTTGAGTTCTTCGCCAAAGTCAGCGTGCAGCGCCCGTTGCGCAACTACGAGCATGTCCGTGACGTCCTCAACTCCTGGGACGACGATATGCAGAACTCCCTGATTCTGGTGGAGTCGCCAAATGGCGGCAACGACGCTGAACTCAAGGTCAGCTCTGTTCCGTCGGAAAAGCCTGGCGACTATTCTTGTTGGATGCAGTATTCCCAAAAGCCCGGACGGTGGTCCAAGAGGTATATCACGTTGAGGAACGACGGTCAAGTGCTGGTGGCGAAGAACGAGAGCGCAAAGGATGTGGCTAACGCGTGCCATCTGTCCGACTTCGACATCTACAGTCCAAGTGCTGAGGCAAAGTCTCGCAGAGTGAAGCCACCGAAGAAGTTCTGCTTCGCCATCAAGAGCCAGCAAAAGTCTACCATGTTCATGTCGACGTCGACCTATGTGCATTTTTTCTGCTCCAACGACCAAACTGTGGCTGCTGATTTCTATAGCGCTATCCAAGGGTGGAGGAGCTGGTACCTAGTCAATGTCATGGGTGAAGGCCAAAAGAAGGCGAGGGCGGCTGAACAGGCCCACGCCAGTGCTCACCCAGTTCCTGGCAACCAACTTTCGCTACCAGCCATGGCTGTCCATCGGCCGAGCACGTCGATAGATTCGCACTACCAGCTGGGCTCGTTCAGGCCGCTCCTTGACATGACTCAGTTTGAGTCGGCATCGGGACCGAAGTTGGCAAGGTCGCCAACTGATGATGATTCCCGGCTAGCTGATGGCGGCGGCTTACACGGGCGCAACCAATCGATGCGCACCCGCGAGCACCCGCAGCTCACGTCACCAACTCATCTTACGTCTCCAGGCGGACTTTCCAATGTGACATCGCCCACTACCCTGATCCAGAAGATTCCATCTGAGGATGAAGATGGCACCTTCGCCGCCGGTGGTCTCCTCGGCCGCGCTTACTCTCAGCGCCAGAAACAACTCACGGAGCGTGAAAAGAATCTGAAAAACTCTGGGCCGTTCACCGAAGGCCCGTCTCTCCTCAGCTCTACCGATGCCATTCACCCACGAGGCAACCGTACTTCCTTGGATGGCGGTCGCCCGCAGCGCATGAGCTCCGTCCGCTCCACCCGAGGCGGAGAATCAAGTGAAATCAAACGGACTGCCAGTACCCGTCGCGCCATTCCTAAGCCACTTGTGGACCTGACGCCCCAGTATCAGGAGCCCCCGCAGTTTTCGAAGAAAGGGAAAGGGTTTCGTCCAGACCATTTAGGTGGTGGACTGGTTGACGCTGCCACGAGCCCCGATGTGCCCATCCCCATTCCGCCGAGCCAAGACTGGCGCGCGCGCCGTGATCCAAGTGCGACGCGACCAGGCACTTCCGGCGTTGATCGCACCAAGAGCCTACGGGGCCAAGGACAGAGGATTAACTACATTGCCAATAACCACGCCAACGTCCCAGAGAACGGCGCCGAGGGCTTCACAGGGCACGGTCTGATTGCAACTACGAATTTCGGACCTACAGCTTCTGCTGTACCTTTTGGTCATGGCGTCATGGATGGGAGCAAGGCAAAGGGTCCCATGATCGACCTCAGTGAAGGGAACCGTTTCCAACCCGGGAGCTTGCTCGACCGTGTTGCGACAACCCAGCCCAAAGTACCTATCATCGACCGGGAGTAGAGGCGGACCAACAAGGTCCCCAGTGGAGAGTGCTTCCGACAGACTGGACAAGAATTATGCATGCTCTGACGCAGCTCTACGGATTGTTTCGTTCATTTTCTTACCAAGTTTGATCCCGTTTTGGAATCTGGACTCGAAGCACCGATAGCTCGGCTGGTTTGCTAAAGTTTTGTTATTGTTCGTTTCTTATACCCCACGGCACGTGTGCTGGCGGACGGCGATCTTGACAAGATACCTGTGGCATCTGTCGTCGCATATCTTTTGTATTTCTTTTTGAGCTGTTTCGTTTCGTTTGCTACATGCTCGGACCGCTTCCCCCTCTGGCTATGGAGGATCATGGTTCCATGTCTGGAACTCTACCCCTTGTCATATTTTCCTTTGTCACGTTATCTATACCCGGGGAGCCTGACACATCTCGCGGTGTTGTCGTTGCCGCCCTCAAAGAGCATCAATTTCCGGCTTCAACGGGCCACACCACTTCGGGTTCAAGTGATCCACATGACTAGCCATGAAGAAACAACGAACCCAGATTCCTTATTATTCTTGGAGAGTGATGCAGAGACAATGTCACGCTGGGGCGCTTTTGTGGCGCTCGTGGCGTGGTCGCTGTCAGGATTACGGAGGATCGCTTTCCATGGCATTCTTCTCCGGGCTCATCGACCATTTCCGCCCTGCATTTACGAAGAATACGGTACCATCGTCAAACTGCAAGTGGCCTGATTCTTGCGCTTTTGGATAATAGTCGGTCGGGGTGTATCACATGCACTCCCGGGTTTATGCAAGATGCGATATAATTATTAATATTTAGCCGCCTTTTCTTCGAGTCGCGCTTCTTCCGCACGCCCTTGATTTCATCGATTGTGGCAAGCTAACAGCTTCAGAAAGGGTTTGCCACTCACATAGCGAATTGCACCTCTAATGAAACCGGTACGAGAAAAATTGAAATCCTTTGACCCAGTCACTGTGATGTCAAGCTGTCGACCGAACGAGTGGCCGATGTCCTCTAGGCAGAGACACCGGCTGGGCCTCGGTAGCTGCATCTTCTGTGAAATTCAGCCTTGTTTGATTCGAATGGGTTGATCGGAGCTAGCGGTGTGAGAAACTAGCACGGTCACCTCAGGAGAACGCGGGGTCAGCATAGCCACATCCAGCCCAAACAGGCATCAAGCAACGATCCGGAGCGATCTGTTGCATCTCTACCCACTAGATGCGGCGCAGCAAGTTGTGAAGAATCCTTCGCCCACCAAACCCCACACAAATGTACCGCTGTTGCCTTGGAATTCTGCCTCGCAAACCCCTATCATCTTTGTAGCACCGAATCGTGTCTCTACGACCTTGTGTATTTCAAGCGTCTCATGTTCATGAACCAATGGCCAACCCAAGACCCCAAGTATCTTTTTCTCGGTCTCCTTGTCTCCGTGATTCATTTTGTTGTATCCATTCTTATCGAGAATGGCCTCTCTCCCCGTTTCTCTCAAAAAAGAACTGCCCGACCAATCAGCCACCATGCCCGGTATCGGTGCCGAAAGCCCACCCGCTGATGACAAAGATTGGGAGATGATCGACGAAGGCTCACCAATGGCGGGACAGAAAATCGATCCTACATCGGTCGGGCTCGATATCCACCGTTTGCAGGGTTCGGACGGAATGGCCATCTCAGTGCGGTCACCGAAGAAGACTCCGACCATCTTGGGCGAAAAACAACGCTTTCCGGTGGACATCGTTTTAGTGATTGACATATCAACAAGCATGGCATCGTTTGTCGAGTGCCCTAAGGAGCAAGACGGCAGTTCTGGGACGGGGAATCGATCCGGAAACGAGCCCAGTGCCCGCCACTCGATCTTGGACTTGGTGAAGAATGCAACACTTGCAATCATTGAGAACTTGGATGAGCGAGATAGACTTGGTATAGTCACGTTCGGATACGACGCTGAGGTAATATCATCCAGCTTCTCCATCAACATGAATCCAAATGGTGGAATTCAACTGACATGGAAACGCCAATTCGCGAAACAGATACTCCAAGAACTCACCTATATGACTTGCGAGGCTCGCGAATCCCTCATGACGAAAATCCAGACAGTCGGAGTACACGGCGCAACGAACATGTGGGCAGGGCTCCGGAAAGGGTATCAAATGCTATCAAGTGAAGGCCAAGGGCCCGTGAGGAAGCCTGATCAGCAAGCCCTTTCTGCGATATACCTGCTCACGGATGGCCAACCCAATGTCATGCCCCCAGCGGAGGGCTACGTGCCAGCGTTACGCAAATTGGTCTCGCGAGGAGTTGGAAAGGGATGTGACTCGGTCATACCCTCGCTTCACACTTTCGGCTTCGGATACAGTCTGCGCTCAGGACTGCTGCAGGCCATGGCCGAGGTAGGTGGAGGGTATTACGGGTTCATCCCTAACGGATTTTTAATGGGTCAGTCGTGCTCGTAATCATTAACGCCGGAGCGGCCCTCAAACTGATTTGTGCAGCCACGATCTTCACGCACGCCATTGCGAACCTTTTTGCGACATTCACGACATCCGCAAGCCTGAAGGTGACTGTCTCTGGCTGCTCGAAGATGCCGGAGCCATTGAAGGGAGCGGTTCTGTGCAGATCAAAGGAAGATACACTAGATATCTCTCTTTACAACCTCCAGTATGGCCAAACACGCGAGATAGTCCTTTCTTGGCCGACGAACGAGGACAAGTCCAACCAGAAGCCGATCACGATAGCCGCGGCGCTTGAGTACACTGGACCAGGGCTCGGTTCTCAGCGAGCAGAGGCCGTCATGGAAGCCTCACAGATACCAGCGTACCCTAACCGCGCCTTGGCCAAGTACCACGCGCACCGCTCACTTGTTTGCGAGTTTCTAGCTTCACTCTCCAAGCAAGATGCCGAGGAAGAATACTTGCCTATCCCTGCGGAGGCTGAGCTGGACGATGCCCTGTCCAGGCTTGATGAGCTGATCCAGAAAATCAAAGCGAGCGCCCACGCAGGTAGCGATAGCCAAGAGATCCTGTTCGATCTCGGGTCTGGTCTCGAAGAAGCGCGAGCGAGTGCAGGCGACCCAGCCGGCCAAGTGTTTCAAGCCCTGTTCCGACCAGAATATTATCAAACGTGGGGGAAGCACTATCGTCAGTGAACACCCTGATCAGAAGTCCACGCACCGGCTTCGGAGGCTAACCGTACGTCGTATAGTGCCATCGCTCCTCCACGCGTACAGGAACCAGCTTTGCATCAACGACAAAGACCAAGGGCCCAAAACGTTCGTCAAGAACAACCCTCTCTTCGCAAAGTTCAAGGAGGCCCAGAGCGATTCCTGGGACAAGGCCGGAGACCGGCTCATGGAGATTGTGAAGAAACAGGCCCAGGCGGGTGCTGGGCCGCGGTCACACTCTCGCGTGCTACCTTCCGTCTCGCGCGTCTCCATGGCCGCCTACAACAGCCCCCACAATCCTTGCTTCGCCGGGCCGTCGCGTGTCCTCCTTTCGTCTGGCCAGCGCGTTCCAGTGCGCCTCATCCGGCGGGGGGCGTCTGTGCTTACGCCGGCTGGGCCGCGCCGGGTGGCTGCCGTTGTCCAGACGTCGCTGAGCAGGGTGGCGCTGTGCAAGCTCGGCGGACTCTTGGTCACGCCCTGGCACCCGATTTTGGATGCGCAGAGCAAAGAATGGGTATTTCCGGCCATGGTCGCGGATGCTCGCGTCCGACGCGGGGTGAAGGTGTACTCACTGCTGTTGGAGAGGAGCTATGGGCCGGAGGCGCATGCGGTGAACGTCGGTGGTCATTGGTGTGTCACGCTTGGGCACGGAAAAACGGAGATGTCTGCAGAAGATGTGCGGGGGCATGAGTTCTTTGGAGACTACGCAAAGGTGATGCGAGAGCTGAAGAGGCTGCCCAAAGGAAGCGATGGACTGTTCCGTTGTGGCGGTATGGCAAGAGATGGGGCGACGGGCTTGGCTTGCGGGTTCAAGAAGCCGATTGAGGGGCATGGCCGGGCCCAGCGACGGAACGTAGGACACAGAGTCATGGGTAGGTGTTTGTGAGACTAGTACCTACGTTTCTTGCCAGGCATGACCTGCGGTTGCGATGAGACAAAATGGATTTTCCTATCCCAATTAAGGCTGGTTCATAGCCACATTTGCTTCAACTGCATACACGAAAGACGTCCGTAGGTGTGGGTGCTGGATGAAAAAGGCGACCGCGAGAGAAGAAGAGTCGCGGGCGTGGTTGAGCGGCGGCCAGCGGCAGCGACTTTCTGGCGGAGCGCAGCGGAAAGTCTTGGCGCGGCCGGTCTCGCAGTGACGTCGGCGGGGCTTTGAAATCAACCCACCTTCAAGAATGCGACAACCCATCCACACCGCGCACATTGCCCCCGACTGCTGCGCCGCCCCCGTTCGCTTGTTTCAAGGCCCGGACTGAGCCCGCTCGCTCAACGACACCCACCATGGGCATCGAGAACGTCAAGAAAATCGTCCTCGTCCTCTCGGGCAAAGGCGGCGTCGGCAAGTCCAGTATCACCACTCAACTGGCTCTCACTCTGTCTCTGCAAGGCCACTCCGTTGGAGTCCTCGATATCGATCTCACTGGTCCATCAGTGCCCCGCTTCTTTGGTGTTGAGGGTTCCAAGGTCACACAAGCCCCCGGCGGCATGGTTCCCGTGCCCGTTCATGACGCCCAGACAGTCGGCCAAGGCAGCCGGGCAAAGAGCGCAGGCCCGCTGTCCGTCATGTCGCTGGGCTTCATTCTGGCAAATCGCGGCGACGCGGTCATCTGGCGCGGCCCCAAGAAGACGGCCATGGTCCGCCAGTTCCTGTCCTCGGTCCTGTGGCCGCCTGGACTGGACTACCTCCTCATCGACACTCCGCCTGGCACCTCGGACGAGCACATCTCTCTCCTGGAGACACTCCTCAAAGACACCGCCTCCAACCCGTCGCAGCTGGCCGGTGCCGTCGTCGTCACCACGCCCCAGGCCATTAGCATCTCGGACGTGAAGAAGGAGCTGAACTTCTGCACAAAGGTTGGACTGAAGGTACTTGGAGTAGTGGAGAACATGGCAGGCTTCGTATGCCCAAGCTGCAGCGAATGCACAAACGTATTCAGCAAGGGCGGGGGCGAGATCATGGCAAGAGACTACCGCGTGCCGTTCCTGGGAAGTGTGCCTATTGACCCGGCTTTCGTCACATTGGTGGAAGAAGGAAAGCGGCCCGTCTACCCCCAAGGAACGGTCATACAGGGCACTGAAATGACTACGGAGGAGAGCGCCGGGGAAGCTGGCGAGGCGAGAAAGGAGCCAGGAGAATTGGTCGACAAGTACACGAGCTGTTCTTTGTACCCGCTGTTTGACGCCATGGCTAAGCAGATAGTTATAACTATCCAGAGCGATACTTGAAAGAAAATGAAAAATTAAAAGGCAAAGTGTCACATCCGTTTCGCTTTCGTATTGGAATCGGGCCCGACGCCCATGATTTTGCCGATGAGAGACCCATGTTCTCGATGAGGCAGCTGGCGCACAGGTGGGCACACACGGAAGGTGCGAGGCTGTGCGGCCGGTTGGGAGCCATCCGCTCCTGCCAACACATCAATTAGGCAGTTGCGGAATCCGGGCGCATATAAACATCTCGGCTGCTGCTCCCCCCACTCCCACTCCCTCCTTCTTCACCAACTTTCCTCGGCCCGCAAGCTTGGTCCCCCTGCCTCCGTCCAGAACCAGCACCAGTCAGCCATCATGTCCAGCCAGGTAAGCGAGTGCCACCGCCTCTAGCGATTCCGATCTTTGAAAGACACCTGAATACTCTCCAGGTTCAGCCGGTCCAGTTCGAGCTGAGCCGCCACATCCTGAAGAAGGTTGCTTCGGCCATCAAGTTTGACGAGAGGGCTGACGCGAGCTGGCTCAAAATCGAGTTCATCCGCCCCAGCACTGAGTACGGAGTCCCCATCACCGTCGATTCAGACGATCCCAAGTTCTTCAGGATCCAGAACATCTGGGCCACGGCCGTCCAGGCCGATCCGACCATCAAAGACGAAGGCGCCCTCATCCTTAAGGCTAGGAGGAAGGACGGAACTCCGGTCTCTGCCATCGACCCCAGCAAGTACCACGTCCCCTCTGACGCAGTCCAATCCAACGTCACTGCCGAGCCCGCCCGTCACCCAAGCCTGAGCAACCTTCGTGGTGCATCTCCGTTAGGCGCCAGCAAGGCTCCCAAACTTAGCCCCACTGCTGTCACGAGCGCTTCGAATCTCCGTTCAAGCGCCTCACCTGAGGTTCCCGACAACACCATGATGCATGACCGTGTCCCCCATGCTGGCGAAATCCAGAAGCCGGATGGTATGGCTTCCATACTTGGATCTAATCAGCAGAACGCGCGCCGCGCTCCTGGATGCGACACCGAGGCCTCTGAGGCTCCTCGTCGCCGTCGCGCTTACAGCGGCTCCACTGTGTACTCCCCTGCTACTACTACGGTCACGTTCCAAGCCAACATAACCACTGGTCCCAACATCGTTGCAGTCCCTTTCGACCTTGACAACATCAACGAGTCCATCGATGACATCGTCGCCTACGTTGACTGGAAGAATAGTGAGGTTGGTCGCGCCAGCCCGGTCGATTTCAAGACGTTCCTGAGCATCATGCGCTTCCGTCCCATTCAAGCTAATGCCGTAGTCCTACGCAAGGCGGAGTGAGGGGCTTCACATCCGCATGCCCTACTTGGACTCACGCTATTCAGTATGGAGCCATAGAACAAGGTGTCACCGAACCGGCTTCATGTTGCAAGCGGAAATGATGTGCTGGTGGGAAACCGGATATTTCCGGCTGTGCTGAGATCGGATATTACTGGGTAACTTAGAACGGTTGGATAGAGCTCAACAGTCCATAATACAATCAAGCCATGTCCAACCGCTGCTGCGCAAGCACTTCGCCAAGTCTTTTGAGTCTCTACTGTTCATACCCATGCTTCAATCACCAAAGTGCTCTGATGAATGGACATACCGATGGATCGTACTGACTGAGGACATATCCTTCATATCGTGGTATACGACAGCTTTGCACTATAAATGCACCAAAGAGGTCGGCTGGTATCTTCATTTCTGACTGTCTAGAAACACAACCGTGACTTCAATCGAAAACGAGTAAAATTGCAAAAGAGTGTCGCGTGCTGAACTTGAAAGAGGCCCAAGGTACTTCAATAAAACGAACAATCCCATTTCCTTCCAAAGAGCGACCATCTCCAAATAACTACGCAACGCTGAACCAGAAATACCAAATCATCTCCAGAATGAATCCGTGAATAAACCCAATTAATCCCTCCCAATACTGCAACGCATGAAATTGTTCAAAGCCGACAAGACGCAAGAGCCTGCAAGTGCCTGTCATGAATAGGAGAAAAAAGAAAGTTCGCATCAAATCCGTGTGCTCGCGAACGTCTGAAACGAGGTGTATACAGAAAGAAAGAGCGAAGCGGCGGAGGCCGGTATGAGGGTATCGCAAAGACGGTCCGGGGTATCATATGCATTGGGGGAGAAAAAAAAAGAAAAAAAAAAGGAAAACCAGCATTTTTGCGGGTAATGTTCGTCCGGGAATCGTGGCGGGATAGAGTGTTGACCGTTCCCGGTCTTGACTGTGTTGCCGTTTAGAAGTAGCGGCGGCCCATGGCGTCCTGACCGATGGTGCTGCAGCTCTCGATCGCACAGCCATCCTCGCAGTCGTACATCTGCGTGTTTTCGGCGGGGACGGGGCATTTGGCCTGGCGTCCATCACCGTTGTCGCAGGTGCGAGTGTCGCCGAGACCGGGGAGAGGGATGATGTTGAGAGGGTTGCTGCTGTGGAGGGCGTCGGCGTGGCTCTTGGGGGGATCGCTGCTGAAGCCGTCGGTGTAGTTGATGGGGAGGATGCCGGTGGGGCGGCTCAGGCTCACGGCGATTTGGTGGATAATGTCATCGGCACCGACACAGCCGCGTGCAGAATAGCCGGTGATGTGCTGATCACCGAAGCCGCTGTCGTTGCGAGGCATGTCGCTGGGTTGGGGAGGCATGTCGTGGCCGGAGGGTGACTGGGAGGACTCGGAGCAGGTTGCCCAGCTTGGCTGGGAACCGTCACTGGTAGGGTCGCTCTTCGCGCTTTGCAGAAGCAGAGTCAGGTTGCTTTTGTAATGTGAGCGGACGTGTCCATCAGACGTGGGAGTAAAGGGATCAGAGCCATACCTGAGGGACTGAGGCGCATCCTCAACAACAACAGGCTGCTCGACAGTAGACTGTTGTGCAGCGTCGTGCTCCTCGAAAGCGACCGGGCAGCCATTGTTGCTGGGCAGACCCGGCGGAGCCTTCAAGCCCACGGTCCGCCTGTTCTCCTCGCGCCACTGCTCTGCGGCAGCGTATTGCTCCTTCAATGCAGCTTGTGCATTCAGGTGCTCAATCATCCTCTGCTGGTTTAGAGCCTCGGTCTCTTGTTGGCGCTGAGCCGCTTGCGCCATGGCCTGCTGCCACGTTCTTCCTTCTCGCCTCTTTTGCTGCCTCGTTTGACGAGCCTGCTTATAGCGAAGTTGGATGCTCGAGGGGATACTGTGGGCGCGGAAGCCGCAGCCAGGCTCCTCGGGTAAGTTCAGGATCTCAGGATCACCAGTGAAGCCGGCGTCGGTCTTCTTGATGATATTGCTCAAGAGCATTGGGTTCTCCCTGGTTGTCTCGACGGGAATGACGTCCGGGACGCGGTTGAACTCGGAGTCGACCGAGAAGCAGTCCTCGTCGATCTCAAGCGGGCCGTACAGGGCGCGCTCTGGCTTCTTGCCCTCGGCGGGAGTGGGTGCAAACCTGACGTGGTCGCGCGTGCTGGTCGTATCAAAACGGCTCTCGCTCATGCTGGGACTGAGCTGAGGCACATTGTCGAGCGCGAGGGACAAATCTGAGTCGTCGCTGGAGTTGCGAGTGTGTCCAGAGTTAGGCTTGTGAAGAAGGTTGCCCTTGGGCCAGTGATTCGCTGTGACCTTTTGGCTGGTGACCGGAAGCGTCGACGGCGGAGCAAGGCGGCGTATGTCAGCGCACAGCTCATCGCGCGCACGAGATGAGGCCCTGGAAGAGGATGAAGTGGAAAGAGGCGGCGCGGGCACGAAGCGCGTCACCGGATTCGGGACAGGTTCGCGACGAGGAGCGCGCTCGCCGCAAGGGAATAACTCTTTGAGGCGGAGAAGGCCATCGCGGAGTGTCTTGAGCGTGGGGCTCTCGTCGTGTTTGTTGCGGTCGGTCGGAGGTGGAGTGTTATCCTGCTCGATGTTGGCAAGTGGCTGCGTCAGCTCCGGCTGCACCAGGCTGGCCGGGGTGACAGGAAGCAATCCCTTGCGGGACGCCATGACGGAGGTTTGGTGAAGAGTGTAAGGCTGTTGCGGCGCGAGTGCGACACAGGCGGGTTGTGTGGGGAAGAAGATCTAGAGAGAAGAAAGAGTAGGACGCTGAGGAAGAACGGAGCGTGAAGGAAAGGGAGAGCCACTTACGGTGTGAACTGGAGCTCGCTTGAAAAGTAAGAGGCTGGCGGGCTTTATACGGAGCTGAGGTGAGGTGAGTGAGGTGAGTTGTTGAGCGAAAGTGAAGTTGACCATAAACAATGCGCTCCAGCGCCAACACCTTAACACACCCCTCCTCAGCGCGCCCTCTACGCGCGCCCCACCCGCAAGCCCTGCCCGGGGCAATCACTAGCTCTCGCCGGGCGGCTGTTGCGGGCGCATTCGCGAGCATCGCCTTGGAGGGACACACGGACACTGACCACTCCGGTGGCCTGCCCATGTGGCCGAATGGGCCGCAGCGACATGTCACCTTGGGCAGTCTTGAAGTAAAGGTAATCCACGGGTTGGTATTGGTATCCAAACTCCGCCATCTCGCAAGCAAGACACCCGCCTGCAACCGGTCCGGACGCCTTCGCCAATGCAGTAAGCCGCTCTCTCCAAAGCCCATCGCAAGAATAACACAATAATTTACATCGCGGCTAATTTATGCGCATGACAAGATGAATCGGAAATGAAGGGTATAAGGGAACTTTATTTGCCTGCCTCAGCACTCGGCCAGTTCGAAGTGGTCGGAGTAGTGGCACCCGCCTCGACCACCTTCTGCTTTACAATGTCGGTCATGTGCGTGCCGATGTCGCCAAAACCATCGATCTTGTTCAGCTTGCTCTCAAAGAGCTCTGCGTCACGTAACAGCCTGCCGCTTTGTTAGACAATCTACACCATTGTGCAAGTAGGGAGACACTTACCTTGCCTTGCCAGCGCCTGTCCGCACCAGCGCTTCACGGAAAGCCTTCCCCCACTGCTCCCTATAGCCGGCAAAGACAGGCGTAATGATGGACTGCACTGACGGCTCGGGCAAATGCCTGCTCAGTGTGCGGTGGAACGTGTTCGTCTCCTTGGTCAGTGTCTCCATGTGCGGGCTGGCCTGCTGCTCTGCTGCTGCGTCGAAGTCTATCTTCTTCATTGCATTCACATGGATATGCAGGCGCTGCGTCATGATCTCGATGAGCTTATCGTGGATGTTCGTCTGCTGATCCTGATACAGTCGCCGCATCTTGTCTAGTTCGGCGAGCGATGTGCTGGATGAGTGGCGGCGGATGAATTCGCGCAGATAGGGAATCAGGGTGATGATGAAGTTAAGTGCTTGTGATGCGAGAGCAAGATGCTTTGTAGTAATGCTCTTCAAGCCAGCGCTCTCCTTTGCTCCGGCACCGAGAATAAGCTGGCAAGTGCGCGACTGGAAAGTGCGCAAGTAGTCCAGCAAAGTCACTGCGACCTCGGCTGTGATACTGGGTATGACCGCAATGAGATTTTCGAATCGGTCAATCCCATCCAGGGCAAACATGGCACAGTTGACCAGCACGTACTTCTCCTCGTCGATGACCGCATTCCTTGCTTTGGTGGTCCCATTTGCTTCGCCGTTGGTACCTTGGCTCTCGTTCGGCGGTGTGGCAGGCACACTCTGCCAGATCATCTTGCTCTTTGTCCATTCTGCAGGGTCGCTGTGCATGGCTTCTAGGATCCTTGCCAACACCTCAGTCTCGTGTTCGCCGAAGTCTTTGGCTTCCCACTTGTCGGCATCCATGGTTTGGCGGAGCTTTTGATTCTCCGTCTGTCCCATCATCGTGACGAATTGCTTGATCTGGCTGTCCACGACGCCCTTGAGCGCGGCCCCGGATCGTCCAGACACAGCCTCGCACTCATCAGCGAATAGCCTATTGATGAGGAAGTACCGGAGGAAGCGTTGCAGCGGCAGTCGAACAGATTGGTCTCCGCGGACCTTGAGGATCTTCGTAATTTGATTTTGAGCCGCGTCCACGGATTGCCCTAAAAGACTAGACATATCCAAGGACTGCATGAGCTCTTCCTGCAGATGGCTGTTCTGAGCTGGCATATCTGAAATGGGCCTGCCGAGGTATCCGTCCATATTTGCCATGTTGGGACTCTTCGGAGGGGATCTAATTCCTGGAGAAATCGCGGTCCCACTGGAGACATCCAAAAGAACCTTTGTTTGGGTGCTCAATCTACGCAGAGCCTCGCCGACATTGGTATAGATATTAACGAACAGTTGCTCGGCATCCTCCCAGTCGAGAGAGCGCAGGTTCCGGGCGAGAACCGATGACTTTTCCTGTTGAGAGGTCCTGCTGCTGGCGCGGGTTGACGAGGAGATGGTAGATTCAGCATCGTCATCCGTTGAGCTGGGAAGATGTTGCCGTATGAGGACTTTCATCTCTCTGGTGACTGCATCCCGGTAAGCGGCAGAAGCTACTGGTGTATGATTCGACCTGCTCAATCCGTTTAGAATGGCGAGCATGTTCGAACGAAACCCTTCCTCCATTTTATAATATGCAGGAAGAGAGGTAGGCGGTCTGTTGTCGCCCCTGGTGCGGAGAGATGCCGATGCCCAGCGTTGAAGCGTGTCTTGACTGGGTACGCCTTTGATGTGTCGGCGTAGGTCACCCATAAGGGCCTCGAGGAATCTAGACTCGTAGCCCTTCCCGATCCGGGCTCTGAGTTGCATCATGCCGTCAGAAAACCCATCCAAAGCCTTGAGCTCTCGTAGATCGACGAGATCGCGCGGAAGATAGGGGGGAAGCCACTCCTGGTCAACCGAGCCAATAAGCATCAGCTCTCCTGAGACAAGCATTTCGAGCATGTCCAGCCGGTCCAAAGCATCTTCCAGTTTCCCATCTTCTATTAAATCTTCACAATGAGCAACTCCATCGACGACTGCCCGAAGTTGATCCACGGCTTCGCTGAGTTTGCGGAGATTCTCTCTGCGCCTCTTCATCCCTACTATTTTCAAACCGCCGATGGCCATGTCCCGATCAAGCCTGTTCAAATCTTCTCGCAGTGACTGAATGCGCGCTACAGAATCTGCTGCTTGCGACTGAAGCTCGCGCAGTGACCCTAAGGCGGCGAAGAATGACGTCGACGCCGTTGATATCGAGGAAATCAGGTGGATCTCAACCGTGTCCATGTACCATGATAGTTTTTCCTGCAGGATGGCATTCGTTGCGAGAGCTTTCCTTTTCGGTGGTGCCGGGGCCTCGATGGAGCCATTGGCATCTTTCGAGCCTTCTGCGCCTTGCGGCGGCTGTTGAATCACTTCCGACCGTTCGCTCACCACGTCAAATGTGCGCGGGTTCTCAAGGCGAAAGTCTTCCTGGAAGTACACGTCCGGAATTGTTGATAGCGGGGTGACGGCTGTTGGATGACGCTTCGAAGCTCCTGCGCTCGATCTCCTTCGCGGTGATTCTATGGGCGAAAGCGAAACGATGGACTCCTGCCGGGATGAAGGGCGCCTTCCCGGTTGCTGGTCCTTCAAGCGACGCTCTAGTATCTCGGTGAACTCATCCCTCTTGGAGTCGCGGCGGAACAGCTGTGCTGCGACGTTGTCCGAATCCGACTTTGCGCGCTGAAATGCGTCGTACAGCGACCCAACCTGCGAAAGGTATGGCTTGAAAGCGGATGGTTCGACGTGTGGAACGTTCGTTAGGGTGACCGGGGGGATGTCTCGAGTGGAAGGAGTCTTGACGGCGGAGGGCGCGGAAGTATAGGGCAGCAGCCCCGTGCGGACGATTGGGGGCTGGAGCAGTGTTGAAATGGCTGTCGCAGAGTCAGTCAGCTAGCAGCTTTGCGAGCATTGTTATGCGGAATACACCACCATTCTGGCCAGTCTCGGTCACCGGTCCAATGTGTCTCTGCGACGATGTATCCAAGGCTCCCCCGATTGAGTGTATGGAGCTTGCGGTCGAGCCGCGACGCGTCGACTGATAGCGCGCGCTTTGGCTGGAGCTTGGTCTTCGGGTCCAGTCCTGCTGGGGGAAAGGGTACTGAAGGCGGTTGGAGGAAAGCGATGACGGCGATTCGGAGCTGTCGGTGGACCTCCGAGGGGAGGTTGGCCGCGAGGGCATTGTCGGAATCCGGTAGAGGGATACGCGGCGGGCGGAGGCATAGGGAGCGCGAAATATCACCTGGAGGAGCGGGCGAGGGTTCGCACTATCATCGCCGCGGCCAGGACTCCGAGGGTGAGCATTGCTTGCTGGTAGTTGGCCGCGACTGGAGGATGACAGCTAGCTCGACGGCGGCATGCCTCAGGCATGAAAACCTCCCGAGCTTTTGCCGAGTGGCCCTCTGCGCATTCCACCTCGCTCCAGGAATGGGACACTACTTCGTTTGAGCACGTATTCTGCACCGAGTGACGCTGCAAACAAATTGAGATTCGCCTTGCTGAAAGCAAAGCCGGCTAATATCGATCAAAATGATGGTGTGCTCTACAGTTACATCCTGATTGTGGGTATCCTCCTAACGCCAGATGGGTGCATATGCAGTGTGTCCCAGCCTCCAGCTACCAGCGCCGAAGCAATCAGGTATCAAAGACCGAATCCATACTTTCCTTAATATCAAATCCCATGACTTTCTTCCTTAGCACGCAGAACTCCGTCGGACCGCACTTTGAGAGAACCTAACGCCACAAGTCTGCTCTGCTCGCCCTCTTATGGCTGTAGCTGTCCGCCCTGTTGTGACCTCTGAAATGGCCTCCTGAGTTGTTGCTCTTCGTCCAGCCGCCTGCGCTCTTCGGTCTCTCGGGCATCTCCGCCGGAACAGCCAGGAACCCACCGAATCCGTTGCCGACAACAACACTCTTGCGGTTGTCGTTGCCCCACTGGGGTCCCAGTCCCCTGGAGGCGTTGTACTCTGACAGAGGCCGTCCGCCACTGAAGCTGCCCCTGTGGCCTGGTTCGTCAGGAGGTTGGAAGGTCGAGAAGATCCAGTCGAGCTCGTCAAGACCCTTAGCGTAGATGTTCAAGGGCTGCGTAAGGCCTCTCGAACCAGATCCACCGTCAGTGGCATACGATGGCATCGGCGGAGCTAGAGTCAGTGTCTCCGCAAAGTCCGGATCGCGAACGTATAGCTCTTTCAGATTTGGGAGCGAATTTGTAAGGAGAGACGAGATTAGATAAGCATAGTAAGAAGAGTGCGGTGGTTGCAACCCTTGGAAGGCATTCGATGCGGATGTTATTTCGAAGTAGAGCTTTTGGAGAAGCATCGACCTGAGGGGTGGGCGTGCTTGCATCGGCAGCGACGCGGACACGGTATCGCGGATAGTCAGCTCCCGCATGTATGGGGCAGCCGTGAGGACTGTGTGAAGCTCGTCCACGGTCACACCAGTCGTGGATAGCGACAGGTACTGCAGCCTTGACATGTTCTCGCGGCCACTGAGGTAGGCGCACAGACCGTTTGCCGTGACTCCAGGCATCTCGTCCAACGTCAAGCGTTCCAGAGCAGGGAATTCCGGAACATTGGGCGCCAATTCGAACATCGAGTCATTCAGCCAAGGAGACTCCGAGACCTTCAGATTGATGAGATGCGGCAGGCAGGCAAGAATCCGCCTCATTGTCACCGGTTCGATTCTTAGCCGACTAAGCTCGAGAACCTCAATCCGCTGCCAAAAGCCCTGGATAAGCATCTCGAAGAGCTGCTCCGAACCAGCGTCGTACTTCATTTTTCGAAGGTTGTTTCCTCGGACTTGCAGCTCCTGGCGCAGAGTATGGCTTCCGGGATCGCCGGAATAGAATCCATCGGGCAGATCGACGTAGCGCAGATTGGGCAGGACAGAGACGGTGCGGGCGAGGTCAGCCTTGGACGTTTCGCGGGTCATGTACGGCAGCTTGAGCACCTCGACGGTCTCAGCAAGGTACTGGTTGTCTCGCACAGTCCGAGCAAAAAGCTGGAGACGGGCGGTCGGCACGTCAGTGGTTTCGTGACGTGACTTGCGGCGGCGATGCTGGCCAAGGATCTCTTCAAGCTCGCAGTAGTGGACGGCGTCGATGCGCACGCATTTGTAACTGCATGATCGTCAGGACAGACCCAGGGTCAATGATGCAGGTGCACGACTTACAGCAAGCCCTGGGCGACACCATACCAGCGCCGGCGTACCTGGGCGCAGCTCGCCAGATCGCGCAAATCGCACAGCATGCAGCCATCCCCGATCATGCTCTTCTCACTTGTCTCGTAGCTGTCATCGGTAGTGTGGGGACACACGAATTCGAAGATGCGGCGTAGCACCTTGTCGGGCAGCTGCTCGGTGCAGTTGCGGCCATGGTAGACCGGCAGCGGAGGGCTCGGGTAGGCGTGATGATCATGGTTGTGGTGCTTTAACTTGTCCTTGATGTTGCTCTTGGAGCGGAAATGCTTGAGCCAGCCCATATTAGCTGCAGAAGGGAAGGGAAAGGGAGAGATGGAGAGCGCAAACAGGGTAGTCGGCGCGCGGCGGAGGTGTTTGAAGCGGGGGATGCGGGCGCGAGCAAGGTTTCAAAACGTCGCTCCTTGAGCGGCGATCAGGGCCTCGTTCAGCGCGCACCAGGCAAGAACGCGTGGACGGGCGTGACGCGCCTTCCATGTCGCACTTGCCCTCAAGCCAGCCGCCGAAACAGACAGGACCTATGCGGCAACCAGCCGCCAGCTGTTAGCCGCCACGCCGTCGCCCTATGCGCTCCCTCGGCACGCGCTGGCGCGAAAGCCTAATTCATGCCTAGGTACAATAGGAGGCACGAGCGAGAGCGTAAATTAACACTGAGATCGCCATCCTCCTCTAGCCGCGTTTCATGGGCGGTCGAACCCAATGTCCGCATGTAGATCTGGATTCAAGAATCGTACAATGACGTCCAGCCGTTGGTCACAACCTCCCACGGAAACCGAGTGCACTGTTGTTGTGCGGGGCATGGATGCGAAACGGTGGACATTGTATTCTGCTTACGTGGGCGGGCTGAAACGAACACCCGGCCGTTGATGTCGGTTTCATGGCCATACAAAAGCGTCAAGGCGCAAGCACCAGCTGTGCGCGCAGGTAGGGTCCAAAGGCCCATGCGAAACAGGTTTGGGAGGGGTGTTTTCTTTGGCAACCCTGTGTGCTGCTATTTATTGCGCTCCGCCAGCCGCTCGCTGAGCGGCTAGCAGCCGGGCTGGCCAACGGGCGTGCCGCAGGCACTCAACGTGCGGGATTATGTTGCAGTTCCGCCAGGCCGATCCCTCCCGTGCGACTTCGCAGCTGGATATAGAGTGTGCATGTGCTGCAGTGCATGCGGACCGCTGCCCAGCGCCGGTCTTGCTTGCGCCGCTCTGGGCGTCTTGCCATCGAGGCGTGCGGCGCCGTGCTCGTGCGACCGAAGCCAGCTGCGCGCGCAGTCGACGGCCATGGGTGTACCATGGCTTGGGTGCTGTCTTTCGAGCCACGCGGGACCCGCGTGCGAATGAGAGCGCTGGGAACATGTTTCAGGAGCGATTCCGTCGAGCCGTGATATGACGAGGACGCGCTCGATGCGGCAATGGGCAATCTTTTGGGGCGACAGTAGAGTTGGCTGACGACCCGGCCGTGCTACGCGAGAACTTCACCACTCCAGCTTCTTCCAACACCGGCAGCCTCTCATCCATCTCGTGCCTCTGCCCTGACGCCACCCGCTGGCGAACTGCGTAGAGCCTGTGTCCTGCGACAACCCAGTGCTTGCCAGCTGCCTAGGCCGACGACGCTCATTCGATCCCTGCGGCTGTCTCTTTCCAACCCCTTCTCCGCCGGCGCTCCCGACTAGTCACCCACCGCTCCGTCCCTCCTCCCCATTGCAACACCGCCCGCTGTCCCGGGACCCGCGTGGACTCCATCATGGCTACCAATTCGCCCCAGGGAAGTAATCTGGACCGCTACGTCGTCATTCACGTAGCTACAACGTGTGACGAGCATGGCGTGTACGTGACCAAGGACTCCGCCGAGGTCATTGAGCTGGGATGGATCCTGCTGGACGCAAAGTCCTGTGAGGAGGTGTGCTCTCGGAAGCCCCATTGATGCGAGCAAATTTTTGCTGACACCTGGGTGAAGCTGCACCGCGAGAGCGTGCTCGTCAAGCCCGTCAACACGCCCATCACCCCTCTTTGCAGTGAGTCCACTCCTCCGTCTCGACTTGACTCGAGTCCGCCCGCTGACGCAAACCCTTCCAACAGCCTCTTTGACGACCCTCACCTGGGAGCACGTCCGCAACTCCGGCTCCTTCCGTGACGCCATCAACCGCTTCGACCAGTTCTCCAACGAGCACCTCCTCTCGAAGAATCTCGAATTCGCCTTCGTCACACTCGACTCGTGGGATCTTCGGGTGCAGCTTCCACGTGAGGCTCGGGACAAGGCCGTTGTGCTGCCGCCCTACCTGCAGCACTCCAGGACATTCGACCTGCGCACGGAGTACCAGCGTTGGCAAGCTCACCACCCGGAGTCTTTGCCTTTCGGCTCGAGCGCTCTGTCCAACATCTGCGCCGCCCTTGAGGTCGAGCCAGTCCAGTCGTCCGCTCCTATTAAGCACAACCTCCCTTTCCACCTGCAAGCATTGGCCCCCGCGTCGCCTAGGCGGGCTATGGAGGAGGCGGTCACTCTCGCTCGCGTTCTTAGGGGCCTTATCCGCAAGTCGCAACCTCCTCACGAGCACCCCGACGTCCTCACCCGCCCCATGGACGCCAGAGCAGACGTTCGCGCGTTCCTGTCTGAGCGTAGCAAGGTCCTCCACATGAGCGGTCTTCCCCACGACACGACGCAGTCTGAGTTGGAGAGCTGGTTCACACAGTTTGGTGGAAGGCCCATCGCTTTCTGGACGCTCCGCACACCGGATCAGCACAAGCCGACGGGCACTGGTTTCGCTATCTTCTCGTCGCATGAGGAGGTAAGTCTCATTCAGCCATCATATTCCTACGAAACCGCGACCGTGACATGCACGACGCACCCCACGCAAGTTGCAAGCTCGCGTTCCCGTTTCTTGCTAACTGCCCCTCCAGGCTGCCGAAAGTTTGTGTATGAACGGTCGTGCCTTGAACGAGAAGGCCATCGAGGTCTCGCCTTCCTCTAGCCGTGTCCTCGATCGTGCCGCTGAGATTCTCACCCCCTTCCCGCCAAGCAAGAACCGCCCTCGTCCCGGTGACTGGACCTGCCCGTCATGCGGCTTCTCCAACTTCCAGCGCCGTACTGCCTGCTTCCGCTGCTCGTTTCCTGCGATGTCTGGGGGCCCCGCCGGCGACCCAATGGGCTATAGCCCGTACGGCTATGGCCACCCTGGCATGATGGGCCCGCCCCACCACATGGGCCACGGACACGGCATGCCAGGCCACATGCGTGGTGGCAACAGCGGTGGCATTGTCCCCTTCCGTGCTGGCGATTGGAAGTGCGGCTCTGAAGGATGTGGCTATCACAACTTTGCCAAGAACGTCAGCTGCCTTCGCTGCGGTGCTAGCCGTGCCGGCGCTGCTGTTGTGGCTGACACGGCCTTCCCGTCGCCCATGGACACGCCTAGTAGCTACGGCATGGGACCTCCTTCGATGGCTGGAACGCCCGGTGCTGGGCCATTTGGTGCTGCTGGTGGATTTGGCTCTGGCGCGGGCTTCCCTGGCCAGCAATTCGGCGGTCCGCCCTCGACGTATGCCCTTCCTTCGGGCATTGGCGCTGCCAGCCCTTACCCTCCCATGGGCACTCAGTACGCGCCCAATGGCGGGATGCATGCGTCTCCTTTCGACAGCCGCGCGGCTGAGGCGGCTTTCTCCTCGGCTGGCCAGGCTCCGGCGTCAGCCGGCGCGGGGTTCTCCAACGGCGGCGTGCCGGACGGCCAGAACGACCCGTTCTCCTTCCTGACCCCCAGCTTCGGACAGCTTTCGGTGGGTGACGACGGGCGCCGTGGAGCTCCGGCCAACAAGTCTCCCGCTTAGGAAGCTTCTACAAAAGTCGTTGCGTTTTTTCCTCGCACATCGGATCGATAGTTTATTTCGGGAAATAAGTATTCGGGTGGCAGCAACGACTAGCGACGGCGTGGGATGGGCATCTTGTTTTTCGATTTACGTGGGTCCTCCTGGAATCAGCACTCGGTTGCGTCAAGGGAGCATGGCGGCAGGTTGGCACAAGGCATAGAACGAGATCTAATCTCTCGGAATGGTGTTTCGGAAGCTTCATTCGAACAAAAAAGTATGATGGCGGGTACAACGCGGACAACGGGTCATTCTGCATGGCGTCTCACGTTCGGCCGTCATCGAGGTGCTTGCTTTTCGGGCTTCTCAACGTCTTTTCTATCTCTCGCGAGCCTTTTGCTCTCTCTCTTTCTTGTCAAATGGTTTTCTCCGGAAATCTTTCTGGCTTGGTCTCTCTTCTCGGATGTCATTTCCCAAAATATTGCGGCATAGCGTTAGCGGGGGCAGGGGTTTACGGTGGATGGTAAGGAAGGAACCTGGACGGGGGCGCAGGTGGTGTGCAAAGGTTGCGGGCGGTTGCTTGGCCTCAGGGGATTGATAGGACTGGCATCTCCTTATTTTCTTCTTCTCCTTTGCTTTGGATGCTTGTGTGCCTTTCCACCTCGCGTATCTCCTTTCTTCTCCACCTTTTCTCTTTGACATGCAAATTGAGACAAAGATAAAGCCACTCCCTGTAGATCAATTGTCGAGACAAAATGTAACAGAATAGCGAAACGCACAGTTGCTCAGCCGGGATGTCACTGACGAATCGCGCGACGGGCCACGGCCATGGTGACTGACCGGGTGCGGCTGGCGTGGCTGCTCCGCGGCGTGGCTGCTCCGCGGCGTGGGGCACGACACGCGGCGCGCGTCAAGCTGGCCAAGCCTAAAGTCATGGTTGCGCCCGCCGCGTCCCGGGAACCGGGTAGCAGCTGGCACAGGCGACGACCGTCTGTCCTGGTTGTAGAACGTGAGCGTGCTCGAGGCGGGGGCGGCGCGTGTGGGCGGCAGCGACGACGGGAGCACGGTGCAAGCCCGATTGGACGAACTCCGCGGCCCAGCGCGACCTCTCTCCTCTGCAACCTGCCCTGCGTAACCAGGCTCGACACACTACCGCACGCCGATCTTCGGGCCGACAGGCGCTCACCACCTTCGCTTGCTCCTCGACGCCGCATGAATACCCGTTGACTCGTCGCCGCAGCCTGCCCGCCGCCGTGCCTGCCTCGATGGCTCGGGCCCGAGCGCGTGCCCGCGCCGCGACGACGGAGCTCGACTCGAATGCCCGCCGCCGCGCCCAGCTCCTCGAACAAGCAAAGGCCGACCAGCGTGAGCTGCGAGCCAAACTCGACCTGATCCCCATCCTCGAGGAGGCCCTCCAGAAAGAGCATGAGGCGGTCGAGTCGTGGACCAAGTGCCTGGAGGACGCCCAGGACTTTATCCGCGAGGTAGATGTGGAGAAGGCGAAGATCAAGAAGCAGATCTGCGAGAGCCTCGAGCACTTTCCCCGTCGCCTGACCTGTCCTCTGATGCGTCGTGCTGTTGGATTCCAGGAGAAGATCGCCGATAGCCGCGGTCGTGTGCGCGACATGATTACCGACACGCAGATGAAGCTGGCCGCTTCCAAGGGCCGCATCGACACAGTGCGACTGAAACTGCAGGTCACCAAGCGACGAGTCCAGTACCTGCGCCGCAAGATCAAAGCCACTGAAAAGCCCTTAGCGCCCTCGATACACACATCCACGGAATGACCCAGAGCGCCACATCTCTTTCGACGGTCGGGAATCGCCTGACGAGCAAAAGCTGCCATGCTTCTACATCAATGGCAGCCCGGCAACCGACTCACCACCCACTGCTAATCACTTTAGCGGGACCAAGTCTGGGGTTTGGCTGGATTGATGTCGACCGCAAATTCCCGCGTCTATTTTTGGTGGTCTGTTGGACCATTTCTTCCGGACAGCTTTGCTTCTCTGCACATTTGATGAACGTGAACGGCGTTTGAGAGCCGAGGTTGCCGCACACACCGGAGTTAAGATACCCCCAAGGTCGTCCGGATGATTTTACTTGACTTCCAGCATCCTTTCTGGATATTCATTTCTTCATTTGCTTCTCTGGTCGCCTGCTTGCCTGGCTCGTGGTTTCGTCGGAGGATTTCATGGGGCAACATTGAGCTCGAAGCCGCGCGGACACGCCACATCCGTACAGCTTGAAGCTTTCTTTTGTTGGTTTTGTGCACTGGGCTGATGGTTCCACGGTGCTTCCTTGTGGCGTTCGACCAGATACGCGGCATTCCTACAATAGCGAGAATAGCAGTCATTTGTCCCACTGTGGGATGCTGGCTGGGCACGGATTGTTTCAAACCAGTCAGTTTCCTGCACCTACCGGTCTTGGTAATTGGAGAATCGAGGCGAGATATGTAGCAGTCCAACACCCTAAGCATATGGTGAGACGTGTCTATTTCATTGGCTCCTTACCTGCAGCGGACTTGGCAGCGGACGCCCTCTTGGCAAGCCAGCGGATGACGCCCTCGCCGACTGGGCCTCGTAGTCAGGGCATGGGCGGGAGCTGGGCAGATCACCTCTCGCAGGGGCAGCTTCAGGGTGACAGAAACGCTGCTTAGGATCTCATTGGAGTTTCCGGCCGACTTTCAAGCGCCTCCAAGAGCGCCTGGGATTCATGATTGCAGCGGGACCTCGCAGCTTCCAGCACACAAGCAACGACAGCAACACACATTCGGACGAGCTGTTCATCACCGACAGCCTTGTTCAGACCCGTCAGATCAGGTTCTCAGCCGTTACATGATCCAATACTCAAATTCTTATAAAATCTCAGCACCATTTGGTTGTTGTCGTGTGTCTCCTCAGCTTCAAGGAATTCTGCACTCTACCTGCACGGCAAATTGGAACGTACCTCTATTGGAATCGTGCTTGGGTGCTCAACAGACATCATCATCACTGCTCCTCGTTTCAGCTACTTTGTTTAACCCCAGACGTCTGCATGCCCCAGTGTTTACAGAGAGCTTCTTTTATGTATTTTCATCGACGTAGGTATCCGCATGTAGGTATGGTGTCCATGAAAGAGGAAGAAGTCAACAACCGCAGATAACACACCGACTCTAGTGTGCCATTCGGGAGTCTGCGAAATATCGAGTGTAGAGTAGATCGGCGGCTGCCGCGCGGACGTGGGCGCCGTCGGCAGGAGATGCCGAAAGAGGCAGTAACGGGGATGACGTAAGACGTCAATCGAGGCGGCGCGATATGCCTCGACCTATCGCTGTCGTCGGTCACCACCCCACGTTTGCCCATAAAACATCAGGCAGCGCCTCCTGTCTCACCAAGACCTCCGTCTAGGCCATAATACCCTGCGACAGCGCCCCAGCTTCAGCAAGCCGGCCAAGACAACCAAGGGAGCTAGCACGCAACTTCGGATCTCTCTAGTCAAAGCATATCACTTACGACACTATGGCTGCCTCTGTCCAACCCCAGCCCTACATCCCCGCCTTCGACAAGGCCACTTCCGAGGCCGCTCGCCAAGGTGCAGCTTCCTACCTGCAGTCCCGCCTGGCCGCAGGGAAGGCAGATGCAGCCAAAGCCTCGCCTTTCACTGTCCCGACAATCGATCTGAGCCAATCCTTCTCCGGCGACCTGGCCGCCCGCCTCGCTGTCGCAGACCAGATCCGAACCGCGTGTACCGGCTCGGGATTCTTCACCATCACCGGCCATGGCGTGCCCGAGGACGTGTGCGCCGGCATCCTTGACCAGGCCCGCCGCTTCTTCCATGAGCTAAGCCCGGAGCAGAAAGACGCCATTCACATGCGTCAGAGCACCCTGCACCGTGGCTACGAGCCGCCAGCGTACACGACCTTTGTCGAGGGCAACGGCTCCGAGAGCAAGGAGGGCTTCAATTGGGGCTACGAGGAGAAGCTCGACGCCACCGGCGGCGACGGCAAGTACGTCGAGCTGGACGGCAGGAAACTCGGCCCCGGCGAAACGGCGAACCTCTGGCCCAAGGAGGAGGACTTGCCCGGCTTTTTCGACGGCGTGAAGACTTACTACAGCCGGGTGCTGGGGCTGGCGAGGCATCTCTTCAGGCTCTTTGCGTTGAGTTTGGGCTTGGAGGAGACCTACTTCGATGCCATGACCACCCACCCCGGTGGCATTGCCCGGCTGATGTACTACCCCGCCAAGGAGAAGGACGTCGAGATTAAGGAAGGGGATGACAAGATTGGCCTGGGCGCCCACTCGGATTACGAGTGTTTCACCCTTTTGCTGCCGAGCAGCACGCCTGGCTTGGAGATTTTGAGCCCGGAGGGTAAATGGGTGCCTGTGGGCAAGGTTGAGGGTGGTTTGATTGTGAACGTGGGCGATTTCCTGATGAGGTGGACGAATGATATGTACAAGAGCACTGTGCATAGGGTCGTGAACAGGACAAAGGAGGCGAGATACAGTGTCCCGTTCTTCTTCAGCATCAACTACGACCAGAAGGTCAAGGTAAGTGGGCTTTCCCTCTTGAAGCTCGGTAGTCAGTTAACGAGAGCTCTCAGACATTGCCAAACTGCGTCTCGGAAGACACCCCTTCCAAGTACCCGCCAATCAGGGCTGGTGAGTATATTCTGGAGCGTGCCAACGCTATCACTAAGGATGGTGCTGGATCGTATGGAAACGGCGACGTTTTCTAGAGAGGCTTTGACTACAAGTGAAAGGCTGAATGGAAAAAGAAAGAAAGAATCTTACATTCACACAAACGAAGCCTTGTAAACCTCGAGCTGCATGCATGTATCACCGTCACAAATACCCTTCATCACCGCAAACTGTCCCCATATTGCAACACGGCCGTTTGATCCTCCTTTAGCGTTTGCATTGTCCCTTGACATCGATTTCGACGTCTCGCTGATAGCGTTCTCTGTAGTACCTAATGAACTGACCTCGAATGATGAGTTTCGCAAGAGCATGCACTTTTGTCTTCTGCGAGTAGTTTTGCACACAACGTACGTGAGGGAACATTTGAAGCAAGGACCCGCAAAATTGCCGTGGTGAAGGTGAACGTGCATATTCCTGGTGCGATTCCTGGCTCACCCGGTGGGCAGAGGCAGAGACCCTGCCTAATGTATCACTCACTCTTGCCAACCTTAGCGGACCTGAGGAAGTGACAACCGGCCGATGACTCGCTTCGATATTTCCCGAAGCATCTATCGTACGAAGCCAACTCCCCATAACTAACACCACACAATCACATTCAAGTGGCCCAGGTCATTTGCCAACTCGCTTTGCTTGTGATAACAACATCCTCACTTCCCATATAAAACTACGCACTAGGCATTCGCAAAAAAACTTAAGCCACATCCTTATCAGCAACCTCGAAAGCAACATGACGCAGGATTTGAATTCCGCAGGAATTTCTCGCGCGACTGCCAACACGCCGTACCTCGAGTTCGTCACTTATGACCAAGTGTCCTATCCTCACCATCTCACCCGCATCGTTCACACCTCGGACTTCATCTACAGCGGACCCGCACTTGAAACGTCTTTTCGAAAGCAGGAGAGTAGCGAGGCTCAGCTGTTCAGCCTTGCCGCTGGAAAAGGCATTTCTGGGACATTCTCACCAGCCTTCCTCAACGCTTCTGGTATATCAGCAGAACCAACAGAGGACGCTGCTCTGTCCGATTCTATACATGGAGATTGTACCTACACGTCACCTCCAACCGGAGATGCCCACCAAGTCAACTTGCAGGATTGGGTCAGCAGGAATCTGAGCGGACAGCACCTGGACACTACGTTCTGGGCGCCACTGGCGAGATTCTTGGGGTATGTCAACAAACGTTGGATGGAAAAAGAAGATGGCGGAGCTCATGGGAAGAAGTGCTACGAACTTACTGTCAGAGCGATCAAGTGGAGATACGTCGAAGGGCCGGAATCCACACTGCCCCTCTGGCACACTGAATGGTGTTACCCTAGCAAGACACAGCAGCCGGATACTCCGACTGCTGCTGAAGACCATGACAATGAGCCAAGGTCTCCTGTGTATGATTTTCAGTCATATTCGCCACCAAACATCTTCAACACGGTGCACCCAAACGATTCTCTCTTCCGAGACCTCCCCGGGACTCCTACAACCCCTTCTCCAACAACTCCACCCACGTATCCTCAAGCTAGAGCGCCACCGAAAATTCCGATATTGCCCGCCCCATCTGCATCGAAGAGTCGGCGCCGCAGCCTCCAGATTGACGTTCTCCGTGCCAATGTCCTGAATACCAAGCATGCTGGACAGCCTATCGGTAGCGGCAGCCCTAAGACCCCGACCAGAGCCCGGCGTGGACCCCATCACCCGACAACGAAGGCGCCAACTTCAGCACCGGCGGGTCAGCTTCAATCCAATGTGGAAAACAGTACTTCGCCAAGCGGCAAACATGTCACTCGCCACCGTTTGGGCACCTCCAGCCCCGTCCGTGCACCCTCCACTCCTCGCCGGCACGACCCCCTCACTGACCAAGCCTCATCTTCCCCGATGCACATGGGGCAGTCCACTCATGATGAAGCAAACGTGCACAGCGCACCGGCGATCCGCATAATGGCTCCGCTTGCCGGCGATGGAACGCTATTCATGGACGAGCCCTATGCGCCGGCGGAATTGGTGTGGAGTACAATAGGAGACGACGTGGACCATGCCGTACGTACGCCGAAGCAGGGGGAGCTGGTGGTTTGGAGTGTGGGATGCGGCTACGAAGAGCAGGGGCCGGTTTACGCAGCTCCGCCGATGGGGGTGTCTCAGAAGCCGGCCATTAAGGGAGAGCTCGTTGGAGGGGACAGGGTGTTTGTGAGTCTGGTGATTGGGACGGAAGAGCAAGTGCGTGAGCGGGGCAGCCGATTTTGATTTTGACTTTGAGCGCAGATTAGAAGTAGTTGAACATGGCCGGCATTGCTAGTCGTTTCGGAACAGAGACAATTCACTCGGAACAATGAATAATGCGAGCCAGGTTGCAAGGTGCAAGATGAAGTCATTGGTGGCCGCCGCCACACGAGCCAACCACTTTACGCGTGGCGCGTGCAGGCGCGTGACGGACGCGTCGCGCGCGAGCTGCCGGGCTTTCGCCTTTTCTTCTGGCCCGCCCGCAATACCACAGCAACCACGCCAAACAACATCATAATGGATCGCCAAAGCACATACGCCCTCAGCCTGTTTGGCACCGATCGCGATGACTCCGAAAACACAAACTCTCACGTCCAGCAGCAGCTGACCGACTTTGTCCTCGATTTTCACATCGACAACGTTTTCATCTACAGGTGCAGTCGGCCCAGACCTTGCGTTCCGCAGCATTGCTGATGTTCTGCAGAGATCAAATCCGCGAGAACGTGTTGATCAAGCAATACTATTGTGACATTGACATCGCCCACCTCATTTCCTACAACGAAGAGCTGGCCCACAGGCTCACTACCGCCCCCGCCGACATCATTCCTCTCTTCGAGGCCGCCCTCAAGACCTGCACCCAGCGCATTGTCTACCCGTCGCAGAAGAACATCAGTCTTCCCCAACATCAGCTCCTTCTCCACTCGTCCGTCTCCGAGATCTCCATCCGCGACCTCAACGCTACCAATGTTTCCCACCTCGTTCGCATACCCGGCATCGTCATCGGCGCCTCCACCCTGACCTCGAAAGCAACCACGCTTCAAATACAATGTCGCAACTGTCAGCACGCGCAGACGCTACCAGTGACGAGTGGCTTCGCTGGCGTCTCGTTGCCGCGGACCTGCGCAAGACAAAGGACCGACGGCGACACGGCGGACAAGTGCCCACTGGATCCCTACTTTGTCGTCCACGAGAAGTGTGCCTTTATCGATCAGCAAGTTCTGAAGCTGCAGGAGGCTCCAGACCAGGTCCCGGTTGGAGAGCTTCCCCGCCATATCCTGGTCTCCGCCGACCGTTATCTGTGCAACAGAGTTGTCCCTGGTTCGAGATGCATCGTCATGGGCGTCTTCTCCATCTACCAGAGCAAAGGCGGCAAGAACAATTCTGCCGTTGCCATCCGCAACCCCTACCTTCGTGCCGTCGGCATCCACTCGCAGGTCGACCACACCATGAAAGGCAACGCCACCTTCACGGAAGAGGAAGAGCAGGAGTTCCTGGAGATGAGCAGACGGCCCGACCTCTACGAGCTTCTCGCGAGCTGCATTGCTCCTTCTATCTACGGGAATGTGGATATCAAGAAGGCAATAGCATGTCTCCTGTTCGGCGGTGCCAAGAAGATTCTGCCTGACGGCATGAAGCTGAGAGGCGATATCAACGTTCTTCTTCTCGGTGACCCAGGTACCGCCAAGTCGCAATTGTTGAAGTTTGTGGAGAAAGTTGCACCAATTGCTATTTACACCTCTGGCAAAGGTTCTTCCGCTGCAGGTTTAACAGCCTCTGTCCAGCGTGACCACAACACACGCGAATTCTACCTCGAAGGTGGTGCAATGGTTCTTGCGGACGGAGGCGTCGTCTGCATCGATGAGTTTGACAAGATGCGAGATGAGGATCGTGTGGCAATCCACGAAGCCATGGAGCAGCAGACAATTTCCATTGCCAAGGCGGGCATCACCACTATCTTGAACGCTAGGACATCGGTTCTCGCAGCTGCAAACCCTATATTCGGACGATACGATGACCTGAAGACTCCGGGCGAGAACATCGACTTTCAGACCACCATCCTGTCACGTTTCGATATGATTTTCATCGTCCGTGATGAGCACGAGCGTGGCCGCGATGAGAAAATAGCCAAGCACGTGATGGGAATCCACATAGGTGACGGCAGTATCGAGGATCAGGTGCAAGCTGAGATCTCGGTGGAGAAAATGAAGCGCTACATCAGCTATTGCAAACAGTAAGTCAAACCCGGTGTCGTTACAGGATGGCTCCTTTTGACAACTCTTCCAGAAAATGCGCCCCCCGCCTCTCTGCTGAGGCAGCAGAAAAGCTGTCCTCGCACTTCGTCAGCATCCGTCGTCAAGTTCATGCTGCCGAGATGACTGCCAATGCCCGCTCATCCATTCCCATCACCGTTCGTCAGCTCGAAGCTATTGTCCGTATAACAGAATCTTTGGCGAAGATGACCCTGTCGCCAATTGCCACAGAGACGCATGTGGACGAGGCGATCCGCCTCTTCCTGGCCAGTACCATGGACGCTGTGACCCAGGGCGAGGGCCAAGGTAGCCGGGAACTTATGGAAGAGGTTAACAAGGTCGAGGAGGAGCTCCGGAGACGTTTGCCCATCGGCTGGACTACCAGCTTGGCAACGCTAAAGCGAGAGTTTGTGGACGCAAAAGGCTACAGTGAACAGGCGCTCAACAGAGCTCTGGTTGTCATGCAACGGAGAGAAACGGTCCAGATCCGACACGGTGGCGCTCAGGTGCATCGGAGCGGTGTCTGATGAACGCGGACTGGTTTATCGGGTCTGTTCGCGGCTGATGACCTTTTTTTTTTTTTAATTCCCGCAGAGATATCGGCGTTTTGCAATGTGTCCATGGGCGATTGGGTTGATGAGGGAATCAACGACGGCTTAAGTAAGAATACCACGTTTGCTTTGATACGATGATAGCTTCAAAATATGCCAGGAGATAGAAAAATTCTTCAAGGACACGTCAATGGGTTGATAGATGCAAGCGACGCAGGTGCCGAAGATTAAGCTTCGATCAACACCGGTACTTGAAGCATAGGTAATCCCCACTGTTTGGTCAGTGCTTTGAAGCTGACTCGAAAGGTTGTCGCGCGAAAATCCCTTCGTCGCGAATACCAAGACCACAACCACGACCACGACCACGTCAACGTTTCTTTTGCGAAATGATGGTCTCCTCCAGGCTCGCCGTCATTGCAGATACGACAGCACCTGTGAGTGAGTTGGAGCTCTTGCGCCAGCTGACAAGTTATCACACATGAAAGCTCGCCTCAGTGATGCTACGGTTCACATTCCATCTAGGCTCATTCTATGGGTACTTGAACCAGTTCTCCGACACGATCCCCTGCAAACGGGCCCCATCTTTATCGGGACATCGTAGGCAGCAATTCTTGGCTGACGGGCAAGCTTGAGTCGTGGCAGGCCTATAAGAGAGCAGGCATTCGCCGTCGGCTGATTGCGCTGGCTGATGACCGTTGAACTGGCCAAGCGTCACCGCCTTCACGCCGGGTCGCAGCGCAATCCGAGTGGGAACGAGAGCCGGCGCACTGCAGGGGACACAATCAGATGCGAAGAGGCTCTGCACAGCATTGCGTCAGAGAGCCCCGTTGGTTGCGGGCTGGCTGGGCTCTTGGGCGCTATGCCTATTGTGGGGCAATCATGTGTTTCTGTTCGCGAGACATCATGACCTCTACGCAGGGATGGCTGGAGCGATTGTCCAGACGCAGATGCGGTATTTAGCTTGGACAGTACCCGAGCATGCGGACATGGCCTCCAGCTACCGGCGTGGGGAATCGGCGATGCCTCCGACGCGACGCGTTCGAGCAGGCAGGATCTGTCTGGTTCTTTGCAGCGCGCAATGGCATTATCTCGGGGGCGGCTGCGCGGTGGACTGTTGAGGAGGGCGGTCCGAGCTCTGCGGGGCACCGCACCATGGGACATGGGCACAGCTCCACGGGCTCGGCGCCGCTGATCCACGCCCATTATTGGGCGAGGTGCGCGTCCAGTTGCCTGTCTGCCCTCTCGCCATTGACGCGGTGAGGGCCACGAGGGCGCATGGGCATGCCGCCCCGCCCGGCTCACAGCCGCCTCAATTGACCCGTATCCAGGCCTCCCCAGCTGCGACGGGCGGGAGCGCTGGTGATGGAACTGCGGGGAGCTAGGCTGCACTGGGCACACTGAGGCGCCCCGCCGGGGCAAAAGCTCTCGAGAGCTCCACAGTAGTACGCTGCCACATCAGAGCAAACGCGGTGAGCTAAGACGCGTTCCTCGATAGCAAGGCGGCGGCGGCGGCGCCCGCGCCTACGACAGGCTTAGGCCACCGCGCGCATGCAGGGCGGCACGGCTGCTGGTGACGCTCACCCGATGCCTCTGACGTCGCGTAGCTCGCGAAGCGAATTCCCCCAGCCTCTCATCTCCGCACATCTTTTGCTGCTTGCTTCCGTCACCTGTTCCTCTCCATCCGAGCCGCTGTGCGCAGCTACCCACACTTCCAAGACGCCCCGGTTCCCGGTTGTTGCACCCAGACACGAGGAATACACTTTCCACGCTCCTTCCCGCTCCGTCACCTGTCTTCCTCCCAAGCCCTCGTGCGCACCCGTCCTCGCGCGCCTCCATCACCGTCGCGATCCCGTCGCGCGCATCGCTCAATTGACTTCTGCAGCGCCTTCCTCACTCTCTAATCAGCCTCTTCCCTCGGCAGCTTGTCGCCAGCACCACCGCAATGGCCGACACGCGAGACGTCACCAATCACGTCCTGTTCGAGGTCGCCACAGAGGTTGCCAATCGAGGTAAGCAGCCGCAAGCTCGACTGCCCGCATTGACTTGACTGACGGCGAAACAGTGGGCGGCATCTACTCAGTCCTCAAATCCAAGGCACAGGTCACCACAGCAGAATATGGCGCTGCCTATACGCTCCTTGGTCCCCTCAATCGTGCTTCAGCCGCAGTCGAGGTTGAAGAACTGGAGCCCAAGGACCCGGCCCTGTCTCAGACTATAAAGAACATGAACGATCGCGGCGTCACAACACTCTACGGCCGCTGGCTAATCGATGGCGCCCCGAGAGTCTTGCTCTTCGACACCGGCACCGCCTATCAGTTCCTCGACGAGTGGAAGGGCGATCTCTGGTCGGTTGCCGGGATCCCTTCACCCCCCGGCGACCATGAAACAAACGAGGCCATTGTGTTCGGCTATCTGATTGCATGGTTTTTGGGAGAGGTAAATCCGTCATTCCGACCCCCTAAAAAACATGTTAACCCCTCCCCAGTATGTCTTCCATGAAAAGAAGCGCGCCGTCGTTGCTCAATTCCACGAATGGCTTGCCGGAGTGGCTCTTCCTCTCTGCAAGAAGAGGCGCATCGATGTCACGACCATTTTCACGACGCACGCGACCCTCCTCGGTCGCTACCTTTGCGCCGGCTCAGTCGATTTCTACAACAATCTGCAGTACTTCGACGTTGATGCGGAAGCTGGCAAGCGCGGCATCTACCACAGATACTGCATCGAGAGGGGTGCGGCACACGCAGCCGATGTCTTCACCACCGTTTCGCATATCACTGCGTACGAAAGTGAGCACCTTCTGAAGCGCAAGCCGGATGGTGTGCTGCCTAACGGGCTGAACGTCAAGAAATTCTCGGCCACGCATGAGTTCCAGAATTTGCACCAGCAGGCCAAAGTCAAGATCAACGACTTTGTCCGCGGTCACTTTTACGGGCACAACGACTTCGATCCGGATAACACTCTTTACTTCTTCACTGCTGGTCGCTACGAATACCGCAATAAGGGCGTAGACATGTTCATAGAGTCATTGGCCCGTCTGAATCACCGCATGAAGAGCGCCAACTCGCCCATGACTGTCGTGGCTTTCGTTATCATGCCTGCTCAGACGCAGTCGCTGACGGTGGAAGCTCTCAAGGGCCAGGCTGTCATCAAGTCTCTGCACGACACGATTGACGTAATCTCCAAGAACGTTGGAAAGAAGCTGTTCGAGAGGTCGCTTGCGTGGCACGAAGGCATGGAGCTTCCCGAGGACAAAGAGCTCATCACGCCGGCAGACAAGATCCTGCTTCGCCGGCGGCTATTTGCCATGAAGCGTCACACTCTTCCGCCAATTGTCACGCACAATATGGTCAATGATCACGACGACCCAATCCTCAACCAGATTCGCCGGTGCCAACTCTTCAACCACCCCACCGATAGGGTGAAGATCGTGTTCCATCCCGAATTCTTGAACTCCGCAAACCCCGTGCTGCCCTTGGATTACGATGACTTCGTCCGTGGTACGCATCTCGGTGTTTTCTCCTCTTACTACGAGCCGTGGGGTTACACGCCTGCTGAGTGCACCGTTATGGGTGTCCCAAGCATCACGACGAACTTATCCGGCTTCGGCTGTTACATGGAGGAGTTGATCGAGAACGCCCAAGACTATGGCATCTACATCGTTGATAGGCGAATGAAGGGCGTCGATGACTCGGTAAACCAGCTCTCGGACTACATGTTCGAGTTCACGAAGAAGAGCAAGCGTCAGCGTATCAACCAGCGCAACAGGACGGAGAGACTGAGTGATTTGCTTGACTGGAAGCGGATGGGTATGGAGTACGTCAAGGCCCGCCAATTGGCCTTGCGCAGAGGTGAGTCAGGTCCATGCAATGTGAGAGGGGCACGGTTTCGCTGACAATTGATAGCCTACCCCGACGCCTTTGATGGCGGTGATGAGCCTGACTTCTTTGGCAACGCTGAAGTCAAGATTTCGCGCCCGCTGTCAGAGCCTGGGTCCCCGAGAGACCGGTCAGGCATGATGACACCTGGTGATTTTGCTTCGCTTCAGGAGGGCCGCGAAGGTCTGAGCACAGAGGATTACATTGCCTGGAGACTACCGTAAGTGGACACTGTTGACGTTTCGGGTGGAACAAGACTGACTGGAAGAACAGTGAGGAAGAGGAGACGGAAGACTACCCATTCCCGTTGACGTTGAAGACGAAGAGCGCGCCGGACTCTCCTGCGCTCAATGGGAACGGGGCGTAGCGACTGGGGCCGACAGCGCGCGAGCCGCCAGTTGAAGAGAGCGTCGCCCATGCGACCCGAACCGACCCGTGACCCCCACCGATCAACAAGCAATGGTGGGGCCTTTCGGATATGTGTTTTGCGGCGTCAAATCAACCGCAGCTGTACATGCATTGCTTGCTACACGTTTCTGTACTCTAGGCTCGATCGTTTATTTCTTGAATGGTTATCGTGCAGAAGGTCTAGGCCTTTCGAATTTTTTTTCATGCGCATTGTCCAACTGCCAGGTCAGCGGCGCGAAGATCGTTGGGATCTGAACACTGCAGCGACGATTGTAATAATGAAACCGACCCAATGGCAACATCAAGTGCTCGCTCCTATAAGGACCCACTCGTAAGTTTTCACCACCCTCTGTTTGAGTGTAGCCGGCGCAAGCGCCAGTAAATAGAACAGATGTGTTGGCGTCCCTGCAAGCGATCAGTCGTGTGGGGGATGATCAGAAACACGATCCCAAGACTCGTCGCTCTCCGTGCGATCCTGGCATCAGGCGATTAGCGTGCGGAGCGTCGTGCGGAGCGTCGTGCGGAGCGTTGTGCGGGCTTTGCCGCCAGCCAGGACGCCTGCACCAGCGCGCCGACGGAAGAGCGGCCGCTCCTCCGCCACTGACGAAGTGGGGACGCGGTCAGTCGGATTCACTGATTTGATCTGCATGGAAGTAGGCGCTTCGACTTAGCCCACGGACTACGCTATAGGTCGGTATAGCGGACGAAAGGATTCAAACTTCAAGGCGGATGACTGAGGCATTTATGTCGATGTAGATTGTGGCTAGTGACGCCTGCGCAGAAATAATTACGCTCCTCTTGAACATATTTCCAGGGGCATCAATATTGCACTCTACATACTTGGGTGACTGATCGAGGCCTGCGCCTAAATGCTTTCGTGTATTTTTAATTCACTTGTTTGCTGTAGCTGCCCATGCAGGCACGGCAGGCCGGTGCTTCCACAGCACGCAAGATCAGCGTCGTTCAAGGGTGTAATGCAATTCTGACATGCTGGCCTACTTTAACGACCGAGCACGTAGGTGGCCATCGCATTGAGCAGGGGCTGGCCTCCATGAGGCCAATTCGCCGTGATAAACGAAAGGCTGACTCGTTTCAAAACGTGGCTGATTGCCGACGGTGCTTGCGCATGCACAACCTCTGTGGCGCGGATTCTGGAAAAGGCTAAGTGATAGGCATGGGACCTTGGCGCGAGCCGATGGGCATGACGACGGTGTCCGCAGTACTGCAATCTGCCGGCTCGCGCCTGTGCCAGGTCTCGCCCGACAGCGTGGTGATTGTGGCACGCTGTCGGGGTGCGTGGTGTGAAAACGCAGCCCGCGTCTGGTGCTTGGGGAGGACAGCGCGCGCAGCGGAGCGCAGCGGAGCGCAGGCCTCGCTCCAGCTTCCCCAAAAAGACGGCAACGGCTTGAAGCAACGGCGCGAAGGTGCGGAAGGCGTGCTGAGTCGCGCGCGGTGCTTGGCAAACCTGAGCCCTGCGTCGTCAAGCGTCAAGCCGCGCCCGGCGCACCCACCGCTCTATCATCCCGACATACCATTGCCCTATTTCTCGATCCGCGCTGAGGAGAGACCCGGCCACTCAGCTGCTGCTCCCACTCCTACCCATCTATTCCCTCGCGTCACGACATGCCCTCCGCCGCCGGATATGCCTAATGTCCGCCATCCGCCCGCCAGCCCGCCGCGTGCTTCCCGCGCCCTTCCACCTCCTTCCCGCCCCGGCACTGCCACCACAACAATAACCACTGCTCGCCCGGACGCCATGGCTGGCGCTCTGTGAGGACGATTTCCCGGGTCCTGCCGAACCTTCTCGCTGTCACTAGCCGCTGCCACGTTCTCGTCCACCAGCATAACCTGGTAGATCCCCGGCCTCCGCATCCGCCCTCTGCTTCACCTTTCTTCCAGCCTTGCCTTTCAGTGGGGTTCCGCCCGCACCCCACACCTCACCAGGGCTCGGCCGCTGGGCGCGAAAAGTGCTTTCACGCCTCCGCCCGAGTCCAATTCCTTCGCGAACAGCCAGCGCAGCGCCACCCGCTCGCGCGTCTCCGCTCTCACAATCATGTTCACCCCCTTGATGGAGATGGGCGCCTGGGTCCGTAGCCGGCTGCCCTCGATGCCTACCGACTTCAGCTTCCGCCGCCCGCATTTTAATTTTATTACGCTTCACTGTAAGTACAATCGGCGCGCACCCGCGCTGTCGCTTCTGCTTGCGCCTGGGGCTGACGCGAGCACGCAGACCTATACATTCTTCTCATGACAATTCTCGGCTCCATCCTTCTCTACCCGGCCGGCGGTATGGATTACATCGATGCGCTATTCTTCGCCAGCGGTTCGGCGACTCAAAGCGGCTTGAACACCATCGACGTCAACAAGCTCTTCCTCTACCAGCAGGTCGTACTCATGCTCATCGCGTGCGTCTGCAACCCGATTTTCATAAATACCTTCGTTGTCTTTGTGCGCCTATACTGGTTCGAGAAGCGGTTCCAGGGTCTCGTAGCCGAGTCGCGCAACCGAAATCGCACTCGATCAAGAACAAGGAGCGAGGCCATAGAAGAAAGGGACGTGGGCGACGAGGAAGTGGGCGTCAACGGCCGCGCCATCACCGTCGTCCGGAACAGAGATGGCCATGCCCAAGGCGCGCCTTGCAATGTTGACGGCCAAATCGAGGAAGAAAACGAAAAGGACCCGCACTCTCTGCACGCCGAGGCACCCGAATCATCATCCGGCTCGGACGAAAAGGACGATCAGTTCGACACTATGAACAAGTCAGGCACGGTTGTTGATGCGAGCTCAAGTGCGGAGCAGCCCGATTCCATTCAGCCTTTCCACAGGGACATTACCTTCGCCGATGACGTCAAACCGCCCCCTCGACGCTCGATTGCGATCGAGGAACGTCTCCCAGTGAACCGTCCTGCGGAACAGCACATTGCTTTCGTCGAGAATCAGCGGCGGCCTAAAGCCAAGGGGCGGCTGCGCATCCCGGGTCCTAGAGAGTTTGACCGAGGTGACAAGCCGCAATCACTGGAAGAGGAAGATGGCGGTGTGCACCTGGCACGGGAACACACGAACGAATCCAGCATGCGCGGTAGGGATGAGGCGAACCAGCCAGCCGATACGGTCGACCCAGCAGCCAACGCGAACGGAGACGACCCAACCCTTAAGCGACACGTCTCCTTCGATGAGCACGTGGCCGGCGTGAGTGGAAAGATCCGGACCGGCTTCAGCAACGTGAAGCGTAGATTCACCCTGGGCGAGGATCATGACAACGAAGGTTCAGGCATGCGCCGTCGAGCAAGTACTTTCAGGACCTTCGTTACTGCGCGAAGCAAGGAACGCGAACAGGACCCCGCGCCGTACCTCAGCTGGCAGCCAACAATCGGCCGTAACTCAGCCTTTGTGGATCTGTCCGAGGAGCAGAGGGAAGAATTGGGCGGCATAGAATACCGCGCGTTGAAAACTCTGGCTTTCATTCTGGTGTTCTACTTTGTCGGTTTCCATCTCCTTGGCATGATATGCCACCTTCCCTGGATTGTGCGTTCGAGCTACAATGGAACAGTCTTGAAGCCGGACGGTATCAGCGCCGTCTGGTGGGGATTCTTCACGCCTGCATCGATGTTCAACGATCTCGGTTTCACGCTTACGCCGGATTCTATGGTCTCTTTCCAAAAGGCGGTGTTGCCCATGTTACTCGGCAGTTTCCTCATCATCATCGGCAACACTGGCTTTCCATGCATGTTGCGGCTGGTGATTTGGATGGCCGAGAAAATGGTCCCATACGGCAGCGGCGTTTGGGAGGAGGTCCGGTTTCTCCTGGACCATCCCAGACGTTGTTTTACCCTACTTTTCCCGAGCAAAGCTACTTGGTGGCTCTTCTGGGTCTTGGTACTGCTCAACGGTATTGACTTGATATTCTTCGTCATCCTCGACATCAACGACGAGACGGTCACGACACTCTCACCAGGCTACCGGGTTCTGGATGGTCTCTTCCAGGCGGCGAGCACACGTACGGCAGGTTTTGCATGCGTCAACATCGCCGATCTTCACCCAGCCGTCCAAGTGTCGTATCTGATCATGATGTACATCTCCGTCTTCCCGATTGCCATTTCTCTGCGTCGAACCAACGTCTACGAGGAAAAGTCGCTGGGTATCTGGGCCGAGCAAACAGCTCCCCCCGACGAGGGTGAGCAGAGCTACGTCGGCACTCACTTGCGGCGCCAGCTATCGTTCGATTTGTGGTACATTTTCATGGGCTTCTTCTTCATCGCAATCATCGAAGGGTCGCGCCTGGAGAACACGAACGACTTCTCGTTCACGCTCTTCTCGGTGCTGTTCGAAATCGTCTCGGCCTACGGTACCGTCGGGCTGTCCCTTGGCTATCCGAACGTCAACACGTCTTTCTCGGGTCAATTCAAGACGTTGTCAAAACTCATCATCATCGCGATGCAGATCCGTGGACGGCATAGAGGCCTGCCATACGCGCTGGATCGGGCCATCCTGCTTCCGTCGGAAACTTTGCACAAGAAAGAGGATGAGGACGCAGGCAGACGGGCAGCAGCAGTAGCGCGACGCAACAGCAACCTGAGCGACCTCGAGCGCATGGATCCGGGCGCATTCGCGGCTCGACCGCCGACGTTCCGAAGGGGAAGCGTCGCAACAGCCAGGGACGAAGAGGGGCCGACGGGTAACCAGTGGCTGAGCAATCAGAGAAGAAGCGCCAGCGCGGCGGGCTTGACGAAATTCTTGAGTGGAGCCTTATCGGCAGGACCGACAATTCAGAAGAGGGACTAATGTGTCCTGACCCGACCGGAATGGCAAACAAACTTGGGGCTATCCAACCTAGATTCACACATGTAGGTGAGAGGCGTAGACCGGGAGGTTTTTTCTTTTCTTTTTTCTTTTGGCTTTTCACGTACAAGACATAGAGCTCTCGGTGAGGAATTCTGAAACATCTATGGTTCGGATCAGCTAGGGAGGTGCAAAAAACCAGGCTTTTCTCCGTGCATTAGTATTCCCAATTCATTCAGCATGGCGTTGTTTAGTATACACGTTTAGTTCTATTTTGGGTGGCTGAGAGTGTCGTCATCTCACGACTGTAAACGATATAGACCTCTGCGTTTCCTTGTTTTGGGAACAGGAACACACTGTTTGTCCCCTTCCGTCTGTTTGCTTGGTGCTCAGTCTATTTCTTCTTTTCCTTTGCCATCGTAAATCCTGTTTATTTAGCTTCTCATTTCCCGGTCTCGCCGTTCATCATTGCTAGCCCGGCAGGCCTACGCAAGAACATGGCCTTGGAGCTTGCGTGCCGTCGGTACGACCTGCAAGAGGTGCGTTAGTCCGGGCAATTTACACGCCTGGATCGATGCTTTAACCGCCGATGATCGGCGGTCGTGTTATACAAGGCACAGCCATTCACATACTCGTGCGCAAAGCACGCAAGACGGCAGGTCGGGGGGGTGCTGAATAGATGTGCACAGGGATGCTGAGTCAGATCGGCGAGTGAGCGGACACGGGCAGTTTATGCCAGATTTTCGCCTCAGGCAACCCACACGGAAGGCGGCGGGTGGGGTGCGATGCGATGGTGTTGCAGCTGCTACGACGCCCATGTCGCATGGGGAAATTACGAATACGCACGTGTGTGGTGGATGCAGTCCGTAGACGGAGAGCCAGTCTCGGCTTCAGGTCAAACACGGGAGCAACGTCGCAGCATGAGGTGGAAAGGGATGGCAGGGCGGCAGGGCGGGCAGGGCAGGCAGCTGTGGCTGATAGGCGCAAGGGCGGTGGGCGAGAGGGCCCTGGCCAGAGCTGCGCAACGGGGGCCGGCTAGCTTGCCGACCTCCGTCTCGCTATTCCACTATCCCTTCTCCTACTCTCCCAACCACACTCTCCCTACCTTCTTGCCGTGCTCCTGCAGCTAGCCTGCTCTCCTTTCTCACTTTCCTTCCAGACCGTGTCCTCGCCGTCCGCTGCCAGTCGTTTCTAACCGCCGCCCCCACCGCTATGTTTAGAGCTCTGCGGCGTAGCTGATCTTCGCCCGTAACTGTATATTCTGTGCCTGCGTCTCTCCAGCAGTCCTTCGTCCAGCCTCCGATCCCGTACCCTTCCACCCATTGCGCTCGTTCCCAATCGCCCGCACGCAATTCCTCGTCCAAGCGCCCCATCCACCTCGCTCGCGTCCGGCAAACCGCGATGCTGGTCCCCAACTACAAGGCCAATGGCCAGTCGGGCGGCCTGCGCATCGGAATCGGCAACGGGCTGCCCTACAGCCCTAGCTACGGCTCCCGGCGCTCCTTCCGCTTCAACTTGCGCAACATCCTCCTCCTGAGCGCATCCGCCTGCCTCCTACTGCTACTTTGGAACACGCGCTCCTCGACCTCATCCTCCTCAGCCTCGCCGTACAGACCCGGCAAAGAGCTTCCGCGATACTGGTCGGTCACGGGCAAGACGGACTTGGAGGGCGTCACGACGTGGGAGAAGCCCAAGGATTTCAGGGTCGTCGGCTTGGTCTTCTTCGGGCGGCCGACCAGCGTGTCCATCCTGGACTGCTATTTGAAGCGGAACTTGGCGCGCAACGGCGGCTTCCTTGACGAGGTGATTTGGCTGGCGCGAACGAGCGTGGAGGAGGACTTGCAGTGGTTGGACGCGCAGGTCGCGGCGGAACCGGCGTATACGAGGCGGGACTTGGCGTTTGAGGGCATCGACTATGCGAGCGCGTATGACATGGCGGAGAATGGGACCATGTACATCAAGATGGACGACGATCTGGTATTCATCGAGGACCACGCGATCGCGACGCTCGTCCAGCATAAGCTCGAGCACCCGGAGAACTTTGTCGTCGCGGCCAATGTTGTCAACCAGCCCTCGCTCAGCTGGATGCACTATCGCTTCGACGCCATCAAGCCGTACTTCCCCGAGCTGACGCCGCCGAACCCCGAGGATGTTGCCAAGCAAGGCCGGTGGCGCGCGTCGGAGCTGCCGCAGTGGACCGGACCCGAGGATTACCACATTACAGAGGAAGATAAACTCGAGCCGCCTTTCGAGGGACACCGGTGGCTGCCGCTGCCCGAGGACTATCCGATTGAGAATACGCCGATTGCGACGACGAGCTTTGACGCTTTCAGCCAAGCGTTATGGCATTGGCAAGTCGCGGCGCAGGAGCACTACAGCTTCTTCCACCATCTGGAGAACAACGATCTGTGGAGATGTAAGTCGGGAACCTCTAGCACTTGGATCCGATGTTGGGCGCTGACGATGGTTTCGTTGTACAGACAAATTCCACACGTTGGACTACCACTTTATGCGCATGGGCATTCAGATGATTGCCATTTGGGGTGAGGACATCATTGAGAGCGACATCCACAACGGCAACGGTGACGACGAGTACCATTTCACCGAGGTCATGACCAAGAGGACAGGTAGACGTATGTACTCCGCCGGGCTATGGGCGAGCGGCCGCGTCAAGTTACTAACAGTTGGTTATAGACGCTGTTGTCGATGGCCGCGCCATCGTCTCGCATTACACGTTCCTCCCGCAAAGAAGCGGCCTGGAATCAACGGATATTCTTGAACGCTACAGAGCGTACGCAGAAGAGAACATTTGCCCGGGCAAGCTGGCCTGGCCAAACAAATTCGCCAAATCTTCTACACCACAACCGCAGCAATGATGATTTTCTGGCCTCTTTCTTTTCTTGATCGATTTACGCAAAGGCATGTGGGTTTTATGGGATCTATGCAAAACATTGCTGTTTAGCTTCAAGTGCGCATTTGAAGGCGAGCATATCGGCGCCGGTCGGGAGATTTGATTTTGCACGAGCTACACATGTTGGCGTTCCTGGGCGGAGTTGGATATAGATTGATTGTTGTTTGCCTGCATAGCACAAGAGGGCAAGGCCCGCGTTGTGATACGGACATGTGGCTCATCGGGGGAAGAGCGCGTGATGGAAGGTACGAGTGGCAGAAGTGGGCTGATTATTCTGGAATCCACGTCTCTCCCCTGCTGACTGTTGTGGCACCCTATTTGTTGACACGTCTCCACGCTAAATTTGGGAAGCACCACCGTTTTGCCCCGAAGCTTATTCAACCCCATCCCGACCCGTCCCACGTGAAGTGACAGTCCCTGTTTCAGCCCTACGACTTCTCCGCTCCACCCCTTTGAACAAGAAAATCTGTTCCCCGGAGCCCCCGCCGCCCCGCGGAGCACGCGCTCCGCCGACGTCACATCACCCCTCCCAAAATTCCACACCAAATAAAAAAAATAAAATAAAAAGACCGACCTCCGCCATGAACAACCAGGACCTCGAAGATGAAATCACATCGATAAACTCCATCTACGACGAGACGACCCTGACGGCCATCGCAAACAACGACAACGACAACAACAAGGCCGACCACCCATCGTCCATCCACTGCGCACTGCGCCTGCCCTCGCTCCCCTCCATCACCCTCCGCCTCGCCTTCCCCGCCGACTACCCGGCCGCGCCGCCGGCGGTGCTGGGCACGCAGAGCGTCGGCGACGACGCCCCCAAGGGCTTCGGCACCCGCGTCGTCGATGCCGTCCGCGACGTGCTGGCGCGCGTCTACCGGCCCGGCGAGCCGTGCGTCTTCGACGTGCTGGACGAGGTCGATCAGGCGCTGCAGGCCGCAGGCGCAGGCGCGCTGCTGGAGCGCGACGCCGGCGCTGGCTCGCAGCAGGAAGAAGATGTCGATGATGATGGTTTGACCACCGCCACCACCACTCACCACGACGGCAAGAAGGCTGAGGACGATTCGTCGTCGATGACGACGACGGCACAGATGGCAACGAGCAACGAACCTCACGACGACAACGACCCACCGCCACCATCATGGACCCTCAGCGCCCCGCTCTCCGAAAAGAAGTCCGTCTTCCTCGGGCGCGCGGCCCCCTGCGCCAGCGTCGCCGACGCCAAGCGCGCCATCGCGCACCTGCTCGCGACGGACAAGAAAGCCGCGCGCGCCACGCACAACATCTCGGCGTGGCGCATCCGCGGCACCCGCGAGGACGGCCGCGAGGGTACGACGTACCAGGACTGCGACGACGACGGCGAGGCCGCGGCGGGTGGAAGGCTGCTGCATCTGTTGCAGCTGATGGACGCGTGGGATGTGGTGGTCGTGGTGACGAGGTGGTATGGCGGGGTGCAGTTGGGGCCGGATCGGTTTCGGTTGATTAATCAGGCGGCGAGGGAGGCGGTGGTGGCGGGGGGGTTTGTGAGGGAGGAGAAGAAGGAGGGTGGTGGTGGTGGTGGGGGGAAGAAGAAGGGGAAGAAGTAGGTAGGCGCGTGTGGGATGAGGGAACGGAGGTTGCGGGATGGGTAAGGGAGGTCGGGATGGTCATATCATCGAGTCAAGGGGACGAGAATCCTGTCTCCTGAGGGAGGTGTTTAGTGGCTGCTCAGTGGTCGGTGTGGCACTTTCGAAGTGCGAAAGCTCATGCCGTAGTAGAACATCACCAGGGAGAAGACATTCTTAATTGTTATACAGACGACAAGGTCAAGCAACACTTTGACGGTAATAATCACAACCAGTGGCATTGCTAGAAATACCATCACCTTTTTACCTTGGACGGAGAACTTAGCTGTAAGAGAAGGTCGCTGTCAAGTAGAGATCTAAACTAAATTTCGTTCAACAGCAATTAAGAAATTAAATCTGGATGATAAGATGAGATCAAGCGAGTTACTTTTTGTACCGCAGTCTCAGCTTTAGATCTCTACAAGCCACTAGATAACTGATAATCAAATCTGTTAAAACAAGAATGTGAGGGAAGTGCCAGTGTAGAAAGTTGGCACGACTAACGAGTAGAAGACATACAAAACAAATAATTAGAGGGAAAGAAGATAGTGGACAACGCAAAACATTATATTAAGGTGAAGCAGCGAGCAGCAGGCAACAGACAACGACTAACAAAGAACGGGAATAGATTAAACCACCATCAACATTTTGACTTAGTCTTCGGCTATGCGCGTAAACAAGATACTCTATTCGCTAATGAGCATATTTTCGCAGAATCAAGTTCTTGTCACCCGTAGTGACGACCGTCATCTTGACTGCTTGAACCTTGAATTCTGAGACCTTTCTCCCGGGTTGTGGTCGAATAATACCCCATGAGTAAGTATATCAGCTCAAAATCACAAGTCACACTCCAACAATGGATCTCATTATGGGTTTTGCTACGTTTAAGGACCAACGCATACATCCATGGTCCAAACATACAACCAAATCTTCAAGTCAGTCAATGGCCGACTTTCATTTCCCACTCGCAAAGTGTAAGTACTGCGCCGGCTTGCAGCGCTTTCTGCCAATATCCTTAGCTTACCTGAACCGGCAGCCATCTGCTGAATTCTGAATGGAAGATTATTACATTGGAGTGCTTTGACGAAGTTCCGCCTCAGAAGTCTCCAATAAACCTCTCAAGATGCGTATCCTTGCTTTAGTACCGCCGTCCACGACCACGGTCATATCCATTGTTCTGCTGCCACTGTTGACCACCGCCTTGTTGTGGGGGACTCCAGGCTTGCTGTTGCTGTTGCCAATGCTGGCCAGGTGGGTAATTGGGCGGAGGAGGCGGAGGCGGCACACCCGGCATCGGATAACCCATAGGCATATTTGGTTGCTGTGGAGGGAACGGGGGGAACTGATGGCTGAAATTGCCATTGGGACCCATTGGTGGTGGCGGTGGCGGTGGCCAAGGGCCACTGTAATTGGGCGGAGGCGGGGGAGGGTGAGGAAAGTTAGCAAAATTTGGGAATTGGCCGGGGAATTGTTGAGGCGGAGGCGGCGGAGGAAACGGCTGCCCTTGGGAAGGGTACGGGTGGGGCGGAGCTTGCTGGGAGAATGGCGGGGATTGGCCAGATCCCATTCTATGCGAGGGTGGAGGTGATCGGCGGTAGTTGCGGTTCCGGCCCTGAGAGCGCGAACGGGAACGGTAAGGAGATCGCGAAGGTGAACCTCTAGGACCGCCACCAAGGCCAGTCCTTGGCCGGGAGTACGAGCGACTCGTATCCCGTCGACGCTTTTCACTGCGACTCCTGCTCCGGGATGGGCTGTATCGCCTCTTCCTCTCCCGAGACCTACTCCTACCGCGATCCCCACTGATGCTCCTGCTACGACTTCTGGAAGAGATGCTCTGACTCCTGCCAGACCTGCCACCACGATCCCTCGACTTCATCTCCTTTCTCCTCTTCTTCATTCTCTCGCAAAACTCGACCGACCAGCCGTAGTACCCCTCGGTGACGGTGATCTCGCCAGTGAGCTCGTCGCGGATCAGCGGTTGGCCCATCATGTCAATGTCAGCCACAATGCCTTCGTCCTCGGTGTAGAGACTCTCGGAGTAGGCCAAGAGGTCCTTGACGGCATTTATCAGGCCCATCTCGGCGGTTTTGTTCCTCAAATCCACCGCCTTGATATTGTGAGGATTGATGGGCCGAGGGTCGTTTGGACGGATGTGCGGCATGAGGGCACCGGCGGGCAAGTCGTACCATGGGCCATCGGGCTCTCCGTGGAAGGCTGGAAGGACGTATGGGACTTCTTTGGAGGATGAGATTGCGTGAGCTTTTGTTGGAGCAGGCTTGGCGGGAGCGGGGACGGCTGCATCCTTCAGAGCCTTGCATATACGGTCGCGGTAGCCTTCGCTGTAGAGGTTGGTGTCTTGGTACAGCGCGGTGAGCTTAGAAAGGCGCTGGCGCAGCTTCGGCTTGCCTGGTAGCTGAAGCGACAAAGCAGTGGTGAAGATCAGCTCGAGATGTGGCTCGAGAGGCTTGACCAGCTGGGCGAGCTGAGCGTCGTGAGTGGCGAGGTGGTGCACAAGATCCTGCAGCAGGTAAAGCACATGCAGCACCTTGCGCCGGCTGGAGGGCGCATGGGGCTTGGAAGAGCTGGACGGAGCGGGCTCGTCGGCCAAGCTCTGGACCAGCCTGGCCAGGTACTTGGCCAGGGCATCGAAGCGCTTTTGGGAAGTTACAGTGTTCTTCAGTAGCCAATCCTTGCAGTTCTGTAGCGCGGCGGAGGCTTTAGTCTGTGCGATCACGGCCGGCTTGGATTGAGATCAAACCTGGAGATTGGCGGGCGAGCAGGTGAGGATGGCTGCGTCGAGCAGGCTGTGGAAGCTCTGGATGTCGTCTTTGGCGACGGGCGCAGGGTCGGCGCGCATCAGAGCGGCGGTGAGCATGGTCTTGGCGACGACCAGGGACGGGGGCGGCGCGGCCTGAGCCATGGCGGGGCGGGGCGCAGCCATGGCGAAAGCAGCGGTGTTCAGGCTGAGGATGCAAGAGCTGGAGGGTGAGGTGCGGCGCGACAAGTGATGCTGATGCGCCGCTGGTCCGTGCGTGCTCCCGTTCCTGCCGCCCCGCGTCATTTGCGACAGTTGAACGCCTGTCTCTACGCCATCGCACACCACACACTGTATTGTCTTCTGCTAGTTTCGGGAGAAACCTCTTGATCCCTCGACTGTCCTCAACCGAGTTTGTCCCCAACCGAGTATGTCCCCGAGTGCTCGTGAGCAGCTCGTCCAGCTGATGGGCGCACCCCC